ATCCGCTCAAGACCCTGCTACTTACATGTAAGAAATCGTACTTGTAGCATCAATAATGACCAGGGTGGGCCTTTGAAGGTCATGCATGCTATTGGAATGTGGTGCTCATCAAAGGTCATAAAAATTCACCCTGATCATCAAAAAGATTCTCGAACAAGGTCATGTCAACCCCTTGTAACGTCCAATCATCTGAGGCAGGCATCGATCGGCCTTCCAAATCGACATCACCCTCGTTGATGTCGCAAACGCCTTCCCCGAGGCTGTTACTGTGTATTGATCCCGCTCCAGTGTGCTGACCGTAGACACCATTCATAAATGTCCGCGGCGGAAATTGATCTTCGGCTGAAGTGAATGGAGGCACCCTACCACGTATGCAGTCTGTACCTGAACTTGTCGTCTTCAATACCGATGATGGCGGGATATCCCCGTCACGAGACCTCTGTTCATGTCTCGCAGATCCAGCCGGCTCAATTTGAAATGTCCCAATGTGTGGAACATTGATACGAAGCACATCACCACTACTGTCATGACCACTGCCACTCAAAAGATTGTCGTGCTCGGCCGGAGTGGCCATCAGACTAGCGTTATAGGACCCGCCATTTGCTACGGCTGCCTCAACGGTAAGCAGTCGTTGCAGAATATGAGCAATTCTCAAAGCGATATCGTCATCGTTGGTCTGAGCCATATCCTCCATGATCTTCAGTGTCCGTTCCATGAGCCCACGGTCGGTCGATCGCTGGTGTACAAGGAACTGAAAAGTCGTCCCAAGTTCTCCGATGTGAATGTCACCGTGTTTCCGAACACTGATGTGGGCAAAACATAATACCGTGCTCGCTATAAAGGCGACAAAATCAATACCTCGACAATATGTCGAGCTTGCGTTCGAACTTCGAAATCGTACGAAGCGAGAAAGTATCTCGCGACTGGCATTTACTGCGGTGATCTTGCTGTAGTCGCACTTGTCGTCGACCGATGATCGCAGCAGAAACGGTAGATGAAGCTGCACGAGAAGATGATAGTGTGAGAAGTGATTGATGATGCGGATAGTCTCCATGAATGCTTCTGTGTCGGAGCCGGGCTTGGTTTCAGATTCTGGGAAAAGCCACCATCGGGCTGGCATTGTAAACTCTGCGTCTTGCAATAGCTTGTCTATCTTGTGTGTCGCTTCAAGATTGTGTAAGTCCTCCTTGTTACGCTGAATGATAAGTCCTCCTATGAGCGACTCGATCCTTTCTAGTCGTTCTAACGCCGGGCAGCCTTCAAAAGCTTTTGGACCGGCAAAGGGACTCTCCAGAGAGCCTTGCGGGAGACCCAACATCAATGAGAGATAGCGATCCGACGTTACCAGTCGAAGCCACATATATTCTGTATCAATACGATCTCGGGTTTCGACTCCAAGGACAGTGGCACATCGTGAGTTCCTGTCGTGCAAGCGCAGCATCTCCGCGATCCCCATAGCCCGGCGATTTGTCAGCCAGGCTTGACGGAGGTTTCCTGCATTATTCTGATACATGCTCTCAATCATGATGCATTCAATGCCCTCGACGGAGCAGATAAGGTCATCATTGCTTGTCACCAACCTGTTCACGATCTCGACTGCGTTGGTCATGATTTCATCTAGTCGTATGCCCTCTGCTCCAAGTTCTTTGATGGTCTTTGGAGCAATGCTTTGCAGAAAAGATCCCAGCATCAACAACTTGCGTGCCATGAGGACCGGATGGGAACTTTGAAATGGTAGCCTTAAAAGTTCTTCTGACGTTGGTAGACCATAACTAGCAAGCTAGAGTACGGCACAAAAACTGTACCGTGTAAAAGGATAGAAACTCCGGTGTCGAGACTCGTGATGAGGTCGAGCTCATGTTGACTGGGCCAGACAGCGAAAAGGTAGTTGCAAATTTCGTCTCGGCTCTTCTGAGTCTTGCCATTCAGAGATGCAACAACAAAGACGCCCGGACGCGTGTGATCGTTCGACGTGGGAGTGATTCGTTCGCCACTCTCCCAGGTGCGCTGTTGTTCTTGTTAGAACGTGACACACTCTGGGTTCACCCTTCAAAAACACTTGCTATAGTCTTGGCTGCGGCACCCTGCGTATCATATTCAAGCACTGTGTCTGTACCAGCACGACGTTTCAGTTGTGCGATCGCTGCTTCTATGCGATTCAGTCTCGCCGAGTTGTTGGTGACGACCTCAGCATTGTTTTGAAATGCCTGGCTAATGCAGCCAGTCCCGCGGCTCCTGCAAGAGTCACAAATTGAATCATTAGGATTGGCAAAAGTGCACCGGATCTTCCTGCGTTTGCATTCCCAGCAGCTGTTAGTGCCTTTGCGGAGTTTCCTTCGTTTGAATATGGGGGATTTTTCCATTTCGCTTTCAACGCTGGAGGCAGCCACTGTCGTGGAAGCTTTGGAAGCCTCGCGAGAGCATGGAGAATCAAGATCTGCTGGGCGCACTGCATTCAAAGCCGCGGTCCCATGGGAGAAGCGTCTGCTGTTCAGAAAGCACCGCCACGTTCTGGTGGTGAGGTATGTATGTTGCTCCGCCGCGGCGGAAACGAAACGTTCCTCGACAGACCTTCCCCTTGCGTACAGCCGTACGCCATATGGCATACGGCAAGTTATACGGAGTACTCCTGCCTCATCTCCTCTTCTGCCACTATGATTGTTTCTGGCAATGAAGTTGTCCACGAATCACCAATGCGGCCCGCTCCTTACCCTCTTCAAGAGTAGTTCTACGGACAATGACCGCGGGCCCTTCTCGAAAAGTAGCCCAAGCTCATTCACGGTTGTAGCATGAATGAACCTGCTCCGCGGAGGACCTTGTTGCTATCTGGCTGGCAATGGCCATTTGAAACAGTAATAAGGTCGGCATTGATGCCCACGTCTGTTTCCCTCCTTTGATTGCTACCCCCCGAGGTCATAACTGTTTGTCAATCTGTTTTTACCTCAAGCTCTTCGCGTCAACAACGTTGGGACTCGTTCATTGAAGATTTCTCCTCTTCAACCATTATGGTGGAATTAGCGATAGCAGGTGGCTCAGGGCGTGCGTAATCACGTATTTGAGACTGTAGCAGGACGTACTGATTTGATTCCACAGAGGTTGCCAGAGAGATCATTGATGCTCTGCTTGCTACAGGTAACCACAACATTACAATCTTGACGAGGAACGTCGGTGTCTCCGATTGATCACTCACGGCCAGGCTATGATGCTCATTGATCTTAGGATACTCCTGCGAACCATGACCTACCTGGTGTCCGATGGCGTGTAGTGAACTACAACGACCAAAATCTTTTGGTAGAGGCTCTTCGGGATATCCATACTCTCCTCTCCTTCATACAACCACTCTCGGACCCCGAGGGGAAGATTCAGAAGACATTGATCGATGCGGCGATTGCTGCCGGTGTCAAGCGCTTCGTGCCAAGTGAATATGGAAGGTAATATCTGGGTCAATGCAGCCTTCATTGTGAGTGATGATTGACGTAGCGAAGCGCTGGCACGATCGATATGCCGTGGTGGAGTGGGAAAGAGAGAACCAGAGAGTATCTGAGACAGGTCAACACGAAAAGCAAAGTGAGTCGGCCTTCACACAAAGTCTTGACGCGCTTGGCTCACGGATAGCAAAAGGTCCTCGAATACGTTCTCTTTCAGCCCGGTCTATTCCTGGATTACCTTGCCTTCCCGTACAAAACATCAAAGCATATTGACCCATTGCAAAGCATCTTTGATTTTCAATCCTGCCGAGCAATCGTGGTAGACGGTCATGAAGACGCCATCATGACCCTTACATCGGCGCGAGATGTTGCTGCTCTTGTTGCTCGAGCCGTGGACTACCAAGGCCGGTGGCCCGAAGTTGGAGGAATATCCGGCAACAGAATGTCGGTTGCTCAGATCATTGCAACCGGACAAGGTGTCCGAGGTATGGTTTTGCTTTGGTCGCACAAATTTACACGTCCGAACAATTGTCAGTGGGGACTGAAACGATGTGACACCACAGGTCGTCCATTCACCATCGAAAAAGTCAGGTTGGAAGATCTGGAGGCTGGTGTTCTCAAGACCTCGTGGGCTCTGGGAAAACGGCACCACTCGATTTCCGAAGAACAAGCGAATAACGTGGCAACGACAGTATCCATCGGGATCCTCCTCAGTAGCTCCAAAGGTGCGTGGGACGTCTCTACCGAACTTAACCAGCTGTTTCCGGAGTACGAATTTGATGACATGGAGGGCTTTCTTGCCAGGGTCTGGGATGGAAAGTCGTAGGCGCTCTATGGCATGAGCTGGTGGACCGAGTACCCTTGTAGATGTTCCAAGATGGTATGTATCGAGCACTGTCGTGCGAGTGACTTTGGTCGGTACCTACTGGGTACCTACTGGGTACCTGAGTTCAATCGCTCGTACGAGTAGCTCCGTCCAGTTATGGAGTACCTACTGTATAGTAACAAGGATATTCCCTACGGTTTTGTTACGGATGGCATTTTTCAGGTGGGAACGAGATACTCCGTTCTTTGACCCTGTTCAAGCTGAACTTCGGAACAGAGTCCGACACAATCCCAAGCATTTACTAACCAGGCCAAGTTTAGTACAAAAAAAGAAGTTGACACCTTTGCACTACTGTACGGAAGTAACTTGTTCTCGTACGGAGTTGAAACGAAGATGACGCAATTGCCCCTCCATTGATGTACCAGTAAAGTACCTTGCCTAGGTACCGACCCTACAAACATACAATAACCTACCAATGCAGAGATAGTTCCGTTAACCTGTAGTGGTAAGGGGAATACATACAGTACGTACTGTACTAAGCCACAGTACGGAGTTACGAGTATTTGAGATCTTTTTCACCTAGGTTCATTAACATGTACTCCGTACCTAACCGTACTCCCGCAGGTATGTATTGTACCTGCGTGGCCCCTGGTCAAATCTCCGTAATAGTGAGGGAAACAAGTACAAGTATCTCGTCTCAACCCCGCCATCCCCTTCCCGTCCCCCCCTTGCATAAAACTATAATTCTCACTCTTTACCTTATTACTCCGTTTTACACCTTTTGTACTCTACTCCGTCCCTTGGTTGTTTTTAAAAAACCTGCCTAAAGGTAAGTTGGCCATCATCACCATCATCATCATCATTGTCATCATCCCAACCCTTGAAAAAAGAATCCTTTGTTTTTTTCTCTTGTTCCTTCTGTTCTTCCTCTTTCCAACTGACACCCCCCATCTTTCGAAACAGCTTCAACTAAACCTCAAACCCACGAACCACACTTTCCCGATCCTTCCACTCACTCACTCTCTCCTCTTTCGAGTCAGTCACAATGGCCACCCAATTCGAAAAGAAGCTCGTCAAAGAGGGCAACAAGACCGACTACCCGAAACAGGGCGACACCGTCACCATCGAGTACACGGGCTGGTTGTTCGACCCTTCGGCGGGCGAGAACAAGGGCAACCAGTTCGACAGCTCCGTCGGCCGAGGCGACTTCAAGACCCCCATCGGAGTCGGCAGGGTCATCGCCGGCTGGGACCAGGGCGTCCAGCAAATGTCCCTCGGGGAGAAGAGCACCTTGGTCATCCCCGCCCACATGGGTTACGGTGACCGCGGTTTCCCGGGCCACATCCCGCCCAACTCGACCCTCATCTTCGACGTTTACCTCAAGGGCATCAACGGAAATTCTGTCTAGATGGGACGGAGAAAAGACGCCAGTGTCTGGCCATGTCACAGAAACGAAGGCACACGAACCGGGAAAAAGGAAGACAAGGGAGGAAATTTGGAGCCGAGTCTGCTTGAGATTAGGCTCTGGCTTTTTGACGGTTTATCATGGGAAGGCATCATCTACTCCGTACAGAGTAGTGGCGGGACGCAACGGGAACAATACCAAAAAGGAACAACACCAGAAAAAAAAAGAAGATTACCACACAGTCTTAGAAAAGAGAGAAAAAAAACATGTTTAGATAAATCAACCCCTTTCTTCATCTGCGGAAAATGGACAACTCTGTGGTGATGATCTCGCTGGCACAACAGGGCAATGAGTACAGCGCAGCCCAAACCTCTTGATCATCCAAAAGTTTTGTCATTCCGCAGAAATGACGCCATCGTCTACTCATATTGAGCAGAATTAGTGTCGACAGGCAATTCCAAGAATAAAGAAAATTCATTCTTGACTGTTCCGTCTGTTCAGCCTCCTTTCGTATACCCAAGTACAAGCTACCGTACACAGTATTCGTATATATCTGAGCATGACCAATAGCCCAACGCTTTTCAAAATTATCGCTCGCTGAAAAACAAATGACCCCGTCATGGTCTCAGCTCTTCCTTCCAAAGACCGTTTTCTACCTACAGTACACATACTGCGAGGCCAGGCAAGTAAGAGTGAAATGTACTCGACACTCGAACATGTTGTTCTCATCATCATCGAACTTGGTTGTGGTAGTGACATGAGATTCAAATCGCTGGGCTCGGCTGGCATTCACTGCCACACTGCACAGCATTGGTTCTGAAGCGTCTGGCTTTCCCCCGTTTCTCTCCTCCCAATAAAGCCAGGACCTTTAATCTGTGGCGGCGGGATTACAGGGTGGATCCCTAGAGTATATTCTTCTGAGACCTTACCTTGACCAGGTCGCGGAATCACTCAAGCAATTTTGTCTCCGCCCATCGTGCGAGAGCGACGCTCTTCTTGTCAATGTATCTCTCGGTCAAGTCGCCGAGCCAGAAGAGGGTCGGTAAAGCTATGAGACTGTAGACAAAGAGGACGATCCACCCACCCAGGCCAGAGTCGACGGGGACTTGTGGACTAATACTGCTGCGGCAGGCTCGTATAGCGTTCAGGAGTGGCAATCCCATCGTCTTAATCAGGGAGAAGTGGATGATGTATATCGCAAACGAGATGTCTCCCAGGTACTGCGGGAACCGTGACGACAAAGCTCTCTTGAACAGTTGAGACTGACCTAGGACAAGTACCAGGAGCACCGCGGTCACGCAGGTACAGAAGCGCCCTGTTCCGGGATGATTGTTCCACGAGTCCGGCATGATGCTTGAAATCTTTCCATAGAGGGGAATGTCACCGACTCCGAAATGAAGATCGGGGATGGTAATGACATATAGGAGGCAAAACACCGCCCAGACCGACATGATATTCCTGGCAATAGTGCCCACTCGACGGGTATGTGTAGCCTTTTCATTCAGCTCGGCTCCTGGCAATGTGGCTGACGTTGGTATTGATATGGGCTTCATTTGATTCATGTACTGGTGGATTTCACAGCACAAGGCACCAGAAATAAACAGAAACATATCCCACTGTCCCACCACTATGGTGTAAAGCACCAAGGAGAGAATAATCAGGAACCGGGAAAGAGGTCGCGCCTTCGCAAGCGTCAACAGGATAGCGAAGATAACGATGGATCCTCGATATTCGTAGGGAATGGTCCACATGACAACCTCGTAGCGAAGGCCTATCATGTTGTCGGAGCGATACTTGTCGACAGTAAACGGGTTGATGCCGGTGGTCAGGTCATTGAGCCAATAGTGGATCTGAAGAAAGAAGCTCTTCTGAGCATGGAGATGTGGGTATACTAGGATCTTGTTGTAAATGAGAACAGCGTTGACGAAAGTGATGAATACCACAGGCAGATAGAGTCTGATTCCTCTGCGAAAAAAAGCTGGAGGTGATGGAAGCGTTGAGTTTGGTGAACTCCTTGCTCCTTGCAAGGGACAACGGTTTGTAGCTCAATGCGTAACCACTGACCACAAAAAAGACGTCGACCATGGCGCCACCGCTACAGACCAGCCGAAAAATCGGGAGTCGCCAGAGATGAGGGTCATTGTGTCGCCATGCTTTGCAACTGCCTTGCTTGAAGAAATAGACGAGAAGATTCTGGTGATAGATCACAACGATGAAGGCAGCCACACCCCGGAGACCGTCGAGCCAGGAAGTCGAGGTGATTCTTCTCTCTCGTGCCGGAGACAGCATCCTGGGGCGAATTGCAAGCCAGCATGGGTGTATATATGGGCACACCAAGACAAGAAGCTTTTGGAAAGAGAAACCCCGAGTTGAGGTGCCGGTGAAAGTGATTGTATCCGCAGACGATCGTCCTGGGGCGCCATGGATTGAGAAAGACAGCTCTTGTTCTTGTGTGCTTTCATCATTGCCATCGTTGTCTGGCTGGTCATTCAGCAATGGAACAAATTGGTGATCTTCTTCTTTGTCCAGTTCGGGTCGCGCGGAGGAAAAGCCAGGTATTGGCATCGTGAGGGTGGGTAGGCGATGAGCCTATAGAGAGATCTGAGTGAGATTGAGGCGGCTCAACAACGTCTTGATTGCATTTCTTGGCCGTTTTGCTATGTCAGTCTGGCAACGCAATCGACAGGAGGTTTACGTGGCAGAGTGCCATGGGTTCAGACCAAGAAACCAGATATAAGTCTTGGATTTACCTTACCACAAGGTTGTGGTGGCACGGCAAGAAAAGGAGATATATGCTGCCAGAGACTTGACATTCTTGACGTATCCAACGGCTCACAATTCCATCCCAGTCGAGGTGGTTGTGAACCATGGACGACCAATGTGCCGCCTGGTCAGAGGATCATAGCGCTGCATGGGGCTGGATAGGTTGGCAGTAGAAGAAGACTCGACTTTGATCGAGAACGGTCTTCATGCCTGGACATTGGGACGTGCCTGGAAGAAACTTTAACTAATAGGGGGTTACAGCCTCATTTCGCGCAGATGCCCTGTTACAGTCACCTGGACTGGGGTGAAGGGCAAACGGCAGGGAGGACCGACCCAGGCCGTGCCCGGCACGTACAGTAAGTGGAAATCAAACACAGTTCACAAACATAGTAAGGGGAATAATGCGTATCTGTATTACTCCTGTTGGATCCCCGAGCAACACGCTCTCCCATTCACGCTCCTTCCACACAGTTTTTCGGTGATAGTAGAGAATGTAGGCGTCACGGCGGCAAAGGTGGTCATCCTGAATATGGAAGGTGAGAAGCGAGCGCTGGTAGGATGGGAGGATCTGCTGGGGTTCTCATATGGCCCGCGCACATAGATGACAGCTGCCAGAAAGGCGAATGTGTTAGGTTGGATCTCACCTCACATGGGAAAATAGACATCGCACGGCGTGGGTGGCAGATGTGCACGCCACTCCGAAAAATGTCTCCTGTTGAGGATGCAGCTCTCCCACTTGCCGTCCCTGGCCTGATCATTTTCGAAATAGATCAGCATGGTCATCGATGTCAAGAAGTCGTCCTATATTCCGAAGCCATGCATATCTTGCGGAACGCGATGTCGCCTTCTCAGCAGACGGATTACGCTACTTGGAATCCAGTCATTCGGGCAGATCCGTAGCTCGAAGATCACGGTCGACAACCGATAAGCTGTTATAGAGTACCAATCCACTCATGAGACCGCTCAAAGTTGAAAAATTACCCAGCATTGGAGCCCAAAAAAAATGCTCCATGCCCGCATGGAACCGTTATGAGGCTCCGGTTTGGGTGGCGGGAGGTTTGTGGAACTCTTCAAGCCGAGACCGTTTCTTTGAAACCCCTGATAATTTCCACATCCTGCAGGCTGGCACCAAAAGAGTTCGGAATACGAGCTGCAGGGATAGGGATGGAATACTTTTCGTTTTCGTACCAGGGGCGTAAGTTCGAGGTGAAGGGAAGCCTCTACTCTAGCAATGAACTCAAAAGGCTCCGCGAACACACGGAGCGCGCCAGGGCAAATTCCCTAGTCGAAATCTCCAGAATCATGGACCCTTATGGAGTACATTGTGAAGTGACACATCCGCTAAGGCAAAATCATCCTTCCTTCACCATCTGTCCACCGCTTGCGGGAGCAATAACTTCATGGTCAACATGTCTATAAGTGATGAGAGGTTCCTCAAAAGTCACAGAAAGGGGATCAGTCTGTGTTTCGGGAGGAACCAGCAAAGATTTGCCCAAGCAATACAACTGGCGTTTGGACAAGGACGTGTCTTTGTGGCTGCACAGAGTTGACGGCGGCACCGTCGAGAAACCCTGGTCACTCTTCATGGGGGCCAGAAGCAAGAATGACCCAAATGCCACTTTTTTTCAATTGTGTCTTAAAGGTGGCATTCATCACATCTGCGAGGCTCATATGATGCCTCAACGCCAAAGACAAGTATGGGATGTTTCATTTACCAGCACCTTTGTTCAAGAAGAAACAAAGGAAGAGTGTAAAACTTCACTCAGACAAACACCATTCTCAAGCCCACTCCAGACCTGTCACTCAGCACCTTATTCCTGCATTTCACTTTGTCATGGTCGCACGTTGTGATGGCCGTTAGCGGTCACCACGATATTGCACCCCTTATTAACCCTTCTAGCGATGTAACACGCGATCAAACGTTGTTGTGAACAAGCTGTCCTGCAGTTTCACTCTCAACTGTTGGTCTGTGGCTGCAGCTGTACACTGAAGCCACCTGACGTCCTGTCCGCGGCCTCTCCAGCCCATCCTTTCCTAAAGTACATATTAGCATGGACATTGAACATTGTGGCGTTCAGACCGGACGAACCTTAAGTTTCTGAGAATCGAGAGCCATCGTTCACAGCGTCGACGCAGAGCCTGTCCATTCTTGGAAAAGCTCCATGGACTCTTCGAATACCCAACTCTGGAAAACCTGTTCAACCTCTTCTGCAAAATGCAGCCACTGGCGCATCTCCGCGAAATGTTCTCCCATCTTCTGAAGATCTAGATCCTGGAGCTCAGTCGCGAGGAACCAGGTGCTCAGCTGCTCGCTTTTCTTGTCCATCTTCGATCGAAGTCGTCTAACGAAGATTTTCAGTTCGCGCATCCTCTCGTTGTTGTACTCCTTGGAGATTGGTCGCATGTCTTTGACAAGTCGAACCCACTTCCAGAAGGCGGCCTTGAAGAGCTTGAAAGCATGGGCATCACGAATGTCCACAAAGTGTTGTAGTCTCTTCTGCGCTTGTCCTCTGGCCTTCTGGATCGCATCGTGGTATTTGATAAACTCCTCTTCCCAGGCATCGTCCATGTCTGCTCCAGCCATTGTGATGGTAATTTTTGGGCTGCACTTGATCACAACAGTGAGCGGGTTGGGAGGTCTACTCTGAACGGTACCCATCTTGAGCGAAGTGGTCCCAATGTGTTTTCGAACGGCGCAACGGGTGACTGAGAGGTCGGTGGCTACACTTTTTAGTGCAATTGTTCAACAGCGAAGTCGCGACAGCTGGTTAGGAATGAGAGACTAGCGAGGGTTCTGATTGTTTTTGTCAAAGCATGAAAGTGCAATGTTTGTTCAGGCCTTCATCTACGCGACGACATCACCGCGAGTGATCGCAGGTGAGGCGGACTGAGCAGACCGCCTACGGTCGCGTCCGCAGTGAAGTCAACCACATCGTGCTGGCCGCGATCACGGAGGCTCTAGACAGCCACCTGTGATGATAACCAAAATGACCAAACCATCTTTTCTCTTCCTCCTTTCGACAACCGCGCGAGGTCAGTCATTGCTCTTCTGGCTAGGCAGATCAAGGAAAAGAGGTTTTCGCAATGTCTTGAACCGCGTTTCTCATGCATTGAGCGATCCTGAGTGTACAAATTATCAGTATGAGACCGTGGCGCAAATTCATCCATCTGCCAGCGCAACCTCTCTTTTTGTTCAGTCAAACTTGGTCCTACAGATTGCTCCGCGCAGGACCCTTTCAACAACCTTCCTCCCTTTGCCACCACACCGCCCTTGAAGAATATCCCCACGCTTCCCCGTCTTCATCTCATAACATGTTTGCTTTCATCTCAAGCATGACTCCTTCACCTCTGGACGCTAGTAAATCTCCATGGGATTCAACAACCTTGTTCCGAAGTGGAAAGATGTCTGGAGATGTTTCTGAAGCAGGGATTGAACAAAAGACTAGATGCTTCCTGGTTGTGAGTGGTACTCCACAGCGCGAAAATTTCCACCGCAGCGAGCCCAAGGTCGACATGCAAAAGCGACGTGACTCTGCCATGGAGCCGGAGTCGACTTATCTTCAATTCCAAATTCTTAGGAGGAAGGGCAATCCATTTGCGCTCCGCGGTCGTCCGCCTTGTTCCTAGGGGTAACCCCAGGAGTCGACTCCTGTGAATTCAACAGTACCAGTCTCCATCAATATGGGGACCGTGGGGTTCCCCGGGCCCAGATGGCACAAATTCTGGTCTGTGTTGGGTCCTCCGGTTGAGTACTCGATCCTCTGTATTCGGCTATGCTATATAGTCTTTCACTTTCCCACGTTTGCCAAGGACGTCTTTCCGCTGCCAAGCGTGATGCCGAGAATCTTCTTCCCTTTAGATATCGTCCCCTTCCGTGACCTCTTTCCGCTCCTCTGACAATGCCCGAGGCTGATGATTGTACTCGGAGGACCGGCAAGGGGGTCAAAGGAAAGCTATAAGATGGCACCGACCGACAATGAACACAGAGACGTACCCTGCGCGCTCTCCAGGCGAGTTATTCCCTTTTGACGAGTGAAGGAAACCGCGTCCAGTACGTAACCGCCTACAGTCATGGAACAGCAAGAGAAGGAACTCGAACTGGCAGTGAGCCAGAAGGAGACCGTCGACGTCAACAATGGCGGTGTCATGGAGTGGACGAAAGAAGAGGAACTCAAGATGCGTTGGAAGTTGGACAGACGCATCGTTCCTTTGTCGTTCTTGTTCTATATGCTCTGTTTCGTCGACAGGTGAGTCCCACGACAAGATCACTCCTTGTCTACTGAGGGATTGGGAAGTAGACGATACTAACATTGAAACCCTTTAGGACCAATATCGGGTTTGTATTCTTCCAAAAATTGAAAAGAAAAAGTCAAGGCACGACAAAACTAACGAAGATTGAACAGCAACGCCCGAATCTCAGGCATGGCTGAGGACTTGAACCTCAGTGGTTACCGATTCAATATTGCATTGACAGTCTTTTACATTTCATGCAAGTACACGCAAACATCTTACCGTTGCTTTAGAAAAAAACATGTGACTAATTTTACATCGGAACCGGCACAGACATTCTCGTGGAGATACCTTCAAACATGCTCCTGAAGATCATCGGAGGAAGATATTACATCCCTACGCTCGTCTTTCTGTTCGGAACCATATCGGTCGCGACGGCGTTTGTACAGAATTACGCGGGTTTGATCGCCTGTCGCTTCTTCCTGGGTCTGGTCGAGGGCGGCGTCGCCCCGGCCATTGTCTACTACATGTCCATCTTTTACCGTCGGACCGAACTGGCATTCCGAGTCACCATGTTCATTACGGGAGCATCGTAAGTCACACCAGCTCTTGTTTCGTACCTTGTCTCTTGATTGAGTCGAATTCGAGTTGACTGACGTGTTCGGTCGACACACACAGCATGGCAGGTGCTTTCGGTGGTCTCCTCGCGACGGCACTGACGCTCATCCCCCGCTGGGGGGCCTCCTCGGCACCTCTCCACACGTGGCGGAACATTTTCTTCTTCGAAGGCCTGGTCACGATGCTGGTCGCTTCGTTGGGGGTCTGTTTCCTCCCCGACTCGCCCTCCACGGCCCGGTTCCTGTCCGACCGACACCGCACCATCGCCAGCCGGCGCATCGCCGACGAGTACAAGGAAGAGAGTGACGAGAGTGGCAAGGGGGTGAGGGCGCGGCACGTCAAAAAGGCCGTCATGAGCGTCAGCACCAACCTGTCGGCCCTCATGTTCTTCTTCCTCAGCGTCAACCTGTCGTCCATCTCGTTGTTCCTGCCCACCATCCTCCGGGCGCTGGGCTACTCCGCCGTCCAGGCCCAGCTGAGGTCCGTCGCCCCTTACGTCTCGGCCTGCGTCGTGTCCATCTTCGTGTCCTGGTGTTCCGACAGGTTCCGCCGCCGGGGCGTCTTCATCGCCTCGGCCACCCTCTTGGGGACGGCCGGGTATGGCGTCCTGATCGGCACGGACACGGGCCAGAACGCCGCCAAGTACGCGGCCGTCTTCGTGGCGGCCATGGGGGTCTTCGCCGCCGGACCCGCCAGCGTGAGCTGGGGGGTCAACAACGCCGCCGGCGCGAGCGTGAGGAGCGTCACGAGCGCCTACATCATATCCCTGGGCAACTGCGGCTCCGTCGTCGCCACCTGGACCTACCTCCCCGAGAGCGCCCCCCGGTACACGCTCGGCCACGCCCTGAACCTGGGGGCCCTGGCCTGCGCCTTCCTGCTGGCCGTCTCCGCCGTCGCCTACTACAGGTGGGAGAACAAGAAACGGGACCGGGGCGAGCGGGACCACCGGTTGACCGGCCTCACCGACCAGCAACAAAAGGACCTGGGGTCCTCACATCCCGAGTTCAGATACATCCCTTGAATCTTTGGTGGGAAGGGTCGTTCGATGGTTACATCGTCATGGACAATGAGAGAGGCATTAAAACACCCATCCACAGTCATCATCCAGAATACATTTAGATCAATTCATAATGTGATGCAAATCGTCAAAATTCATATCTTTCATCGCTATGGACAGACCGAAAAATTTGTTCTTTATTTCAACTCTGTCAGTATATAAAATATCTCTCTCGGCCCATACCACCACTTTAGTTATCTGATACTTCTCAGATCACAACTTTACCTTTCCAGCCTTCAGCACATCCCACTCCTTCTGACAAAACGGTTCGTACCGATCACTGTCAGGTCGAAGGTAGTAGACCCTCTCACCGGCGACTTTATCCGGATCCACGCCTTCCAGTCTGAGCACATGTTTCTGCTGCTTATTGTTCCCCGTCGCCATGACGCTCGCCACGACTCGCAGGAAAACGGGTACGGCGTACTTCGGTAGACTTGCACGCGCATGCGTAGCCAGGCTCTCCAGTACGGCATCGCCAATGGGACTGTCCTCTGTCGTGACGTCCCTCAGTAAAATGGCCGCGCACCCGGCGCGTCCCTCGTGGTTGGGAATGGCCACTCCATAGACATTCGCCTCGAGAATGTGAGGGTGAAGACCTAGGACTTCAGACACTTCTGCCGTGGACACGTTCTCACTTCGCCAGCGGAACGTGTCACCTATCCGGTCCGAAAACCACAACAGACCATCCTTGTCGTACCTAACGACGTCGCCGCTACGGAAATACGCGTCACCTTTCTTGTGCACGTCCCGCAAGATCTTCGAATCGCTGGCCTTCTTGTTGCCAAAGTACCCTTGGAATTTGGCACCGACGTCTTTGGGATCAGCGATCTTGTACAGCAATTCGCCTGGCTCGCCGCGAGGGACTTTGATGCAGAATCCAGTCTTTGGATCACGTCGGGGAGTTTCTGTTTCCCAGTCGACTTGGACAATTGACTGCGTGAAATTCTGGATAGCCTGTGCAATGAGGCCGGATTGGCCGATTGCCCCTGACGAAAAGGTATTGCGAGATAAATTGAAGCTCGCCGCCACACCTTCTGTGGCTCCGTAGAATTCAGCGATCGTTTCAACTCCGAATCGATCGCGAAATTTGTCCCACACATCCGGTCTGCAGCCATTACCGAACGCCAGCTTAACTTTGTGTCTGGTCCGGTCGTCTGGCCGAGGCGGAACGGCTAATAGATACCGTAGCGTTTCTCCAACGTATTGGATCTTGGTAGCTTCGGCTGCAGCGACCTCGTCCCAGAAGCTCGTGGCTGAAAACCTATGGCTTAGTACTAGTGTAGATCCCGAGACGAGACAGAGGTGAAAGCCCAATTGGAAAGCTGAAGAGTGATACAGAGGCATGGCCGTGTAATATCTATCAGGATTGGATTTGGTGACTGGGCGCAAACCGATCCATCTCGCGATGAAACCCGAGCCCCAAGCAGTTCGGTCCCACGGGACGATGGCGGCCTTGGGTAAACCCGTGGTTCCCGAAGTAAAAATCAACACGCATGGTGAGCGGCCAATTGCACCTGCGCGAGCCGAATCTGGGGCTCGATAAGGAGGAAAGTACTCAAGAGACGATTGCAGCCCTGTCGTAAGAACGGTTACGTCAAGCGGGAACGCATTGTTGCGAAAGTCGGGAGCCGCGAATGCTGCTTTTGCCTCGGACGTGAGTACCCTGGACTCGATTTCCGGATCGACAATGAGGAGTCTGGCGGTGGATGTCCTGACGCTGTGTACGAAGGGGCTGGCGGTCAGGTTGTAATTTATAAAGGCCGGAAGAGCTCCCAGAGACCATATCGCCAGAGTCAGGAAGATGAACTGGGGACTGTTCATGTAATCAATGGCAATGATCTCCCCCGGAAGGACTTTGTGGACCGAGTGTAGCCATCCTGCGTATCTGAGGACGGTCGTGTACGTCTCCTTGAACGTATATCTCTTTCCCTGGTAGATCAGGAACAACTCGTCGGCGACCTTGGGGTTATTCGCGTGGTCTTCAAGCAGGTAGAACGAGTTCGCGCGGTCTGCGTCAACCCGTTTGAGGAATGCTCTTTGGGCGAGTGCTAGATTCTTGATAATGTGCACGTCGGGTGAGATCCTCCATCGAGCATCGAGGTAGGCAAGACCAGCGAGTGCCGCAGGGACGGATAATAAGGCGGTGGGAACTGATTCGACGGCATTAGATTCTGGGGGAGCCACTAATAAGACAGCTCCAGCTTGACTTACCGTCCATCATTACGGGGTAACAATCATCAAGTGAATGTTGCACCTAGAGTGAGCATCGCCGGGAGGAGAATTTGGGGGGGGGAGGAAGGTAAGTTGACGGTGAAGACGCAACTGGACTTCCAAATGCATAATGAGGTATAGGATGTTTGGCCATTATCATCCCAACTTATACACCTGTGCTCGTGCAGCATTTTAGCGAAGGTCCCACGGCTTGCGTGGATGAGTTGTCTGCGCTTCTACTCACGGAGGATGGGTACAAGAGCGGATAAGGGCAATGAGTTGGCCCGCGAACCGAGGCAGTCGATTCGACAGCTTTCGTCACTTGATACGGAGGATACTGTACAGAGGCAGTTAGTGGTACTAAACTTGCTCTGTACTTTACCGTATATACATGTGCGAGTTAAGGCAGTGATTGATAGTAGAGTACTCAGTACTTCTATCCTCGACTCGCTCCCTACAGTATTCATACATCCCTTACATTTTAAATACCTTGGGTATATACGGACTAAGGGACACGAGCATGTCTAAGGCGCCTCTCTTACTTGGTATTACGCTAGCTATAGACTTACCCTTCTTACGGAGTACTACCCGTTGCAATACACGTTCCTACTACTCCGTACCCAAAAAGAACTGCCGATACACAGAGTATAAGGGTAGCAAAAGAGTTTGGAAGGGCCATTCGCATGTCAGCTCATGAAATCAAGGGGACTTGTATATCACACGTTGCATCAAAACTAATCCTTATGCCCAGTAGGAGGGGAGTGAATCACTCAACTCGTTTACATGCATGAGGTGATTACTCCATCCAACATGGGAGCTACCCCTTGTCAAAAACGACTGATAATCAGGATGCTGCTTGGGCTGGTCTAGAATATATTGGACCGATCTGTGAGTTTTTCTCACTAGATTTGTTTACTTCCTGCCCCTCTCCTCCTTTTGAATTCCAACCAAACATTTGAATTAAAAAGCGACTGGGTACGGGTGTGACTTGGATGATAAAAGTCGCAAACATAAAAGTCTTGGGTTGGTTCCATTCTCGACTTTTCCCTTCACCCTCCGCGAGCCAACGCATAGGTTACTGAACACCCCCCCTCCCCTCCCCTCCTCCCAAGGTAACGTGTCGAGTTGCACATCACCTCACGCAAAGTGAACCATCACGTCAGGGGTGTCACAAGAACAAAAACAAAGAAGCTGTGACACAAAATCTGAAAACAAATTCCCTTTCCTTGTCAAAAAGACTCTTTCCGTACTTGTCTAGACAAACATTATCAGCCGCACATCCCCCGCACTTGCTACTTTCGTCCTCTTCATTCTCACCTCAGCGACAGCAAACAACAACCACCAAAAGCAAGACGACACGAGGCGACACAAGAACAAGGAAAAGAAGAAGCAAGAAAAAAATACTCCCAGCATCACTCTCAAAATCTTGAATCTCAAAAAATCACCAACTCGGGCAAAGTCATAAATAAACTCTCGGCCTCAATTTGGGGGTTTTCGTCTTTCATCACTTCGGTGAAGGCCCAAAATATGTGTTACACCCACTACACCCGCGACGAATGCAACGACTGCGACACGTACCATGAACGGATGGTGACCCACCGCCCTTGCATCAAATCCCTGCGTACGGGTCAGTGCAACAGATCCTTCGACTACAAGACCATCAAGAGACCCAACGAGGACGTCGACAAGTGCGCCAAGTGCCTCTCTGATCGCACCGAGGCCGTCCGTATAGCCACCATCGGTGAAATCAGGGTCGACCTGACGCCCTTCTGGAGACGTCAGGCCGAAGGGGCTGGGGGAGAGTGGCCGCCGCCGCAGCAGCAGCAGCAGCAACAACAAGAGGATTCTTGAACATTATGATTTGGGCATCAAGCAACAGAGTAGAAGAATCAACTACCCTCATCAGATGATCAACAGCAACAACAGCGACGGCAACAACAACAACAATGACCAACAAACACCTGTTCGGTTTTGCGAGGGATATGCAGATTCACCGAACGCATAACGAACTAATCTGTCGACTTCTGATCACACACAACTCGAAAAAAGCAATCCAATTCAGAACGATGATAAACAAAGCGTTGGAACTCCGATTCGTTGCGGATAATCAATAAAAACAAACAAAAAAGCAAGAGACCATCCCAGGAAATAACCTTTGCATGACCTGGGTGGTCCAGATTTGAGCAAGGACACACATGAGACTATGAGGGAGATGAAATTATGACGCTGATGAAGAGGATAATGATGGTAATAAATGATATTCATATTGTTGGTTTTTTTTTCTTTCGGTTTCGCATTCCATTTTCTTTCGTTCCATGTGAACTTTCAATTTCAATTTCTAGTAGTCAAGGAATCTCCATCCATGATTCCCGTCGACATTGTTCCAATCTTGCTCGTCAAAAGCCCTCCCCCACCCCATCATGACGGCGAGGACGCGGCACGCGTTGCTCGACACCCCACAAATCACCTTGTCACTCCTCGCCAGCACGGCCAGGTCGAGCAGGTACGCCCGGCCCAACAACTCCCTCAGTTGCAGGGCCTCCTGTGTCGGGTTCGTCTTGTAATCTCTCCGGTCGTCACCACCTGTCGCGTGGTGTTTTGTGATCTTCTTGTTGTCACCTGCACTGACCGACTTGTCATCTCCCGGCCGCGCCTTGGTGGGTCTCGGGCTGCCGACTCGTTTCTGTTCCTTGACGTGCTCGGGGAGACCGAGTCCCCAAAAGACGTCCTTGAAGAAACCCCCCTCCCAACCCAGTCCCCCACTCCCGAGTTGTCGCTTGCTCGCCAAGGAGATGCGAGTCTGCGCCCTGATGGCGCCCGTCAATTCGACGTGGTCAAACATGTCGGCGTCGTCACTCGCCAGGATGAGCTTCCATCGGTCCAGGGCCTGGCCGACCAGCTTCCTCGCGCTGGCCATGTACCGTTCGGGAGGCAGATAGCCTTGCTGGTAGGCAAACTCGAACGGGTGACAATCCCCCCGGCGTATCTGGAGCCCGACCAAGCCGTTCTCTTCGTCCCCCTTTTCGCCCCGTCGGAGCTGCCGTGCACGACTGGACACGTACTCCTCGTCGTCCGCGTTGAGCTTGAACAGCGCATCGTACCCTTCCCTCGCCATCTCGTAGATCTCTCTGTCCGAGTAATGGTTGTGGAAAGCATCGCCAAACGTCCACGCCGTCGTCGCGGCGGATATCACCAGGTGCTTCGCCTGATGAGGACACGGTACTCGTTGGTTGGTCGGCGGAGGGCGACATTTTGGCGTCGGCTTCTCGGCGAAGAAGGTGCTGTACCTGCCGTAAGGAAAGTGCGTGTCGTCTATGAAAAATTCCCGTCCTTCTCGCCCAGCCAGACTGTACGATACCCACATCCCCAAGAGTGCCGATCCGAGCCCTGCGTCTGTCGCATCGAGGACATATGTCAGCGTCTTTTCGCAGACCGGCATTCGATGTTCGCCGGGCAACGGGCTCGAGACAATCTGTTCGGGCAGGAAATGTCGGGCCTGGGCCTCGACCACATCAATGTAATGTGGATCGGCGTCGTAGTAGCTGCCGATGTCATCTTCGGATTGTGGCAGACCGGCAACGTGTCGAGCAACATCCTCAACCTGCGAGCAGATGTCTGCATAGTCTGTGGCAGGGAGAGGGAACGTCAGCCTCTGTGGGATCCATATCGTCCAGTGATGTTTGCCATCGTGGTCGGTCAGAGCGAGCGGAGTAGGATGCTCAGGGAGTTCGGCAGCTTCGATGATCTCGTACGTCTTTCCCAGGGACGTGAGGAAGGTGAGATCCGCGAGGTCTCGGATCTTTTGTTTGCTAGGTGCAAACAGACAGTAGATACCAATGAGGATGGATAGGTAGATTAATAAACGCACGATTTTGCGAGAGTTGAGTTTGGGCGGCTTCTTGCCGTGGCGGGGAAGTATAGACGGCAGTGACGGTGATGGGATAGGTGTTTCGGGTAGAAAAGACTTGATGGACAGGTAACGACTGGCCCCTTCGACCTTTAATGGTTTGGGAGGATTCGCTCGGCTGGACAAAAGCATCTTGCTGCGTGGACGGTCGTCATGGTTTTGTTGTGGGCGTGAAAGAGTCATTCAGTAGTCATGCAAGAGCTGCATTTCTTGTTTTGGAAACCAAAAAAAACAATGCAACGTTGTGTTGTGTGGTTGATATGAGACTTGTTGTATGGAAGAAAGGATCTGGTCGGCAATCGTTGAATATGGCAATATTTGTGGCCCGCACAGTATTGCCAATGCAACAAGAAAAGAAGGCGTAAAGGAAACTCCGGGGTTATGCAATGCTGGGGTACGGGTATCGTCTCAGCTAAATCATAGCAAGATCTAGGCTTAGGGTCGTCGTGTGTGGTGGACTAGGTAGTATGGAGTTTTGTAGAATATGGAAAATTTCTGATCGTAGGCTGAAGTGGAAGATGGAGTTGGTGGAGTTGATGCAGTTTGCAATGAAACAAATTCTCCAAGATGCCAGCAAGAGAACCCAAAGGTCGAGTCGATTATCGAGAATTGAGTACTCGTACTCCGTAAGAGAACAGAAAAAGGTAAAACAAAAAGAAAAAGACGAGTCTAGATTTGTGTCACGGTTGTCCAAGTATGTGTTACTTGTCACAAGGTCATACAACAAAAAGACCGTCGAGGCTGAGATCTTTGAGATCTTTACAGTAGAGACACACAATGGGAAGAAAGAAGGACCGGAAAAAAAAAGTTGGCGGGAAGAGAGAAAAAAATGGACATCCGGACGTCGGTCCAGATGTATAGTTACGGATACGCCGTCTACGAATTGAAAAGGGATCCGACGATGCTCAGATACGAGTACTAAACTGGGCGGGATCCCGACGACGTCAAGGTCAACAACTAGCCCCCAGCTCTTATGGGGTTAGATGGATTTAGAAGTCGGCAGATCCTATCTCCAAAGGATACGGGAGTACAATGATGAACACTGTGAGATATTTTACTCGTACATAAGTCGGACAAGGCAAATGGGAAAGCTGTCAGAAAACAAACTACTCGTAAGCCCTCGAAACTAATTCGTGAACCCGTACGTTATTTGTAGAAAAGAATGTTGGCGGGCTGTCTTGCTACGAGTAGCAGGTTCTTAAGCGAGGGCGTCTAGAAAAACGGGCAAAAGATCTGTTGGCCCGTTACTCGTAGATCCCTGGGGGTCATGAATCTGGGAAGAAGCGGCGGGAAAAAGCAAGATGATCATGTACTCGTTACAGGTCATACAACGCTGGCCCAGCCAAGGAGCCTCGAATCTGAAACACCGACAGCTTGTCAGAGCTTGGTAGATCAAACCCGGTTCAACCCCCTGGCCGTCCCGACGATATGTCAAGGCGCCACGCAGTACGATGAGGTCAGTCCATGGTCATAGCGATCCCTTCGGAGATGATTGTAGTGTACTCCGTAGTCATCGTCCGGATGATGTATGAACGACCGATCTGCAGGGTATATACAGAGTATTCAGGGGAACATAGACAGGAAAATTCAAGAGTATTCAGAATCAAAGTGCTCTGGACGAGGACCGTCGCCAGTCTCGATTTCCAGAGAAGAGAAAAGAATGTACATATACAGCAACTACTAACACAACTCTCTATCGGGGTATATGATCTGATGTCGCCCATCATCCTCCACTTCTTCTCGAGTGCCCTGCACAAAAACAAAAGGAAATGCTGTCGAGGCTGTTATAATAAAAACTCCAGTCAATGTCCGCCAAGGGGAAAATCCACCAGCAAAGAAGCCAAAAAATCATCATTACGCCCATTAATGTCGTCCTGTCAACCCTGCCAGTGGTAAATCACTCACTGGCCTTCGACTGAAATGAAGAAATCAAAACTGTCATGTCATCAATCGTAATTGGTTCAACTTGGCTTCAGTTTGAGCTCGTGTCCTCCATGATGGAGTCACGTTCTCTCAACGAAGCTACCATAGCGCTCATGGCTGGACCTCCATGGTGGCCCCCACTGGACGTCCTCCGCGAGTGCCGTTGCGAGGACGATCGCAGCGGTACTGTCGCCGACGACGATCGTCCTTTGCTCAATTTGCCGCTTTCCACCTTGTCCCGAATCATTTCGTCCAGCATCTTGGACATTTCATCAACTGTCTTTCTCTTCTTGTCGGTTGGTTTTTGAGGTGAGAGAATCGTTATAGGGCTCGTGGTCAGCGGTGACCGTGGTCCGCTAGACGTCTGTTGGCTTGGGGCTGTGATGCTGCTCAACTGCGAGCTCGAATTGCTGTTGGTGCTTTGATGTCCTTCCGTGTTTCGACTCTGCTTGAATTCACTCGAGGACATCTCTGGTGTCAACTCTGCAATGTCACGCTTACGCACTGCCGACCGCAGGGCAGAAACCGTCCTCTGCAGATCTGAAATCATGGCATCCTTCTCGTCAAGCTGTCTGAGCAGATCGCCCTCATCGCCAGGAGTCTTGTTGAACGCCATGGATACTCGGGAATGGCTTGACCGTCGAGCTTGCAGCAATCTTCTTTCCAATGTCGAAATGTATCGCGTCTTGTCTTGGAGATCCGCCTGCAATGCTCGAACTTGTGCCTGGAGTGTTGCCCGGCCGTCGCCATAGTCTCCTGCCGCCTCTTCATCCTCGTCTGGAACACCTGAGAATGAGAGATGAGCAGACGCGGAGGGCACGTTGCCCATAGATGCAACAGAGGGATGTCGTTTCAGGCCAGGGCTCACCCCCAGGGTAGACTGGCTGGCTGACGATCGCACAGATCGTGAACCTGCAAATTCTGTACCTCCAGAGAGACGCGAGTGCATCCCCAATGCCGAGACAGTGCCGCTGTTGACACCCGTTGACTTGGAACATAGAATCAAACGGTTGAGATGTTCGATACGCTCTTTCAAAGCAGTTCTAGCAAGCTGCATCTCAAGCATCTGTTCTTCATGCCGTTGCTCAGCCTCCTTTTCCAACGCCCGCTCCTCCTTCTCTGCCGCCGACTTCTGCTGTCCTTCCAATTGGGCTCGTAAGTTCTGGATCTCAGTCCGATAACGCTCGAGCAGGCCGGCGTTGACACCGGTACCCATTTCTTCTGCCGCCTTTTTGGCGTTACTGACAATGTTGTTTTTGGCACGAGCGGCAAATTTGAGTGTGTTGAGGGTCTCTCCTGTGTGGTTGTTACCAGCTACGGTGAGACCGACCCCGATTTGTATGGTGCAGAGAATAGACACCAAGGAATTGCCAGACAGTGCTGGCTGGAGAAGTCGGGTCAATTTGCTGTCTCGGTAAGGCAAATGTTTTCCGTCTTTGTCTGTTGGATTCCCATTTTTGTCCTTGTTTCCTGACAACTTGGCGATGACTGTGCCCAGTGTCAGGAGAGACTTGTTGATATGCGCTCCTTCAGCACGGCGTTCCTTGTCTTCGGCTGCTCTTTCTGAGCCTGCAAGATCGATCAAGCTGAGTGTCGAGACTCGAACACCACCTGGTAGCATGGCTACTCGCTTGCCGTTCTCATGCATTGCGCCAGTACCAGGAACTCGTTCACGACTTTCAACAACAATTTGTACCACGGCGTGACTTCGCGAGCTGCGGGAATTGTACTGTGTACTCCCAGTCCGTCGGGCGGTATCTCCACGATGGATAACCCTAAGCAGCTGGGTCGGACTTTGAACGATCTCCTCTTTCAAGGGTGTGGCGTATACACCGCGTTTGCTGTCCTCTCGAAGTTTGATCTCTTCTTGTTGGGCAAGAGGTCCACTTCCTATCGGTTGAGCGAGAAGGTCATGAATCTTCTCGTTATATATTTCAAGATAGCTGACTCGTAGCAGGAATTCTCGATGTGGTGTCTCCCTGATGTAGGAGAAAATATCAGTAATTGCCAGTGGGATGACACCTGGACTGCTCATAGTGCCCTGCATCGAGAACGTTTTGCCTGTGCCCGTCATTCCGTAGGCAAAAACTGTTCCATGATAGCCTTCCATCACACGCCGTACCAATCTTTTGGCGGCAGAATCGTAGACTTTAGCGTTGTCGTCATAGGTGGTGAAAACGTTGTCGTAGTGGTAGTCACCGCCTTCTTTGCCACGATAGGCAACCAAACTTCTTCGCCCGTCTACCATCCATTCTCCCTCAGATTGCCCATTGTTTGTGTTTCCAGAATCTGGTCGAACACGCACACTGACAATAACATTACCCTTGGATTCCTTTCCTTTGGAATTACGTTTTGAATCAACGATTGCCTCGTCCAGGTCTTTTGTGCGGCCTCGACCATCTTCGTCGCAGTCTTCGATAGTGGTCGCGTTGGTTGAGTAGGAACCATTCGCAGACGAACTTCTACTTTGTGGGGGAGAATGAACGCTCGACTGGGCATCTGATGTTCTGTTTCCTGCTCTTGCAGACACGGTCATTCCATCACCTGCCGAGTTCAGCAGGCTTGGTGTCTGTGAAGAACGAAAACTCGCTGCTGTACTCGCTCTCGGGGACTTAGAGGCTCGTTTTTTAATCGACGATGTGGAGGCCATCGAGGCCGATGTGGGCGGTCGTGAATTCGCATTGGGTGGCTGAGGAAATGAGCCAATACTAACGACTTTGCGGATCGATTTGGCTGAAGGAATGCCCGATGGTTTGTCGTTTTCTTTGATTGAAGTAAGATCGGGACTGGATGCCGTAGGCTGCGAGGTAGGTAGAAGCGATGGCCTTGAAGGTGCTTTCAATCGCGAAGGCGGCGGTCCGAGACTTTTTCGCGGCGTCTTGCCTGCGGTAGTCGGGAGGGGAGGTAAAGCACCCGTCGGCGGGTCGGCCAGTGGCCGCGAGGAGAGAACGGGAAGAGACATGCTGATTACACAGTCTGTAAGGATGAGGATTTGGTTGATATAGTGACGAAGCCCTTACGCGGGGTGCACGAACTGCTACCGGCTTCGTGCAGCCTGTGCCAGAACAAGGCTCGCAATAGGGAGGTTCTTTGCTTTTTGAGTGATGTTCGCTGAGGGTACGGCCAGAGGTCGCTCACGCACAGACCAATGTGCGTAGTCGGGACTTTCCACGTTGACTCAATGCCAAACGCGATTACCCCGAGGTTGGGGAGTACTCCTGTCAAGTGTTGCAGACAAGGAAGCTGAAGTCGCGCTGGTGATCGTCACATAGCCACACAGAGCGATCGATCCTTCTTTGATATTTCCACCAACTGTTGACCCCTCACCATGTGTATACTGCATGAACGGGCCTGCTCTTTGAGGCCCTCTGGAGTGCAACTGGATACGGGCTGGTTGTCGAGGAGAAGGTGATGTTGACCAAAATTTTAGAGAGATACAGGCAAGGAGGGACAGGGCGCAGGAGGTTGTCGACCATGGGTACGGGGAGGAGATCACTTCACACCATTCAGATGGCCAGGATCGAGGTAGTTTGATAGGGACCGTGCCGGCGTTGCTGCTAGGGTTTAGCTCCCCTGCTGATGATGCTCGCAATCCTCGTCGCCGGAGTGCCCGTGGCAGCAGCTAACGACAGAAATGCACAAGCGTCCGGGCTAGCTGCAGGCACCGGGACAAGCAAATTGAAAGGGCTACGAGGGATTGGTACCAGGGGGATTGGTTGTTCGCACGCAGGACAGGCATTCTTTTACTCGCAGGTACCTAAGACTTGTGGGCTCCAGCATGCTTGGTCCCTGGACAAGTGCCCCCTCGTCGGGAATGGCGTCCATCAAGAATGTGTCAAATTGCTTTCTGGCAGGGGTTCTCCTTTAGCAGCCACTCGTGTCTTCGCCTTCACCAAACACCTCTGTAGCCACTCTCCACGCCGTGTCCCCAGGGCCGGCATTCCTATCGCCAGCTACTCTCATTGGTCTTGCACCCTGTTTTATCAATCGAAATTCACGTCTACACAGGTGATCATCACAGCTTGTCGTGTGGCCGGACTGTGAGAAATGCCCAAGTCTAAGCTACCTACGCCGTAAGCCCTCGCGAGTCTGCCATGGTGCAACCTCGAGAAGCCACTTGACACCATGCCTGTTCAGTAGCATGGCGCGATTCTACGTTCAGTCTGTCGTCGGGGGCGTCGGTATTCCTGCTTCTCCTTGACTTGGGCTTGCGTCGTTGTTGCCTCCCCTCCTCGCCCCTCTAAAAGAGCAAAATTTTCTAAGCGATCAGATGCGACGACCTACGCGTGGTTAAGAAAGACACAAATTCAACCATCTTTTCGCGTCGATCCAGATAATGCACGAGGTAACAAGAACATGGACCACAGATATGGATATGGACCTTCGAAACGCAGGTGAATTCTATGATTGTCCCAGGATGGAGTCTGGTCCGGCCAGAGCAGAATTTCGCCCATGAACTCCAAGGAGAATTTTACCCAGCCCCTGTCGACGCCAATCTTGTGTGGCTTCGACCTAATGCTTTCCCCGGCCGCTTCCCTGGTAATCCGCTCGGTTGGTTATCCATCACCCACACTGGAAGCACTGTTGGCTCACAACCGAAAACAACCTCATCTCGGTCCAAGTTGGGTCTATACTACATTCAGCATCTCGTCACTGCTTCGTAGGACTGTGTTGTTGATCTAAGAGTACAGACGAAAGACCAGTATCCATACAGCGTCCCAGTCATTGTGGAAGCACGTACTCAGAACGGAGTACGTAGCCACCAATTTTCTCGCCTCATCCGGCTCGAAGCCAAATGGAGGCCACCAAAGTTTGACCGTGATAGCAAGCAGAGTTCGAATGCTTCATGCCACTTCTACAGGTGACTATGGAGTCGTCACGTTCCACAAGTCGCAACCAAACAGCCTACCGTATGGAGTATCCGGCTTCATAGCGTTTCTTGAGGTAACTATACCACAGCTCTTGCTGTACAGTACGGTGTACAGTAGGTAAGAATCCGTACTGACTATCTTAGCGTACCACGCACACGGAGCGAGCAAGAGGAAAAAGCATTGATAACCTTCTTTTGAAGCCGCACTCAAAGAGCTGCTCGCTTCTATCTATACCCCTGATACGTTCTTGACTTTGTATGTATGGAATAATGAGACACTGACCATTCTGCTCTGAATCTTCTTCACTATTGTCCTGTCCATGACCTTGCTCAAACATTCCAAGCACTACGGATATTCAAGTCCGGTATCAGAACTTCGTTGATCCTAGGTATATGATGTTCTTGGAGCTACCCAACATGAAACTTGGAGGAGGTACCCTAACTGCCGAAATTGTTAATGTGATAGTGGCTGCATTTTTCACAATGTGTCTCCATGGTATAATTATTGTGTGCAGACTTCCAGACACTCTACAACTACACATCTATCAACATACTCCCCATCCCACCTCACGAGCCTTGCGATGGAGCAAATTTGATCAGATAAATCTATACTTCTCAAGACCCGATGTGAGCATCCCGTTGCTCCAATGTTCGAGAACATAACTGAGACAGAGCCGAAACTCCCGAAACTTCACAGCTAGCGGCCCCCAACGCAGCACACTCCAGGTCCAGGGTACGAGCTACCCTTGTCAGGGTGCGAGTCCAGGGTACAAGGTACAATGTACGAACGCGTGTAGAGGTAGCGAGTCTGTGACATCGATAATGCCATGGCTCTCCAGACTATTGCTGATAGGAAAATCCGCACATTTGTTACTGTCCATCAGTGCCCTCCTCGCCTCAATATGCTTTGTCGTCGCCCTTTCTAGCCAGTGGCCTTCGGGAAGTCAAGGATAAGTCGTTCCGGGCTCGGTTCTAAAGTATGGTTTTCCTAGCAAGTGACTTTTGACTGCTTGTGAGCATGTTGCAATGAGCTACACATCATAAACACTATCTGTCCTACAAGCTTCACCTTGTGATGTTAGACCTTTATTATACACCCGCCTGCTAGCCGCTGCTGTAAAGAAGTGCCCTAAGCCTATGCAAAGCAACGGGGAATCGACCTTGGGTTTTGGTTTTCGCATGTGATGTTACATTGTACACTGTCCAGATGACTATGGCAACCACGCCCAGTCTCTTCGAACGTCCTGATCATCTTATTAAGACTATCTTTTCTTGTTTTCTTCCACCCTCATCTTATGCAGCGTTTCTGCTCTCCGTCTCTCACCACCATGCACCTTGTGACCTCTCTTGTGTTCCCAGAGACCTTCGACTGCCTTCAAGACAACGCCACTGCCATAAGTGCCTTTCAGAGGATGGGCTTGCTTGCCCTTGATGATGTATCCATTCTTGAGTGTGAAGCCCCTAGGCTTCTTCAAGTCTGCCGTTGTCTGGCCGGGTAGGAGGGCATAGGTTGGTGATCCATTCGGGACATTGACGATCAGCTTCTGCATCCCAGGGCTCCTGCTTGTCGACACCGGGCCGGCCAATGGCTCGCCCGTCACAGGATCTCTTTTCAGTGTTGGCACTTCTACCACTCTCAGCTCTGCAACGCCGTCTTGCACGTGTTGTAGGTCTCCGCCGATGCCGTAGTCCCCTTTTCGAAATTTCTCTCGCCACCGCAGTAGATATCTTCGCGTCCGAGGCGGGTCAATTCCTCTCTCCTTCAATTGGGGCGACGACAGCGTGAATAGTTCATCCCATGATCCGATCTTGGTCTCGTGCTTCGACATGTCGCGGCCAATGAGTTTGAGGAATGTCGACACATCGGGAACAAAGGGCGTTGGAGGCGGGACGCGGCCATCCTCAGGAATGCCGCGATGTAGTTGGCGGCGGCATGGCTGGCATATGTAGGACTGTGGTGCAGTTACTGGAGCTGATGGTCGGAGGAACGATGTGAGAATTGAAGAAGTTTGGCGCGGTGGTCGCGCGAACATCTTTGGTGCTTTATCGACTACAGTGTGGGCGGAGAATATCAGAGTAATAGTAAAATGGAAATCCGAGTTGAATTTCAGCTTCGCGAGCTCGCAGTCGTGAAATGTGAGGGTAAACAAATTTCTCTGCTGTAGAGGCTGCTCCGAACGAGCTGTAACTTTCAAACCTGAACTCCGCAGATTTATGCCAAGCCAAGGCTGAAAAGACGCCAAGACGACAGCCTCGTCGTGTCATGGGCTTTTGATGTCCACGGACGGAGAGTACAAGAGATCATGACAAGACCGCTTGCTGTTCTCGCATTGGGGGCTCTCTCCTCGCAACTACAGGTACCTTCTCATACGGAATTGAAGCTAAGCGCCTTGAACATACGTGTCAAGCAAAGAGTTGGGCAGAGTTTGACGTAGAGAATTCTTACGATCCTTCCTTCAACTCCCTCTCTTTTCAACACAAGTTCAAGATGGCGCCCGCCTCCAACACTGTATCGCCGCTTATGCCGCGGTCCCCTTCTAATATCAATGCAAATATGTCGCCATCCAGAGCAAAGCTGTTGGCCATGCGAAGCACAACGTCAAAACCACATACTGTGCAAGCAGTGCCACCACCTCCTAAACCAAGTGCTGACTTCGACATGGCTGAACAAATGAACCAAGAAATCAGCAACAAGTATGTCAAAGGTCCGTCAAGCTGGCTGTGTGGCTCATGATGATGTGTATTGATCTGTTCTACAGGCAAGAAACTAGGTGAAGGTACCTATGCCATTGTCTACAAAGGGCATCTACGATCAGATCCACACAAACTAGTGGCAATCAAGAAATTCAAAGTCGACCCTTCGCAACAGAGAGAAGGGTTGAACGTCGACACTATACGAGAAATCAAGTATCTGCAGGAAATCTCGCACCCTAGCATCGTTGCCCTGTTAGATGTGTTCTCTTCCAAGGACCAAAACATCAACATGGTCATCGAGTACTTTCCCAACGGCAATCTCGAAGAACTCATCCGCGACAAAACTGTGAGTTACGGAGCTGCGGACGTCAAAGCCTGGATGGGCATGCTCTGTCGGGCCATCTACTACTGCCACTCGAACTTCGTCTTGCACCGAGATATCAAGCCTAACAATCTACTCATTGCTGCCGACGGAGAAGTTAAACTTGCCGACTTTGGTCTCGCTCGTTCATTTGGAGATCCACGGTATCAGATGACTTCTAATGTCATCACGTTGTGGTATCGACCTCCGGAATTACTCTTTGGGGCACGACAGTACAGCGGCGCCGTTGATATGTGGAGTATCGGCATGGTATTTGCGGAATTACTCATTCGCAGGCCTTACGCCGCGGCAGATGTGGCTAATCAGGAAGTCCTGGCGACAGGAGGGGGGACCGTCGCACAGCTTGACAAAATCTGCGAAGCCGTGGGGACACCCAATGAGGACAACTGGCCTGGGGTCTCCAAGCTCCGGGACTATTTCGACTTGGAGAAGAAGATTCCGGTTCGAGATAAGTCGTTTTACATGGTCATGTTCCCAACGGCGGGATCTGTGGGTGTTGACCTCCTGATGGCCATGCTGAAGCTGGATCCACGAAACCGAACCACGGCCCAAGGTGCTTTAGAGCATGAGTGGTGGCAGATCGATCCGAGACCGACCGATAAGGAGAATCTACCCAAACAAGGAGGTGGTGCTTCGAAGATGGCCGCAGCAGAGACTGCTGCTCCTGGGGCCGTGGTGGATGAGAACAAGTTCAAGGGTGTCGCTAAGAAATTGGACTTCGGGGCCGCCAGAAAGTGAAGTATGATGACACGAGAATTTATGGGTGTCCGACTTTACGCCACAGGACGCTAGCACCGCATTGTGATGTCCTTGGGCAAGCACAAGATTGCTCGCGAATTGGACGGACACACCGTCATCCCAGAGGGCTCACCTTGCAGAAGCCTACGATGCCTAGGATGCGAGTGGTATATAATACGAGACAGTGGCCAGGTGCACGCGTTCCGGGCAACGGTCTCGAATACGCCACAGCCGATTCTGATGGGTGGCGCTTTACTCGCGCGTTCACTACAACGAGTGGCGAAATGCAGCGCATGGAGACGTCGAGGACAATTTAGGCGTTGTCGAACGACGGGGATGAACGTTCAGATCCGGCGTCTTCATACCGAAATGGGGTTGGATGTATTGGTCATCAATGCCATGAAAGGACATCGGAGTGAGCTGTCCATCAGCTTGGTCGTCATGTGCGAGAAGTGGCGGATCTTCTCAGTGCTACGTTGCATATAATTGATCCAGACAACATGACTTGACACACGTCATCAAAGCAAGCGCCAGACGAAGGCAGAGCTATACGGAGTACAGCTTTGCACAATGTGCTTGATGACGTCTAATGACAACTATTCCCGGGATACCTAAAGGGGACACACGAAGGAATGCTGAAGATGGGCGAAGTCTCTAAAGTTTCCCAGATTCTCGGGACGTGAAACAGAGGGAAAATCGAGTGCAAGCCATCCCCGAGGCTACTTTTCGGTCGTAGTCGTACCTTTTGATCGCAATACAATACGAGCTGCCATCTCAGTGACTGGGTATATGAGCCGATAGTACATATCATGAGAATTGACAGGTTTATCTCCTTTACACACTCATCTCGCAAGTGCTCTCTCCGGGAGAATGCCAACAGCCTTCCAAAAGTCCCTTGAATCCAGCTTCTTGCCCAACTGTGAGACCGGTCTAGGCAAAGCATGTAGCTCCTTCTCGTCCATCAACTCCATCAGCCACCGTCTGTACTTTGCTTTGTTGTCCGCATCCTCAACAACGACGCCCTGCGGTGTGTCTTCGCGACTACTTTCTCCCATAAACTCCCATATCAAAGCCCACCAGTCGTAGACGACGCAGTCTGTCAGGATCCATCTTCGGCCAAACAGCTCCACATGACGGTCACGCTGGTCAACGGCGTCGTCGTCGTTCGATTTGTCGTTCATATCCTTCTTGATCAGAGCGATGACCCCCCTCGCGACGTCCCTGCCGTGAATCAAGTGCAAGGCACCCTTCTTGGAAAGCGCGTCCTTGTCCTGTGCGACTCTGCCGACCCAGTTTCTCGGAACCCTACCACCGCCGTACAATCCAGATAGATTCAGCACACACCCACCGAGATCGATGAGCTGATTTTCGGCAATGCAACGTTGGTTGTCTGTATCGACGGGCGACGATGGATCGTTCCAGTCTGATTGTGTATATATGCCCGTCGAACCCAGCAGGATCCATTTCGTCTGGGTGTGCCGCTCCTTCTCTTCCTCCTCCGACTTTGACGAGTTTGATTGTGGATGGTGAGTTTCAGAGTACAACTTGACCAACTTGGACGACAATCCTGAACCCCTCAGGGGAAAGGTGACGAGCACGTATCTTGCAGTGGGTAACTTCTTGAACTGGTCCGGGTCTGCCGTTTCATGGTCGAATTTGAATCGAATGGTGCCTTCGCGTCCTGTCGTGCTGGTGGCTGCAAATGTCATGTTTGAGTCCTTCAGCAACGGCTGTAGGAACTGCCATGTCCATCCCGCGCCTAGAACCAGAAGTGTGACCTTTTGAGACGGCGAGGAGTTTAGGCGGAGTGTCATAGCGTGCGTTGTCGTAATCAAGATGTTGATATATTTTCCTTCATGTTGTAGTTATTGGGAGACTAAGAAGAACACTCTAAGAAAAGGCTTCCTTCGTGGTCCTCGTCGTGAGAATTTGTCAAAAACTACCTTTTCTCGGCGGTTCTGATGGTCATGATATCATTTCAAGAGGGCATCCAAATGTTTTTCCCCCTCTTAATTTCTTCTCAAGTTGAAGTGTCTTCTACCTGCTAAACAATTCATACAATTTTATTGAGGAGGCGTGTAACCGTGATTGAACTGTTCATGATTTTACGGCAATACGTATCTACATAGCAACTCCATACTCCGTGTAGATGATTATGGGAGTGATCGTTCCCTCTTATGATCCATACTCTTACCGTCCTTGTACTCCTCCTCGTCCGTCAGTTTCGACCGACACCGTTTCGTCCTTGGCGAAACGGCATTGCCCAAGCACCAAAACGGCCAATAATCCCGCAGCCTCTGCAAAGTCGATGCGAATACGAGAGCGAGAGGGGTCGATGGGGACTTACCTTCTTCAAGCAACCTACATGGTGTGTTGCCTGAGGCATACTTGTGGTGGTGCTTCTCCCATGGACGCGAAGGATTACGAGTCAAACCGACCCTACCCATGGAAATAGCGCTCGAGGTGCCGAAGCGATAAACGTTGGACAAGACGCATCAACACGGAGATAAGTTTCGACTCGCAGTCAGCCTCTTTTTGGCCGTGACTTTTGACCTACGAGTTCATACCTATCGACCTTTTGACCATTTCCCCTTTCACTTGAACCTCGACCAGAACTCCCTTTTCGCTTTTGGAGAAACTTGAAAAGTCGACCAAAATCCCCTCGGTGCACAATTGTGGTCACACACGTACACCTAGGTAGTAATTGTCCCATTTTCACCTACCAAACACCTGTTGCTAGGCATCAACGACCAATGGACTCTACCCAAGTCAACCTCGGAACGCCATGTGGCCAACTCGTGGCACCGTCGTTACCGGGAGCGGAGGTTCTTGGAATCTCGTCGGTCGAGGTGCACAACTACAGCTTCCCGGCGGTGGCCATCTTCAATGCCCCCGCGGTCACGAACCTCGACTTTTGTAACGTCAGCTTGAGCCTCCGACACACCGGGGCCGACGACACGGTCTACGTCGACGTCTGGCTCCCCCTCCAGCGGGAGGACTGGAACGGCAGGTACCAAGCCACGGGCGGAGGCGGGTTGGCGGCCGGCATGGGGCCTCTCATCATGTCCGGCCAGGTGGCCGACGGGTACGCGGCGTCGGCCACGGACGGGGGGCTGACCAAGAACGGGACCGTCGACCCCCAGAGCGGGCGGTGGGCGTTGAGGGAGGAAGACGGCAGGCCGGACGACGACCTCCAGCTCAACCTGGCCTGGAGGTCCATCCACGACATGGCCGTGGTGTCCAAGGACGTCATCAGGCAGTTCTACGGTGCCGGCCCCGACTACTCGTACTGGAACGGGTGTTCGCAAGGCGGCCGCCAAGGTTACGCCGCGGCCGCAAAGTACCCTCGCGACTTTGACGGGATCTTGGCCGTCGCCCCGGCCATCGACCTGCCGTCCATGGTCTCCTCGGATTACTACCCTCCCGTGGTCCTGCGCAATTCCGCCGAGATCCCCCCCGAGTGCATCTTGACGGAATTCCAAAGGGCCATTGTCGAAGCGTGCGACCCCCTCGACGGAGTGTCCGACGGCCTCATCTCCACCCCCGAGAGTCTTGAAAGGTGTTCGTTGGAGTTTGACCCGGACGCGCTGGTCGGCAAGACCATCGCGTGCGACGAGGACTGCGTCGACCGAGACCCGTTCGCGGGTTGGGTCAAGGTCCCTTGCCGCAAGACGGGCGAGGAGGTGACCATCACGAGCAATCACGCCGACATCGTCCGCAAACTTCTCGCGGGACCCCACACGGCCGATGGGAAAAGTCGTCTCTGGTACGGTATGGCCCCGGGTGCGGACTTTGACGCCCTCGCTCGCGTGGTGGTGGTGACGGACCCTGACGACGAAAATCACACCCGACGCGAGGTCGCCCCCTTTGTCGTGGCCGAGAACTGGCTCAAGTACTTTGCGTTGCGGGACCCGACTTACGACATGACCGAGATGACACACGACGACTACGTCCACGCCCACAAAATGTCAGTCGACCGCCTCACTCCGCTCTGGGGTAACCGACAACTCGACCTTTCCGAGTTCAGTCGGTCCGGTGGCAAACTCCTGACCTGGTTCGGGTTGGCCGACGAGTACATCACGCCGTTCGGCATGATGAGGTTTCGCGAGGGCCTACAAGAAACGTTCGGGGGACCCGACGCCGTCGACGAGTGGTACCGTCTGTTCTTCGCTCCCGGCGTGGGTCACTGTGCGGGTGGTGTCGGCCCCAACCCGGTCGACCCCTTGGGGGCGCTGGTGTCTTGGGTCGAGCGGAACAAAGCCCCCGACGTCTTGTCGGCGGCCAAGAGGACCGACGAAGGAGTCCGAGTGTCGAGAAACTTGTGCAGGTTCCCCAAAAAGTTGGTGTACAAAAAGGGAGACGTCAACGACGCGAGTAGTTTTACTTGTGAGGAGGAGAAAGAGGAATCTCTAGCTGGTGGAGGTGGTGATGATAATGATGATAAACGACAACGACATGAGGAGCTTTGAAGAAACTCAAGCTACAAAAAGTGAAACCAGAAAACAAGAACAACAAATTTCTCTCTTGCCAGCTACTACTCAGTACCTCTTTGCTTTGCTTCTACTCCGGAGGGACGAGTGTCTTTTACTTCTTTGGCCACCACCTCATCCAACGTGTGTCACGGAATAATAAAAGAGAAATTCCCTCGGAAAGATATAAATATTCAAAAACCTATCAACTGATCCACAGACCTTTACTTTAGTATGAGCACTATGCCACTCAATTCCTTCCTTCCTTCCTTGCGTCCTGGTCCTTGCCACCCAATACCCAAAATACCGATATCAGTTAAATAGCCAAATACCAAAATCTCACGCGACATGAATGATACCTTCCAGTGCACACACACACACACACACAAACAACAATATAATGATTTGCCCAGCTTTCTGTCCCTCCTTGTTTTGTTTCTGATGGATGTTTCGAGTTGCCTCGGGTTTTCTTTTACATTCTCGGTCGTAGCTAACCAACGTATGCTGAATACTGTAGCTCGTAAAGCGAGGTGGTGGGTCATGATTTTCGATGACATCCTGTCCCAGTTTGTCGTCGCAGATCCATGTGTCTGATAACTCAACCCCACAATTCCTCCTGTGACGGAACAAGATCAGGACCTCCGTACTTGTTGTTGGGCCTTTGCTGCTCCGGTGGTGTCGAGACTTGATGGTACTTGTTTTCGGATTTCTTGACGGTCGTCGTCACCAAGTTGACGATACTCTCCTTGACGCCGTTCGGCTCGCTCTGAGCTTGTTCCGCCTCCACGTCCCTACCGATGGCCTTGTAATCCTGCAACACGCCGGCGTAGAATCCTTGACCGGCGGGGGCAGCTCCGGCGCGGCCGTTCCATCCCTTTCGGGACTCGAAATAAACCTCGTCCGTCTCGGTCTCTATGTCTGTGGTCTCATCCGCAGAGGTTCCATCGTCGACGTCAGTAGTGGTGTAAGTCGAATCTGTCGGGGATGGATCGTTGTTGCTTCCGGGGGAGCTCTTTGCTGCTGCTGCTTTCTCACGGGCAGCCCACGGGAAAGTAAAGTCTTCTCTGGGACTTGCACGTCGTCTGACCGGCTCTTGAGATGCGGCCCGTCGGGAAAATTCACCAGAGATGCGACGACGACTGAAGGGTTCGCGTGAGGCTGCTCGGCGGGCCGTGCGTACGGGTGACAGGCCACGTCGACTGGAAGGTCCACGAATATGTGCTTGGGTTGGACTTCGGTCGAGGGTCTTGGAGCCCTCGACGACCGAGTCGCTATTCAATGCTCGCCTGTTGGACGCAACTGGAGTGCCAACTTCCTGAGAAATGGGTCCTCGTGATTGTGCACGCATTGCACTTGGGTTGGGAGAAACGGCGCGACGCATAGTCGGTTCTCTAGAACGGGCACGTCGGCTTAGGAGATCTGATGTGTCGACCAACCGAACATCTGGTTCTCTTGACAAGGAACGCCGTGGCTCTGGCTCGCGAGACAAAGCCCGCCGACGAGTGGGTGAACTGGTCCGAAGACCAGGTTCGCGGGACAATGCTCTCCTGTGGGATGTCTCTCCGAGTGCCACTCGACGAGAAACCGGCTCTTGCGAAGCTGATCTGCGTTCTGACGTGCCACGACCTTCCCTGACAGTTTGCTCCGGTGATCCACGAGATGCCGTTCTCATGTACGCGACATCAGCAAGACTTGGACCACGAGAAGCTGAGCGAGGAGGGTCTCTAGTTGTACCTCGAGAAGAAGTCCGTGGAATGTCCGTGCCAGAAACCTCGATAGGACTGTTGACTCTGGAGGGTGGAAGAGAGGCAGGAGTAGCGGAACGTGAGCTGCTGGCAAGAGTAAAGGTATGCCCCGCCACGTTAATCACCTCTTCGTTGTTCGCAGGAGCCGGTATTGCCGCATCGATATGTTTGGCGATCGGGGTATTGTCCATCGGAGTGGCATTATTGCTCTCCGAAAGACCATTATACTTCTCTGCAACAGGACTGAGGACGGAGATGGCCGAGGCTGGCTGGCTCTTGTTTGGGGGCACAGAAGTCTGGATAGGTGGGAGTCGACTCATTGCGTAGCCTTTTTCTGGGAAAGCGGCTCTGGTGAAGAAGGTACTAACATCATCATAGACCGGTGACGTTGTGTGTATAACAGGAGACTGCGCACCAGGTCCCTCTGATGCTGGCCGGGCTTCTGCAACAATGACTTCGTCAACGTTGGTTGAGACGGATGTAAGAGCTGGTCTCGCCTCAGCTGTGATGGTTCTCTCAGGTTGAGGGGCCTGGAAGTGGACGACATTGTTCGATGCTGAGCGACGGTGTTCCTTCTTCCGAGACCATGGTAAAGGGATAGTGATCGTGATAGCGTTTCGCTCCTTTTGAACGAATGGGGGCGTTGGTTGACGGATTTCTTCAATGGCAATGGAATCCATCTTCAACCCGTCGATGCTCAGATCGGGGGAAGTGTTGACCAGTGTTTTCTGGGAGTCGGGACTGCCATGGGCCTGATAGACTGGATTGTTGAAGTCATTGTCGGCATACTGCTGAGCCCATCCACCGTCATGAGGGGCCGAGATGGCACTGTCACCCCACCTAGCATGCAAAGGCTTCCCAGCGTCTGATCGAGACCGTGATGGTCGACGTCGGGAAGTCATCAATCCTTCAAAGACTGAAGCCATGGTCGAACGCGTTGATTATCCTGGAGAAATACAATGGACGACGGCTTGGAACTGGATCGAAACAAGTTGGAAATCTGATGTTTTGTGACAATAAACGTCTGGCAACAGGATGAGAGATCCGGGAGAGAAGCAATGGGTGGGATTGCTCTGTTCTTGGGCCGGCCCGTAGACAAAGTACCACCAGCATTGGGCGGCTATACTGGCAGAGAAATTCGAAACGTAAAGAGATATCAACAAAGGAAAGATGCTGGTATGAAAGGTTCTTCTTCTCAAGGTCTGAAACCTTGAACGATTGAGAAATATAGCAGAGTATGTAGTGGCACACGAGGCGAAATGTACTTTGGGAAGAACTGAGCGTCCTTACCTAAACAGTACATTGTATGCAGTACAACAATAGCAAAGGTCTAGCCGAAGCCTATTCTTCACCAGCTTGGGGGTGATGCCACTGAGATGCTGAAGATAGAATTCGGCTGCAAGGCACCATCAAGGAAGCGAACAGAGGTTGAACTGACATTGGAGAGTGGTTGGTGAGGCGTTTCGCTACATGGCTTCATTGGATCGCAATGAGAGATGAGACGCATAACATGCAGGGGCAGACCAGGCAAGGGTGTGCAGTGTGATGGACGAATGGATGGTTTGTTGTGAGGCTGTTAAGCGCCGACGTTGACAGCGAAGCAGATGTGGTGGTAGAAATAGCAAGAGTGTGGGAGGCGATGGTGAAGATGACAGTCGACAAGGATTAGGCGGGGTTTATAGGCGTTGGCAGGCAATCATTGGGCACTCTGAGTTCATCTAGGGCGTTTCTAGGCTTCTAATGGGCTAGTCGACACACACCTTCAACTGCTGTAGCTGCTTCCCCGTCGCATCCATTGGTGCCGTCTATTTTTATTCCTGCCAAAAGCGCCTCTCTACTTCTCCAATCACTTCGATCGGTGCTCGGCGCCTACCAATGCTGTACCTATTGTAAAGATACCAAATATGGTGTTGGTACTGTAAGTGTCGTGTTGTGTACTGTACAAGCATTCTATGGATGAGGTAGAATTACTTTGTGTCATACTATCAATTTGACAAGATTCTGGCTATGGAGCAGTGGTCTGAGGTTGGCAACTTAGCACGCGACCCATTCCATTCGGTCACTTTCTCAAAGACACCCTTTCTCGTATGGCCAGCTCTTGATCGTGAAACGTTGACCAAGCGCCCTCAACGCGACTGACTCAGGCACTGAAATGCAATGCCTTGAAAGGCATCGACGCTCTCTCACCATTGCCAGTATCTTCCACCGACCGAGCCACATATCAAGACTAGACTGCGTTCGTTCACACGCATGGCCTTCCTGTTGTAAGGTTTCAATGTCGTCCGAGACCCATCCTTCCCAGAGATGCGTCTATCAGGGGATATACGGGTGACCCTTCCTTGTCATCGTCGCACAAGTCGAAATAGCCACGAGGGGCCAAGCTGCGAGGCGCAATGGCCAGTGCCCGACCTGATGTTGTTCAGCTTCAAACCCTCACATAGGTCACTCTGGGACTACTCACCTTGGACACCAGGGTCAGTCACAATCCTCATCACAGCTTCAGCTGCATCCTCAACTGTCGCCCATTCAATGTTGCCCTTTTCCAAAAGCTGGACAAGTTCGTCGTTGACTATTTTGGTGTGTACAAAGCTGGGTGCAATGTAACACACTCGAATATTGTGTTGAAACTCCGTCACACGCAAGGTTCTGAATGTCCCACGTAGGCCCCATTTAGAAGCCACGTACTCGACAGCTTCAGGAAGTTGAATAAATCCGGCCAGACTCCCTTGCAGGATCAGTACTTGGTCGAGGTCAGTGCCCTTGTTCGATGCATTCTGTCGACGAAAGTAGTGGAGGGCAAGTTTGACCGTGTAGAGAGCACCGGTGAGGTTGACGGTCAGTATCTTCAGCTTAGGTTCTTCTGGCTCTGCATCCTCCACTATTCAGTTGTCCACCTTGTCAGTATTTTGTACAGCGGTAGATTTGTTTCAACTTCTTTCTGCTTACCTTTGGTAGAGAAGATCGTATCTGGTGGTCCTCCGATTCCCGCATTGGCAAGGACGATATCAATCCGCCCAGAGGGCGACGATGCGGCGGCCTCCTTGAAAGTAGCCACTTGGTTTGCCCAGCTTGATACATCGCATTTTACAAAACGGACCGAGCTGAGACAGGATTAATGAATGAATTTGTCTTGCTCGACGGAAAACTCGTAGCTAACCTGCCAAGTTCCTTGCATAATTTCTCGCCATCCCCTTCGGCGACATCAGCAATGACGACAAATGCTCTGGACAATATTCAGTACATCAGTCCGTTCGATGTAGGAGTACACACCCTGCTTTCGACAGAGCACGAACGTAAGCCTCGCCAATGCCGTTGGACCCTAATAACAACAATGTGTCAGCAAAAGAATCACGGCCAGTTTCAATCGTATTCTACCTCCAGTCACAATGGCCGTTTTCCCTTTGACGTTAGTGGTGTCAATGTCAACATCACAATTGATGGGGCCTTCGTCGGTATATGGCTTCATGGTGTTTTACGGTATAAGTATGTGTAGTCTGTATAGTGTAGGTCTTGGTGATAGTACTCGCGCCTCGAAGTAGAATGGGATGACCAGTATGTATGCACTCGCTGTTTACGACACTCGGAGAACTGTGGTAAATAAGGGATTCTTCGGCCTGCACCTCCACCTCGTATTTTGTGCCCACCTGGACTAGTGCTGATACAACGAATCACTCGTCCTGTAAGACTTTCTCGTCGGTCGTTGCGTACTCGTTTGTCAGGCATAAATCTAGTACCCAGATCGTGTTTAAGGCCCGCAACCTACTGGAGTACGAATGCCGAGGTTCAGACGAAAAAATCCAGGTTAACGAGGGGACACAGACACAGACATCAAATATGTGTTTTGCTGGTATCCCTCAGGGAAGACCGAAGGTTCGGTCCGAGAAGGGTGACTCGAACGCTGCGACTCGAAATATACTGACCATGTCGCTGAACTTTGGTTTGGGGAAACTCGTGGAGAGTCGGCGAGCCAAGAAGATCGAGGAGACTAATAAGGTAGTGGACCGTATGACGGCCGCAACCGAACCCCAGAATATATTGAAATAGAAACTATTGACTATTCGATGTTTGTCTAGTCAATTCCTATAGAATTTGAACTCGCTCAACATGATAGGTTTGTCCATGCTAGTCATCACGGCCATGACCGATTTGAGAAGGCTCTCATTCGCCAACTAGTCTTGCGAGGCACTCATCACCAATTGACTAGACTAGTAACCCGGTCCTATTGCGCCTGGGGAGCGAAAATGCCTCAGGAATGCCATGGAAAAGGTCGTCGACCATTGCAACGACTAACAGGCAATGAACAGAGGTCTTTGGAGGCTAAATCCGACGGCCGCAACATTTTCACAGACTGTGAAGCCTGTAATGTCCACCTGTGCCGGAAGGGTATATGCTATACTAGTTACCATGCCCCTCGAGTTTTGGAAGGAGTGTAAGCCCGGTCGTCACGGATACTTGTTCTATCGTTTCGATATTCATCAAAAATGAATCGAATGGCTCTAGGTAAAGAGATAGACTTGTGAATTGACACACTCCTAGGCATTACAGCATCATTGCAACTCGACGTGGCCGTCACATCACCTCCAATGGCTCTGCTACATGAATTTTGGTGGTTCAAAAACATGTTCCCGGTCGTGTTTCACCTTTCGCAACAGCCCTCTGCCGGCATTGCGCAAAGCGTGCGCACGAAAAAGAAAAGGATTGGTTCTAATCCATATACTTTTTCAAAAAGGACAGCGCCTTTTCGGGGTGGCGGCCGAACCAGTTGTAGCCGTCCTCGAAGCGTTTCGTCGTGCCCTCGATCCAGTAAAGTTCCTTGTCGCGGCTGGCCAGGGCGTCAAAGGTACTCTGGGCGTCGGACGGATTCTCGATGATGGCGTCGTCGTGGACCTGCCACATGAGAACGGGGAGCTTGACGTTGGGCGCCCACAACTTGCCCGACATGTCGGAGGCGGGGAAACCTCCCAGCTTGAGGAGTTCCAGGTCGATGAGTTCCTGGTACTGGCTGATGCCCTGGGGCCCGGACAGCTTGGAAAAGACCGCCGACATGTTGGGCACGAGGGGGCTACACATGCAGCGGATGTCGTCAAACAGCTCGGGCCGCTTGGTGATGGCTGCGTACTGCGAAATGCCACCCAGGCACTGACTGAACAAGGCCTTTTTCATGCGGCCGAGGCGCGGGTGTGTGTCAACGAAGCTTTTTACGCCGACGCAGTCGCGCCACTCCCACTGGCCGATACCTGACACTCCCCCGTTGGCCGCGCCGCTCTGGCCGTGGTTGCGAAGGTCGTACGTCAAGACGTTGTAACCTGCGTCGGTCAGGTGTTTGTACTGCACGACAAAGTCAATCTCGACTGGCTCGATGAAATCGCTCCACGGCGGGCCCATGTGGCCCGGGTAGCCAGCCCGGCACATGGGCAACGCGTGGTTGAAGATGACCAGCCGATCACTCTCGCCGCCACGAGCCGGAATGTACCACGCCTCGAGCGGCGTCCCATCATCCGACTTGATGGAAATGTCGTACCATCCCTTCATGCCGTACTCGTCGGGGTTCTTAAAGATGAAGCTCCGGGGCATCTTGACCATGCCTGCCAGCGCCTTGACCTTGTCGTGATCCTCTGCCGAGATGGTCCTTTCCTGCGCCTGGGCGGTTTGCATCCGTTCTTTCGAAATGCCAGTCATGGTTTTTGCTGGTGTGGTGTGTTTCAGGATCAACTGATGGTGAGCTTGCTGCGAAGGGGTAGAAAGGGAAACAGAGATGCTATCGAGGGGGGAGTCGAATAGGTATACTTCCAACTATATAGAGGGTATAGTCACTTCTCGGACTAGCTCATCGCGGATTAGCTCTTCGGATTAGCGCTTCGGACTAGCTCTTCGGATCAACGACTCGGACTTAGGATTAGCTACTACAGCTGCTGACCTGGTGAGGTCTTGATCAGATACTAAATCGCTCACGCTTCTTCACGGATCACCAGTCGTTGAAACTCTCGGATCGTTTGATGTGACGATTGTCGACGATGTTATGGCAGAGTGATCCAATGCCATAATCATCGTCCAGTAGAGAAATAGCATCATGCCTCGATGTGGCTGGTGCTCAATAGTAAGCTGTAAACTTGATGGCCCGAGATCTGCGGGATAAGTCTGCACAACTCCTTGGGTTCCGTCGTGAGGGGCAAAGGGCGAAAGAGCCTCACACCGAAGCCACTGATTAACGAAACGAAGAGATTTCCCGTTTGCCGTGAGCGCTCTGCATTTGATGAGAGTCAGTAGGGGGTCCGTTCGCGGAGAGCTGTCCGGACATTGCGTATATACAATATTCTCGAACCCGAGAGAGAGCGCGCTGTTCCCTTTCATCAAAGGACTTGCGCCGTTGCCCGGATCATAACCAGTGTGACCACCCTTGGTTTTTCGATCCTTCGAAGCTTCGGACTAGCCCAAGGCAGACAACGGTGCCGGATGAGATACATGAATAGACAGTATAGATCATTGAAACCGATCCGATGGATAGTCGTGTATGCCACCAATGATGCTCATCAACCGAACTTTGATCTCAGTGTCAATGCCCCTTCCCAGCTAACAAAAGACAATTGACAGATCTTCCAAGATTCGAGCCAATCGCGATCATTTAGGTGCTTGGTTCACTAAACTGGATTTGATCCCAAACAACATTGTTCTCCACGGAGGCTGCTTCAACGCTTTGGCCTATTTCGACAGCCTCCGTCGGATCTGTATTCGTCAGGTCGGATACATCATTTATCAAGCTCAGCCAGTACGTCTCGTCAAAGTCAGTAATCGACGGATCAAGCTGTTGAGACGGCTGAAATGTAGTTGTAGACATTGTTCTTGCATCCGCACTCGCGTCAAATGTCCAATCGCTTTGTGAAGAATTTGGTTCGTCTGAAATTGGACGACTCGATGCGGAGGATCCTGTAGAGGAAAATATTGGAGCACACACTTCTGGCTCTTGCTGATTATGTTCTTGAGCTTGTTTGCGCGGCAAATGTCGTCGCTGTTCGGACAAGCTATCTTTCACCGCATCAACTCCAAACTCTGGTCCGAAATTTCCAAGTTCCGTGGCCGTGGCCGTTGGAAGATACAATGTTGCAGCGTTGAACTCCAAGCGCTGCTGTAGGACATGGTAACACTGGCTGAGGATAGTGAGACCAGAGCGTGCTATTGGACTGTATGAGTGCATTGCACTCAATCTGTTCATAGCTTGTTGCAGGACAAAATCGATCTTCATCATAACCTCGTTGTCATTTTGTGGTAGATACCTGGCCGTTACGACCGAAAGCAATAGCGATGCGTCGATGGTGTAGAAGGACAGACCAAAGAACTTGTATTGGTGTGGACTGGCCATTATGAATGCTCGGTGCTGTGAGTCTAATATCACGATCGAAGCTTGTAATGCAGCGCGCCGGCTCTCGGCCCGGTACTTTATGTGTGGACGGTGCAATGCCACTAACATTAGATTGGCCTTGGTGAGAACATCCTCTCTCTGCTGGCGTAGGTATGGATATTGATCGTCCCACGATAAGTCAGGGTTGCCATGCCGAAGCGTCAGTGGCAGCCGGTCCATGATGATGTTCACCTGGTCATGAAGTCGTTCAACAACGGAGTAATCCGTTGAAGGAGACCTATCGGCTTTCTGTGCTTTCGCAGTATGCCAAATATTCGAGAGCCGGTACAGGAATAGGTTGCTGGAGACAGGGTTGGGCTTGTCCCGTTCCCCAATAAGTTCCTGAGTCCCTGGGACACAGATGGTTGGATTCTGTGGGATATTGCACTCACTTGGTTCCTCCACATCGCAATCGTCAGGATGGATAGCCCTTGGGCGACCAAGAATCATTGCGGTTAAACTGGTCTGCATTAGAATCCAGCTACAGCTTGACAACATCGAAGAAACTCACGTGTCCCATGTACACAAGTTCATCCATAGCCGGCGTTTATACTCTTCATACCACACGCGACTAAGTGTTATTCCAGGGCTGCTCGAAGCATGTTTGTAGAAATCTTCGTGACGATGAAGCTCGAGCTCTTGTGCGGATCTGGAGCCTATCAGTTTTACCAGTTTTCAGACATAGGGATCAATTCTGAGCAGCTCGACCGGATTGCACTCCCTATGCTATGCCAAGCTTCTACGCCCTTTCCAATATTCTTCAACCATGATGCCCTTAGAAAATCCGCTTGAACCGTTGTGAGAGCCACATTGTGTCTCTGGGCCTGTGTCATCAGCTCCGCACCAATATCGCTGTATTTATGACACAAAGCCATATCAGCCTGCGTCAGGAATTCCCAGACAGGTGATTTGAGTGATAGGAACTGTATCGCAAGGCCCAAAACCTGAAACAACAATGCAGGAAAATAGTAAAGCTCTCTCTCGAGTTCTTCATGGCTGAGGTGCGACAAGGTCTTGACATTGGTTCCGTACCAGCAGGTAAGTAAGGAATCAAAGTATAGCTTTTCGAGGATGAAATACTGCCAGTTGACATCGATGAAGAAAACCTCCACCAGCTTGTTTATGGCCATCTTAGAAGGAAGTCGGACATTGGCCGCACTTGGCATGGTGGATGCTTCAGGCTGACGACTTGAGTGACTGTGAGCTGTCGAAACGGCGTGCAGCCCATTTTCTTCGTGGACAAGCTGGTTTTTATCAGATGACAACAGACTGAGAGGGGTCCTTTGCTTGAATAGGTACAACACGTACCCGTTTGAAATCGACCAAGGCATTACTTCCGGCAGTAGACGAGTAGCCTAGATCGGCCGCCGGTGACTCTACTGCTGCATTGATATCAAGCCTTCCATCTGGTGGTGCTGGTTCTTGTACATTGCGAGTTCCAATTGCCTGTCCTGTAGTGTCTGGTCTATCAGAAGGTCTAAAGTATCGTAGGGTTAGCTGGTCATCCGTGTCTGAGGCGAAGGACCAGCAATCATCTCCGCGCCGCCACCTACATTCTTGAGTCGCTGTAATGACATTTATAAGTAACGTTCCGGCTGACGCAATTACTGCAAGGCTGCTTGCGATCGCACTATACCAGAGTCAGGTGCTAGAAAATCGTTGGCATAGTATGAATATGATAGACCTTCTGTTTTCGCCGGTAGCACTCGATGCACGCATTGATCGCTTTGTTCTTTTTCGAAGTATGAGGCGAAGTAGAGGGTATAGAAGATGGCATATCTTTGACTCGTTTAGGCAGTGGCTGGTTCAATGAAAGCGTAGGCTCAATGAATCCCTTGTGACATCTCGGACATCGACGAAGCCGACCGACAAACGGAGGCCTCTCTACAGGCTATGCAAGGACTCCCTAATTTTGAGCTTGGCAAGCACGTGAAGAGTGGTGTCGTCTATGAAGACTTCTGAATTTGGTCAGTACAGGATTAAATTTTGACCTCAGTACTCCGTAGAACCTACTGTTATAGAAAGATCTTTGTCAGTGTAATTGTATCATTATATTATGGTCACAGTTTATTCATTCCTTGGAGTCCCAATTGACTTTGAATATGTTTGCTCCTTACCGTGACTGAAGACTTTCCGCAATGTAATTTCGGATTATATCTCGTGAGATACCCACAGATTAAACAGCGACCAGCAAACACCTCCCTGCAAGCACAGACACAGTTCAACACATTCCGTGTACTCGTTGAGGAAGAATTATATTTTTACTCGTCTAGGTTCAGATCGACAGACGGAGACCCAAAAAGATGCCACTGCTTTCTTCCACCCTCCTTGTCCGGACACACTCCCTCACCCTGGTTTTGTTCTCCTACTACCTCCTGACCTCGCCATGGAAGCTCGTATCTTCAGTCCCGATCTGGGCTTTGGGCGAGTCCATGTTCATCCGCTCTCCAGACTACGCCCCCGATCCTTTGCATCCCTCTGATCATCATCACCGAAAAGGAGAATCTGGCTTCCGACCACCGGCCTTGCTGAAGAACCCTGCCCGCGGTCCCGGTACCATCCCGGCCCTCACGGGGACGACGGCCGAACGAGAACTCTTCGCCGTCGTGGCCGTCTTACTCGTCGCCTACGCTCTCATGCAGTTCATCTTCGCCGGCGACTTGACCCTGAGCCTCGCTCCGTCCGAACCTACAAGCACAACAACAAGAACAAGAGCAGGCAAACAACAGGGCACAACTCCCCCACCGGCAGTAAGCTCTGCTCGCCTGGCTGAAGAACTTTACACCCTGCTCACGGCGCAGTCGCGTTGGCTTACACTGGCCGGTCTTCACGTCGTTGGTTCGTCGGCACTGGTGTTCTGGATCTACATGTTCCATTCCGGTGTAACATCAACGACATCAGAGAATTATACCATCTCTGACCTCCTTGCGAACCGCGTCACCTTTACCGTCGGTCTGGCAAATATGCTGTTCTGGGGTTATCTGTGGACCACGGTGAAAGATGAAGGGAGGGAGGTTGGTAAACTACTGGCAAGGAGGAGAGCCATGGAGGAGGAAGATGAATGATTTACTCGCACACATCAAATTCCGATTTGAGACTCCGAAGACTTTACAATTGCTTCACATTGACAGTGGCAATGACGACTGAGGGGGTGATTAGGTGGAAATATCTTTCGACAGCAAAATTTCCAAGTCACTCCAGGATCCCGCATCCACTTTCACCAGCCTGCATGTGGTATTCTCGAGACCGCGTCCCCTTTCGGTCACCCTTTACAGCAGCGCAGCGAGCCCAAGCAGGGCTGCACCCACAACACCCAATCCCACACCCTGCACACTCATTCGTCCATCTGCAGCGTTACCTGCGGCCGACGTTGCGGCGGCGCTGGCACTGGAGGTAGCGCTACCCTGGCCTGCGGACGCGGAGGATGCGGCGGCACTGGCGGAGGCAGAGGCGCTGCTCATGGCGGAGGAGACTGAAGACGAAGCTGCCGAGGCGCTGCTACCGGTGGCGCTGGCGCTGGCGGTGGCTGCTGCAGTGCCGCCACTGGAACTACCACTGGTTGCGGGCGAGGTGGAATTTGCGGTGCAACCGGCAGAGGCGGGCTGTTACAAACGAAAACACCGTTAGCAATCACGAGAGGACATATGTGCATAGCAAATTGGCCCAATGTGGCAACGTACCAATAATGTTGAACCTCCTACAGGGTCGCAGATGGAATGCGCATAGGCGAGTGCGGCCTGTTGATCGCTAGCATCGCAGCTCTTGTAGATACAGCAACTGATGTCCGTAATGAAGGATTTGGTGGTACAGATGCCTGCAGGTGTTTTTTTGGTTTGATCGTCAGAATGAACCTCTTTCAAGTAACATTTCTCCCTTTTTTGTGTCTGGATACGTAGGATCGTAGGTGGGTTTTGTTTTGGGTAGATACTGAGCTAGAAACGTACATGATGGGTCCAAGTTGCAGGAAGCCGGCAGAGCGTCGGTGATACATGTATTTGCACCTGTCGGGATAGAAACAGTCGAGTGTTAGTTATGTCTAGGATAAGGTGACGAAAGTACTAGCACTGGTACCCGTACTCGTACATGGGGGGCAGCGGCGTCTACTCACAAGCAGGGATCGATGGACTCGATTGAGCAGAGACACAACCGGCCAAGACGGCGGTGAAGGTGAGGAGTTCGAGACGCATCTTTGTGTCGTGGATGATGCGCGTTCACAATATGTAAACAAAGAGTAGAGACAAAGGTAGAGGTAAAGGTAGAGAGAGAGGAGATTGAGTTTTCCTAGACTCAAAAATATATGTACAAAGATGGTCGGATGAGTAGAGTTCAGACTATTTCTTAAAGTGGTTGGAGGGGTCACTTTTGATACTCGTAACTCTTGTATGAGTGGTGAAGGAGGAGAAGAAAAGAAAAAGGAAAATAAAGAAGCATAGACCTTGTTGGAAAGCCTTTTTAAGTCTTTTACTACAGTACGTCTCCCATCATGATTGTACCTGCAAATAGATATGTAGCACATGTCTCATGGTAGGTACCTAGGTAAAATACCTACAGCTACAGTACTACCAGTAGCAAATGTTGTACTTCTTTCGCTCAATTAGGAACGCGTTGCGAAGCTACTGGTATAGATCGTCGGCAAAATGCAATGACATGTTTGGGAAAGAATTTACTTTGGACATCTTGGACTTAGAGAAAAGCCAGGCAGGTAGTACTTCACGAACCCTGTGATCTGTACTGTCCAAGTCAAAGTGTATCTTTGAGTGTTGTCTACAGACAGAGAAGAAAACAAAGACGGCCATCGTAACCCGCAACTTGTACCCCGTACTCGTGATGGTTTTTGAGATGCCATACTTCTGAGATCGTCATGGGACAACGATTCAATCGGGTGGTGGCGCGACGCGGGAGACAAGAGATGAAGAAGAAAAGACTGGGATCGGGATCATCTCTCCCCCGCCCTCTTGGGACCATTTTTAGCCGGGCCCGTGGAGAAAATATGGGCTATGGGGGGGGGGGGGGCTGGAGAAAAAAAAAAGTGGCTCTCTACGAAGTACCTACTGTACTATTCTCTTTCTGTGACTTGTGCCTGTGAGTGAGTGCAACCAATAAGTAAAGAATATTGGAGCTTGAGTACATTACAAGCCGAGGCTCAAAATGAAAGATGTGATAGTTGGCCTCATACCCAAGTCGATCTCATTTGCAATGCAACATCTCTGACTCAGTAGACATGTCCACAGTTCGATTACAATACGTGAATATTGGGAATCTCGATTGATCCCCACGTCGTCTCTACGACCTACGAGGTGACAATGCGAAGTCATCCATCATCATCCACACTCTGTACTGCGTACTTACAGTATAGGAAACTGATTGGCGTCATGGGAACACAAGACCGTCTCAGACCACTCACTTGACATTCTATTGTGTGCTGCGTAGGAGGCGACGAGTAACCTTGTCATTGTACAGACCGCACTTGTGAGACATGTTTTAATCTGGACACGACAAAGTAGTCCAACAAGAAAATACAACAAGCCTGGCACGACCTACGGATACTCCGTAGAACGGCAAAACATATCCACAGGACCTGTCAAGTACACGATTCATCGTCAACATTAATATACACCGAGGTACGGAGTATAGATCCATCGTAACCCATCAAACCCCCTTCTGAGCGAGGTATCACCTAAAAGCCTAGCCCCTAGACATATCCCTCGCAAGCCATCCTCGATCGAGCATCATCCCTTTTGAAAAGGAAAGGGAGAGGGGTGGAAGGAAACGAACGAGATTCCACAAAAAATCGTTCGTTCGAACCCGATATATCCCCAGCCTTCTAGACATTCCAATATACGCCATATCCCCCGTATGTACGGAGTACCTAGGTATCCTGCCAGCCGTATGAAACACCATCATCTCCATCCTATCATTCATGTCTCTCGTCGTCTTCGCGGTTCGTCTCGCTGTCTCCCCCCCATCTCCACCTCTCTTTATATCACATTGATAGTATAGGTGTAATCGCTCGCGAACCAATACCCGTTCGTATGGTCCAACCTCTCTTCGTAATTGTTCATCTCGGCCTCTCCCTTCATCACACTCCTGAACCGGTCCCAATTGATCTGGTCGTACCTCGACACGTCAAACGCACCTATCCGTCTGAACTCGCCCCTCTTCATCGTGGCACAGAGCAACAAACCTTCGACGCGGTCGACCACGTCGATCACCGGCAACAGATAAACCTCGAGCATCTCGGTCAGCATGCCCGACGCCTCGGACAGTTTCGGCAGGCGGTCATCGAAACTCGCCGACTCGAGCTCGACCTGGGCCTTGGTGCACTGGATCACGCAAGGAGTCTGGCCCCAGTAGTCGTGCGTGCGCCTCAACAGGCCCCGCGCCATGAAGCCTCGCACCTTCATCCTCCCGCCCTCGACCAGGCCAAAGTTGTCCGCCTTGTACCGCATGTCCAGGTCGATCACCTCGACGCACGTGTCCCGAGAGTTCTGCGCGGGTTCGGGGTACTTGACCTCGCCGTCGATCGAGGCCCACGCCCACGTCGGCGCCCTGTACTTGGCCGGCCGGCGACCGTGCTCGACCCGCCACAGGAGCGCGTGGGGCAAGTGCGACTTCCACATCCCGGCCAGGTAGTCCTCTTCCCGCAGCCGGTTGCGGGCCATGTACTGTTTCGCCAGCCCGCCGATGGCGAGCAGTTTGTCCGTGCTGTACGTCATCCGCTTGGGACTGTACATCTTGACCAGGTGGTGCCAGTTGCCGTGCCGCTGGTGGTGGATGCGCTTGTTGAAGAACTCGACGTTCTCACGGCTGCTCGGCGGGCCCGAGTTGGCCGGCAGCCCCTTGGGGAACACCTCGCTGCAGCACATCTGTTGGCACTCCCAGAGCAGCTCGTTCCTCGTGAAGTGCAGCGTGCGCTTGGCCAGGCACCGCTCCTGGAAAGCCCAGGCGCGCTTGTTCAGCGGACTCGAGTCGACCAGGTCGTGCCACAGCGTGGACCGGAGGATCTTGTACATGCCGTCGTCGACGCCCATGCCCTTGACCTCGACGACGCACGGGTGCAGCGCGGTCACGTTGCGCGTGTAGATCAGTCCGCTGGCGTCGCCGCGCGAACTCGTCGCGGCGATGTTGAGCGACGCCTCGCTGTACACCTTGTGCATCTGGCTGATATCCTTGAGCACCGCGGCCTCGTTGTCGTGCATGATGCACAGCGCGTCGATCCAGAGGTACCGGAACCCGAGCCGCTCCGTCGTCACGGCCGCCTCGGCGAACGTCTTGGGTAGGCTGGACACGCTGACGCCCTGGCGCAGTGCCGAGAGCGTGCCCTTGTGCAGACGGATCGGCTTGGACGAGCCCCAGCAGTGACTGAGCGTGACGTACTCGCTCAACGGGTCCAGAAACATGCCGTCGACGAGTTTGACTCCCGGGGCGCCCTTGGCTCCTCGGACAGTGACGTCGAGTAGGTGTGTTGGTTTCCATGCGGCGTTGATCTCCGACACGGAACATCTCATGTGGTTGAACATGCAGTCCTGGATCCATTGCCGGGCTAAATCGAAACTCTCGCTGGATGCTGTACTTATGCTTCGCGCATCGATGGTGCGCACGCCTGGTTCGACGGCATCTGCGGATGAACAAAGTCTCGTGTCAGTGACTTGTACGTACTCCCAGCCAGAAGAGGTAGGGTTCCTTCATCCTGGGGCACTTACATTTCGGATTCATTAATATTAACTCGACAACCAACACCGCCTCTCCCTTATCGACGGGATTGTCTCCTCCGCCCACCAGCGTCGAGCGCAGACTCAAACTCGCATTGCTTCCGTTTGAACTCTCTCGATCCACCCCTCCAGGCCTCACATACCGAAATTTAAGGCGTGCTTGGTCTCGTGCGATCGGGCTGATCCATGCAAATCCTATACTCTCTTGACTCGAGCCTCGTCTGAAATTTCGATACGCTTCGGGGTCGATGCTCATGAACACAGTCAGGCATAAATGGCACTTTGACGCTCGTGCCGCCAGAGCCTCGAGATCGTGGTGCGCAACCTCGCCCGAGTCACTTCGCATCGTATCATTTCTGAAGATTGACTGGCATGCCATGCATAACGTGCTCGGCGTCAGCTCCTCTGTTGTTTGTGATGTCGATGTCGTCGCGGCCGCCATCCCTGCTGCTGCTGTTGCTGTTGTCATCGTCGTTGTCGTAGTTGCCGTCGCACTCATCTCTGCGCCACGCACTACCTTATTTCCCCTGTCCACTTCGGGACGAGTCGTCGATGTCGTCCTTTTTTTTCGTAATCCAACCGACCGACCAGATACGGGTTAGATCAATGAACTGCCCCCAGGAACCAGTTACGGGTGTATGTCTTTTGGTGTCTGTCACACGAAGATCTCCGTAATGCTAGTTGTCGGTAAATAATAAATTAAAAAAACCCCCTCCTCGTTGCGATCTCCACCATTACTTCGGTAGAAGCTTATCGTCCTTACTCGGTAAATGTGTCGTTTTCTTCCCACTTTCGTCTGGAGACAGATGCGATGATGATTACCCGGTTTCCTTGTTCCCTATGAAGAAGGCATGCAGTTTATAGAAATACAACAATTGAATTTTTGTGTTTGTGCTGTGTTCGTCATTTGTGATAACTCGTAGTTGGTCCGTCCACTTGTCACTTGTTTACCGAAGTTCCACGTTTGGCAAGTCCCAAGAGAATACGGAGTAAGAGAAAAGGCGAAGAAGAAAACATAAACTCGGACCAACAGAGACAGTCGAAAAAGTTTCCACGATAGTTGACGTCAATTCGTCGATTTCGAGATCAAGATTACGAGTCTCACTCAAACACACAAACACACTCTTGTTTTTCTCTCCTCTTCATCCTCTGTAATTTTAGGGGGGGCCAGGCGGGAGGCAAAGCAAAAGCAAAGCATAACCGTACGGAGTGACTCGTACTCCATACAAGTAAAAGTGGCCGCGGGCGCCGCGTGGGTTTCTCCTGAGATCTTCAATTCACCACACGATCTAATTTCCGAACCGCGCGGGCGAGACGAGCACGACCACGACTGGACCAACGCACACGGCCCTTCGCCACGCGAATCACACTGAGACCAGTCAATTAGAGATCGCGCCTCGTTGATTTTTGATTTCGAAGGAGGGACCGGGGGAGCTGGTGGTGGTGGTGGTGGTGGTGGTGGTGGTGGTGGTGATGGTGATGATGTTAGCGAATTTTGCGACCCTTTTTTAAACACCCGTAGTCCGTAGGCCAGGCCAGGCCAGGCGACAACAGGCACGAGTTTGAAACCGCGTCCGGAGTTCCAATTTGATACGCGCCAGCCCGCTCGTCAAATCATGAATCTCTGCTGCGGAGAGTACAGTATGTAGGTACAAAGGATTTTGACATACGCCGTACTCTGCTCGTGCCTCAGCAAGTCCAGCACACCAGCCCAGTGGCACTGACTCGGAATAATGACAACACCGGTAGAATCTTCTTGTCTCGTTGACAAAATACTCCATCAATCAGTCAAGACACCTCTGCAAACATCTGATCAGCAGTTTCAGAGCAAAAGGTGGCTTGCCAGAGGCCAAAAGGCCAAGACCCTAATCTTAAAAATATGGAATGTCGAATAAGGCTGTGATGATCGTGTTCGACCCCCTGATCGAATCGAGGCTCTCACAAAGTCCCTTGTATCCGATCCTCCGTACTGATAAACTACTGATAAAGCACATACTGTATCGGTACCCCGTAGAGGAAGGAATAGATCATGCCACAAGGAGTAAGCATATTATTATGTACGTGGCTATGCTCTTCTACCCAAGCTACCTGGAATCAAGATATTGAAATCATCAAGTCGTCCGTGGACGAAACTAGCTCATAGGCTCATCTTCATTATCTTAACTTGGTCATCTTGAGAATATCGTGCCGATGGAAAAACTCCCGATTCTTCTTGCCAAAGACATACATTGGCACACTGAGCAAACATAGCGCCACTTCGATGCTGGCGAAAATAATAAATAAATTGTTGATCCGGATCGCAAAAACCCAGTTGTATGCATTGTAAGCCAGGACAAAAGAGAAGATGTTTTTGAAAATGAGCAGATTCGTGAATGCTTCGACGGCAAGCTCCCGATGCGCATCGAGAAGATACTGCGCCGAGGCAATTGCACCCATCACCATGCTGATGATGATAAAAGCGAGGAAAACCTCGGGCACAATCCAGCCATATCTTTTCACGTCGTTCGCCGTGATCCCAAACCCATAGAGTCCTATGGCAGAGAACACCAACGTAGGAATGACCAGCAGGATGCGGAACTCGGGTTCATACTTTCCCTTGTTCAGACGGATCATGAACCTCGTGACAAGTTCGCTATACAACCCTGCAAGCAGCAGGCCGAGCATGCTCCCGATAAATGCGCTCGTGTACATCTTGCCGGCGCGTTCTTCGTTGAAGAAGAGCGGTGGACCCAAAAAGATGAGTGACAAGATGACTCCCACCATGACTGTCCATCCAATGATGACGCCTTGAATGAGGCATGCCCACGCGACCGCTGGGTGAAGAAATAGCGGAAACGGCCTAAGCAGGAGTCGGAAGAACGATTCGTTGGTTTTGCGCCCGTTGAACGGCATGAGCGTCTGGACGTAGGACACTTTTCTGCCAGGGGTTTCTGTTACCGTCATTGAGTGCAGAGTCTTCTCTTCGTTTTCTGGCGTGGCGCCATTCTGCGGATGTGTAAGAGACTCCCTTGACGAGTCCTCAGCCAGAATGTCGAGGTCGAGCGCATGTGCTCGTCGATATGCCGTCTCAGGCACAAAGAAAAATATCAGCAAGAGACCGGGGGCCATGAAGATAGCCAGTAAGTAAAACTATGAGCACTCATGTCAGCTTGCACACCAAACACAAACAAGGCCATGTAAAACAGATACAGAAACGTTGTAGATGAAGACATACACTCCACTCCCAGCCGATATGTGCCGAGATCATACCAACAAAGACCGGCGTCAAGAACGCTCCTCCAAAGAGACAGGTGTTTGTAATGGCCATGCGCACACCGCGCTCGTGAACGAAATAGAGATCGCCGACGCAAGCATTGACAAGTGCTTCAAAGGGTGCCAATGCAACTCCTTGAAAAACACGACTCCACAGCAGGCTCGCATAGTTATGGTTTGTGTGTGTAGAACCACCCCACGCAGAAGTCGCAATCATCAGGAGAGCCCCCAGTAAGAAGAGATGTCTCTTCCCCCATACTCTGGCCGATGCGACAAACAACCATCCAGCGACACCAACCCCGACCAGATGGTACGCTGTGAGCAAGGCAGCATCTTGAAAAGTCCTCTTGAATATGAGGGCGATCGTCACCGAGTCTGCGGCGAGCAATGGGGAGGCAGTAGTCGCAAGGCACGATACGAAACAGAGGATCCCAAGGATGCAGTCGCGCTGCCAAAGAGGCCAATTCTAGGGTCATTAGTCCTGCGCAGCCAGCGTGTTAAGACGGAGTGAGACTCACTAATGGGTCGTTTGGGTCATTTGACGGCTGAGGTACCAAGATGATGCGACCTGTTTTGTCTCTCTTCAAATGTCGAGCAGTCTCCAATAGGTCGGCATGTCGTTGCTCTGACTCGTAGACGTAGACTGTGCCGGGGACGTGTTCGACCCCGGGTTCCAGGATCCCCAGAGCCATGCTTAGCTAAGGCGGTGGATTCGTCAAGTCGAATAGCGAGACTACTCGGGAGTTGTAACCATCATCGTGCAAAGGGGTCCAACAATCTGCTGAAGCATAAGAAAGCCGAACAAATCAATTGCACAAACAAAGACAAGAGGTAGAAAACGACTTTGGCTTTGGTGCTGGCGCAAGCCACCAACAGGAATGGGTCATGATCTTCGAGTGTCATTGACTTCCGCTTGGATTTCCCGCTGGGGTCACATTTGGTGTCACGTGTGGCATCTCACTTTCAATGTCAGCCTGATTAGCACAGGGAAACAGCAGAAAAGGACAATACATCGACGAGAGAAATCGAGATAATGGTAACGCGAGTGTCATTTGGGACCTTCCACGCTTGCTAAGCCACTCATCAGTCCGCCAGAGCTAAGGCTATGTGGTATCGTAGGGGACGAAAAAACAATAAACAACGATTTCTTTCGACATAGAGGGGAATGGTAGTGTTGGGGGAAATTTGACCCTGGTCTTCAGGGATTGCTTGCTTTGCCTGTATCTGGCCTTGGAACAAATCACTTCACACGCCATCCAGTGCTAAACCCGAGAAATCCTGCTCACAAGCCTGCAGTGCAAGTCCTGCCATTTCAGTAACAACCCTGCCGAAAAATATCACGAATCATTAGGCGAGAGTCGACAGATGTCGAGGGGAATGCACCGTTCCTCTCGTATTGTCAATCTAAGAAGCAGGGGCAGCCTCTGTCTTCTCAGCACCTTCAGCTGGTGGAGCAGCTTCCGCAGGCTTCTCTTCTTTGGACGCCTCACCCGCTGGGCCGGCCTCGCCTTCACCACCGTCAGATGATGTCCACAATGTCAGGTTGTCTCGGAGCAATTGCATGATGAGGGTGCTGTCGCGGTACGACTCCTCAGAGAGCGAGTCAAGCTCGGCAATGGCATCGTCGAAAGCTTGTTTGGCGAGATGGCAAGCGCGGTCAGGAGAATTCAAAATCTCATAGTAGAAGACACTGAAGTTGAGCGCGAGGCCAAGACGGATGGGATGTGTTGGAGTGAGCTCAGTTTGTGCGACATCGGTGGCATTCTAGTTACAAGGTTAGATGGGGTTTTGTCCTTGCGCGGAGCACGACAAGCATACCTTGTAAGCCTCGTGGGCGGCGGTGGCAGCAACCTTGCGTTTTTCACCAGAGGCGAACTCAGCGAGGTATCGATGATAGTCTCCCTTCCTGTTGTCGTCCGTTAGACATATTCCAATGGCGTTTCTGTCAAAAACCTACATCTTGTGGTAGAAGACCTTGGACTCTCCAGATTCGGCCTTTGGAATGAGAGCCTTGTCCAGAACATCGAGGACATCTTGGCAGACTTTCTCGAGTTCGGTCTCGATCTTTTGACGATACTCACGGATGATACCGACGTGCTTCTCTGAGCCCTTGGATTCCTCCTTCTGTTCGATGGAGGAGATGATGCGCCAGGAAGCACGTCGGGTTCCGACCACGTTCTTGTAGGCAACGGAAAGGAGATTTCGTTCGTCAACAGAGAGCTCGCCGCCCATCTAAGTCATGTCAGATATGGGAAACCTTGATGCAATTCTCCATGTAAACCCACGTTTGCAACCTCTTTCATGTACGAAACCATCTCATCGTAGCGTTCGGCCTGCTCGCAGAGCCGCGCGAGAAATGTTTTACTGATGTATTGTTAGAAAGGATGTGAGGGCGGGTTGGAGGAATTCTCATATACCTTTCACGCTATAAATCGCAACCAAGTCAGCATGGTGTCTTATCAATGAGGAATTTAATAGTAAGGTTGGACGAAAGCAGCTGAGGCTCCAGCTCGGAGGTAGCAGGCAGAGATACTCACATCAGTGGCCATTGTGCAGGTGACGGAATCGTTGAGCAAGGAATGAGAGATGGGATGAAGACGAGAATTGAGATAGGATTGGTGTTGGAATGGTTTGTGGGATGGAAATTGAAGGAGGAGTTGACTTTGTCTGGTGATGGAAATGGAAATGGATGCAGTTGGAACTGTAAGTGAGTGAGTGATTGAGTGCACGATTGAATGGGGCTTAGAGGGAAGCGCAGCTGCTTGCAAGTAGAATCCAGACTAGCCCAGATTCAAGTGCCTCACTTTGGCTCTCTCTCTCTCACACACACACAAACACCCTATTGTACAATCTATTTCTCTGACTTGTCAAGCCTAACAATCCTCCACACGTTGGCCCTTCTGCCACTCTGACCCAACGTCCTGTACCACTCAAAGATTGCAGTTGTTGTACTTTGGCCTGACGTTTCACGACCGTACCAATGCGGCGCCTAGAAGGGCCCTGAGTGGTAAGTGGCATTATGACCCTAAATTTTTGACTATCTGGTCCAGTGGATGCCTCATCAGTTTCAGACTCCCTTGCTCCAAGTCCATTCCTCTTCGACCGCCCAAGCAAACCATGCCTGAATGCCTACCCAAGGTACAGCGAGCAAGGACTTCCAATCAGAGCCGGAACCTCGCACAACAAGGTACACAGCCACGTACACTCTTTACCCGGAGTTGCCATTGACTACCACTTTTATTCCCTTTGCGGTAATCAACACTCGCCTGTGGCACGTTGGCATTGCTGACTTTCACGTGCCACCTAAAGAGAAGCCACGTATCCCGGTGACGTTTTATTTCGCAAGGCCCAATTGAGCCTCCGCAACTGGTTGACGCCTTTTCCGTCGCTACTAGACAAGGCTCGGAATCACCTCAAGAGCATCGTTCTGTACTACAGATAGGTAAACAAACACAGTTTTTCATATTTTCCACTATGGCTTCTCCCTCTAGATATAATTCTAGCTTCGAATTTCATGGATTCAGCCATCCACTCGGCCTACAATTTACTCCGTCCAAAGCTTGCTGGTGGTCTGAAACTTGTAAGCGGACTCGCCGAATGGCCAACCTACAAGATCAATGTTGAACTGAGTGCTTGTTGCAATTTGTTCCTCCCGCGACTTGAGCTCATCAACGTCCCAGTTTGACCACAAAAACTTGCCCTTCAAGAAACGTGCTTCTGGACTCGCCAGCCAAACGTGAAAGCTGGCTGGTAAAGCCACTAGACTAGTGTCAGTCTTGTCATATGTAAGATGCAGATTGTCAGTTGACTCGCCTTGATCTTCGATTCCAGTGGCTTGAACGCCTCCGGCAGATTTATTCATGTCGGTATCTACGACGCCCGGCTGAACATGAAAAACGCTCATTTCCGGATTTGCAAAGGCCACTGTATCCCAGAGTCGATATTGAGCCAGCTTTGCAACGCTATACGCAGCAAACTTGGGGACGAAGTTCACATGTGCTGCAGATGAGTTGACCTCAATTGCTACTGCATCTTTAGATGCATGGCGAAGGAAAGCCTGCGCAACGAACAATGACCCCCGAAGGTTAAGTTGGATGCTCTCTAAGAATGCGCCAGCCTCGACTGCGTCAGTACCATCAAGAGGACCAACGTTTGCCGCGCCATGGACCAGAACATTCAATTCTCCTTCTCCGATAAAGCTCTTGAATGCAGCGTCAACTTCACTCTTGCTGGTGACATCGGTAGGGGCGATGAACACCTCAACGCCCGAGAACCGATCCTCGATATCGGCCTTGGTCTCGAGAAGGGGTTGCTTTCTTCTACCAAGGATGGCGATTCTCGGCGCCCCGGCTGCCGCAAAGTAACGAGCAGTCTCGGCACCAATGCTACAAAGGTGTCAGTAATTATAAACATCCGTCTGGCCGACACGCAAGAGCAAAAAGAGGGAGTCGTCCGCCTTGAATAGGGTCCTGGCACGTCTGACAGCAACACCAATAGCCAGTCATCTGTGGTGGAGGTTGACTAAACTTACCCAGTGCCGCCCCCTGTGATTAACACGGTCTTTCCTTTAGCTGAAAGCTCCGGGCGTGTAGGAGACAAAGACGGGTATGTGTCCGAGTGCCACTTTGAAGTTGGAGATGGGAAAGGAGCAGCCATTGTGAGTGTTAGAAGTCTTGCTGTATTGGATGATATTGATTCCGAGTGGAAAAAGCCATGTTTTCGAGTGGCCAGCGGTCGGTTTTATACATGCATGAGTTCTCGACATGGGCACCTCCCCTGCTGCGGTAGAAGAGTGCAAATTGCCATTTCGATGTTTGTTGCGTCGCACACCGATCGACGGGTTTTGCATCAAGGTATGTGACAATGATGCTGATCAATCGTATGCAAGTAAAATAGTTTTGTAGCTACAAAATGTTCCTTTCTATGAACAGCACAGTACTGCTAACAAGAAATGCTTTGGGCATTCCTTCTCCGGTACAAAATGTCCCGCTCCGTCAGAGAGCCACATGCATGGTTGCGCTGACAAATGCGAGCACAGAGCAACAAAATAGTATCCTACATTTTTGTATCGACTATACGCTTCCAATTAACCTATTGTGACCTATTTTGAGATGTATCGAGCAGATGTAGAGACCGTTCTGCGGTGCGAGCAATGCAACAAACCATTCGACAGGGGTAAGTCATACTCCCATCACGTCCCTCAAGATGCACATGACATGCTGATCAGGGTAACTTTAGAGGCGACTCTGAAGAGGCACCGATATTATTGTCGGTCTCGAAACAATATTAACAATATACGATCTCGATCTTGTTCCTCGTGTATAAAAGCCAAGGCGCGGTGCGACACCAAACGACCGCAATGCTCAAGGTGCAGTCTTAAAGCCACCGATTGTCATTACCCAGCAACCACCTCCAGAGATGCTGGCGCAACAAAACAAAACCATGTTGATGCTCCAACCCGTCAACGCAAGTCTACTTCCCTCTTAGAGTCTCAACCTCTCCATTATCATGGCCATCAACCAGGGAGCAACGGCAGGGAGATGATTTTTGATAATGCGTCAAACTTCGAAGACTCAGAATTCGCCAGCCTGGGAACTCAATCTCTCCCTTGGGATGATACAAGTATCGATTTCAACTTTCTGAGCTTACCGAAGAACGACAATACTTTCCAATACTCGAGTCCAGCATCGTCAACATCCTGGCTCTTTCACCAGCCGGGAGTTCTGAACGATTGCTCAAGTCAAATACAACAATATTTGATTTCACCGCATCCATCGATACCTTCTGCTCCATCTTACTCTGTCCGATTGCTTGTTCATCGACCCAAAAGGAAAGTCGCGACACAAAGGACGGCCGGCCTGATTCTTCACATTCTCAAATCGTATCCGTTGATGATGATGCGTCATGGTTCTCTTCCGCCCTTTATACATCCAGGCACAGTTTCTTCTACAACCGGTAGTGATGATCTGAAGGCTCTGAATAATTGCATGAGTCTGGTCCATATGATCAGTGCAGGGGTCAAAGGCAGCCGTGAGTTGTTCTGGAAGAATGTAAGCCTCGAGTGTGAACGATTTTGTGATGAGGTGGGTTTATCGAGTCCAGGAATTCCAAGGCAAAGACCTCCAGGAACTGACGGTGATGGCAGCATTCAAAGTACAATCAGTGGCAAGCACTTGGTGCTCTGCAAGCCCAACTAATTTACCTTCTTTTGAGGCTAGAGGAAGGCGAGACTGATCACAATAACATCGACTTCATTCTGGTTACTACAGTCATAGTAAGTCTTTCGACTGCTTCGTTCACTATTCAGCTTTCTTTGATTTTGATGGCGATGTGAAGGCAACATCTAAGCACCTCAATCACATCAGCGAGGTATATCAGAAGCAGTCGATGACGCACAACTATGATTTGGCGCAGAGCTGGAAGGACTGGATCTTTGAGGAATCCGCACGGAGGTAGGTTCCCAGGCTGCTCACCTACACGAATGCTAATGGATCAGATTATGCGTGGTGTATCAAGTCATTAATATACTTGTGTACTTCGAACCTGCAGCAATGTGTGAACTAGAAGGCGACCTTCTCATCGCACCATTGCCGGCAAGGAAGCAACTCTGGGAAGCAGGTGATGAGTTGGTGTGGAAGACAGAAAGCGAGCAAGAACCAGGGATTAACATTGCCTTTGGGTTGACAACAAAAGGGGATCTGATTCGAGTCGGTCAAGACCTGAACTGTTCCATCAATGAGGCGGCGATGCTGCACAAGTCCAATCACATCGGCATGTTATCTAGGAGCAATGCAAACTGGGAAGAGTGGTGCTCTGGTATGGATGGACTTGGTGGACTCATCATGCTTGCGGCTTCTTTGGTCGGGTAGGTACTGAGAAGGAGATCTTCAATAACGGTGTATTCGAATTGGCGAATTCAATTTGTACAAGCAGTCATCTAGCCCTGCAGACTTCCAAGGCAAAGGTCCTCAATAGAAATGAAGGTTGCGACGATCTGTCCTGAAGGATTAATATCCGTAGGATTCATGACGGGATTTCAAAGCACCAGCCACTTCCCTTGGCTGCGCGCGCCAGTCGGCGTCTGGAATTTTCGATCAAAAACTACGGAGTAAAGTCCACGGTGTCCAGTCTGCAACACGTGGGGCGTCACTACAAGTCACTCTTTTTATTAATGTACGAGTAGATTTATTAGATCTCGCATTGTCAGGACGATAGACAGGTGTCTCTGGGTTGCATGGATACTGGCTGGATGGCTGTGAACCTGGTCTAAATATTCTGTTGTCAACCAGTCTTTCCTTCTCAAGTACAATCATCTTTTTTTTGCAACAATGGAACAGGCCTATGTCCGCACCACGTCTGAGGTGTTGAAGCACTTCAACGTCGCTGAATCCAAGGGCCTCTCTTCACATCAAGTGGTAGAGGCGCGAAAACGCTATGGGAGCAATTGTAGGTGTTGATCTCTTTCCAGTCAAGGGGCGCAGGCTAACAAAGTACACAGCCTTACCAGAAGATCCTCCCACGCCTTTGTGGCAACTCGTCCTCGAACAATTCAAGGACCAACTGGTCTTGATCCTACTTGGTTCTGCTGCGATTTCATTCGTACTTGCCCTGTTCGAAGAGTCGGACGACTGGACGGCGTTTGTGGACCCAGTCGTGATCTTGACAATCCTCATCTTGAATGCTGTTGTAGGTGTCACGCAGGAAAGCAGTGCAGAGAAGGCCATCGCCGCCCTCCAGGAATACTCTGCGAATGAAGCAAAAGTCCTTCGAGATGGACAAGTCCAAAAGATCAAGGCTGAAGACCTGGTGCCCGGGGATATTGTTACAGTGGCCATTGGTGATCGCATCCCAGCTGATTGCCGACTTGTGTCCATACACAGCAACAGTTTCGCGGTTGACCAAGCCATCTTGACTGGCGAGAGTGAAAGCGTGAGCAAAGACTGCAGGGCGGTTAAAGACGCACAGGCTGTGAAACAGGACCAGATCAATATGCTTTTCTCAGGGACAACTGTTGTCACTGGACATGCTTCCGCGGTCGTTGTGCTTACCGGAAGCTCTACGGCAATTGGTGACATCCATGAAAGCATCACCTCACAAATATCAGAGCCGACGCCGCTGAAGGAGAAACTGAACGATTTCGGCGACACTCTTGCGAAGGTGATTACGGTGATCTGCATCCTCGTCTGGCTTATCAATATTCAACATTTCAACGACCCATCTCATGGCGGTAGCTGGGCAAAGGGAGCAATCTACTACCTTAAGATTGCTGTCTCTTTGGGTGTTGCAGCAATTCCAGAAGGTCTAGCCGTTGTCATCACAACCTGTCTCGCTTTGGGAACAAGGAAGATGGCCGCAAAGAACGCCATTGTCCGAAGCCTACCGTCAGTCGAGACTCTGGGAAGCTGCAGTGTCATCTGTTCTGATAAAACCGGCACACTCACCACGAATCAGATGAGCGTTGAGAAAGTTGTCTACCTCAATGAAAATGGTAACGACCTTGATGAGATTGAGGTGAAGGGTACAACTTTTGCTCCGATCGGCGACCTCATTCAGAACGGTAAGAGACTACAGAACGCAGCAGTTGACTCCGACACACTGAAGCAGATGTCGGAAGTCCTCGCCCTATGCAACGAGTCTCATTTGTCCTACGATCCAAAGACCAATACATACCAGAACATCGGCGAACCGACAGAGGGCGCTCTTCGTGTATTGGTTGAGAAGATCGGCACTGATGATGCGGCTACAAACAGCACCATGAGTGCACTGTCTGGCGCTGAGAGAGTGCACTTTGTCAGCAAGTACTACGAAAGCAAGCTTCCGATGCAGGCCATCTACGAGTTCTCCCGTGACCGTAAGAGCATGTCTGTCTCAGTTGGCAGTGGTCAACAACAAAAGCTGCTTGTTAAGGGTGCCCCCGAGTCCATCCTTGAACGATGCTCGCATGTCCTACTTGGCTCGAATGGTCGCAAAGCTCCAATGAACAAGAAACACGTCTCACTCATTTCCGAAGAAGTAGTCGACTACGGTCGCAAAGGTCTCCGCGTTCTTGCACTTGCTAGCATCGACAACATCGGCGACAACAAGCTCCTTCATAGTGCCAAGAGCACCAGCGAATATTCCCAACTTGAACAGAACATGACGCTGATCGGTTTGGTTGGCATGCTCGATCCTCCACGTCCCGAAGTTGCCGCATCCATTCAAAAGTGCAGAGAGGCAGGCATTCGTGTCATCGTCATCACTGGCGACAACCAAAACACCGCCGAGACGATCTGTAAACAGATCGGTGTTTTTGGACACGATGAGGACCTCAGGGGCAAGAGCTACACAGGTCGACAGTTTGATTCCCTGAGTGAGTCTGAGAAACTCAAAGCTGCAAAGACAGCATCCCTCTTCTCCCGAGTAGAACCAACCCACAAGTCCAAACTCGTCGATCTGCTGCAAGCTGCTGGTGAAGTCGTCGCCATGACAGGTGACGGTGTTAATGATGCACCAGCCCTCAAAAAATCAGACATCGGTGTCGCCATGGGCACGGGTACCGATGTTGCCAAGCTCGCTGCAGACATGGTTCTCGCAGACGACAACTTTGCTACTATCGAAGTTGCGATCGAGGAAGGCCGCACGATCTATTCCAACACACAGCAATTCATCCGGTACCTCATCTCCAGCAACATCGGCGAAGTGGTTTCGATCTTCCTCACCGCCGCATTGGGTCTACCAGAAGCGCTCATTCCTGTACAGCTACTTTGGGTCAATCTGGTGACTGATGGTCTTCCAGCTACTGCACTCTCTTTCAACCCAGCTGACCACGATGTGATGCGTAGGTCTCCACGCAAACGCGATGAGCCTTTGGTCAGTGGCTGGTTGTTTTTCAGATACATGGTTGTTGGCACGTATGTTGGCGCGGCTACTGTGTTCGGATATGTGTGGTGGTTTATGTTTTATTCCTCGGGCCCCCATATCTCCTTCGCACAGTTACGCAACTTTCACAAGTGCTCGGCTATCAACCCACTCTATGCGAATGTTGATTGTGGCATCTTCGCACCCAACGCCATAACTAACCGCACTGCATCGACGATATCATTGTCAATTCTAGTGGTCATTGAGATGTTCAACGCCATGAACGCACTTTCAAGCTCAGAGTCTTTGCTCACTATGCCCCTGTGGAAGAATATGAAGCTGATCTACGCAATTTGTCTATCTATGGCACTTCATTTTGCCATTTTATACACACCATTTTTGCAGGCTTTGTTCTCCATTGAGCCCCTCAACTTGGCTGAGTGGTCAGCCGTGTTTTGGATCTCGGCACCCGTGATATTTATTGACGAGGCACTGAAGGTATTGGAAAGAGCAATGTTTATCAGCAACACCGAGGCAGCGGTTGAGGCGCACAAGAGCGAAGGAAATGGATCCGTGGCCAATGGAAAGGTCAAGGCAAATTAGAGACGTAGTAGGGAAATCTAGTGCGTTTGTACTTTTGATAGAGAGAACCCTTCAGACATAGAAGCGGTATGCTAGATGGAAAAATTGAAAAAACAGCATCAACATTCTCGTATCTAAGCAAATACCCCGTCCGGAGTACAAGGCTGAGTTGACAAGGCTGTACGGATAATCTCCGGACAATTTCCAATGGCAAGAAGAACACATGCCTGCGACCCTCCCTCCTTTCAGGTAATGTACACATGACAAACTAATAAACACATCGCGTGGACAGGTGTGGACAGACATTGGCTGGACCATATGTTGTAGCCTGGGACTGCTGATGCTGTTGTTGTTGTTGTCTTGTCGTTATACAGCCGCAAGTTCTCTCTCCATACCACTCGCTGCTCCTCCTCCGTATGAAGCAAGCCAACCTGGCTAAAAGGCACTATGCAAAAGTCCTTTATCGAGCGTATATTCCCACACCCTCCCACGAGTACCTACAAGCACTTTGCCGATGACGATTATGGCAGTCCAGTACATCCTCGTTCGTCATCGTCACGATCGCCGCGCCCGATCGTCCTGCAGGATTCCGTCGTCACGTCCTCCTCCTCGCACAGGCGCCGCGGCAGTAGTAATGGTTCCTCCTCGTCCGTGTCCAATTACGACCGTGTTGTTTCGCAGCAGACCTTGAGCTCGCCCTCCCTCGTACGACACAACGACCCCTTCCTCCCGGTGGAAAGAGCGGCTCGGAACCTCGAGCGGACACTCCAGGACCTTCTCGATGCTCAGTCCGAAGGTCTCGCGGCGGCCGGGCTCGGTGGCGTCGGGGAAGGTAACGGTTACTCGTCGACTACTTCGGTCGGCAGTCCGACGCCGACTCCGTCTGTGGTTGTTACGTCGATGACTGTGCCTCTGCACCAAGAACCGAGAACGATACCAATCAGGCAGCCAAAGAAGAAACGAGTGACGTTGAAGGACGCACGACGGGGACTCTCGCGGTCGCTGGCCCAATTCGCGGCATTGAAGGAGCACGAGTTGAAAATCATCGACGGCGAAGTAGTCGCGAGGGACGACGCTCTGAAACAGGCGTCGGACCTGGACAATCGGAAACGCCTCTTGGATGCTCAGGTCCATCAAATCCAGGATCGAGCCGTCGCGGTCGATCTACGTAGCGAAGCACAACAGGTCGAGCAGGAGATCACGGAGTTGGAGACGAAGTTGCTCGAGCTCAGAAATCGACACAGACGTCTCCTCGACCAAGTGCGTGAGCACGAGAGCTCCCACGATTCGGAGCTGAGCTCGTACATGGAAGCTTTGAAATTGAACGAGAACAACACAAGGCACTTTTTGCGCCGGCCGCCCGTGTCGCAAGGGGTTGGGCGGGGCGGCGATGATGTGCAGGGGATGTATGCCTTCAAGCCGGAACGGCGGACGCTACAAATGGCCCAGGACCAGTGGACGAACGATTTGGATCTGTTGAATTCGAGAAGAGCCGGCGTTGAAAAGGAGAGGCAAGCGCTGGATGAGGGTGGGAGATTGTGGCACGACGTTGCACATCGGATTAGAGAGTTTGAAAAGGACGTCAGAGGCAGGACGAAAGGTATGACGCAGTCGCGACTAGCGTTGGATGTGAAGGACGATGGTGAAGTAAGCGCTGTGCCGACTGATGATACCACAATGGAGTCGGTTGTGGAAAAGATGAATGCTTTAGTCGACTTTCTCCAAGAAGCATCGGCAAAGGCTGAGACCGAGGGCTGGAAATTGTTGATGTGTGCTATTGGAGCGGAGCTCGCGGCGTTCCAGGAGGCAAGACACGCACTGGACGACAGCAGCCTGAGCTTGACTAATGGCGACCTGGGAGGCAGGGCGAGGGGGAAGAATGCCCGAGATGCGTTCGTAGACGAGGACGAAGCACACCAGGACGACCCGCACCAGGAACTGCTGGGCGAGGTGGCGACCTCGGACGTCGTTGCGGATGTGAATGTCCATGCAAAAACGCCTGGTTTTGATATCGATACGCGAGACTCGACAAAAAGTCCAAGCGAAGAGAGCAATCACAGCCTCGAAGCCACACTGCGCCAGTTTGGTCGCGGCGTGGGCAAAAAGGAGGGCCAAGACGGAGAGCACCAAACTGTTTCCAATGCAGCTGAAAATGCCAATGGTCCCCTGTCTGCGGCGGATGTGCTTGGGGGAAGTACTGGTATTGGAGGCGAAGTCGGTGATGATGGTGGTGGTGGTGGTGGCGGCGGCGGCGACGGTGACGGTGGCGATTATACAGACTTTAAATCGCAGACCGATACAAAGGTGCGTGTACGAGGCCATACATCTGAGAGCGAGGATGAGGACGAACCAGGGCCCGAGTTTCTACTGTCTCATACATGAAACTCCTGAAAAATGTGTCGAGGTGGCATGTTTCATGTTTGTAGCGATTGTATTACTGCGCGTAGTGTTTTGGAGCGATACGAATTAGCTACCTAGCGATCTGCGTCATATATCACAAATGAACCTGGCTGGGTCTATAATCAAATCAATTGAACCGACCTTTCAAGTTATCAATCTCGGGAGAGACGCGTATCATCGGGGAAGAGACAGCCGGTATGTGATTGAATTCTGTGTCTGTTTTGTTTTGTATATATACTTTCATTCGTAAAAGATGTATTCAATTTCATCAAGTCGTACCCTCCTTCTGTTCGTATAACCGCCTCCTTATTTCGGTACTACTAATCTTACTCTCGAAGTTTTGTTTATTCTGTTGCTGCTGTGGTTGTCCTTCAACACCATCGTCGTCGTCGTCATCATCATCATCAAAACCGACACCTGCGTCCAGCACGTCAACTTCAAAGACCTCGAGGGCCTTCCACCCCTTCTCGAGCCTTTTGTCGTTGACGGCCTTGCCGCCGGCGCGGGTCTCGCCGGAAATGACGAGCGCCGTGATGTCTTGGTCGGTGATTGTCGGCCCAAAGGGGTCAGATATCTGTGTGTAGTTGATGATGATGTCGTCGGCGCCGACGGCGTAGCTGACGCGGACGACTTTCCCGTTTGGCCCGGGCTGGTCGACATGTTCTGTCTTTTGAATCGAAGCCACGTCCGGGTGGAATACCAGTATCGATTCGACAAACTCGGCCGTACGCTGTTGGCGGGTCGCCCAGGATTCCACGACCGCCCCGTACTTTTTGTTCACGAGGAGCTCGTCGCCCGTGATCCCTACAGTGATGAGACGTGGCGGCGTAGTGGGCTGCTGTGCGTCTGGTTCGGACGGCTCAGCGGCAAGCACCGTGGCTGTCAGGAGAAGTTTGTGTCCGATGTGCAAGTGGTCAAAGGTGCCGCCGACCGCGACAGACTTGTGGCTTGTCACTGGGCCTTCGTCGCCAGCCACATAGGCTGACGTCGCCGAGGCGCATGGGTTGGTTGTGACGGACGGGCCACAAGGTAGGCGCTGAACCGGAGGGGCGATGCCACCTTGCCGTGACTGCCAGGCCGTGACGAGGGTTCTGAGGTGGGATTCGCCGGTCTCGCCTTCGACCGTGTAGAGTGTCGTGTAGTGGCGAGAGGGAGTCGAGGAGACGAATGTTTCGAAATCGACAATGGGGCCAGAGAGGGACTGTTTGCCTAGGATAGATGGGGAGAGATTGCTCGACCGCGGCTCCAACACAAAGAGCCTCACATCCAGACCTCCAGGGAAGTCCAGGTCAATGTTTGCCTGGGCGGCAACTGAGCAGATGAGACTGTAGGTGTGTGAAAAGAGCGTCTGGAGTAGAGGATAGCTGGCGGACCGGGATATGTTAGGGCTGATTGGATACGAAGATGGGAGCACCAAGGCGATGTCCAGCCTTGTAACGGATGAGGAGCTTGGGTGAGTGAGCTTCGGGAGGAGAGTCTCAAAGGTCGTCTTGTACGCTGATCTCAGTGAGGCTGGACTGGACGGCAGCTGGAGAGCCGGCAAGAGGAGAAGTTCCAGTGGTGATGGAGGTGTCGGTGCCATTCTTCTGATCGTACGGACTTGGTCCAGAGATGGTGACGATGTGATTCTTACTGTTGTATCAAATATCTACGTTGATAACGCTGAGCTGTGAGGAAAGTTATCGGCAATGAAGCGGCTGTCGTGGTTGTACGGCGATGCTCGTCACGACTCTACCGAGGCAGGCAGAGGACTTTCTGTTGAAAGACAGAAATACAGCTCAATCGTCAACTGTTACTCTGTCTCCGTATAACTTAGAGTAGATCATAGGTGGTCTCATGGAGTAAAGAAACCAAGGCTATTATGTCTATGTGGTGGTTGGACGAATAAACGAGGTGCAAAGTGCTAACTCGATGGTTCGTACAAGACTTTCTCAGCAACCACAAAACATCCCACTCAGAGTCACTGCACGGGGCTCGTCAGGCTTCAATTTCCATGTAGTTAGTTGTTGATTATGCCCTTCCACATTCCTCGCCATCAACATACCCTCTCCGACTCTTCTCCCACCTACGACAACTACTACAGCGCCACCAATGCCATATATCAGACTGGCCAGACTCTGAGCTCTATTGGCGCTCCGAACCCTCATTGGAACGACAACAACACGCCCACCACGGCCGCCGAAAATCATTCCTACCAGCCACAGCCAAACACCAATGGCAATGGCACCGTGATTCCCTACCGTCCTGCGCCGAATGCATATCCTGGTACGCACGCCGCCGCCGTCGCACCGCCCTCGTCAGACACACAGTTAGGAGGACATTATCCTCAAGGCTTGCGACGGTCCTTGACTGTCGGGCGACAAGGAGAAAGAGAATACATGAACAATCAACCAGGTTCCGCCATGGGTGACATCCACCACTATGGTGCGCCGCCAGCTTATGGAGGCGAAGCGCTGTCTATCAATATTGAGCCTTCTACGCCCGGCCATCCAAACAATGTCGCGGGGAACACGATCCCAGGGACACTCCAGCCAGGTCTACAGAACAGACCGACGGCACTGAACACGAGCAACACGGCACCGACACTCCCTACTCTGCCTCAAATATCGACCCAGATGCAGCAGTCGCCCTTGTCTGCAAGGCCCATGACCCTCAATCACACCCACAGCTACTCGAGATCGAGTCCAGGTGTAATGGACCAACCGAGATACAAACCGTTCTCAAACAACACTCCTGAGCAATCCAAGTACCCCTCCGCTCCGTCTGGGCACCTCTCGAGCACCCCTCAAGGACCACCGTCTTATTCTCCTCTTGGCCTCGCGGACATCAGGCCGCGCTCCGATACGAATGCCACAGACATACCCTTCAGCCCGAGCACTGCTCAGGAAGAGGATCGCCGAGAACACCCACAGAACAGTAATTATATTGCGCCTTGGCCGATATACGCAGTAGACTGGTGCAAGTGGCCTCCACGGTCAAGTGGAGGTTCGTCGGGCAAGGTGGCCCTCGGAAGCTATCTGGAAGATAACCACAATTATGTATGGTGTTAACTATTTGCTGGACTGGAACAAAGAAGCTGACACACCCAGATACAAATCTTAGAGACTCAACGAACACAGGTCGACCCAGAAAATCCACACGGCGAAAGAGGGCTGGAGTTTATCAAGACTGCGGAAGCCACCCATGCATATCCCGTAACCCGAATACTGTGGGAGCCACCTTCTTCGAACAAGCAAACTACCGATTTGCTCGCCACATCCGGCGACCATTTGAGGTTATGGTCGTTACCGAATGACCAACATGGATACCAGTCCAATTCGATCAACCGTCCACCAAATTCGAAATCACCTCCACCACAAAAGCTATCGCCCTTGGCCCTCTTGTCGAACTCCAAATCTCCTGAACACACTGCTCCAATCACGTCTCTGGATTGGAATGTGGTCCAGCCATCACTGATCATCACCTCCTCAATTGACACGACTTGCACAATTTGGGACATTCCCACACTGACAGCCAAAACACAACTCATTGCTCACGATAAAGAGGTTTATGATGTCCGCTTCTGCGCCAATAGTGTTGACGTGTTTGTCTCGTGCGGCGCCGATGGGAGCGTACGTATGTTTGATTTACGGAGCCTCGAACACAGTACAATCATTTACGAGCCGAGTGAAAAGCAACAAGACAAGAATTGTAAGTTCACCATAAATGCGTTCGATGTCACGAAGTCGCAGGAAGTAGATCTTGATTCGCGACTAACATTTCTGCCTAGCACAACTTTCCGACCCCCTTTCGACGTCCCCGACACGCGGGTCTGGATCTCAGACGCTATCCTTCCCGCCTCCGCTCCTACGTATTGCCGCATCGCCTCATGATACCCATCTCCTCGCCACTTTCTCGCAAGACTCGAGCGTCATCCGCGTACTAGACGTACGGCAACCCGGGCAGGCCTTGCTTGAGCTGAAGGGGCACAGCGCTTCTGTAAACTGTGTGGAATGGAGCAATACGCAGCGAGGGTTACTCGCCTCTGGCGGCGACGATTGCTGTGTGCTGTTGTGGGATCTGTTGGGTTCGGCCGGCAATCTCCCGGCGGGTGTCCCGGCGGGAGCTTCTGGAGGTGGCGGAACGGCCCAGGAACGTGGACCTTCTGCCGTCTGGGAGTCACGGTACGAAGTGGCCAATTTGAGCTGGGCGCCGACCATGGGAACACTCGGAGTCTGTGGTGGCAAGGGGTTCTGGGGTGTCCAGCTTTGAGTGCTCTTGATCGGACCTCCTTCCCAACATTCACGACGAGCAATTTACGGACATGCTCTTTATGAGTTTGGATTCATCAGCCTTTGTTGGTTGCCAGTTGAAAAGATGCCCCCCCCGGACGCCTTTATTCACATAGGACCACACTTGACCAACTTGACGGCAGGCGGGTCTGGCAGGGTTGTTGACAGCCCTGGCAACAACGCGATCAATATGATGCGCTGCAAGGTGGTTTCGAAAACGCACGCGTGAGAGGAACGTGGCGAGGTGTACGGGACGAGCCAAAATGTGTGTATGTGTGTGTGTTAGGAGAGCACAACTAGGTACCTACCGACCTAGAACCAGGGCGGGAACACCTTCATAGCGCTGGCGTTGCATTCACTTGATAAAACCTTTGGCCAACGACGTTTACCTGCATCCCCCCGTGTTGAACCCCTAGTGGGAGTCAAACCAGCAGGGAGACCTGGTGTGTCTACTATTGTATGCGCGTTTCAGAAGTTGTCGCAAAGATGTCAAAACTTTCTAGAAGCAATGTGTTGCCCAGACAGACAAATGACATGTGATGTTGGCATTTTGAGGCCATCATTTGATTAATTTCATATAGCTAGCTCCTGGTTACCTAGACAAGTAGGTACCCAAGGTACGGAGTAGTCAAGACAGGTAGGTATATTTCGTAGATAAGTTCTGGATTCATCGTGCTCTACCGCAAGAGAGGATGGATACAAAAAGACTGTTCAACAACTCAGTCCCACACCTTCTTTTTTTTTCAGTAGTCGAGCCCAAGGATGGGAAAAATAAACTGCCCAGCATCTTATACTGGCGTTGGAGTTGCGTGTGTAGCAGATGTGTGTACACCACATTCGATGTTTGGTATCTTGATATCAATGATAAAGAGACAGGGGGGAAAAACAACATAAAATCCCCTGGCTTTTTGTAACTCTCTCACATCAACAGACGCCAAGCACCCAGAATGAGAGCCGCAGTTCCGGTACAGACACCCCTATTAATGACAGAGGTTAGCATAAAAAGAGGTTTTTTTTTGAGAGATATCAATCAAGGAGGTGTAAAGGGTGTAAGGGCCGGCCCGGCACAAAGGGAAACAACTCACATCAACCACTGCAGGGTCGAAAACTTGACGGCCTCTACACGTTCCCGGAGACCGGCGACTTCCTGTTCGATCCGGGCCTCGGTCTCCTTGATCCTCATCTCCTGCCCGTTGGCCTCCTCCCTGATCCTGCCCTTTTCGAGGTTCAGGTCGAGCCGGACGCTGGCCTGGGTGCGGCCGATCTCGTCCCTCAGCCTGGCGTTGAGCTTCGCCAGGTCGCTCGACAGCCGCTCGTGGCTGGACCGGGTCAGCTGGGCCTCGGTGCTGTCGGCGTTGGACAGTTCGCTGCGGAGCTTGGCAAAGTCGACCTTTTGGGTGTAGGTGCTCCGCTCGGCGTCCTCCTTCAGGACCATGGTCCGGGTGAGGTTCTGGATGGACTCCTCGATGACGTCGTTGAGCACCCGCATCATCGCCACGGCCTGTTCCTCGCTGAACCCCTCGTCCTTGAGGCGCTGCACAAACTTCAGCGTGTCAAAGTGGTGGTCCTTTTGGCACGCCGCGGTCGCCGAGAACGCCCGCCGGGCCGTCTTGAACGTCGCCACGTACACGCCATTGTGTCGGATGGGCGCAGAGTCGACGGGGAGGGGTCGGACGGTCCAGGCGCGGGGTGAGCGCGAGGACGGAGACGAAGACTTCGACGGCGCAACGGGCCCCGAAGGGATCGTCGCCGCGGCGGCCGCGGCGGTGGTGGTGTGTATTGAACGAGACGCGGGACCCCGCCTGAAAGAGGAGGGAGTAGGCTTCTTCTTGAGCGACGACGAAGGTCTCGTGGTGTGCACTGTCCGTGGCACTGGCTCGACCAGCGAGGCGGTGGCCCTTGTCGTCGTCCAGGTGAGTCGAGGCAAGAGAAAGCGTGGTACTGCCACGGGTTTCGACCCCGTTATAGATGACATTCTGCGATCCCAAGACCCTGTACTCGGTGGCGCAGGATAATAGCCCAAAAAATCTTCTCCGTTAGAGAAAACAAGTATACGTAGATGTTCGAGAGAGAATGTGGGTAGTTTGGGTACTGTATTTGCCTAAAGAGGCGCAGTTTCAACGTCCGGGGAAAATAGGCGGAAGGAAATAATCACAAGGCTTGATTCGGGGGAGGGAAGAGGTAGTTTTCAGCCAATCATGGTCACGCAAAATAGTCTCGTTCACAAGGCTGACAATGTGAGCCCCTCCCAGCACATGGGCTTTGAATGTGTCAATTTGCAGAAGACTCTTCGTAGCATGGTCGCTGAGAGAAACACCAGTAAATGTGCCAGTCAACGTTTTGAACATGTTTCGCCCATGACCACCAAAAAGGCTGAACATTCCAAAATTTTCTCGAGTCCTTTGAGATAGCTCCTAAGGACGAGTACTCCCTACAGGTAAAGCCTATGGCTTGATTTTCAACTGTGTACCATGACGAGGCCTTACTGTGTCGTCTTGAAAAAAAAAGTCATATGTAGATGTCTCCCATCGCACCAAGATTCCCAGTCATGCCCTCATTCATCAGCCTTGCCATCATTTCGTCTTCTTGCCTTCCCTGAGACTACCCTGTCTCTTCACGGTCGCACTCGAGGGGGACTCACTTTCCTTCTTCTCTTGTTCGAGTTTCTCCTTTTCATGGAAGTCCTTCAGTGCGCGCGCGTCAACACGATCGGCGTACATTTGGCCGACTTGTAGAACCAACACACCAACAAGCACCAACGCCAGGATCGTGTTGCTGGCAGCTAGGACCTTGAGGTTGTCCTCACGACCCAGCACTCTGTCGCCCGAATCCGCGTCTTGGCCCTGCATGTTCAGGTTGTCCAATTGATCTTGATCCATGTTGTTCAATCCTAATCCATACGTGCCGTCGTTGACGATGCGGAGACCTTTGACAATGTTTGCAATGTAGACAATGACCGCGACCATGTAGAGCACCAGACTGCCTCCGTCGAAAAGCATGTTGGACTCGGTGGGCTTGTACAGCTTGATGAGCAAACCCAAAAGGCCCGCGGTCAACATGATGTGTAGGATGCGCTGGATAAGATTCGGCGCATTGTGCAAGAGTTGTAGGTGTGTCTCGATGGCATCAAAGTGCGTGTCCGGCGTAGGCAGTGACGACCAGAGGAGGGGATAGTCGTAGGGGAAGAGAGAGAAGAGAATGCCCAGGAAGAACGAGACAGCTGCGTGCGCGACTTGTTAGTTTTGTTTTGGTACTAGGTGTTTCTCAAATGTGGTGATACTCACGGCAGATGATGAGGAACGTCGCAAATGGATTGGTAGGCATTCTGACAAGGTACAGACACTCGTCTCGATATGTTTGTTGAGAAGCTGAAAAGTTTGGTTTCAGGTGAAATTGCAGTCGAAATGTACTTAGGTATCCAAAGATTGCACTTCAGCTGAACATGCGCCGAAATACTTCCAAGTCACCCAACAAAGTGCCACAGTACATACACAAGAAGAGGAGAGATCTAGACAGATTATCTGAAGTAATGAAGCAAAAGTCAGAATAATCAAGCCAAGAAAAAGTCGTTGAGAGTGTAGAAAGATGCTCTTGGTATTCAGGAGCTTAGAAGACAGGCTTGTTCATAGTTCATAAAGTGGTGTTGCATTTTCGGTTCAACTTCATCTATTGTGGTTGGTGGCGGGAGGCGATAAGCGATAAGAGCTTGGACGGATTTACCCGGCAACAACTTCTTTTTCCCCCCAAGTACAAGTACGGAATACAGAACGCATCCATCCAATGTCATGACCTACTTCTAGATGGCATCAGATGCCGAGCCGTTGTCTTACAGCTACATCATCACGGTTTATGGTATTTATGTGTTTGGAAAGGTGAGCTGAGTGAGCAGAAAGGAGTCAAGAATATCTTGATACACCATCAATGGCACAAGAACGTCACCAGAACGAAGGGGACAAAATACCAAAGACCTGGCAAGGTCTCTCTCATGTACACCTGATTTTGGGCAATCGTTGATCAACATGTTATTGTCATGACAGGCGGCGGCAGAGCCAGTTGATCTTCTTCCATGCCCTATCATGCCTCGATATCATTTTTACACTACAAGACAATTGCATCGCTCGATTTCATGCAGGACTGTCGAAATTAGACGATTTCTCCCGGGTCCTTACTTGATTCTCTGGATATAACTGAGTCGGCAGCACTTGTCAGCAATATAATATTCCGCTCACAAGAATTAAAACAGCTCCGCGAGACGAGGTTGTGAAAAAAAACACATTGGAACCCCTGTCAAGGCATGGTCATCACAAATCCTCTTTCCCCTCCAATGATGGCATAGAATGCGTGAGGGAGAAGGATTTGGTCTTTTCGCATCCCATCATCCTGGCGCTATGACGACGTCGTCTGATTGGCAATAGGGGCTGATCGTGGAGCAATGAAAGCGAAGCAAGGCAGATCTTTAATCTGCTTTGTTGCCTGCGCCTTGTCTGAAACGACTTTCAAGGTCACACGCCACAGCAGAAAGGCACTCATCCTCAAGCAATTCTAAGCTTGCCCTAGATCGTCGATGTCTATGGTGCTGTCATGCCCTTCATGGCGGAATAGTTTGATAGCATGACGAAAAAGGATTGTTTTTCCCACCCGAAACGCTATCCCCAGGATCCACTGGTTGCTCGTGTTGATGCAAGTCATCGCCCATGTACAGACAGCGCTTGCGTAGAGACAAAAGCCCGTTCAACAGTCGTGGAGATCTCTATCCGATTGGTCACCGGAGAGCCGTCCATCCGGACATCCCCTGTACAGGCGAACAGTGGTTCATGATCACGCCAATAGCTCAGCGATTGCCACAGTGTAGTAGCCAATCCTTATTCAGCCTCACAATCCGTGAGGGTCGATGACATTACCCTTCGATTGACTGGACGTGCGTCCCGTTTGTGAATCAGTGTTGCAAAATTCATCACACAACTGGCGGCTTGCGTGGGAGATGAGATCCTGCTGATGAAGCATATCAATTGATTGGATCTTGAAATGTGGTCGTCTGAGACATCATATCACTGCTGGAAAACAATCAACTCAGACCCAGGCTATTGGTGCCCAAAGTGATGGCGCGCGCTCTGGCAACATGGTCGACGCAGGGAGGGGAAGCGATGAATGTTTTCGTCCACTGAGGCGGCCGAGAAGCTATAGCGCCCGATGCAGTCCAGGCCGTGATGCAAGATATGCGAAAGAGCTGTGCCGCGCGCTCAAGGCGAGCATATCTGCAATGCCTCATCTGGCCATCCGATCTGGTTTTGCGCCGTGCAGCTGCAACGAATCAGGAAATCAAAAGCCATGTAGCGGCTAAAACCTGTATCATGGCAAACAAGGCAACAAAGCAACAGAGATGGCCAGGTGGTCAGCGGCTTACCAACTGGATAGATAAAATCCACGTGCCCGCCTCTGATGCCCCTGCACAACGCATGTGAATGTGCACTACAGTCGCTCTGTCTCTCCTCGAATCCAGGTCCGTTACTCACCGAGCCCGATCATACCATTCCACGCCTGGATACTTTGCAAGCACCACGGTTGACCTAATAGTGGAGGCCGAGTCTTACCGAACACCACCAGCTTCTTTCCTGGCAAACGCCTTTCGCCTGTCGACGTCTAGCCCGCTAGGCTGAGCGTGTTGAGGCCGACAGGGAAAGGAAAACAAACAACACCGCATACTTCGAGCTTGCATTGCCAACTGTCCTGCTGCTGCTGCTGCTGCCGCCTGCAGTAGTTCTCGCGAGTCACAGTCGGAGGCCTCGGCGTCGAATCAGCATACGCCGCGACGACGAGCTGAAGGGTTGAGCTGGTCGGATGTGGACAGGGTGAAGCCAATCAATCAGCTGCCAAGGACTATTCTTGTCGTCGAAGGCAGATCCATCAGATCCACTTCCCTTTCCCCTTTGCCGCCGGCGGCAACAGGAGCAAACTCGACCAACAACAGGAGTTGATCCCGCACTCCCCCCGGTCATCCCGCTGTTTTAACGCGCGCCTTTGACCTATCTCGACTGTCCAACACCATCCGTCCCTCAATCCTTTTTTCCACTCGGCACCATTCTTTCCTCCCTTCACCACCACCTGTTCCCTCGGATCCTTCGTTCTTCACTTCTGCTGCCGTCATTCAGTGTCTTTTTCGACCAGGCGCCTCCAGGCCAACCACTCTCATTGCTCCATTTCTTCGCCGGCTGGCCCTGCACACGGATCTTGTTCTCTTCGTACCATTTACGCGCCAGACGATCTCCAGTCATAGCTGACTGCTCACCTGCCAACTACTCACCGGTCTACTGCGCCTTGTCCATGCGCCGGTAGCTAGGCTGGACTCATCCTGGTCAAGCTGGTGGGTGTCAGTACGAGCTACTGCTGTGCGAGCTGTGTCTGCCCAGAAATAGATCAGGCGTCGCTCCCTTCTGTCTACTGTCTTCTTACCCTTCTTCCCTTACGGAACGATCCTCTCCTCCCTGCGCCAGTTTCCGTCAGGTCTCTCATCCACCGACCTCCCCGTATTCGCGACGTCAAAAGGCTTCAAGGACCGACTCTCTCGTTGTCGTCGTCAAGATGCCTGCTGTGACGAGACCGGTGCTTCCTCCCCTCCAGACCCCCAAGACGGCCTCATTCCCCTCCGAGATTGTGAACACTCCGGTGTCATGTGTACCAGCAATGATCAAACAGGAGAGTGCTGGAACGCCCATCACCCCTCCAGTCGCCTACACCGACTTTCTCAAGGCTTTGACACCGGTGCTGGCGAGTCCTCCATCGACGGGAGCTCTGCAAAGATCGTTGTCTGATGAATCGACAAGTACCAGAAACTCCATGATCTCTAATACCTCTACCTCATCCAGTTTGTCCTCAGCGAAAAGCGAAAGCCACAAGTCGCCAGCAGGTTCTGTACCACCAACGCCAGATGCTCGCCGCAACCTTAGGCGGCTTCGCATACCTCACTCCCCGGCCTTTTCACCCAATACATGTGGCCCCTCTCCGCGTACCGCATTCAGTGGTATGAGCGCTGGCAGCATGATCTACTCCCCCTTTTCTCCTGCAGATTACCGCTATTTCGATGCTCCTAGGAGTGCATGTTCTAAACCAGTCAGCGTACGTTCTGTCATGACGAGGACGGTTGTCTACAAACGATCACCTCCTCTGGACCCAGCACCCAAGGGAAAGAAGCGCAAACTCGACACCTCTGATATGCCTCCCCCGTCAGCCACGAAGGAACCCATGGGAATTTCGGTGGATAAATTCCCCTCCACATTGATCGACTCAACCTCAACAATTGCGGCCTCGCCTGAAGCACTGAGTGTTAGCACCCCGACTACTGTTTCTACACCGACAGCTGTCGCCTCAACTTAATTGTCGCATGTCTCTGGTGGATAGTGTCAACGTATCGACACAAATCATCTCAGCAGGCAAAAAATCTATCTTGCTCACGACTTGACTCGTTCCGAGTCTCTAACGATATGTCCATTTGATTTCTTTTGTACATGATACCACATGAGGTTCCGCGAGGGCGCTCGGCGTACGGGTACGACGAGTCACGACATATAGCCGGAATGAATAGGTCACCATGAACTTGGTTGGAAATTCGTCAACCGACTGACTGTGCCAGAGGTTGGCAAACGGCGCAGATCTTATTGTTCATTTTCTTTACGTTTTTGCAATCTTGAGCATGGATCCGTGGTTGGATATCTGAAAAGCACTGCTCTTCTCTGGTTTCGAAATGGGGTTGATAATCCGCAGCCGGATTCTACAGAAATGAAGATGTATGATTTGGAAAAATCCCGAGGTGGGCAATCAATCACTTAATTTACCATCCTCGAGAGTGTAAGGAGGAGCGTGAGCTTCGGCCCAGGAATGCAAATGGCATACTGATTTCTCATTGCATGCTATTTTCAGAGCACTTTTCCCAGCACACAAAGTTTTTATTCATGCGAAACGTACAGTGCCAGTGAAGCGATGCAACGCAAGACAGAAAAAAACGTGGCAAAGAGCCGCGTTCTGGGGTTCTCGGCGACTTGGGCTGAGGCTGCGCGCTCAATCGACGATTCAGCTTTCAAGACGAGATTTTGAACTTCTCTTCATTCGCTGACGATCATGTATGATTACGTAGATATGCGAGTCAAGTGTTTGTCTGCCGATACTACTGTACCTTGTGTATGATTTAAGAGAATGACGAATGGAGGGGGTACTGAAAGGGTGGTCTGTTTATTGGTTTCTATTGGTGAAGGTTGTTATAGGAGGTGTGGAAGGCATGCCAACCAGTGGGAAGTCTGAGATCGGTAACCACCAAAAACAGTCCTCTCCGAGACGTTTGGGACTTTTGAATGACCCCAAAAGTCGTGTTCGGTAGTAAGCCTGAGGCTTGCCGGACACCTCATTCACACCGAGGGGTTAGGTTAGTTAATACGAGTGATCGTGAAGAATGACTCGGTGTTCCAGAAAGAGAGACCAAGTTCTTCAGTCGACATCACCGAGATGGTCAAACTTCAGGGGGAGCTTAACTGTTGACAATGTACCTTTGCTGCATCAATCACTCTCACGACGAGACGGTACATGCAGATCACCGTTCTCTACCTACGGAGAAAAGTACTTGTGATTGAAGATCTCGGGGATTCGAAAAACAAACTCGGCAGAAAACATGAAAGAGACAAGGGGGGGAGAGGGACGGCGGTGGAGGGGGGGGGCTCGTCGCTCAGCAAAAGCGGCGCGAACGATTTCATCCTTTTACATCCCCCCCAACCCATCTAGATAACTTACCCACCCCACCCACCCTTATCCTTCTCCCTGGGTTTGCCTCGTGCTTTTTGCTTGTATTATTTTGCCAACGCACAAGTAAGGCCAAGGATCAGCGAGGCTAAAACCGCATCTCCGAACCTGGTCTGGTATGGGAGGTGTTTTGGGTTCAGTTCAGTCAAGTCTCTAGCGTCGTCTCAAGGGGAGAAGAAAGTGTGACGATTGGGTTGGCGTTCGAACCTGGGACGTGTGTGTGTCTGTGTGTGTGTTGTGTGTGTGTCCACCGTACCGCATCGCTGGAACCGTACCAACTACAAGTAGTCCGTTTTAACCTTTTGGTGGTGACCGTGACAGGGATGTAGACCGGCAGAGTGTTTTATTTTCGATGGGTACAGTAGGTCGCATGAACGTGGGCGCTTAATCGGTCACCGTCAGCCAGTCGAAACCAAAGGATGGAGTTTGGTGTTTTGGATAACCGGTGAAGGGAGAATGATTGGGAAATGGCAAGGGTTTCCTGGTCCTGGTCTGTCAGGCTTTGCTTGTTCAAGTTGAGGTATGACAACGAATGAACAACCTAGAAATATGTGGGGACAAAAGGGGGCCGGCGCTTAAACATCACGACCTTGTTACGAGAGTATGAGAGTAACCTCTCTCTCTCTGTCTACCCTTTTTACCTCTTTTTCTAAAACAGATAACCCTTCCAACGAATCTGCAGGTTGTATTGCTTCGTACTCCAAGAAGAAATGCATCGACAAAGCCTGCCCAGGTTTATCGATACAGAACTAAACCAGCCAGGTGTTGCTTCGGATCCTATTGTCAGACCAGGAAAACAAGGCCAGCGTTGCAAAAAGCATAGCATTAGCGAGTTTCGAGCGTGGTCGAGGGGAGGGACCAGGCCACGCGACGCGACGCGATGCACCGCAATGCGTGTGACGTTTTCTCTTTTTGGGAGGGGAGTTCTTTTTTCATGCACCTAAAGAGTTCGGTTGCACCGCAGGACAGAAACTCGTGCATGCCCTCTCCTTGTAGTGTCAGAAACAACTCGTTGGGGTGTAAGTATCAGCAAATGAGCCGAGGGAGGCCGGGGGCCCAGAGCAGAGCTTCTTTTACCGAATGGTTGTGACTTTACTTCGTAAAAGGGTGTACAGTACAGTACTATCACTTGGACATGTGATCAATTGCCTTTTCTGGTCTGCTAGTCCGTCAAAGCATCAAGTACCCCGTACCTCGTCTACTTGTGGGTACCGAAATTAGCAATGCCAAAGCTCAAGAATTTTGGGCTCTATATAATATATATATATATGTGTGTGTGTGTGTGTGTGTTATGTATATATATCGTAGGTGTTGTAGAGTGAGCCGCCCACATTCCGCCCCACATAGTACCTTCAACCTGTTTTCTACTACCACTCCACCAAAAGAAAGGGAATCTGCTCAGAAAGAAGCCAGAATACTTCTTGCCCTTCAAGCTCTCAAACAAGAATCCTACACAGAGTGTACGATCCATTGTCAAGGCTTATAATTTCCCCAGATCAACTTTACGCGATCGAAAGGACGGTCGACCCTCTCGACTTGACCAACTAGTGAATTCTCGAAAATTGACTGATCTTGAAGAATCTGTCCTCGCAAGAGAAGTCCTTGACCCATATTCATGAGGATTTCCTCGCCGACTCAGCCGTGTGGGAGATAGGGCCGACAATCTACGTAGAAAGCGTGGCGCGTCACACGTCGAACCGCGCTGGGTATCGAACTTTGTGGGTGTGCGTTGTCGATGCTCAGAGTACCTGCTCCTCATTTCACTACGCAGGGCATTTCACCACGCTACGATGTCGATTAGCTGCTAACGCGAGAGGAACGCCTTTTCGATACAAGCTGAACATCCGTGGATGCGTGATCCAATGCATATCACCAATCACAACCACTCAATGCAGCCACCGAGCAAAGTGGCACTCGTCCTCGACATGTTCGAAGGCTCAGCCTCAGCCTCAGCGGCACATCCCTCCTGCACCTCTTCACGGCCTCATCGACTCTTTTCATTATCTTCTTCTCTTCTTCAGCATTCATCTGCGTCTGTACTGGCGATAGGATAACGAGTTGGGCTAATCCAAACTGATTGATCCGGTTTCGCCGGTAAGCTTCGATAGCTTCAACCTGATTTCGAGCAGCGTGATGAGGCTGGCAGACTTGATCATTGTTGCCGTCCTTCTAGGCTTTTCTCATTTGCCTCTGGCGGCAGCCGCCAACAACTCTACAATTTTCACTCTCCCACCTGGATATTCCAATCATAACGACACTAATTTGCTTTGCAGGCCGACGAAGTGGTCCGACATTGCGGTATTCTTTCTGGGCAATTATATCGCCCACGCCGCCACGGTCAAAACAAGTCCCGGAGAAAGTACATTTGGTGCTGTCATCGTCGTCATCTCAGCTCTTCTCTTTCCGACTTCTGGCGTAATTCGCGGCTGCGTGACGGCATCAAGTCTCGCTGTATTCGCGCCGACAGATCTGAGATGCGCTGCACGAGCCGGCGCCCTCTGTACTGTCGCCTATGATCACAAGAAACGGAGTGCCAGACCCTCGGTTTTGGGTAGTAAGTACACTCAATGCCTGGTATTTTCCAGGCTAACATTCAAACAGCCAAGATCGATCCAAGATTAACAAAGATTCACGGTATCGTCAGTGCTCTCCCACCTGGCTTCAGCCTGATCCAAGTACCCCGCTCAGCAAAATTTCTCCATGATCCAGACCCAGAAAAGAGAAGTTGGTTCCGAAAGGTGTTGGATCCTGTGAAGCAACTTTTTCGCCCAGTTCAGGCTCGATCGGCGCTCATCTCGAGCAACTACAGCTTGGTCAAAATCTTCGTGGCGATTGGCCAATCATTGTATGGCATCGCGACTCTCTACGAAAGTGCCAGGGGTGACCAAATAAATCGCTACGGCTATGCAGCCTTTGGCCTTACGGTGGTTCCTTATGCTTACATGTCGCTGGTAAATCTCCTTGCAAATCTTCTTGCTCCGCATTATCCTACAATGTATCTAGTCGAGTCGCAGGCAATGCGAGATGCTTCAGATCTCATTGGCAGAGGAGATGTTGGCGATGTCGACGTTCAAAGTACGCATGAAGCACCATCCACACATGAGTATTCAACGGCCCTTGAAATGTTGCCTAATGCTGCAACTGGCGCGCAAGGCGACGACAACAACACGCAACCGGCCAGAGAGTCTCCTCTGAGCAATAACGCTATGCTTCATGGCAGATACCCTCCAGGGTCGCAGGAAGAGATGGACATTCCACCAACCGTGTCAGAGATCTACGATCAGGAGGGACGGTCCGAGAGCAACGATGGGCAGCCTCAGCAAAGGGTCCAAGGGCCGGTGGACCAAGATGAAGAGAATCTGAACCGCGAGCCTCGCCATGATGACATAATGTCCCGGAATCAACATGAAGAATCTCGAGACGACAACCCCCTCCAGGCGAGCCCGCCAACAAGTGTGGCATTTTCTGGCACTGTCGGGGTACTTGATCCTGAATGGGATCGAGAGTTCTTAGGACAAAGACATCAGTACGCTGCCCTCGAGGACAATGGCGAAGGAAGGAATCAGCAAGGTCAGGCCACATTGAATGAGCAATCGATATCTCCTCCTCCTCACCACGAAGGGCCACGTGGCACGGTCAGCCATAATCAGAAAACAAGTAAAGGGTCATCGGTTTGGACGGTGCTGAGTATCATCATCGCCATCCCATTGGGAGTCGTGGTATTTGCTCTCATAATGGTGATCCCAGGACTGCCTATCGTGGTTGTCGGGGCACTGTCTCACTTCCGAAAGGGCGTGCTGAGCACTCATGCTCAGCGGGTCTGGACGATGACATGGTTGGCTTTCGGAATATTCGTCGGGCCCGCAGTGGACACCTTCAGATCCTTGATAGATGACAATTACGTTGGGATTGGCTGGAGACTGTATTTTGCTGTCTCCGTGGGGCTCTTTTACGGCGCGCCGGCTGTAGGCGGCTTTGTCGTGGTGGCGCAAATGCTGCTGGCATATGGTGTATGCATAAGGATCTCCTAAAAGATTTTCTGAGAAAGAGCCGGAAACGGGGAGGCCCTTGCATCTGGCCAGACGAGGGCTCCGAAAGCAGTTGTGGGACCATTCGAGGAAGGTGGCTACAGGGACTGTCGGGCGTGGAAGCAGGAAACCGCCCTTACCTTGCCTGCAAGGGTCAAAGACAAGTCGGCTCGGCGAGACTGACGGTAACGTGCCGTTTGAAAGACACTTTTCCGCCGTGATCATCAAGTGCCATCACATATCCTACATACTTATCCGTCTTCCCAACAACGTGATTATGAAACCGGGAGACGATAGCACCAGCACGGCCCAGACCCTGTAACCGACGAAACATGGCGTACAGTGCATACCCAAGGGGACGGCCGCTCCATCACGATGTCCCCATTGTCCTTCGATTACAATTCAGCCAGCTGTCCGGACTTGGGCCGCTCATGTCCAAGTTTTCCATCCTGATTCAACGGGCTAGACGACGGAGCCGTCGTAGACCGTGTCGGCGAATCTACCGAGTCTGACACTGATAGTACTTTCTACCCTGAACAGATTTTGGGAGGTAACTACGTGTACGTGATGAGTGAAATGGCGCTACAGCCCCGCCCGACACCGTACGTGGTCGTCGTCTTCAGTGTCGAAGGACATTTAGGTGGAGCGGGCTTCTTTTGATACCAAGGTATTGAACGGCGATCCTCCCGTAAATATGAAAATCCCGTTATCCTTTACCCAGATTGTTATGCTGAGCACGGCTTACTCGAGCTGAGGAAAAACAGCGAGGCTCAACATCTTTTTCTCTTTGCCAAATGACAATAGTATAGTCCTCAGAGAACTGGTATTCATTTTGGACATCTTGTAAAATTTCCACGGAGTCTATTATGACGCCTTTATGGTGGTTGATCTCAAGTGGCCTATCTGAGGGCGATTTTTATATGACATGAGTGCAATGCTATCCCTTCTCGCGCAGACAGATTTGTGCTTTCAACAATGTTAGATACTGTATGCTCATGGAATGTGCTTTTGTACTCCGTATGACAAAAGAGCATGCAAGTCACAGGTGTACGGGATATGCACCACCCAACTTCATCCCTGCAATCTCAGCCTGATCCGGTCCACCAATAGAAATCGTCCCTGTTCGGCCTTGGCATTTGGTTGCGCTTTTTCGGAAACCCGTCTCGCAACTTTCTCTCAAGAAGATCCAGTTCGACACAAGCTGTAGAAAAACGAAACAACTTTGAATCGTCGACGCTCACTTTTTTTTTCGTGTTTCCTGATTTCAAGCGGACGACCTTCCCCGGCAGCTGGGCTACTGTGCATCGCCACGAAGCCTCAACACCCAACAACACCTCAGCTGTACATTTAATCCACCTTTGCAACTCGCCCTACTCGAGCATCTCAAAAGTCATTGTACCGACCGAATACACATCCAGCTTCACGACACAGCTCAACGCAACTCTACATCGTCCTTTGCTTTACACAGCCTCGGTTCCTAATTAGCGACAAAAGCAACGACCTCCTCCTTCCGCGCTTCACTTCCGGGGACGAAACCACCACCAGTTCTCTGCACAACAAAATGTCTCTGGTCCACCTCGCCAACACGTGCTCACACCTCCAAAACGCCTCTCGGGCCCGGTTGGGGTTGACGTCGATCCCCGACACCAAGTTCCACCTGGGTCTCATGCTCGCCCTCCAGAACGGCGGCTTCATCTCGACCGTCGTCCGCGGCGGGCCCGAACCCCCTCCGCCTCACAAACTCCTGTCGCATCCGAGCTCGTCGGACCCGAGCCACCCGATCGAGCCGGTCACGCGTCACAACATCTCGAGCCGACGGTTGTGGCTGGGCCTGAAGTACTGGGAGAGCGAGCCGGTCCTGTCCAGGATGAGCCTGGTGAGCAAACCGACGCGGCGGATATGGATGGACGTGTCGGGCCTGCAAAAGGTCGTCCTCGGCAAGACCAGCGGCTACGTCAAGGGCCTGACGAGGACCGGGGAGTGCATGTACGTCAGCACGGATCGGGGCATCATGGAGGCCAGGGAGTGCGTCGAGAGGAAATTGGGGGGCATGTTGATCTGTAGGGTACGATGATGGCCGGCAGAGGATCAAAGAAATTTTTTTTTTTGATCAGGAGTATTGCGGCCCGCGTCGAGACGATGGATCGCGGTGGTGACGAGGATGTTTCTGGAGTCCCGGCTGGTCTCCTCAGGGGTGCCTCTTGCTCGAAATTTGACGCATTCAAGTCCAGAGGATCCAGGGGAAAATTGAGAATGGGCCAACGAGTCCGAACACCGAGGGATTTCCTTCGAGGGAGTTCAAAAACGACAAGTCCATCATCACCTTGGACGTCGATGGGTGATTCTGGATGTAGATTGAGGCCTTTGGACACGACAACCACCCTGCAATGAGAGTCCTTCAAATTGAGCAGGTGGAGTATTTTTTTTTGGCCTGTCTCACAATTTCGGATTCTGTGTTCACTCGACAACTCGGGACGAGAAGATGAGACTACAATTGTATCTTTAAAAGAAGATGGGGCCAAAGAAGTACAGGGAAGTCAGATGAACGAAGAAAGACGAGAGAGTAAGAAGAAGGAATCATCGGACGACAAAAAAACACAACACAGGACACACGACGCTTTCTACAACCTTTTGGAGCTCATGAGCACCACCCATCACCACTCTCACACTCACCTTTTGCTTTTTCTTCTTCTCTTCCTTTTTTTTCAAAACAAGAGAGGCTCGAGGGAACCACTGTCGGATTGTTGACTTCCGGCCAGATTGACTTGACGGTTTTCAATCTCGTTTCTCGTCTTCCTGGTCGCGGTCTGTCTGTCTCTCTCTCTCTTTGTGTTTGTGTATGTGTATGTATGTATGTGTAGGTACAAGGGTATATAAATTTACGTGTATGTGTACAATAATACTCCCAGACACTTCATTGATCTACCTGGACGGGTCTGTCGAGAAAGACCTGACGTGTGGAGGCGTCTCGACGGTCAAAGTTACACACTACTCATCCTCTTGGGCACGCCAACAATGTATAGCCTGTGCTCTCTTCTTTCTTTGTGAATGATGCACCTAGAAAGATCAGGAGAAAGAAACCCGAGGCACAGGAGGAGTCGCAACAAGAAAAGAATGCAATATAATCTATCCTTTTCCCTATCACATCTCTCCCACTACTACCCTATTTTTGAAATCTTTTGCGCTTTGTGAAAAGAAAGCAGAAAAAAATTACATTGATCCTACACGGCTTCTCTCGATTTTTCGGTAAGCCAGGTTCGGCTGATTAAAGGCGACTGTCTCCCTGTACGAAACTACTCTGCTTGTTCTTCAGAATCAGTCTCGTAGTCGAACTCCGCTGGACAAGGAGCTTCTTCAGTTCCTTCCTCGTCCTCGTCAATTGCAGTCAATACTCCAACTGCCGCGGCAGCACCAGACCCGGTGATCTGTCGTGCGGGAGTCTCTGGGGTTGCTTGACTGGCAGCACCTCCAGGCGTTCGACCAGCGGCGGGAGCAGCAGGAGGTTCGACCTTACTGACGAGAAGAGGAATAACCTCGCGCTCCTTCTCTGGCTCCGTATCAAGAACCACCATCACACCACCGGTGGCTTGCTTGACGGGCTGGTACCGCTGATCCGGGAATGTCAAATACTTCACTTGAGCCGGAAGCACTCTCGACATGTTGGACATGTCATAACCGACCTTCTCCTTCTCGGCCTTTTTCTTCACCTCAGTAGCTTCTCCCTCCTTCTTCTTACCCTCTTCCTCCTTGACTGCCGGCTCATCCGTGTCCATTTTATCACCCTTTTCAACTCTTGGTGTCACCGGCGTCGCCGTGTCAACGTCCATGCTGTCTCTTCTTTGCTGCTTCTCTTTCTTAGCCGCACGTCTGCGTGCCTGAGCGGTAGTACTGAGAACAGCAGTCTTGACCTTCTCCGGCGCTTCGTCCGCCTTGGTGACTTGTTCAGGAGGATAGTCAAACAGACTTGGTCGAGTGTTGCAGTGAAACTTGAAGACTGGGGCCTCCAATTTCTGGTCAATCGCAATAACCGCAGTAGGTGTCAGCGACAATGACAGGAAGTGCGCAAGTGGGAACCAGTACCAGTACTGTGTAAAGACAACAGCACCGACGATTCCCAGCATGTTCAAGTTACCAGTCTGCGTTTGCAGGCTGATGGTGCAATTTCGGCCACCAGCATCAATGATACCCAAAGCCATAGCACATCCGAATTTACACATGGCGTCTTCATGTCGATCGGCGATGATCTTGAGCATTTGCTTGCGAATTGAGACCACCTTCGAGTTCATGGCTTCATTTTGTTGCACCAAAACCATGGCAAGAGCAATCAGAGCACCCTGTCGGACGAAATCGGTAGGATCCTTCAACATAGGCTCCAACAGATCGATGGCTTCAGCAAGGCCAGTGCCGGCGCAAGAGATACCCAAAGCCATGGCGGCTCCATACCGGACGTGAGGATTGTAGGATTCGGCAAGAAGCTCCACCATTCTGGGCACACTGCTGTGCTTGCGGAAGAGAATGAAGCCCAAACTCAAGACAGCGATACGTCGAACGTCGTCGCTGACATCACTGACAGCAACGTGTAGCAATTTCCGCACAGCCTTGTTGCTGCCGGTTCCGACGTAAGCCATAGCAATGGTCAAGATACCTCCGTACCTCATGGTAGGATCGGTATCATTGAGTAAACCTTGAATGAGTTCATCGGCACCTTCCTGACGACCATACATGATCAAGGCCATGCCAACAGCAAGACCCCGGACAATCTTGTCGTGTTGAGTATCGTGGGCATGTTGAATCATGTCAGACAAGACTTTGGTATTGCCTGAGCCCAACATGACGAGACCCATTGCCAGACCGACAGCTTCACCGTTGATGGCAGAATCAGCCCAGAGAACATTCCGAAGATCCTCAAAGACAGCTTCATCTCCAGAGGCCATGCCAGCAACACCCAAGCCTAAAGCACCACCATGCTGCACGACTTCCTCCGTGGCTTCCTTGAACTTTTCCCGGATGAAGTCAACAGCTTTGCCTTTGTGGTTGGCGCAGAGCAATCCATAGGCGTAAAGAGATCCGCCCTGGCTGTATGGAGAATCATGAGAACTAGTCACACCTCCAGCCTTTGGCAGGTAGGGAGTCAGCAGTCGCTGAGCCTGGTTGATATTACCCTGGTGGATGACTCCAAATACAGCCGTAGCAGTGAATTTGGACCAGTTGACGGCCTTGCCCAGCCATTCCAGATTTTGTCTGAAGAAACTATCGGTGGCTGTTTTGGCGTGCATGAACCCAGCACATATCGTCACTGCCGAGTGGTATATCGAGTATCGGGCCTCTAAACTATCTTTAACTTTCGACAGGATTGAGTAATCCACACGGTTCGCTTGGTGGAGGAACTCAACATTCAGGTGTATAGAGGTGAGCCCATCAAGGATGTCTCTGATCTTTTTGACTGCGTCTTGTTGTTCGGGAGTTGTTGAGTTGGAGGATTTCGAGGGTGCGGGTGCGCCTGCCGAATCTTGCAATTCTTGTTGTAGCTGGTCTTCTACCTTGTCTTCCACCATTTTGTCCGGCTTTGATGTATCCGATTCGGAAGTCTTGTCCTCTTTCGGTAGCATCTCTGCGAGCTCTTCTCGAACCTTTTGTAGAAACTCTTGCGTGCTGTTGTCGTACAAATCGAAGGAAATTTGGTAGGCGACCGCTAACGAGCGGGCATCTCCCTTGTTGACCAATTGTCGTAGGATGTTTGAGGCCAGAGAATGTTGATCGAGATAGACGACGCATTTTGCAATGGCGAAGTAGTCCGGGGAGGGAATGTCGTTGAGTAACTCGAGAATCATCTTGAGTATTTCATTCCGCAGGCCTCGCTCTTGTACGACGCTCATACAGATCTCGAGAACATAATCCATCAACTCTTCACCCTTCTTTGTAGCTTCTCCATCCTCTTTGGTTTCATCCTCGGCGGCTCGTTTGATGACTCTTCGCAGGATGCCGAGATTTCGTGCCTCCAGAGCGATGCCAACAACTTGGCGATACCGCTTCTCCTGGAAACATTTCTCGAAGAGGGATTCAACGACACGAGTCAAGGCTTTCTGAAGGCCACGTTGCTGGATTATGGCTTCTGGAGACCCGAGTTGGGTAACTTCAGCTCCGGCTTGTGTAGGATCGAAAGTCGCCGTGTTTTGTCTCGATAGGAGGGACTTCGATGGCAGGACGGATTGGGAGAAAGGAGTGACTGGAGATGTCAAGCTGGCAGACATGCTGGCGGCACCATCCCCTCCTTGACCGAAAGCTGTGTCGAGCTGAGGCTGCGCGCCAGCAGTGGCGGCGGCCAGGGTGGGATCCCTGCTGGCGGACAAGGCGATGAACGTATCGACACATTTCGAGATGATTGTATCTTCGTACTCGCCTGCGTTGTCTAGGTTGAAGTACTGTCCAGCTCCCAAAGCAAAGGCCATGCTCTCGTTGTATTCTTGCAGGTGGTAGTACACTTTGGATGCGACGATAGCTGCGAGTTCCCGGTCTGGGAAGGTATCATCTTCGTAAAGGGCCTCACTAGACGAGACAGTGTCAGTACCTGATACCCGATCAAGCCTACCCAACTAATACATACATCTCACCAAGAGAATTGGCGATTTCCGTCCACAACAAATCGACCTGCGTGTCCAGCTGCTTCAAAGCAAAGCTTCTGAGCTCCGGATCAGGTTCGGACAGGAAGCCGACCAGACCGGCCGCCGATACTAAGCCCACCATGGTCGTTGTGTACAGATCGAACAAGGGAGAGACAGTATAAATTTGGCTTTGGGGGTGTTTGCTGAAATTGTCTCCCGTGCGAAGGGGCAAGATGCGCAAGACAACGGAATGGGTGGTTCGAACACCTCGATGGATAGGATAGACACAATTGAAAAAAGTCTAGTGTACAAAACAAAAAGTGAGATGGGGGAGGGGAGGGACCGTTGATGGCGAAGAGCAGTAGGGGTAGGATGAATGGGTTGAATCGCGCAGGAAAGGTGCAATTGACGTGTCGGCGATGCAAATGGCTGCGGCTCTGGATGCGGCGTCAGTTTGCATCACCACAGTGCAGCCTGCCTCGAATTGCTAGCCTTGCACGTGACAACACAGCCTTGACCACACGATTAGTAAGTATCCTCATGTCCATATCGTGTCAGTCTCACGCAAGTATCAATATCCGTTTTTTTGTGTCACGATCAACTGTCTAGGCTTGAAATACACTTGATGACAATGGGGCTATGAATAGTATTACAAGGGTATCCGGTACGATTAGAGGGAAGCTTCCGCCTTGGAACACAGAAAAATCATTGCGCTCCCATGACTCCGACCCAGTATCCATCTTCGTATTTTCAACCAGAGTCGCTCATTGTCTGACCGACCCTTGTCGGCATAATATCCTCACATTGTCGAGGAATCCCTTTACCATATCTTCATACTTGCTAGGCCGGCCCTCACGAGCGTTTGCCAGCTGAATTCGAATCTGCTCCGTACTAATCTCGACTTCCAACTCATGCTCCTTTTCGGTTCTGTTAGGATAACTAACCTGAGTGAGATCAATCTGGTAGGCCATGTGTCTGTAGCTTATGCGATCCTTCTGCCGATCGCGGCCGCTGTCCGCCGCCTCGGTGAGCCAATTCGGATCTCCGCTCCATGGAGATTCAATGGAGATTGAGACTCTATAGTCAAAGTCGGTGCGAGGGTTGTAGACATCCACATCCGCAATACGTGACTTGATGATCTGTGCCTTGACTTGCCCATTGGTCTCGTCGATGGTCCTTCTCACACGAGGCGTGTGGCGGGGATTGAGCCACGTAACAATCCAGGGAGCAAGATTTCTCCGTCCATCTTCGGTGAGCTCGTAGAACTCGTCATATTCATGAGGGTGACTATACCCTATGACAGCTCGACCCGATGTCTGTGACTCGCGCACGGAATCTTCAACAAGGGTATTGAGAAATTTATTCAAGAGCTCATGCTGAATCTATGAGAGTAGAGTGTTAGTTCACAACACGATCATCAATTGACCACAACATACCATGTTCATAGAACTTTGAAAACTAGTCTTTCCTCGATACCTGTCACGGCTAAACCAGGTCTCCGTGTCGACAGGCAGGCTCAGACGATGGTTGGCATGTTCATCATAAATGCACCCGAGCTTAGCCTCGATCTCGAAGACTGCCCCATTCGGTGGAAGGGCTGCTTCTCCAATCACCGAATAGATCCAATCACACACTCTGCGCGTCAGGTCTTCATACGGTGTGAGATTGGTGATTGAGGGTTCCCAATGGCTTTCGACTGGTGGGGTCGTGGTGTTAGCTGGAGGCGCCACTTGAAGCTGGGCTTGTCCGTTGGGAATTTGCGGCTCCGGCTCAGGTTCATTTCTCCGGGGCGGGGTCGCAGGTGGTGCTTTGATGAACCTTGGAGGCCTATTATTTCTTGCGCTCTGAGCGTGAACTGGAATGAAATCCCGCCGAGGCCGCTTTCGAGGCTGCTGTGGTGTCGAAGCCATACTCGATATGTGGCTCGCACTTCGCTTCTTGAGCGCAGGCTGTCCGGTGATCAGAGGGCTATTCTGGGGGGGAAGAGAAGAGTGCGTGGATTGCGGAGTCATAGTCATGTTGTTCATGGCTCCTGAATTCGGACCTGGGTATTGGGTTGTCGTTGTCCTGGGATCGGCTGGCGTAGAGGCAGATTTTGGAGTGGTTTCATGATGTTGCACCTCGATGGTCCTGTCAGGTGTGCTATGAGGCTGTGAATTGGTAGACATTGGGTACATTGGATGCAGACTCTGGTAACCTTCTGACAACGGTTCCTGGTATCTAGTCCCACTGGACTGGCGCCGTGGAGGCGGCTTAGGGATTGTTTTGGGGCTAACACTTTCAATGCTTCTTTCACGTTCTCGCAGGTCGCCAGAATATGTTCTTTGTATGCTTCCGCTTCTGGAATGGGTCGCATGCGCATAAGCCCCTTGGGTGTATTCTCTGCTCTGGGTCGATCCCACGGAACTCACTGACAATCGTCTGTAGTTATCCTGACCCTGAGATATTGGACGGTTTGGGTGAGGAGATGGTCGAGTGTGAGAGGATGGCGGACCGAGTGGTGTCACAGGCGGAGGATGGAACTGCGCCTGAGGTGAGAGTGTTTGCGTATTCAAGCGCACATTACCATTCGAAGGAGTGAATTCCTCTCGTGGTGAATGATGGGTGAGAGCGGTGTGAGGGCCAGGGTTGTGTTGCGCAGTCGCAGAGTTTGGTGTCATTTGGTGGTGGTGAAAGGAACCGGGCGTGGGAGGATAGGGAGCCGAGGGAGACGGCGACGGCACAAAAGGCGACTGTTGATATGGCATGGGAGGCGCAACACCTTCACGGGGAGTGTGTATCTGTCCATGTGGCCCTGGACTCTGCGCATACATTGATTGACCTGTTACACTCGGCGTGGACGCAGAAGCAGAGTTCTGCTGGTGGGGGGACTGTATGGCGAAATAGGAGCCATTGGCCGGAGACTTGTAGTCGGACGATGGCAAAGGCTGTGGATACGACGATGTTCGTTCTAAAGGATCGTAGGCTGGAGTGTGGACAGTTGCTGCTGCTTGATCGTAGGATGATTGAGGTGTGTGAAGTCGGGGCGGCTGCCGTTGCGACGAGGAGTCATTGAGCATCGATTTCAGATCCATTTCTGCCACAGTTGGACCAGAAACACCAGATGGCGTGAAGCTGTGTAACAGCGCTTTGATCTTGCCATCAACGGGCTAGGGACGAATGCGATTATAACCCATGGTGGCCTTGTTGTTTGGGAGTCGGCATTGCACAGACACGGTTTCTGCAGGAGAAAAAGAACGACCATGCGCGCCAATGCCACGTCTCCGCACTCAACTGTTCCCTCCCAACACACCGCAAAGGGCATTGTTACACATATCAATGCATGCTTTCGGAATTGCTTAGCGTCATGTCTATTCTTCTTGTTGTTCTATAGCATTTACATATCTTAGCACAACCAAAGGGTATCAATATCGAACATTCTACGCTGGTAGCCCACTTATATCTCGGGTCACGTGAACACCCCAAACGCCAACATCCAGCAATCGCCTGCAACAGTCCTCTCAGTCACCAAGCCTTGCCATTAGTATTGGTCATGAGCAATGCTTCATTCAGGAGGTCACTGTCCATGCTGACTGATGGTGTTAGGAAAGGCGTAGTTCGGGGTGTTACGGAAAATGGCGTGACCTGTTTGACATTTATACTTCCCAAGCTGACATTCCGGCGAACTCTCAACGGCGTGACAGTTGTTGAGCTGTTGTCGGCCAAATCTGGAGAGCCTATACTGAGACTGCGTTGTCGATAGAACGCGGGACGCGCGGAACGTCCGCGTCTGGACCGCCCTCTACTTGTAGATCTCTTGGCCTCGCGGGCAGCTCGAGCTTCAGGACCAAAGTTCGCGCGGTCTCTCAATGTGTGGATTGCTCGTATCAGGGCAAGCTCAATGGCAACACAATTCTTGATCCGACACATTTTCGGCCATGTAGCCTTCTGTCCGGCCATGGTCGATTCCAGCATGAAGGTTGGAGTTGGATTCATCATCATGTGGAGATATTCGCTATACTTGATCTCGGGTAGGATATTGATGTCTCCGGTATATTGTTGATTGAAGAGTGAAGCCCACCGATACCAATTTTGTGGCACGCCGAGATCGGACAGCTGTTGTGCCCGGTGGATGATCTCCTGCCTCACAAGCACCTTCGCTTTCTGAATAGGAGTGTGACGCGGGCTAGGGGTCGTGGGTTGCATTCCGTCAAATCTTTCCTCGGGATCCAACAACACTCGAACATGCGGGTTCACCTGTGATACAATGAAGAAATTGACGTTGAACATTTCTGACAATTTTCTCATGGGGATATCATGGTCGAGGGATCCATCCACAAATGTCTGCTGGGCATTTTCCATCCACAGTTTTCCAGATTTTGTCATAGGATCCTTCTCATAAATGCTGACTGGAGAAAAGACGTGTGGAACTGCACAAGAGGCACACACCGCAGACCAAAGCAACACATCTGGCGCCGTCACGTAGTTCAACAGTCGAGGTTCTGCACTGCTGGCGCTGGAGACGCATATGTTGAGGATGCGGCCGGTTTTGTAGTGGGCTTCGCGGAAAGTGATATCGCCCAGCCACGACTTCATGACTCTCTCCAAATTTGACATGTCAAAAAAAGCGCCGGTGCGCGCATACGTGCGGACTCGTTGCAGAAGCCATGCGACCGATGTGGTCCCAGGTGGGTCGAAACAAGCCAGGTCAGAGTTTGGGAAATGCTCCAGAACCTCAAGCATACGCTCGTCGGTTGAACTTCCCACGATTGCTGCCACAATGCTGCCAGCCGATGCTCCGGAAATGATTTCTGGCAGGAGGTCGGCTTCCCATAGCGTCTTAACGACACCAATATGTTTCATGCCCAGTAGTGCTCCCCCCGACAATGTCAAGGCTGACCGACCAAAGTATTTGAGGGCGTCTTCCAGTGACTGCTGGTAAAACCTGACCTCGGTGGCGGGTAATTGGTAATGAATCGCCATATCTATAAATTTGTCGATGCTCTCCAGAACTGTGTTTGTATAGTCGTCTATTAGAGTCTTGGTGCCAAACCACGAGTGCTTGTATAGTCGAAGCATGTTCATCCCTCCCAGATCTCTGCTCAACCCGGTCCTCAGTACGTGATGTATAGCGCTGACATCAGACATCGCGACGCCTTTCTCTAGAAGGGCCATTTGAGTCTCGATGACATCCGGGTTATAACCTGGCTCGAGGGACTCCTTCTCTTGTTTCCATTGTTCGTGTCCTTGCACCTGGTCCAGGGCAATTGTGCATCTTTCGTATTCTTCTAGTGTGCTCGCTCCGTTCATGGCCCTTGTCAAGGTCTGCGTCGGGCTCTCAGGAGGTCTTCTGCTGAATCTCGCGACGCCATCGGCCAGTCTGCTCAGTTTCTTGCTCGGTGAGCATAACTTGACGACGTCGGCGTAGATGCCGACGCAGGACCAGAACAATTGTGTGCTGGTATAAGTCGGTATGGGAGAGGAGAGGACAGTCATGGTCACCACGGCTCTTGTGCCATGAGATCGACGTGGCCAACGGTTCGGACGCCTTTTCTAGCAAGGGTAAAGGAGGATCATGGATTGGAGTTGTATAGACTGTATTATCAATAATCGTGTCATAAGGTGTCACCGTGGGCAGTGAGCACGGGGATCTCGCGGGGGCAATGATAACAATCTCTTTGATGACCAAACGAACCGGCCTACGCCGGTGTGGTTGTTGAAGGGAGAGGAATGAATAGCCGTCGACACAAGGGCCGAGAACCGACAAGTGTAGCAGAAGTGAAAGCAATAATTACCAGTCAGAGAACGACATATTGTCATAATGATGGTCGCATGAGCACGAGTAAGTCGAATCGAACACGTCCCAATTCGAGTGTAGGAGGCGAAGTAAGGTGGACAGTGCGGATGACGATGGATGGTGGGATGAATGGAAGCACTGACTTCTAGGTACTTGATTTGATGGACAGATGACGGGACTTGGTGGTTTGTTTGCGGTGGTGGTTGGTGGTAATGATGGCGATAGTGGTGGGGCTACAACTGCTACATACAGTCCTCGTTTTGTATGGCGTAGAATCGGCGTAGAAATCAATACTCGCGAGTACTGGAGATGCTGACTACAGAAACTTGGAAGTTGGAAGCCCAAAAGTCCATTACATTCAATTACGAGTATCTGGTCACATTGTCCTTTGACGGGCCATAGATAGAAATCAGATACAGCGCGTGACATCCTTGTCCAGGGCCTAAACAAAGAGACCCTGTTCTTTGATCCTGGTTCGATCCTTGTTCCTGCACCGTCACATGCCTGACTTTGTCCTGTCTACACTGGTCTCCCTGCATATTACGATGGAAAAGGATCATTGCGACTCGCTATTTCTGCAAGTGCCCTGGCGAGCTTTTTGCATCTGCGAGATCATGCGGGCCCATCCTGTCAAACCTACGAGGACGACTATTAGTTCATTCGTTTGTTGGTAGTCGTAGCGCTTACTGCAAAGAGGCCGTGACCACCAACACCTCCTGATTACCTTCTCACATGAGTTTTGCGATATGTCCAGGTCTGGCCATTCGAGACCACAGCCTTGTTGGCAATTTGCCGGGGTACGTATTTTAGCACATGTCATGTTTCGATACACTCTCTACGCTCGTTATGTCGGATCCTGGACACCGGTGGTAGCTGTAGAAGCTGTATCGTCCTCTTTCCCTTTCGCAGCATTTGCGTACTGCGTTATCGACCCTCTCAACCATTCCGTAAGTCCATGTTTAAGACGAACGACGCCTTCAGCGTCCTGCCAGAAATGGCCCGTTTCCGCTCTGACCGCGACAAATCGTGACCCAGGCCTAGCTGTTAACTCTTCTGACCATCTCCGCAACTTACGGTCCGATGTAAACACATCCTTACTCCCATAAATACAACAACAAGGATGTCTGATAAGTTCCTGATACTCATCTGACACGTTCACTTTACCCCCGGTAGTTCCCTGCTCAAACTTCAGCTTGGAGAACATTGTAGTGAATCCAGCAACTGTCGACAAGAGCGGCGACACCAACACATACGCGACCCCTGGAAGGTTCAAGGGTAGATCCGTGGCTTGAGTCGAAGGCTCAGCATCTGGTATTGACGGGGGGCTCCGAATACGATGGTCCTTCTGACTCAACTTTCGGCGAAACTTGTCGATCCCTTCCTTCATCCTCTCGCCGTCGACACTCCTTCTGGACGTGCTCTCTCGACCGATCTTCTTGCTAGCCACGTCCGAGTCGTATCCTCCCATGGTCACATTCCGACTATGACTCCGACTATGACTCGACCTGGGCGAGCCCGCCTCTTTCGGAGGTGTGTCTTGGTGGCCGAGATTGTTTCCCTTGGGAATGGACAAGACCATGTCGTCGACTGAATGCATGTCGAGATATGCCTTGAGATCTCTTCCCAAATCCCTAGCTCGTAGCTCTATCTCGCTCTCCATCGAGCCTTTCTGTGCATGTCTGAACATACCCGCAACAACCTCGAGAGCCGGTAGATGAGCGGCTATCATCGATCCATACGAGTATCCTCCAAGGATCAGAATGGGTCGTGGGCTATTCGTGAGCGTCTCCGACACAACTGCACTTGGATTCGTCTGCGCAGACGACAAGGCCTCTGTACGCATCGTGGCGTCCTCATTCGTGTCTGTACGCGAGACATCACGGAAGATTGTGTCGATGCAACACAGCATGAATCCATATACCGAGACATAGTCTGCCAATTCCGCTTTTCCCGACCACGACGTTCGCCCTGCTGAGCCCGAGGCGCCTCTGCAAAAACCCACCCACGTTTTGTTAGATTTTCCAAGACGGCTCTATCCCTAGCCGAGAGGAGGCTTCTTTATTTCTCCAGTTACGTACCTGAAATTGAACGTCACCAACACAATACTGTGTCTCAACAGAATGCCGCCGACCAGTCCTACAACAGGGTCGTCGTAACAACCTCCAAGTGGCGCGTAGGGATGGGCAAATATCGCAAATGTTCTGCCAAACAACTCGTGGTTCTGTTCGCTCCGTCTCGGGTAGTATATTCGACAATCGAGCTCGAGACCATCATGGACACTGGGTATGACAAACGAGCAACTGGGTTTCGGAAGAGACATTGCCCGCTAAAGTAGGTACCTATGGGGTACACTGTGCAGCCAGCGGGAGTCTTGGCCGTTTTCACGGTCGGAGACGACTACTGTCTGTCTGAATTTCTAAAACAAAAAGCCAACGCTTCTCAACAATAGCCAGCGTCCATGATGGGATGGGCGTGGGGTAGAAAGAGTCGTTGTATGAAGTTGAGTTGAAATGATATGAGAGTTGCCTGGTCACAGTTGTGAACCACGTCTGACGTCAGTATTTCAAAGCGGGCCAGTTCAGATCCCCGGGATCTGATATATATCTTTGTCGTCAGACAGTGTGGTTTCTCCTTCTCGAAGGATGTAAGTAGACACTATGTAAGGAACCTGAACACACACCAAATACAATTGAGAGCATAATGGAATCTGGATCGTATCTGGGACGTTGCTTCTGCAGTATATGCAAATTTATGGCGTGCTCCCGAAAGCAACCGGGGCGAAGAACTTCACTGGTGACATGACTGTGGGAGACTAAGAGCACTTTGCCTATAAACGCCCATATTTCAAGAACAATATGCTGATAGAATGAACTTCAAACTCGAAAAATATGTGCATCATCTCATAACGTGATCACATTAACAGGCTATCATATCAATACTGATCGTCATTATCCTTCTTGCGCCGCACACCTCTGACTTCGCGAAGCCTCTGCTGATGATTACCATCACCAGCCCCTTCCCGGCTCCTGGTCCGCTCCCGTTCCCTCTCTCGATCTCTTCGCCTATGACTCGTACTCCTGTCTCTCTCCACAGGACTGATTTGCTCAGGGTCGATCTCGGCCGCCGAATTTCGAGCTCTGCCTTTGCCTTTCCCCTGGGAGGATTGACGTCTCGAAGCGGGTGGGCGGCTTGCGAGATCCGTCATTTCAGTGCGACTTTGGCGTTTTGAATGCGAAGAGGACTGTCTCTTTGAACGCCGGTTGTCGCGTCTTTCATCAATTGCGCCGAGGGCACCACTGCCCATCGTTGACGCCACGGGATACTCATAGCCCTGAGTATGGTGCATATGCTGAACAACGCAAAGGGGTTAGTATATGTGCATGAAGAACTCCAAAAACAAACGACTGATCACGACGTACCTGATGAGGACCCCATAGATCTGGCGTCGGACCACGCGTGGCGCGCTTCTCATTCACCACGGGAAGACCCGACAAGGCCGCCCGTTGCGACTCGACCTTTCTGCGGTGTCTTCGTTTGAGCCAGACGCCCAACCAGGCCAGAAGCGCGAATCCAACAATGAGTACGGCGACCATGAGAATCCATTGCCAATGTGTGTCAATCCAGCTCTTCTTTGAACCAGACGTGCCCCCTACCACGCTGCCGGCGCCCGTGGACGTGGGCAACGGCGTGGAGGTACTCGTGATGGTCACCACGGTCGTGCCGGTTGGGCCCTGCGCGGCGGCCGTGGTCAGGGGATCAATGCCCTGGCCGACCTGGGAGCAAAAGCCCTGGAACCATGTTTGGAGCTGGGTCCGGTCCGATTCGCTCGTGCACTCGGCGGTGCAGATGGAGTCTGGAGTGCTGTAAAGCGCGGCGAGCAACGAGCTCTGGCAGAAACAGTTCTCGTACGTGAGATCGTTCGTGGTCGCGACATTCGGCGGAGTGCAGGTGCTTTGTGCCTGTAAGAGAACGGCGCAGTTGACCGCGCAGGCGGGAAATGTGCTCGAGCCAGACGTCGGTACGATGCTTTGAGCAGCACCAAAGCTGAAGAAGGAGGTCGTTATCGACGCTGCGAGCAGGGCGATGCGTGTCGCTTTCCTCATTGCGACTGTGTCCTAGGTTGCGGACGCGCGACTTGCGTGCAGGTCGTGTCGACGCACGGTGCAAACTTTGCTGGCGGCGTGAGTGTGGTAGCGAACGAAAGTATCCTTGTATGTGTGTTTGTATGTATATATATACTATATACACATACTAAAACGAGCGCCTTGAGGTCATTGTCGATGGCATACCTGGCCACCCGAAACGAGCGGAATTGCTTTTACAGTACGGAGTATGGAGCACAGATAAAAAGCGACTGTGAGGCATTATCAGTGGAGAGAAAGACAGGAATACGATACGGGGGGGAAAGGGTCGCAGTGACTATCGAAACAATGCTGGGAGACAAAAGCGGGGAATTGGCTGGGAGCAGAGAATCTTCCGTCAGACCCTTGTCAAGTAAAATATCCCAAGGGAACCGCTAATAACGGGACGTAAAATAAGGCATTTCGATGGCAGAAATCTTGACAGGGATCAGTTGAAAGTGATCCAGGGTGGACGGGAAATTTGGCCTCTTCAATTGGACGTTGGGGCAATATTAGCTGCCGAATGTTGAGTAACATGACGAGTGGACGCTCTTCAGAGCGTACGGTCACGACCCTATAAATTATGCTATGTTACGAGGTGTTGGATGGTAGATGGTTCCAAGTAGATAATAGTATGAGAGTCCTCTAGACATTTATGATTGTGCATCTCACTTGCAAGACAAATACGTACAGAGTAGAAGCTCATACGGAGTACATAGATTCAAGCTTCTTTTAAGCGTATTGAATAGTGGCCTGTACTAGAGGGTCAAGGGCCCAGAGGAATCCTTGTAAGGCCACCTGTTAACTGAGACCCTAATATTCTGTATGGAGAATGGAGCATTTTAGCTGAGGTAAGGGGTGAAAAGGACCCTCCCTAATACTCCCTAATACTCCCTAATACTCCTCTTGCTCCAGTCACGAATACATCAGAGTATATGCATCAACACACATGCTAGACTCGTAGTTGGGTTATCTTAACCTCCATCCTTCTCAAAATGATCTACAGGCAAATGTCGCACATCTCCCACGCTTGGGGTTTCTTTCTTTTCTTTCTTGTTTGAAGTTGAGAATAATGCAGAATTTCGAAATATGCAAGAAACATCATCGATAGCAAACCAGCCCACCACCTATCACGAACATTCCCACCGCCGCTATTGAGACAACTTTTGCCATCCGTCGCTAAACGCAAATAAATTGGAAACTGCTTTGATATCGCCCAGCTTTTGAAATTGTAATTGCATCCGCTCAGGTACCATGCCCCGTACAAAGTTTCCCGTCGCGTGTCATCACCCCCCGGGTAACAACGAGCCGAATAGATGATCATCTCATCGTAGAAAAAGATTCGAATAGAACATAAAACTACTGCTGCTCCTGCTGCGTGATGTCGATGGATGGAAGAATGTCACTGAAATAATTCTCCGTTATGCCTTCCTGAGGCCAGCTGAAATTCTGCAACGTAGGGACATCGACCAATTCATCACCGAGTGTCTCTGCAGCAGTTGTTGCCTGTATTTCAAGTCAGCTCATGCGGAGTGGCCGATGAGGGAAGCTAGAGGCAGCTGCTTTGAACGATGTGACTGCAACTGGCCGTAGAGAAAGGGTAGTATTTACCTGTGTGGCGTCCTGTATATTGGCCTCCCATGCAGAACTTTCCATGCCAGGGAAGCTAAGGGCGGTCTGCGCAAGCGTCGGGTCATATTGGTAGTCATCCCGCTGCATATTATTGGGCATTGGTTGGCCTTGGAGGCGCATGTGCGACTCTGTCATTTGCCATTGCCCGGGCACACCAAAGTTTTGGTTCTCAACTCTGTGCGGTGCAGCCGAGTGGGAGAACGCAGCTACATTCTGCAAGGGAGGGTGCATTCCAGTCACGTCTCCACGAACTCCAAACTGGTCCATCGGACTGTTGGATGAGCATACCCGCCTGGTAGATGCCTCTATGGCGGATACATCAAAATCCACATTGTGTGACAGACAGCGGACAAGTTCCTAGAGAGAAAAAAAGATCAGTCTGATGCCCACACTTGGTTTGACAAGGCCCATCTCACCTTCAAAATTCCCAGGCACTGCTTTGAGCCTGTCTCGTGGCACGTCGTTGATGCCAGCAAGCGTATGCCACTTTCTGCCTTCCGCCATGCCTCGATGGGATTTTTGGGGCCGTCTCTGGTTGCAATGAGGAAAATCAGACAGGCTACAGAGAGGAAGATTGTGTATATGGTAGTCCAGGATGCTGGAGGTAATAAACCGAGCTGCTGTATAGTCTCAGATCGAGTGATCGCCGTCGAGGCAATCCTGATGCACAAAAGCGCGCGCTGCGAGGCCTTTTGGGCTGTCGGTAGGCCATCGGAAGACTTAGCTAGATAATGTAGAAAAGGACGGTAAAGCACAATCTTGCCGAAGAAAGATGTCATCTCCAACTCGAACTTAAGCCTGTTTTTCCATGTTAGCGATACAAAGGAAGTTGTTTGACGAGACATGCTATACTAACCGTATGAAGTCCGGTGAACCATCATCTCCCTTGGCCAAGAGCTCTGAAGTGCTGTCTCCCCAAGTGCGAAATTGGGCCTCGATTTCTTCCAAGCTTCGAAGACTTATCGAAATATTCCCGCTTTTGCCAGGAGTCTCGATCGTCGTGGATGGCATGGGATATAATGTTTTGATGGCTTTTGAGATGATACGCATAATCTCCAAGTGTTTAGCCGAGCCGCCGAGAAGGACGGCCTCACGACTTGGGAGCCCTGACGTAGCCTCGTGAATGGCTTCGTTCAATGTCAAGTCGATGGCGGGATCAACATCTTGTAGGTCAATCATTGCTGGGAGACCTAGAACGGCACTGAGATACATGTCCAGCTTGATGATGGTCCAAAAGATTTTTCTCCTCGTGTCGCGGTCTCGGCGAGTGATTGTAGCATCGTGAGTTGATCTATGATGGAGACCCAATCTCAACGCGGATGAGCAGGCCAAGCTCAGGAAGGCATGCGCGGATGCCATTCTTGCTGTGGAAATGAGGAAAAGAGTATAACACAGCAGGATTTGCAACGAGCGAAGGTCTCGACAGGTTGTGATGTCAACCATCTTGCGAGCCGCTAGATAATGTCTCATCCTGCGTTTCACTATTAGCAGAACATCCATTGACCAAGATGGCAACAACTCTTACGCTTGGCTAACGGCCTGTCGACACCCATATTTCTGATGTTCTGACTGACTGAACAGGTAGCCAAGGCCCATGACGAGCAAGAACAAGGGAAGGAAAGCACGGTCGTCGCGGTCGTACTGGACAGGGTCCTTGGTGTAGATCCGGTCCACCATCTCGTGGAATGTCGGCTCGTGCAAAAACAAGAATATGGGATATGCGTGTGCAAGAACCACAGATACCAGAGCCACGGCAGTCGGACGATGCGGCAGCAAAGGGGCAATCGGCGGCGCAATGTCGAGAGACCCGTCGGTAGGAAGAGGAGCATCGAAGAGCAGAGAGATGGCAGAGGGGGACGAGTTGTTTGACCTCGTTGGGGAGCCATTCTCGTTGCCAAAGAACTCATGCAGTCGGTGCAGAAATGCAGCCCCCGAGGGAGCGCCATAAAACGGCGCTGCCCATGGGTCATCGGATTCGAGACGGCCGTACCGACTCATCATACTGTCCAGCTTGGGGCCTTTGCTCTGTTCGTCAGGGGGCGATGCTTCCTCTGTGGGATGATCGTCGGAAGCCAGAAGGCCCCCATCGCGAGTGTTGAGCACCGCATCGAGGTCGGCATCTTCGATGGACAACTTCCCAAGTTTGATCTGTTCCAACTTTGCGCGAACAATGCGCAAACGATCCTCGAGGATCCTAGCCCGGAGACGGGGATCGGTATTTCGCGAAATAGTCGAGGTATATGTACACACTGCCAAAAAAAAACTGTCAACGAAAGCGTAAAAGGGCCGAGTCATCACAAAGTTCGTATACCTACGTCTCTCGCTCTGTCGACACGGCTCACAAGGAGTGAGACCGTCACATCTATGTTACATGGTCAATTACCAATCACAAAGCACGACAATACTTCGTGAGGTCCAATGCTTACTTGACTTTGCGGAAGCGACATTCGTCGCATGCCCTCACAGCCCGTTTGCGCCGTTTGTTACTGGGGGTCGACTGTGCTTCGGTGTCGGTAAGTTGCGCGTCCTGGAACCTGTCTTCGGGATCAGGCATGATCAGTCTGGCGGTCTTTCCGGAACCATGTGTGTGTATCGGATTTGCTGCAGCCCCTAGATAAAGAGGGACGAAATTTCCCAGGGAAGATTTCCCAGGTTAGTGGAAGACTGAGGGTGATCTACAGACGAAGCTGGCCGAGCATCCGAAGGAGGAGAAGATTCATTAAACTATCAACCACTGTGCAGTCAGTGACGTATCGCTAAGTTCCGCCCCTCCAGTTTAGCGGGCACTAATCACAACTGTATCGCGTTTACTTACCGTACCATGCGCCATGTGGGAGACGGGGCAGCGTATCATACCGTATCATTGGCATTGCCAGAGCCTAAGTCACCCTAGCGCCGCCTAAAATTAGACTGGACTGAAATCATTACTCCTCGTATATCTTGTACCTACGTACACTTGATGTTGAATTCAGCCAGTGATCGCGCCCTCAATCCCATCAAGCAGTCAAGACATGTCGCCAAGACTTATTACTGGTCTTAACAATACAAACATCTCCGCTACGAATCTGCTATGACGACCCAGCCCGACTCGGCGCTGATACGGCGTCTTTTCCGTGATCTCCGCGGTACCTGGCATCTCAGTCGCAAGTTACAAGGTGGACATCCATCAGAGCCGTCGGGTCGGTGCGAAGGGAATGCCACCTTCACACACAAACAGCCATCCCCAGTCCTCGATGCAGACGGCAAGCTGCAAATTGCCGATGCTGAGCTCCTGTACCATGAAGAAGGCGAGTTCGAGATGGGCCTTCCAAGCGTAGGTCAAACCACAACAAACGTGCCAAAATTCCCATTCTCGCGCAAGTATATTTGGCGTCTACAAGAATCCGACGACAAGGTGTCGATGAGTATCTGGTTCACCAAACCAGGCACCAGTCTCATCGACTATCTCTTCCACTCTGTCGATGTTGTACGGGAGGACGACGGCGGCAGCAGCAGCAGCGACAACCCAGAAACCCCCATTGTCCTACAAGGATCGGGTGGTCATCTCTGTGTCGACGACTACTACAGCAGCTCCTACAGCTTCAATCTGTCATCGAAGGACCATACCTCCGCCGGTCTTTTGTCTTGGAGCATGATGCATGAAGTCCGCGGACCCAAAAAAGATCAAATCATCGAGACAACCTTCACAAGGACCTGACAGAGGTAGAGCATCGACCATTTTCGCTCCCAGACTTGCCATCAATATGATAATACTTCGTTTGGGAGTCTTTCTGCCGGAGTAGCTCTTCACTCCGAGTTTGCTGAGGATCACTCAGATGTTATCGACCCTATCCTTATTCCCGACGGTAAATTCGCACGGCTATTGGCTCGAAGAGGTGGTGACCCTCTTCTTTCTTCGGTATAAAATGTTGTTGATAACCTGTCTCTTCATCACTGCACCCTCACCCTTCAGCAGAAAAAGATCATCTGGAATATAATATTCATTGCTCCCCTTAAAACTTGAACAGTTACCAGGAGGATATACGATAAAATGGCTGGCCTTGTTGTTGACGTGGAACTTCCGTCGCCGTTCTCGGAGATCCCCCGCCAGCCTTTGCTCCTGGGACCATCACCTATTCATACACTCGAGCGCCTCTCTCTTGGTCTCGGCAACAAAGTCACTATCTATGCGAAACGCGAGGATCTCAACTCCGCGCTCGCCTTTGGCGGGAACAAAACTCGCAAGCTCGAATACCTGGCGGCCGAAGCACTGAACCAGGGACGTGACACCCTTGTCTCGATAGGTGGCGTACAATCCAACCACACCAGACAAGTCGCTGCCGTGGCCGCACACCTTGGGCTTAAGGCTGCCCTGGTCCAGGAGAATTGGGTTGCCCACAACGATCCAGGATACGACAAGGTCGGCAACATCCAGTTGTCCCGACTCATGGGCGCGGATGTCAATCTCGACCCGTCCACTTTCGGCATCGAACACAAGCAGACCTTGCAAACTCTCACGCAAAAGGTAATTGACCAAGGTGGTAAGCCGTACTACATCCCGGCCGGCGCTTCGGACCATCCATTAGGCGGTCTAGGTTTTGCTCGTTGGGCGTTCGAAGTACGCGCCCAAGAGACGCAGATGGGCACATTCTTCGACACCGTCATCGTGTGCGCCGTGACAGGCTCGACATTCGCCGGAATGATTGCTGGATTCAAACTTCTCGAGAAACGCGGACAATCTCCCCCGCGCAAGGTCATCGGCATCGATGCCAGTGCGACACCGCAACAGACGTTTGACCAGGTCCTCCGCATCGCGAAACAGACTGCCGCCAAGATTGGACTGAGCGAGGACGATTTATCGGAGGAGGACGTAATTCTAGATACGCGCTACCATGCTGGATGCTACGGCATCGCGGATAAAGCCACACTCGAGGCCATGAGGTTCGCAGCGCGCACCGAGGCCTTCATCACTGACCCTGTCTACGAGGGCAAGAGCTTGGCCGGCATGATGGATCTGATCAAGCGTGGAGAGATATCCGAAGGGAGTCGGGTGCTCTATGCGCATTTGGGTGGGCAGATGGCGTTGAACGCATACTCGGACATACAACAGTGATAACAGGATTAGTAGCCGTAGTAGCAGCAATAGTAGCACTCGCACGTTGTCCATGGCTTGTGCCCGACTCTAACTCTTTCTCCATCACCACTGTGGCATGTCGAAATCGATGATATCCTGGTCAGCCAGAGACGTGGGCATGATGAAATAGTTGTCCGGGTCAAGGAACCGATCGTACAATTGCGTCGTGAGAAGCGTGTCTTGCTGCGCCGCATTTCGCAGGTTGTGGATTGCCGGGCCCATTTCGACCGCGTTCTGCAAAGCGAAATGGTCCTGGGTGGTGGGCGTTTCGTCCAACATCTGTCGTTGTAGATCTGGTCCGACGGTCTCGCTCGACGATACAACCGTCAGGTCTTGTTTTTCGGCGAGACCGTTGTTGTGATTCTTCTTGTTGAGCCCGGCGAGGAGAAACTCGAAGATGCGCATGCCCCAGAACGCGGGTTCCCAACAATCGCGCACCTCGTTGAGGACTATCTGGCAATTGTCGAGGGCGGCCTGACCCAGTTGTGCGATCAACGACGGAGACCTGCGGATGAGGCGGAAGAAGACGATCCCGGCCACGAAGAAGGCAGGGAAAACCTCTTGAGGTAGAGAATGAACCATCGACCTCGTCATCAAGCTGAGCGACGTCGAAGCTATGGTCTGAGCGGCCGACTCGGCGATTTCGGACATGGGGACTTCCATGTTGGCGAGTCCGGCCGAAGCTGGCCCCGTCCCTCCGTCACCGCGAGAGAGGTATATGAGGATGAGATGGTGGTGGTACAAGATCTTGAGACACTCGGAGAATATCGAGCTCGAACTGCCGTGGTCTGACCATGTCATCACCGCAGGCAACTCATGGCGCCATTGGCCCAAAAGATCCCGCAGAGCCTGAGGGGTCGTGGAGTCGAGACCGACATTGAAACGGGTGTTGACGATCCTGCGCAGAATAAGCGACAGTTTCGCCAGTTGGATCTGATAATGCATGTAGAGTGTAGCTTGGTCATCGGAGTCGGGGTTGTTGGTTGTCGTCGTCGGGCGGTCTTCAGGACCAAAGTCGTCAAACGTCAACATGGGTCCGTCAGAGTGACTCATATTCACCCTGAAAGGTCGCCCAAGGAGGGTGCCGCAATACGCGTCTCTTACAGCGATCATCCACCACAATCTTCGAAGCAGGCCTTTGTCCTTGTGGAGGGTAGAGTATCCTGCCGAACGGTGGATACCTAGCGACTCGGCTATAGTCACGGCCACTCCGACCCAGGAGCAGGGGTTCCAGTACCCTTTCAAGTCGGGACCCCAGTACGTCAGCATCACTATAGACTGCAGCAGGACGACGCTATTTGTTTCATAGCCAACATCGTACAGCACTTTGGCCTTGTCGTAGAAGAAGCGGCGCGCCGCTTGTCTGGACTTGAAGCCGGCTTTTTTCAATATCGATGCGTCGCTGTAGGTGGCGCCGATGAGGCAGGCCGATTGCAACAGGATCCACGGTAGGCTACGCGAATGGTGCTGCCGCACGAATTCGGATCTGTCGACGATGGAGCATAATGGGTAGAATTTTTCGATGAAGACTTGGATCAAGGCATCCAGACACTCAGTCGTAGGTGCCGTCAAGGCTCCTTTGGAGTGCAGATAGTTCAAATCGGCGGCCGTCAGATGCGATGGATGACCCGACCGGCTGGATGTAACATGCAGATCCGTGTCGACTGCTTCGGAGGTGTTCCCGCTCGGTTTGTCCCTCTTGTCAGACTGTAGCTCCTTCAGCGCGAAAGTAAGAGGAGAAGAGTCTCCGAGCAAGACCAGTCCGTATTTACCAACCAACCCTTCGGCGTCTCTGCCTCCTTGCCTCAAGAAGTTCTCGAAGCCGAGAGCCAGAGTATTGCTCCTTGCGGAAGCTGGTGGTACAGTGCTTGCAAGCTGTGTATTGGGCGAGCCGCCTTCAATTTGGCCTGCGTCAGGAGATGTACTTTCCACTCGGGTCTCTGCCGTCGAGTTTGACTGAGGCGTTCGGGCCCGCGCCTTTACCGAACGCCAGCGATCGTATGTGCCTCGACGTGAAGAGATGAACGCGCAACCTTGGGCGCCGTCAACTTTGCATCTGGTACATGGTAATCCGGTCTGCGCAGCATCACATTTTACCTTTCTTTGATTGCAGCGCTGGCACGCTTTGAATGCTCTGACTCGGTGTCTGGGCTTCTCCGGTGAGGCCGGAGAAGACATGTCGGCAGGGTTTCTCGATTCACGTCTCAAAGTTGAGCCACCCCTTCGTGATTATACGGCTGCATTCAATCTGAGACCGCTCCGAACGGCTTCAACAGATCGCTGTGAGACTTTGAGAGGGACTACCAGAGTGATCGAGGCGTCAAGATACTAAAAAGGCCGGGAGTTGTTTTTATCGGTTTTAGCCGGGAAAACTTTGACGGCACCAGACGGTTATATCCTACATTTTCACGTGACCACAGCCTTGGGGGTTTTCGTGGGAGCCCTTCATAGCTGAAATAATGACACGTTCAAGTGAAAAATTCTAGACTTGGACGATGGCTTAAGGGGCTCATCTTGTTGAAAGCGGCTACTGAGGCTATGTTTGTTCTAACGAAAAGGTCATCTTACCCAGGACGCCCACCAGCCGTATCCAGGCAGTATCTCATTGTCCATGCATGCTCAGTGATGGAATAACCGCGTCGACTGCTCGATAAAGCTAATACCCAGGTTCTCTGCAGTATCTAGTACTGCAGGATCATTTTGGCTTCCGAGAGGTGCTGCGACATACTTGACACCAGATCTCGCTGCTCTGTAGACATTGTCTACGAATGGGAACTGTCGTCTGTTAGCGTCGAACCACGGATGGAGTTGGAGTCTAGAGGACTTACAAAGGCGTCGCTGGAGACGGCCACTTCACTCAGCTTATCAAGCCACTGTCTTCGCTCCTCTGGAGTGAAGGGTTTGGGCACGGCTCCTTCGGCAAAGTTGCGCTCGTAGTCTTTCGTTTCGAATTCACTCTGCGGTGGAACTTGACCTGAACACAGCATGTCGATGGCGTTGGACTTCTCGGGCCGTTTTACACCTTTGGCCCACTGTATTGACAGAGTGCGCTCATGGAAGCGCATCCACCAATTGTCTGCCTTGTCTCCAGCCAACCGCGTACAATGAATCCGACTTTGCTGGCCGGCACCAAGCCCGATGACTTGACCGTTTAACGCATAGCAGACCGAGTTGGACTGTGTGTACTTGACGGCAATGGTGGCAACTGTGAGGTCACGGAGAGCCGAGTCCGATAACTGGGGACCATTCTTGGGGCGGATGACTGATTTAAAGGTCTCGTTGGGGGAAATCTTGACATCGTTACGTCCTTGTGTAAGCTGGACGCCATAAACGGTCCGAACTTCCTGTGCAGGAGGCTCGTAGCTGTCGTCCATCTGCAGGACCAGGTATTTGCCCGCCTTCTTCTTCTTGAGGATTTCGAGTGCTGCAGGTTCATAGTCAGGTGCAATCACACCGTCAGAAACCTCGCGAGAGATGATCTTTGCTGTTGGGACGTCACACTTGTCGGAAAGGGCTATGACATCGCCAAAGCTGGACATTCGGTCTGCGCCCCGGGCTCGTGCGTATGCTTGGGCAAGCCCCGAAGATTCAATACCCTCGATGTCGTCTACCATGTAGACCCTGCGTTCCTTCTCATTGAGGGGTACGCCGATAGCAGCTCCAGCCGGGGACACGTGTTTGAAACTTGCTGCTGCAGGGAGGCCAAGGGCTTGTTTGAGTTCTTTCACAAGGGGCCAGGCGTTCAGGCAGTCAAGAAGGTTGATGTAGCCGGGCGAGCCTCCTAATACCTTGAATGGCAAGTTGCCGTTGCGTACGAATGCAGCTGCAGGTTTCTGATGGGGATTGGCACCATAGCGAAGCGACAACTGTTGAACGCCGTTAGAGGCATATTGCTTGCGGAAGAAGTCGGAAATGGCGGCATCGTAATCGGCCGTGTGCTCGAAAGCCTTGAGAGCGTATTGCTGGCGAGTTTCTGTGGCGATGTCTCCTGCGTCGAGTTCTTGTAGGAAGTTGGGGTAGTCTGCCGGATCGCTGAGTATCGTTACTCGAGTGTGGTTCTTGGCGGCAGCTCTGATGAGGGTGACACCCCCGATGTCGATCTCCTCGACTGCTTCAGGAATGGTAACGTTGATCTTAGCAACGGTGTCCTTGAAGGGATAGAGGTTGCAGACGACGAAATCGACCTTGTTGATGTTTTGGTCTGCGAGGTCCTTTTCGTCGGAAGCAAGATCTCGAGCCAAGATACCTGCATGGACGGCAGGATGAAGAGTCTTGACTCGACCTGAAAGCATCTCAGGTGCCTTTGTAATAGCGGACACATCCCTGTAGAGTCATCAGTGGTCTGTATCCATACAGTAACAGTAGAGCCCGTACTCGACGGGGAAGCCTGCTTCTCGAATCAACTTTGCAGTGCCGCCGGAAGCCAAAAGGCGGACATTGTTCTTGATGAGGCCTTTTGCAAGGTCGAGCAGACCCGTTTTGTCGTAGACAGATAATATAGCTAAAAGGGGTCAGTCTGGCTGACTGTTCTAACTGGACAGCAACATTTGGTATGGTGGCAAGTATGACATACCGATTTTCTGAGAGGCCATGGTTGTGGATAACGGGATTGAACTGAGTTGTGAGCCGGGCACCAGGCAGAGGAGAGCTGTTACTGCAAGGAAGGGAAAGTAAGCTGGAAGAAGTGTGCTACTTGTGCCTCCACAAGGGATATTGTACGAAGTACTAGTGTGTCGTCGTACCCCCAGACAATCTGTTGAAATTTCGAAATTTCTCAAAATTCCCACTACGTGATGCTCGAATGATGGTGGGGGAGGCAACGCTGAAAAAATTACCACTCGCGATCTGCTCCGGGGCAGTTTTCCCGAACCGAGTGGCTAGCCACATGTGGATTAGTGCGGGACATTTGGCTACCCACAGCCTGATGAAATGTCAGGTTTCAGCCTCGTCGCTGAGTACGAGGCATGAAAACACTGGAGGCATAAAATCTATGTGGAAGTATCCATGGATCTTCAGTTTAAGGTCGCAATAGAGTCTGGATGCTGCAGGGTCAATTACTGTCAACGCTGTCATACCCCTCATCATAACAGTACAAAGTACACTTAGGTAGCCGAAGCCAAAAGCAATGGATTTGCTCGGTAGCTTCCCGCTTGTGAGAGTGCCACGTCGGAAAGACACAAGTCAGTAACGACTGAGGGATCAACCGGGTGTTCAGAGCAAATCCTCCAGTAAATGGCCATCTATCGTTCACTCTCTATCCATCCACTGAATCTGCCGTGAATGACATTTCTCATAATGTTATCGTGGTTGGCGTTGCCGACCCGCGCCTAGCTTCACTTTGACTCGCGCCGTCGTTCATGTTCGTCTCTTTGACTTCACAAGGACATTGTTTTCTCTTTTTCATTCTTCCTATTCATCTACCTTCACTGCGCAACCTTGCCATTCATCTACCCTCCTTCGGTCTATTGTGTGATTCGATAAAACCTCTGAGCCTTCACCCGTGACTTCACTTCTACCTGCTCTAGGCATGGGTTTTCTGATCAACCCCGCCATCGACTCTATACATCTCCTTCATCTTTGAGCATTCGTTTCAATCCCATTCGGCTGCTCAATTTTCCCGATAACAGAGAACGCGTTTCTTACGTTCGACATCAAACCCTTCAACTCTTCACGAGACTCTGCTTAGACAGTATCATGACGTCTCCAAGGAAAACTCGCCGACCGGTCCAGCCAAGACCTAAACAACCGGCGTACATCAACCCTCTACATCGCCAAACAACAACGACTATTCGACCGTATGTTCCCTCTCGTCGACAGCAACCACCAATCAACGCAAATTCTCCACTTGCCACGCAGAACACACTGCCTGACAAGCCAGCCAAGCCTTTCCCTTTCTTCAAACTTCCTGGCGAGATCAGAAACAAAATATATAGTCTTGTCGTCCCCAATACTCTAGTGATTGTCTCATCGAACCATCCTCAGAAGGAGTACAATCAACTGAAAGCCCAAAAACTCCCTGGTGAGCAGGTGAAATGTCCCCGCCTTCGGCTATTTGGGCAGTTTCAAGGCCAGAATACTCCCGTAGCAATGCTGTTCACTTGCCGACAGATGTATCAAGAGCTCCGTCAACTCATCTACTCCAGAACCACCTTCTGTTTCGACAGATTCGTCGTCATCAACAAATTCCTCAATCGTGTCCAGAAAGCATCCGCCACAAGCATCGAAAGACTGGAAGTGATCCACAAAGGATATAGTGAGCCTGAGCTCATGGCCGACCGAGAATGGAAATCACGCCATGATGCACGCTGGGCGGCGATGTTAAAACGTGTCAAAGCGGAGTTGACGGGCCTTCGAAGACTCAAACTCGACTTGACAATCTACGACTGGCCATGCTCACTTGATATCACCGAAGGATGGGCTCGACCACTCCTCGACCTTGCTAGTGATGGTCTCGAACGCGTTGAGATCTTGCTGGAGCATGATCGGTTCCACAAGATGAAATGTGCCGGTGTGGCTCGAGAACTGGAGAGCAAAATGATGACGCCTAAGGGTAGAAAGATGAAGGTGCAAGAAGCGCGAGCAGAGGACAAGAGAAAAGCCAAGAAGATCCTGACGATCACGTTTCCTCTAAACAACAGGATCACAAGTAACAATGTGCCAGTTCCGAAGATGGCCAAAAGGACTGGTCTGAGTGAATATGCTCAAGCTCAGCCTCTCGTCGCAACTTGCGGCATCCCCATGTGGTAGGGGCGGCGGCCGTCAATTGAAAATCCTACAGAATAGGCTTTATCAATCATTGGTGCGACACATTAGCGACGATCAGTACAGGTGGAATGTACTGTACTTTGAGTATGGGAAGACGCAAAAGCAGCAGGGAGAAGCTAATTGCGCTCAACTCAGGTGTAGCCATTGCTCATACCACAGAATAAGATACCCTATGAATCCAAGATAGAAAGCACGAATTCATTCCAATTCATTGTACAGTACGGATACGAACACCAAGCTTTAGACTTGACCGCTGCAGCAGTCAAAGTGACCAAAAATAGAGACCACCAACCAGAAGATGCCCAGGCATGCAGACCAAGGTGGGATTGTGCATGTGATAGTGGCTACTGAGGGCGAGTTGCCGCCCAGAGGTCGCTAGGGTACAAACAATTCATATGGTTGCTGATCAGCCGAGACCCTTCTTTGCACATCCGGAGTAGACAGTGAGAAGACTAAGAGCAAGCCATCACAAGAGACACCCAGTGAGCACAAAGCGAGGGAAGAGAGCCCTGTTGCAATGCTGGGCCCATCAATATTGATTCGTTGTAGGTGGGCGCTTCGACAGCGACTCTCGTCCAATCATTCGCCTCGCATCCACTTCATCACTCCCTAAACCTCCAATCCTCATCCATCTTCTCTCTGCTTCAACCTCTACCAACCGCCCGTTAATCATGCAGCTCGACAGCTCAAGCGCCCATGGCTTCCCCATTTCGGCACCGTTTGGAATGGTGCCTCCATCGGTATACCAAAGAAAGAATGGCATTACTACCATGCCATCTCCTCTACAGCCATCAACCTCTTTTCCACCTTCTCTTCCTCCTTCCCACCTCCGTCCCTCAGCTCGTGCCTCGTTATTTTTCTCGCAGCTCGCGCAGGCTTCGCAGAGCGATTTTTCTTAGATTCCTTGATATCTCTGCTGTGCACAGCCCCTAGACCAACAGTGTTGATTGCCTGATTGTTCAGAGCCTCGACCGACATAGCGACCGCAAAGCGCTTATTGGCACCAAACTTGTTTTACTCCGTGGCAGACCATAGAGTCAAGAACACCAAACCACCATCGCTCGGACGAATTACGGTCAACCGTGTTCTCGACCATTTGTTGGCCTGTCAATAGCTCAATCACATTTCCCGAAGCGCCTCTGGTCAGCACAACCCTGCCTGGGAGGTTGACTATTAGTCGGCCTGCTTCCCAACACCCGTCTGCTTCCTTCTCATCGTTGTCTATACAAGTGCTCCCGAGCTGGTCCTCGACGACATAGCAAAAGACACAAAAGATATCTCTCTCCACGGTGGTCGACTTCTTATATATCCCAAGATAGGTGTTGACCGTCTCACGTCAGCATTTGCCGCTACTCCCCCAGCCCGAGTCCGCATCTTGGGGAATCCTTGTCCTACCATCACCCGCAACGAGAAATAGCCTTAACAAGAGCGATGTCACCTTCCCACTTCGCACCAGTATCGCCTATCGATATCACCGTCAACACTAAATCTTTTCGCCCGGCGGGGTCTGCATTTGACGAACTCGACGAGAAATCTGAAGTCAAGGTGACAACTAGGTCACTCCGAACCAACTCTACTGCTTCCTCCACAAGGTCGACTAGGAACCAGGTTCGGAAGACTCGCTTTGCAGAAGCGACGTCGGTCTTTTCACCGGCATCCGGCCCTGGTGAACACAATTCACCTTTCGCGGATCCAAAGATGGACGCCCTCAAGCCTTCAGATGTTGGCTTCGGCTACATCTCAGACACCCAGCCTGTCGAGCAATTCATCACCGTTCGAAGTGACCCCAATGGCACTGCCGGTGCCCCTCTCAAGTCTGCTTTGAAGACGCCTGGGACGTCGAACCGGCTCTTGAATCCATTGAGCCCTACCTTCCGCGAAGAACAAATGCTCGAGAAGGAAGAATTGAAGACCGATGAACAACAGGCCAAAGATCTGGTAAGTTTCATACGTGGCTATCTAGTGCCCTCGACCAAGCTGACCTTATCGCTCGCACAGAAAGTCAAGACCCGCGTGCGCATGGCCAAGATGGTCCTCCGAGGCGTCAACTTTTCCTGCTCGCTCATCGTCCTCGCGATGCTCAGCACTGTCCTGACCATTTTCCACGCCACCAAGTCCATCCCACCGAGAAACAACCTGACGGCATGGGCACCCAAGCAGAAAATCTGGCCGCAGATCGTCGTCCTGAGCATCTCCAGCGTCTCCCTCCTCTTCTCAATCATTGTCATCTTGGCGTACTGCCGCAGAGGCCACAAGAGAGCCGAGAAGGTCGCCGTCTACTATACCATGTTCGCCGTGGGTTGGTTCTTGTTCAGCATCATCATGTGGTTGGTGGGCGCAGGCATCCTGCACGGAAGCAAGGCCAACGGCGGCGGCGTCGACATGTGGGGCTGGAGCTGCAAGGACAACAAACGCCGGGACTTGTTCAAGGACGACGTCCACTACGCACTCGTCTGCCGGTTGCAGGACTGGTCGCTCATCTGCTGCATCATCGAGGTCGTGGTCGAGGTCATCGTCATCGCCATCTACGGGATCGTGTTCTACCGCTTCTGGTCCAAGAACCGGCTCCGGAAGTCCATGGACGCCCGCGACCGCGCCCGCACCGACCTGTACCTCGCCCAGCTGCGCACGCAGTCGGCGCCAAACACCCCCGGCTTCGCCAGCGTCCAGACCCCGCGGACGCCCGGCTTCCCTTCACAGCATCACGCTCCGCCTTCGCTCCACTCTCCCCGGGGCGCCGCAGACGGCCTGGGGGCGCGTTCGCAGTCGCCCGCCCAGTTCGCCAACGTGTCGCCGCAGTCGAACACGACGACCTCGCCGTTCAGGTTGCAGGCACCGCCGATCCGCGTGCACGGCGCGACGCCCAAGATGCCGTCCACCGACAATTTCCAGAGGCGGGCCCTGACGTCGTCACCGCCGCCGCGAGCTCCCACGTCTCCGCCTCCCGAGGACAGAGTGCACGAGCACTTCGGCGCCGCCCCGGGGGAGCAGACGTACGACGCCGTTCCCATCCCCGGGGCTTACGTCCCGCCGTCCCAGCAACAGCAACAGCGCGGGGGACAGACTCCGCCCGGTCAGGCCTATTGATCCTGGACCTATTCCTGGAAACCCCCTTTGTGCGTGGACGAGGCGCCTGACGGTAGGATAATAGGACTTGGGATTCGGAGTACGGAGCCGATTTGTGGGGAGTGGTCGTCGGAATTCGACAAAAGGTACCACCCAGTACGAGACTACGGGTAACTATTCAAAGGAAAAAAAATGCAAACAAGTACCATGGGTTTACCTTGAACTTGGGAACGTGGGTCGTCTCGTTCTGATTGGGATCTTCATCCAAGCGTTCCTGATCCGATCCTGTCCAAGGCTGACGGTATGCCTCGCGAATACCGCCTTCATCTTATTTTTCTTCTTTACTTTCTTTTTTCTATTTTCTTCTCAATCTTCGTATCTACACACCGACAAAACACAAACACACAGACGTCAAACCATATCTATATCAAAGCATCGGGGGCCAGGAGCAGGAGCAGGAGCAGGAGCAGGAGCAGAAGCATTTAAGCACTAGCACTAGCTAGAACCCATACCTTAGGTAGCCAGGGTTGGAAATTAATTGTCATCAAACTGTATCTCATACAAGATTTTTTTCACAATTTGTTCTTCACCTCGTCGACGTTGCCATCATCGGTGATGTAGTGACTGTAATTCGTAGCAAAGACTCGGTACGCTGTGAGTATGACGATCATGTCACTCCGCTCCTTCCAACCCCGGTATCGGTATACTTGAATATCCATTTCAATTCAAAAACCAAGTCTTTTGTTGATTGTGTCTCTGTACAGTCTCAACTGAACAGACACGGATAGAATAGAGCATCTTCTCCTTTGAATAGGAAACAAGTGAGGAGGTTAGCCAGCTGGGCAACTTTCAATCTCGCCAAAACAAAAAGATCCCTCCACAAACTCTTAAACAACCAAAGAACGCCTCCAAGACCCCCCAATCACAGTCCCTCGTTGTTGGTATTTTCACATAAGCCCGCCATATGAATCGTCCCGTCTTTCCCAAGGCGTGGGACAGTATGGTTGGCGTCTTTGCCAGCGGCCGATCCTGTTGAAAAAACAAAAAAGAGCAAAAACGCACCACTCAGTGAAGAATTCGTTACGGGAAATAAAGGCACATGAAGCTTTCTTGAGTGCAAGGTGATGGGCCATGATTGCTCACATCAATCCGCCGTATGGGTCATCCTGTCTCTGCCACGGATGAGGGTCGTAGGCGCACTGCGTACGCTGATGATGAAATTTCTGGCCGTTACTTCCTTGGGTGAGCCAGAAGCCCAAAAAGTGCCTTTTGGATTTGCCACCACCGCTTCCTGCCGTGCGAGCCGACGCGGACTTTTCCTCTTGCAGGGACATGGCGGATCCCCCGGTCATACTGGACGTCCGCGACGGTGTGGCCGAGTGGTTGAACATTGCTTTGGCCTGGGCGAGCCGGACGAGGTGGACGGTGTAGTCGGAATCGATGATGTCGGAATCGGAGTCATCTGGGTCTGCCCCGACTGTGGAGAGCGCTGCGCTGTTACTCGAAAGACAATCATGAATGAAGTCGAGGATCGAGGGGGCGCTGTAGATGTGTTGCGGCGTGTCACTCCCCAAGATGCGGGAGCAGATCAGGTTCTCGAGGGCGGCCCGGAGCCAGTCATCTTCGGGGCCGTAGGTGGGTGTCTGGTAGAGGATGGACGAGAGTTTTGGGACGAGCTTGAACGGCACCGAGTGGTAGGGGGCCAGGTAGACGCGGATGACCGGGTGGACCAGTTGGTTCCGGTCGGAAGATGTGATGGACGTTCGTGTAGTCGTGGTGGAGGGAGGAACCTCGGCGGACTCATCGTCGCTCGAAGATGACTCAATTGGAACGGGGTACGGCTGTTGGCGGAGTTGATGGTTGTGCATGTCGAAGAGGACAGTATCGCTCGTCAGTTTTTTGGGACCCGAGTTCAGTCGGAAGAGACGTGATCTGGATTTGGGTTGTGCTTGGGCCTGGGATGAGGCATCCTCGTTGAGAGGAGAGACGAGGATGGACCAGTGGATGGGGGGCAAAGTGCTAGAGGTGTCGTCGGAATTGGGTAGGAAACCCAGGATGGATATTTTAGACATGTTTGATTGGGAGCTGTGTTATCCTTGTCGTTCAGATATTATCAAATGCCGTTCCGGTTCAACACTTGGGACTTCCTGGTTTGTCAACTGCTTGTAGGAATCCTTGGAAGGCTCGAAACGCTGAGTGCGCAGAATCAAATCGTCAATCAGGTGAGGTAGTCCAAGGTTCAATATGTATAAATAGATCCGGCAAAGTGAGGGTGGTTGAAAAAGCCACGAGATATATCGCCAATACGAGAAGATGATAAAACACCCAGTGATAGAAATATTGAAGTATGCAGATATCTCGGGGGGGATGATAGTGGACTGACGCAGGGCAAATGATGGGATGATGTATAAGATGTTGTTCAATTACCTCTTTCAGACCTACATCCATGGCAATTGGTGCTGGTTCGGGTGATTATATAGCAAGACTCAACATGCCTGCAGCCAAGTCATGTCCCTTTGCTGGATCTTCGCTTGGGCCAAAGCGGATTTGATTCGCCGAAAAGATGATGCACTGACTTCAAAATGGCGCATGAAGGAAGCAATGAGAATGGATGGAATCCGGCATTTTGTCCGGTTGAAAGATTATCAAAAAGATGTTCATTTGGAGCCGTAGATCTTCCGCAAATCTCCCGCCAATCACCGTCCACGACATTGCTGACTCACCCTTGCTCCGAGAGTTTGCCGGGGAGGCATCTCAGAAACACCAGACATTTCCACCACGAGGCTGCAAATAGCCTTGTGGACCAGGGGAAAAAATATCCAACAGGCCTTGCATCTAGGATAAAACCCGAGCATGTCCTAGCACAGATAATCAGCCCGGCTAGAACTCGGTGGGCTGTACCTGTTACCCATAGTGAGTGAGGAGCGGTGACAGATGGGACAGATGGCATTCCAGAGCGTGATAGAACTTGTCCACGATTGTCGTGAGATTCCAGATCTCACCATGGCCGATGCAATGTCCCGCGAAAGACACGAAAGACGGCGAGGTCTATTGCCGTCTGGCTTGCTGCATGTGAGAGCAAACGTTGACTAAGTGAGTGATTCGAGGGCTAACAGCTCCGCAAAACATTTTATGACCATGGAAAAGAGTCCAAGGGTATCATCTGCTTGATCCTTATTGCACCAGTGTGTGGAGTGTGTTGTACAACGAAAGTGATATGGTATTACACAGCAAAAGCCATCCTCTTCTAGCGACCCAACGCACCCTGACACGTCGATTTTGAACTAAACAGTGTTATAGCATGTCTGCTCGAGCCTCAGACTGTAGATGCGTAGTTTCCGCCTCTTTTCCTGTTGAACGCTCTCTGGTCTTTCAGCCAATTGCGATATCCAGCCACACTTGATATCTTCTCGCCGTAAAAGTCCGGGACGGGATTGTTTGTGCTAGCACCGCTAGGATTGACTCGGTGCCTCTTGATCCTTTCAAAGAAGGCTCGTTCTTTGATTGTGAATTCTGGGAGACGGCTTCGATGAAGCAGTTTCCATAGTGAGTTGCCAAATGCCGGGCCGATGAGCCATCCTAGAAAGGTTGCACCAAAGGTTGCAATTCCCATACTGATGAATGGATCTGTTGGCACCAGTTTTGTAATCTGGTCAGCCAAGTCTGGTACTTCCGAGAAGGCGGCGATAGCACCACCCGTAGATACTATGGACGTGACTATGGAGGAGGTTAGGGCATATCGGCGTCGAGACTGGCGCAGTCGGAAGAAGGCATTCCAGTCAAGGATATCAGAAGAGGGTCGCGGAGAGTCGGCGGAAGTCGACGCATGGCGGATGCGGCACAGGGAAGGGGTGAAAAAAGATGCTGAAGTGTTTGTGGAGGGCGATGGAGAGGCCGCTAGGGCTGCGAGCTTGGAGGATGATGGTCGGTGAGGTCGTGCTATGAGGGTTGCAGAAGACATGCCTCGCCGTGAGGGTGTCGACACATAGTGTGACTTGAGCAGGGTCGGTTGGGATTGAGTAAGCTGCAGACCAATCCTAGTAGACCTGGCAGCCATTACAACGGTGCTGACAGATATTGAATGTTGTAGTCAGAATATAACAGCTGAAGAGATGTTGGTGTTGGTGTTGGTGGTGGTGGTGGTGGTGCTTTTTTTCGCCAGCTGCGGTCACAGTCAAGCTTCCAGTTGAGGCTGGATTTGCGAGGTAGAAGCAGCCACAGTGACTTCACGCCGCAAAAAGACCCGCCAAGCACGTACTGTATGTTGCGAGACCAGCCACAGCTCGAAGTAATAATTAGGATGCTACAGAAGTGCTTACAATTCTAAGCTGTGCATGTAAGCGAACAAGCCATCAACAGATTCTGGATGTTCAACATAGTCTGGCCCGTGCGCTGCTGATGGTGAAGCGGCAGTCGACATTTCAGCTCGGGAAGGCGAGTCTCGTTCTCGTAACCCGTCCTAACCTGGAAGTTTAGTTATAAGAGACTTTTTCTCCAGGCATGATTGCAGCTAAAGTTTTGCCTACTGTACTGAATGCGGGCACTATCGCTTAAGGGTCATACTGCCTCTTCTGGGCATCTCTATTGGCCTGTACTCCGTATCCATCCTCCCCCCGGGCCTTGTCTATGAGCAGCCTGCGTCGGCTCCAAGCAGCCACCTGCCAGCCTGCGCATCACACTCTTCTTTATCCCCATGCTGATCGTCTGTCGTTCTTTCGAGTCTGAGCAGACTGTCATCAAAAGATCATGACTATTGCTGCAGCATATCAGTCCAGGACGTCTTGGGTTCATGCTGTGCCTGTTTCCCACCTTTGCGACTCTCGAAATTAACCCCAAACTTCGATACCGACTTCGCCGGTGCACATCTTATCTCAGCCCGTATTCGTGCACAGAAGATGCCGTTGCGAATCCTCCGGACCCTAGGATACCTGCCCCTTAAAGACCTATGTTGATGTCGAAACCCTGCTATTCCGGTGACAGAATTCGCACGCCATGCCGCGCCCAAAGAAAGCCGATCAGGATGGAAGAGAGGCGAAGAAGCGCTCGAGGAATGGTTGCTGGTAGGTGACTCGGCAGAACTCTTGAGATACGTCTGCTTATACATACCCGGGAAATAGGCCTTGTAAATCGAGGAAGGTCAAGTGGTATGAGTGTCCCTCATGGTGATTGTCCGGTGCGTCTATATACTAACAGGCTACAGTGGGGAAGAGAAGCCCAGTTGTGTCAACTGCCAGAGGCAAGGTGAAACATGCGATTACAGTATACGATTGAACTGGGATGGACGAAGCAAGAGAAAAGACGACGGAAAACCGGGCGCACAAATCATGACCTTCAGCCAGCATCAAACCACTCCACCGCAGCCCATGTTGCATGGTTATTCAAACGGTGTTCCCGTTCAAGGACTCGACTGCGACATGAATTCCCGAGTTTCTGATATGCAATCACAAATGCCTCCGAACTACCTCGTTGGACACCACTCGCCAGACCCCTCAATGTCTTCGATTCCTCATTTCTCGAACCCCGTTCCAATGCCTGCGACCGATCCCAATCCTTCCAGACCACCCCCTCCACCTGTCTTGAGGACACCCCGCTGGACTGAAGGTGCAACCCATCCTGTAGGACCCGAAAATGTACCTGTGCCCCCTTTGCGACATTCAATGTCGCTTCCAGCATATCCTTCGCCATCAGAATCAGCATTCGGCAGCCCGAGCCTCAATGGGGGGATGTATCACTTTGGTGGGAACACTGTGCAAATGCGCCCGCCCATGCCAACGTCCAACCCGATTCACTATCAGGAATCTGTCAATTCGCCCCAACACCCTTCCAAAAGAATAAAGTTGAGTCCTCGGACGGACAACTTTGGCAGACCGATGCAAAACTTTCAACGGGCAACGTCTTATGGTCCCAATGAAACCGAGGAATCACTCCGGGTCCAGTTCAATCCTAACACACCTACTTTCTTCCCTTCTTACCTCAGCAATCCATTGACTCCAGCGACCTCGGCATCACAAGCCACGGATGGCGATGATCGACGTATCTCAGTGAGCTCCTTGTTGTCTGAAGATCTTGACACGGAAGACTCAAAGGCTTCAAACCTTGCCGAACAGACCGTGGTGCCCGATGATCAGTACTCACGGCGTGGTTCTCTTCACCAGCGAATGGTGTCGTACACGCAGACCGAGACTTATGGGATGGACCGCGGAAATCCTGACCTGGACATCCCGAGGAACAATGACACCATGGCCATCTCAGGCGACTCACCTTCAGAACATAGTGACTTCGAATCATGGTTAAACGACACCGATCTCGGAGTACCAGAGTTTGGTTTTGGGCTTGTAAGTCGGGAGACAGTGTTTGCCAAAGGCGGCTATTACGCTTCACCAGTTCCCATCAAGATCCCACGAAAGTTAGAACCATTACCTCGAACACTTTCAGAGAATCCAATGAACTTGCTCTATTTCCATCACTTTCTCAACCACACGGCCAGGATTTTGGTGCCACATGATTGTCCCGAAAACCCTTTCAAGACAATTCTCCCAAAAAGTAAGTCACAAAAAGAATGCGAAGATGCTTCATTTACTTATAGATCTCAGTGGCCGTGGAGAACACGAATCTACTCAACTTATTACTGGCCTATTCTGCATGCCATCGGGCGAGACTGTTGAATCACCCCGAACCTGCGAATCGTATTGCTCATTGGGTTCGAGATGTGTTTCCCTTCCTGCGACAGACTCTGGACAATGTTTCAAACACGGATGTATCCAATGCTAATTTGGCCACCGCAATCATGTTGTCTTCTCTGGAGATCATTTCACCTTCAAGTTTTGGTGTATCCATCCCGTGGCAAAATCATCTGAGTGTTGCCAGAAGTATCATCCGTGCTCGAGGAGGCCCAAATTCGATCTCAAGAAAGGACCCAGTCATGTTCTTTTTGACTCGATGGTTAGCATATCTGGACGTGTTGGGTTCGCTCTCTGGCAGACGCAATGAAGAGCCTCTGTTTGCCGGCAATTACTGGTCCAGTTCGCACGAAGATAGCACTTCGGCAAAGGAGCTGTCACTGACCGACGACGATGGAGATGATGACGATGACTATACCATTGACTGTTTGTTAGGCTTCACTACCAGGTGTGTTTCAATCCTGGCTCAGGTGGCTGTCCTGGCCAGACAATGTGAGTCGGGCAGGATCGATCCAGAGACTGGACAGATCAACGAAGCATGGAGGCCTGCCCCCGATATCCTTAAGAAAGCAGAGAAGCTGCGCCAGGACCTGGAGCGTGCTCGAAACCACGAACACATCCAATGTCACCATAGTCCACAAATGACAAAAGCCCACCTGTGCGACTCACGACGCAACTCGGCTTATGCAGAAATGTCAGAGAAAGACCAGGAAGAAGCTTTTGCGACAAATTCTGCGTTTCATTGGGCAGGGCTTGTACACCTGCTCCGCAGAATTCACAACCTTCCTCGTAGTGATCAGGCGGTGCAGCACGCGGTTCATGAAATTGTGAAAATTTTACAAAGCATTCGACGAGAAGGGAGTGCCGAAGCCTGTCTCTTGTTTCCCATGTTCACGGCTGGTGTCGAGGCTGAAGATCCACTCGATCGAGCAGAGGTTCTAAGCAGGATCAAGGCCTCTGAAGGACTTGGAATGTGTCAAGTCAGTCATGCTCGCAAGATCATGGAAGAGGTTTGGCGGACAGGAGTTAGTTGGGAGGGTTTGACAACAGGAGGATTCTTTGGTTGATTATACATGGAGTACCGATGTGTAGCAACACACAGGTGGACACGACTATGTTTACGTTTTATGACCATGAGATATTATCTCTACTTTTTGCATTTGATGAGCGTTGGTGCTGGGGGATTTTGGGTCTATATACTGTTTTTTTCATGACTTCTGCAGTGGAACATTCATGTCGCCAATCTGGCACTTGTTTTTGTGGCTGTACAGTCCTCTAGATATCTATTGTGCCTAACAATGCTCTGGTTTTGTTCTTTCTTACACGTGCGGACACGAAGAGGTGAGACTCGGTACCGAATATAATTGGCAGCCATCTATTAAACGACGTCAGCACGTGCGACAACGTCAATTCCATTTATTTCCATTTCATCATTGTATTTATGTTCATAGAATCTCACTGTATGCATCCAACTCGCTCTTCTTTCTCACTCTTTCACTGACTGATATACGCTTCATTTGATTAAAAGGGGGCCTCACTCTGGACCTATCGACAATCACCCCATCACCACGTCCATCTTAGAGCTCTACTGCGTAACCACTTCTTGCATTCCAAGGCGTTGCAATTTGGAACAGGCAACAAATCGCTCGGGGGTTTTCTGTAATTTTTGAGGAATTTGTATCCAGAAACCAAACGAAACGCGGAAGAAAAAAATAATGTCATCTCCCAGCACCCAAGCCATGAACAAACTCATCCGACAGCACCCGCTCCAACGTCTCTCGTCGCCGTCGCGGGGGTTCTCGGCGGCCGTCCACGCCGCCGGCCTCGCCAGCTTCGCGTACAGCTACAACTACCTCGTGGCGAACCCGAACCACATCAACCAGGCGTACGGGTGGCACTTCCAGTACCTGACCATCATCGGCCTGACGCTGGCCACGGCCACGTTCGCCCTCGGGCTCGCGGCGGACGTGACGCTGTCCCGGCGGCTGTTCGCCGCCAAGAACGTCCTGTCCGTGTGCTCGGCACCCATGGAGGTCCTGGTCAGCGTGCTCTACTGGGGCCTGAGGGCCGTCGACCCGGAGCTCGTGGTCCCCAAGGAGCTCGAGCTCCCCGTCGCCGCCGACCTGGGCTTCCACCTCGCCCCGAGCGCCCTGCTGCTCCTCGACATCCTCCTGCTCAGCCCCCCCTGGACCGTCACCGCGCTCCCCTCGGTCGCGCTGAGCGTGGCCATCGCCTTCGCCTACTGGTTCTGGATCGAGCTGTGTTACGGCTACAACGGCTTCTACCCGTACCCCTTGTTCGAAGTGCTCGACCGGACCCAGCGCGTCGGCCTGTTCACGGCCAGCGCGCTCATCATGGCCGCCAACACCATGATCCTCAAGTGGCTGCACGGCAGGGTGAACGGCCAGGTCGGGAACACGCGCTCGGAGAGGCCGGGCAGGGTGAATTGATATCTAGATTTTCGGACACTCGGACCGGGATGGACGGCTGCCCACAAAAGAGCAGAGATGGCCCAGATGGATTCTCAATCTTTCACATGTGCATCGTTCGAAGCATGTAGAGATGCAAAATCCTCAAAACCCAGTGGACATTTGGTTTTTTCCGGGATGGAAAAGTAATATCTTGTTCCTTTTTACACATGAAGCTCCAAATATGTATAGATATATCTACCTAAATCGGAAAACAGATGAAAATTTCCGTCTTTTTTTGTTCTTTAAAAGAACGCCTGCAATCCTGTAATCGCCCTTCCTAGAATCAAAGCATGGATATCACTTTGGCCCTCGTACGTCTGGGTGACGAACAAATTTGCCACGTGTCGTCCGATGTGGTACTCGTCGCTCACCGCGTTCCCTCCAAAGATTTCCTGTAGCGTCCGCGAGTGGTGCAACGCGCGATCACAGTTTTGTCTCTTGATCATACTGATCATCTCCGGGGCCAAGCCGGCCTCGCTGTCCTTTACCCGTCCGACCTGAATCGCGGCGAGCAGACCGTACGCCGCGTCCGTCGAAGCGTCGGCCAGCTTCTTCTGGACCAGCTGGTACTTGGCCAACGGGTTGTTCTGGAATTGTTTGCGCTCGAGGGCGTACGTCCTCGTGCGTTCGATACAGTCTTCGAGCGCTCCCACCACACCGAACGCGATCCCGAAGCGTGCCGAGTTCAGGCACGAAAAGGGACCCTTGAGGCCGGTCACGTTGAGCATGTTCTCCTCCGGCACGGGACAGTTGTCGAGCTGGATCATCCCCGTTATGCTGGCCCGGAGACCGGTCTTGTTCTTGAGGGCAGGCGTCTCGAGTGTTCCGGGAGGACAGGCGGCGCGCTCGATCACGAACCCTTTGATTTGACCGTCGAGTTTAGCCCACACGAGTAATATATCGGCGATGGGGGAGTTTGTGATCCACGTCTTGGAACCCGAGAGACTGTAGTAACCTTTCTTGGTCGGGTGAGGGCGCGCCGTGGTTTCCATGGATCCTGGATCCGAGCCATGGTTCGGCTCGGTCAGCCCAAAACAGCCTACGGATTCGCCCTTGCCCAGTTTCTCGAGCCAGCGGTCCTTTTGCGCCGGGGATCCGAATTGGTCGATCGGACCCATGACGAGGGACGATTGAACGGACATGCCGCTCCGGTAACCTGAATCGATGCGTTCGACCTCGCGGGTGATTAGTCCTGAGGCGACGGAGCTCACGCCCGGGCAACCGTGGGTCTTTATGGTCGGGCCCAGTAGGCCCAGAGAGCCCATTTCCTGGAGAATGGATCGATCGTAGTTTTCTGTGCGGTAAGCGTCGAGGACGCGTGGAAGAAGGCGATCCTGGCAATAAGCGTGGGCGGTCTCTTGAATGCTGACCTCTTCCTCGGTGAGGAGGGTTTGTGATGAGAGAGGGTCATCCCACTGGAAAGTTGCACGGCTGGAGGCAGAGCGAGACGATATCAGACGTGATGATGCCAGCCGGCTTGCACGCCGGGTCGTGGACGTAAGAAAGGACATGACGGTCAGGAATGTATGGGGACTTTGGGGAAAATCGAGGAAGATGAAGTCGTGATAATGAAGTAGAAGACAAGAGAATGATTGTAAAACAATATCTACAATATAAAGGAATTGGACTTTGATGGACCAGACTCGGTCCTCTTGAAAGTGGCCAACATGTTTGGGAAGCCGAGGGGGAACAGGATGATATTGCCGTTATAGCCGTTGCGTATGGAGTCATACAGCCGATGGACTCGGGTCAATCCGCCAAGGACATTTGAAATGCTGGACGGCATCTTGAGATGTTTTCATGCCATATCTAACAAGGATTTGCATTCCTCGTCAAACCCCGTCTGATTTATTCTCTGCTGTATTGTATTGTAGGTACGGAAGCATGGCTAGGTATGTCTTGGACAGTACCATCTCTGGTGCAACCATACCCGTCTGGTTAGGAAGGAGAATCCTTGGATTGCTGATGGATCTGCTATGAGATACATTGGTTCTTGTATGTTGAATTGTCGCTATTCCAACTACATGGCTGACATGTGGTGTTTAATTTTCGAGGGATTGATTGATCTGGGCCACCTCAATACGAGTTAACAGGAACTCGCTCCGTAGGCGAATGTGGGAATCACGTGCCGTCACAGGGTCATTGGTAATTCTAACAATTTTGTTGGCTTGAAGTGTAACGAGTGCAGTGGGTGCAGAAAAAAATGAAGCCACCCGGAACGGTGGAGAGACGAGGGCTATTCCTGTTCCTGCATGCCTAGCGATAAGCTTAATTCACACGCTTTGTTCACTGGTTGGGGCGCTTCTGGCCTGCTGTCCTACGCCCGCCCTGCGCCTGGCCATCAACGTACGACGCCTCTATTATCCCCAGAAACTTTTTGCGCAGTTGCCCACTCGATTTCTCCCTTCCCTCCCCAGATCTTCATCCACGTCGGCGCTCGCTGTCCATAAGGATAGCCTGAAGCCATTCCTGTCTCGTTTCCTTTCGATCTCTCCCTCGCGCCATGGTTCAGCGTGTTGACACCATCATGAACGGAACCAGTCGCGTTAATGGCACCAATGGCCACCACAGAGATTCACCTTCCTCACGATCCTCGCGCAAAGCCTCCTCACCAATGGCTCCAGCTTTCATGACCTCCGCCCCTGGAAAGGTCATTGTCTTTGGCGAGCATGCAGTTGTACACGGCAAGGCCGCAATGGCTGCAGCCGTCTCCTTACGATCCTACCTCCTGGTCACTACACTCTCCAAATCTCAACGCACAATTACTCTAGTCTTTCCAGATATCGGACTAGACCACACATGGAATATCGAAGATCTTCCATGGCATATCCTTTCCAAGTCGTCTCGAAAACCTCGATATTATGACATGATCACTACTCTTGATCCTGAGCTCGTGGAAGCGATGCAGCCACACATTGAAGAGGTGTCTCCTAACCTCAACTCGGAAAAAAGAAAACGTCACCAAGCAGCCGCTTCCGCTTTCCTATACCTGTTTCTGTGTTTGAGCAATCCTACAGCTCCAGCTTGTATATACACCCTCCGCTCGACGTTGCCAATCGGAGCAGGACTGGGATCCAGTGCCAGCATTTGCGTTTGCATAAGTGCGGCACTTCTGAAGCAGATACATGTGCTATCAGGGCCTCATCAAGATCAACCAGAAGAAGAAGTCGATATACAACTGGAAAGAATAAACAAGTGGGCTTTTGTTGGAGAGCTTTGCATTCATGGAAATCCCAGTGGGGTGGATAACACAGTTGCGACTCGAGGCAGGGCCGTCCTGTTCAGACGAGTTGACTACTCAAAGCCTCCATCTGCCACGCCGTTGAAGGACTTTCCAGAACTGCCTCTATTACTAGTCAACACAAAGCAACCCCGTTCAACGTCCACCGAGGTGGCCAAGGTTGCCACCATGAGAAAAAAGTATCCCGCCGTTACCGAGGCCACGCTGGACAGTATCGATGAAGTCACAATGTCGGCACATTCTCTTATCACATCTGATGGATTTGACCCGAGGTCAGAACAGAATATCGAGCACCTTGGTGATCTCTTCAGAATAAATCATGGGCTCCTAGTCTCGTTGGGCGTCTCTCATCCCAAGCTCGAGCACATCCGCGAGTTAGTGGACTATGCAGATATTGGTTGGACCAAACTTACCGGCGCTGGAGGGGGTGGTTGTGCCATAACTTTGCTCAAACGAGGCGTCAGCGAGCAAGCTATTCGCGATTTGAAAGATAAGTTCGAAAAGGCAGGATTTGAAGAATATACGACAACTCTTGGTGGGAGTGGCGTGGGTATCCTCTATCCTGCCGTATTACATAACGGGTCAGAAGAAGAGGGAGGCGATGAAATCGACCAACTGAAGTTTCTCAATGCCCAGGGGGAAGAGGGTATTGAGAAATTAGTCGGAGTTGGTGGCCTCGAGCGGAGGCCCGAGTGGAAGTTTTGGCATTGACAGTAATGTGGTGGTATTTTCATGGTTGTTTTATCAGCGGCGGCGCTCCGGCATGCATTGATTGATGTAATGATGGAAACGGATCCGTTGTAATTTCGAAGGCAAGCGACAAAAAGCTTGGTGTGTTGATAGTCTACATGTTTTATATGCAATCCAGCGGCATCATAATGATACGTCACGTGCATCGCGAATAACTCGCTTGAAGCATGTCAGTCGTTACCATTGTTCTTTACATACCATACCATCGCCACACAGATTTCAAAGATTTGTTTTCCACCAATGTCGATCTGGGTGTCTGTCGTACCCTTTTTTTAGTTTCACTGCGAATTCCATCCAACAATCAATGTTGGTTTCGTATCGGCACCGTCCGTCGCCTTGAAAAGACCATGAACCTGGCCCAAAACTGGTGACCACGCACTATTCGCTTTTCCGAGCAGATTATCATCGCATCCTGTGAGAGACTGCACTGCAAACGCCATGTCCGGCAAGTCCTCGAAGTCCAAGTCAAAATCCTCCAAATCAAGAGAACCATACTACGCCGTTTCGCCGCAATGGAAGGACGTCTCGCCAATTCCGCTCATCGACGGACCTCCCGGACAACAAAAAGATCCAGGACCGGCCCTCGCCACGATAGCGTACTCTCCGCGTTACAGCGAGGCAATGTCGTACCTTCGTGCCGTCATGGCGGTAAACGAGTTCAGTCGTCGCGCCCTCGATTTGACCGAGGACATCATTGGCATGAACCCGGCACATTACACCGTCTGGCTCTATCGGGCGAAGATCCTAAAGGTGTTGTGGGACTTGGAGGGGACGTCCATCGAGGATGGAGTCAAAGTTGAACTCGAGTGGCTCGACGGGATCAGTGAGCGGGCATTGAAGAATTATCAAATTTGGTAAGTTCTGAATCCTTCCTTCTTCTGTCACTGTATCGCTCTTTGCGTGGTTTTTCCCCTTTCGTCGAACAAGAACACAAAAAAGCCACCGATTCGCAAGGATAAACGGCAGTTTACACGTCACGACGAGTCTGGGTCAACTCCATGGCTGATCGAAAGGGCACGTTATCCCTTTTCTCATCTAGGCACCATCGTCAACTTCTCATGTCTCTCCTCCCGACCATGCCGAACACGGAACCGGGCTTCCTCTCCCACATTTTGTCCTTTGACTCGAAAAACTACCACGTCTGGACGTACCGCGCCTGGCTGTGTCGACGCTTTCCCGACCCCCTCCTGAACACGGACGTGGAACTCGACGCCGTCGACGCCCTGATCGCCCAAGACGTACGGAACAACTCGGCCTGGAGCCATCGGTACTTTGTCGTCTTTGGGGCCGAGGAACTACGGTACATCGAGGAGCAAGGAGGAAACAGGAAAGACGTCCTCGCGAGCGGATCCCTCGTGGTCGACGAGGAAGTGGTCGAGCGTGAGGTCAACTACACCAAGGACCGGATCGCCTGGGCCCCTCAGAACCCGAGCCCGTGGAACTACCTCAAGGGCGTGGCCAAGAGGGCGGCGGTCCCCATCGGAGATTTCCAGGTCTACTGCGAGTCGTTCGTGGGAGGACGCAACGCGGACCTGATGGGCGACCAGGTCCGGAGTAGTCACGCGATCGACTGGTTGGCCGACATTTACAAGGAGGACGGCAACCCACAAAAGAGCAAAGCCTGTCTGGATGCTCTGGGTCAGAAGTGGGACCCCATCAGGAGAAAGTACTGGGAGTATAGGGCACGACAGATGGGGGATGTATGAGAACTGGAAACAAAGACACGAGATGAAAAGAGTCCTCCAAACATTCGACTTGGGAATGGGAGAGAGCCCGGCCTTGATTGGTGTCCCATGATGGCTTCATATAGAGGCATTTGATAATCGTGATGAGATAAAGACTTGTTAACGGCTATGTGCACAAAGTGTACAACGGTATAACTAGACGGCCCTTCCTGGGTACCGACTCTGGGTCGTTGTGTTGGCTGGCTAAATAAAATCGAAGCAACTACAGTCTTCGTGTGTGGGAAGGCCGTTACATTTCAGACGCTCAAACGCTCAATCTGAATCATCCGAATCACTCAATTCCTGCAACCTTCCTTCCTCCATGGCCTGTTGCACTGGGTTCGTGACGTTGGCGACACCAGTCGCCTTTAGCCTTTCGAATAGCACAAACAGTCTCTCGGCTTCGCGTTCGGCTTCTTCTCGACTCATCTCGGGTACTTGAACCGGAGTCTCTGCGTCGAGTCTTTGACCGGTTATCGGGTTTACCGGGACGGTCCTGGACGATTCACCGTCCTCGTGTCTTCCGATACTACCGCCCTGCTGCGGTGTTGTCGTCGTCTTTACGTTTTCAGGAATGGGAATTTTGTGGGTCATGAGATAGCCAGCCGCGTAGCCATAACCGATATTGTGGACGTATTGACTTGCGTCTTTGTCCGAAAGTTCAAACATCAATCCGGAGATCGCTTCTGATAGGTTCGTCAATCCAGTGGATGTCGTCAACCGGAGTAAATGAGATGCTAGGGATGACGACTTCCCCAGTGGTTGATCTCGTTCCCTGTCATCGGGGAGAATTCGTTGCTTGAGTTTAGCTCGTGCCTCGGGACCTGCCTTGACATTGATGTTTCGGAGTGTTGTCAACAGTGGGACTACGCTTGTTTCTAACTCGGTGGGCGAGTATGTCGTGACCGCCGCGGAAAGAAGGTTGATCAATTTGTCCAAACCGGAATCAAAGTCGGGGTCTTGTTCCGAGGTCTCGTCGAAGTCAATGTTGGCAAGGGCATTGACAATGAGACCGGTAGGAGGTTTTAATGGTGGTGAAAAGGGGGGAAGTTGTTTGAGGAGTTGGAAGAGGGGACGAATGGCTGAGGTGAATGACGGTCCGTGGCTTGGTGCACCACTCGTGACGTTGAAGAGAAGCTTCAGTGTTTCTTGGAGTGCGGGAGAGTCTGGATTAGTTGTCGAGGTTGTTGCGTTTGATTGATCAACATGCCGGTTTAGAAGTTTGATGATGTTCTCTGCGAGCCTGTGCTCGTCTAGTAGTATCCGTAGGTCGATTCGAGGGTCATACGTCAGGAGAAACAGTATCCGAGAAAGAAGAAATTCTTCATCGACGCTAGCGTCCTCGAGGGCATGTGTGGCTTTCTTGTCCAGTTCAAGACTTATCGAATGTTGACGAGTGATTGGGAGTAAAAGGAGGGCATTCGCAATGCATCTGAGGGATTCCTGGCGGATATCTGGAGGGTATACGCCAAATGCGTAGTATCCCAGTATTTTCACCCCGCTCTCGTTGTAGAGAGCAGAAACGTTGCTCGCATCTCTCCCTAAGACTTTGAGCCCTTCGAGGGCAGCCTGGAGTTGCGCATTCGATGAGACCTTCGCTTCCAAGTCATCTCTGAGCTGTGCGAGTAGTTTCTTGGCTTCGTTCCGGCTGGACGAGTTTGGCATTGAACCGTCGGTTGGCTGGTGTCTTGCTCGGTGACGACTTACTTTGACATCTATGAGAAGGTGACAGTCGTTTGGATTACTTCCACTTTCATCCAGACACTATTTTTGTATATCAATCAAGGAAGAGTTGGAATAGGTGGAATGAGGATGGAATACTTGGAAACCCTTGGAAATAGATCGGTCTGACAGTAATCTTTACCTTTGAACGCTCATCAAGGGCTGAACCGCACGGCAAATTACTGATTGTGTTGCTGTAGCGTTGAAGAATATGAAATATTACAAACACGTGAGGCATGGAATATATGACCAATTCAGTCAAATACTATATTGTACTCGCCATATGGCACGAGTACCCGGTGTCAAACGTGCTCTTCGTTCTCCAGACTGTCAGACGTGGCTCGTCTATCCTTGGACAGGTCGCGCTTGGTCGGCTTAAATCCGGAACGCCGCCTGATACGAGGCGGCGCGCGTAGACGCGTTGAGTGAGTGGCTGGACGTGTCGTACTGATTCTCTATATCCCAGACTGATGGCCCAAGTACCCCGTACTTTTTCACTACGAGGATGTCGTCGATTTCCTTCCTAGACTTCAAATCTTCACGTTATTCCTGTCGAGAGTCTGCGGGCAGCCTCATGATTGTTGTTTGGGTATCGTGAAGACTCCGCTGCTCTCTTATGACGAGACTCCCTTCCATCCTGTGATTGCCAATTCCCAGCAATCATGTCGATGCCCAGTGCACTACCTCTCAGTCCTCCGTCCACCTCTTCTCGCAGGAAAACGTCCCTACTCAAATCTCTCGCCAATGCTACAGGCACACCGGAGTCTCCTGCATCCTTTCCATCATCATTAAACTCTGGGTCCCGAAAACGCGTCGAATTCTCCCCCTGGACGAACACCCACGAATCTCTCCCCGGCCCCCAACGGCTCCCCTCCAGTTTGCCCCGAGCAAAACCTATCCCATCTTCGTCCGAATGTCAAAGTGCCCTCAAGTCGATTCTTAAGCCTGCTGCAGTCGGAGAGCATATCTTACAGTCGAGGGATGTGCGACCGTATGAAAATCGATCGATGAACGAAATGATGGAGAGCATTGTAAACCAGCTGTCACAAGACGACAGGTCAGTTTCGGTAGACGCATACCGGACGCTGGCCGGGGTTATCCGAGAGTATGACGAGATCCCAGAGGAAGCAGTCCTCAAGAGCAAGCTCACAACCATTTTCAAATACATCAAGCGGGATCTCCTCAGACAGGCAAAGCCGAATGAGTCTCAGATTGCGGATACCAATCTCATGACCCAGGCATTGAAAGTCCTTGTTATCTTTGTCTGGAACCGGGACTATGCATCTTTACTGTCCGACGAACATCGAGTTTTTATCCTGGACCGCTCTATCCAAGTTATTGCTGAACATAACGCTTCGAAAAGTGTCATCATCCACTACCTACATTTACTGGCGACACAGGATTTTCGCTCAGGCCTGGTCAACTCGAGCAACCGTGTCCCACGACTTCTGGAGGCCATGAAAGTGCTTCCGGAATACATCAAAGGCAATGGAATAGTGTCTGAAAGATTACTTGTCTACCAGAAGCTCCTCGAACAAGCAAAAGCCGCCATGAAAGCAAAAGCCGACCTCTGGGTTGAGGAACTTTTGATTGGTATGACGAATCCGTTGAAGGACATTCGTGACAAGGCCATGTCCTTGGGCTTGAAGGCTTGCCTTGTGTTTCCTATCTCATCGTCAATTGCGTCAACTGTACGAGCAGTTCTAGAACGAGAGCTCGACTCAGAACGAACCTTTAGTTCTGCCATGTGTCGAAGGCTTGAGAAGATGGTATCCACAAAAGAGGAAGTTTCCCAGGTACCGCAGATATGGGCCATTGTCATTCTACTGAGCAATGGTCTTGACACGCGCGTTGACAATTGGGCTGAAATGAAGGACTGGCTCAAGGTCATTCAACGGTGCTTCAATTGCAGCGAGACGGCTATCAGACAGCAGTCGATTTTGGCATGGAACCGACTTGTCTACGTTGTTCGACCTCACGAAGCCTCTGACACTTATACATCGATGCTAGCAAAACCCTTGGCTGTTCAGTTAGAGCGATCAGGAGCTGAGAAGGGTGTCAAGGTCACACGTGCACCGGCCGTATCGAGTTACTGCAACCTCCTATATTATGCATTCCGACCAGCCGCAACACACAAGCAGTACACACGGGTCTGGAACGAATACATCGTCAAAGTCATGAAGAGCTCTTTCTTCGACAAGAACACTGCAAACCCTGATCTTGCTTGTCGAGTTTTGATTGCATTACTATGGAATTCAAGCAAGAGCACCAAGGTCTGGAATGAGAACCGAGCACTCGAAAGTACACCTGTCGAACCCGAAGAACTTCCCACCATCGACTGCAAGTGGGTCCGCGCCAGAAGCGCAGCTATCGTCGAAATGTTTCGCGTTCTCTTCCGATACAGCTCTTGGGGCGCATCTGGACAATCGGACAGAGCATATATTGCTGTTGCATGGACTCACTTTCTGAAGGCAATTCGCGAGGCGAGCAGCAAGGAGATCAAGCCTTCTTCTGAAACCAAGCAAGCTACTGCTGTTGTAGTTGAGTTTCTATCGTCCTTGTGGTCGGAAAAAAGCAATAAACAAGCATGTGCTCAGGGATTGGAGCATGCACTGACTGATGCACAACTTCGACAGATAACGCGAGGGGTCCTTCAGGAGTTAGGCTGTGCTTCTCTCTTAGCTGCACTAGAGGCTCCCCAACCTGCACATGGGAGAGCTCCGATTATCTCAGAGATCTTTGTTTACATCGGTATCGAGATTAGGAAAGTGAAAGACCATGAGAGTAGCCGTCTGCACACACAGTCCCCCAAACTTGCGCTTCAGATTTTGAATGGACAATATCACAAAGCTCTGGGCTTGCTCAACACATGGTCGACGGAGGAAATCAATTCGGGAGAGCATCGCCATGAAAAGATGTTGGCCGAGATTATTGACACCGTCATCCGTCTCATCACCAGCACTTCTGAGCAAGACCTTTTGCAGAGTTGCGCTTCTCTGGCCCCAACACTTGAAGTGTTTTTGAAAGATGAGAGCCACTACTTTGGCAGTATCAAGGAGCCTGACCTGGAACAAGCGTACCAAAACCTCGCCAAGTTTGTCGCAAGTGTCCTCATCAGGATTCCGCCGACGGAGATTCTCGCACTGGACGGAGTCTACGCAGCTTTCTTTGAGACTACCAATGATACTGTTCTTGAAAGAGCTAGTGTGATCTGGGACAAATATCTCGCAGTGCATGATAACATCACTCTCGGACCGCGTCTCTCCGATGCTGTCTACAGCCTCGCAGACCCTATGTCTAAGTCATCAACTGGCAACGGGCATCTGGAGGATGATGGACATTGCATGCCTTCACCATCACGAGCCCCGGGAACCACAGCCGGCCGATCCCCAGAAAGAGATGGTTTCCTGAGTCCGCGAAGATTGGAAGCTATCTATGGTCCATCGCCCATCTTGGGTAGCCAGGGCTATCAACAAGTTGGGACGATGAATGAAATGGCACAGTCAAGCCCAACAAAACCATCTTCCAGACCTCGATCAAGACATGACGACTCCCAGATCAACTTTGTTCCGATTGAATCATCACCACCTGCAGATACCGAAAACGATTCTCAATCCCTTACAGCGCATCAGAAGGAAGTTCGCGATAGACAGCGTACAGAACCGGCAGTGGTATTTCCAGACTTGAGGTCCAGTCCTAGACCACAGAGTCGGTCGATGAATTATGGAGATTGTGAATTTGCCAGAAAGGCAGCAGCGTTGGATGAACGACCAACAACGCCCACTCTACCCGCAAACCATGATCAAGAGGCAGAGATCATGGCTTCCCCAACTCCCCGAGCTCGACATTCCACCAAAAATATAACCGACATCGAAGTACCTTCATCGCCACCTTCAATGGGCGAACAAGTTGGTGACAACCAAGGTTCCCCCTTGCAGACTCCCGCAGAAGAAACAAACATGGCGATTGACTTGGTATTGCAACCGGAGGTCATCGAAAGGCCAACGAATGCCGTTGAAGATCATGCGATGACTGATGACTCTGCAGTCGAACGTGCCAAAAAGAACATATCTCACCAGTCTCCTGCTCCTCTTCCCGCTGTCAAGACTGCATTAGTTGAAGCCACCGGTTCTCAGAATTACCCTCCTTCCACTGTTGATGAAACGCCAATAAACGTCGATGGTGAAGGTAAAGTAATGGATGCTGGCGGCCAAGTGAAGAGCGGAGTAGACAGCGACGACATCGACATGCTCAGTGCATCGCAACTCTCTCAAGATCTCGATCGACATCTTAGTCAGGTTGTCGATGTAGGTCCTATGGAACCTTTCGAGCCCAGCGAGGCTCAGGAAGAGGACAGCACAAGCTCCAACAGGAAACAGCGAAATACTCGCAAACGGAAGACTGTTGACTATACTCTCACAAAGTCAAAGAGAAGGAAATCAAAACCATCGCCTCAAACATCTTCAGATGTGGTGGAGAGCCAAGATTCGTCAAATGCAGACTCTAATGATGCCGAGTTGTTGGACTGTATTGAAGTTACGGGTTCGTTGGAGCCAGAGACTGACGTTCAAGCTACCGCTGTTGAAGAAAGACGACCTACCGAATCTGCGTCGCCACCTAAATCTCGTCGCGGAAGAAACAAAAGAAAATCACGGCTTTCTCGGTCACAAGAGTCTCGGCGTTCAAATGTCGAAGTCGTGGTCCATCCCGCTACATCACAAGTTGCTGAAGTAAAGGAGGCAACGACGACAGAAGAGGAGGGACTAGATGGGGTTTCGGAAGAACCTCAAAGCAGGGAGGATCATGACTTGGCAATGCCAGAGGTTGAAAGGATTGAGCGGGACAATATCGTTGAAGAGGAATCGGAGCTTCTTGTGGCTCCTCTGCCGGAGATGGTTGACGATACCGCTGGGCCGTCTACTGAACCGAGTATCATGTCATCCTTACAAGGCGTTCTGGAACAACTCAAGTCTTCGAAGCCAAGTGATGTTGATTTACGGATGGTCGACGATCTATGCTTTCAGATTCGATTTCAAGCTCAAGTGGTTACTCAACAAAAGGCAAACTGATGTCCGGCGAATACAGCAGGTGGATAATAAAGTCGCCGATTTGGGATGTGAGTAATGGTGTATGGAGGGGAGAGAGTATTGATATGGTGTTGGCTCTAGCAGATAAGTAGTAAATGAATTATACCTCAGGTACAATATGATATTAGATTGTATCGTATATGATTGCTGTCGACTCTTGTTGTTTCCATACACCAAGTCCTCTTGTCTCTTGTACAAATGTACGTATTTAGTGCTCGGAGTTTTGGACAATGGTGAGAACTAAAGGCCGAAGCGAAGCGGAACTGATTGTCGTGCATCTCCATCTCCATCTTTTCGCTCTCCGGTTGCGCGCCAATTCCCAATCACAGTCATATCTAATAAGTCACAAATCTTGGGAACCTCTTCTCTTGTGGTTTCTCCCCTTTCGAGTCATTACTTACTTGCCGCCACGACAGTAACCCCCCTCTCTCTCTCGACAGGACCATCTTTGTCAATTGTCGCTCATTTTCGGTTCTCTCCCCCGGAGCCCTTTCTCGTATCTCGATCGCGGAACCGAACTCCGTATCAAACATGGCCGCCGCAGTCAAAGCTATCAATGCGAAGATTCGCTCCAACCCAGTCAGCGATTACTTTTGCTCGACACGTACGTTTTGGATTGTTACCTTTGCGCTATTCGCTTGTGATCAAGAAGAAGGGGGGGAGGAAATATAATTTCTCCGGAACATGGAAGAATGATTTGGATCGGGCCCTGCGAAAAATCATATAGACAAAGACCAAAGAGACCAAGCTGACAATGTTTTGTGATTTTGATCAAAAAACAGATTTCTGGGGTCCTGCCTCAAACTTTGGTATCCCGATTGCAGCTGTCCTGGACACGCAAAAGGATCCTGAAATGTACGCCCTCGAGACCTCTCTCTCTCTCTCTCTCTGCGAGCAAAGTACAATGTCTCTCTCTCAAAGAGCTCTGGCTAATTTCTTTGATACAACAGCATCTCTGGAACGTTCACCGGAGCTTTGACGGTCTACTCTGCGACCTTCATGCGATACGCCCTCGCCGTCACCCCCAAGAACTACCTCCTCTTCGCATGCCACTTTGTCAATTTCAATGCGCAATTAACGCAAGGGTATCGTTGGTACGATTACTGGTAGTACGTTTTATACACCTCTCTCCTTTTTGTTTCTACATGGCTGCGGTCTGGACAAACACACACACACACACACACACACACACACACACACACACACACACACACACACACACACACACACACACAGACAACAGTAACGTAATGGGTTATACGGGCAAAAGAGATCGAAAAGGACGGTTTGTAGCAATACCTGTTGTTGTATAAAGCTTGTCTTTTGGGGGGTACACTCGAAAACTAGCTTTGTGGAACTTGTATTGCGCCACTGAAGGAAGAAGCGATTGTCGTGGGTGGGTGTGTGTGTGTTTGTGTGTTTGTGGTCTGTCGCGTGTCTTCTCGAGTCATACAAATTGAATGGACCACACAAAAAATACTAACGTGAGAACTTAACAGCGGAGGTGGTCAAGACCGTTGGGCCAAGATCCGTGCAGAGCAAAAGAAACTCGCCAGCACCACCGAGTCGATAGCCGAGTCGGCCAAGGACAAGGTCGGTGCCGCCGTCCAAGAGGCCAAGAAGAGTGTTTCGTAAGTGGCCTCGAGGGATTGGATGGAATTGGATGGGGAGAGAGTGCTGTGTGTGCTGTGTGAGAGCGTCAAAGCAACAAATCATACTTGGGGATGAGCACAAATGGATGGATCGCGTCATAAAGGTTCGTTCAGTCGAAAGGGCGGTTCAAGGTTAAATCCTTTTTTTTGAATGAATCAAGTACAAAAGAATACTATTATGGATTTCAACAAACAATCATCAATCGTGGAACGAGCATAGAGATATCTTGTAATGATAAACCGCATGCCATTGATTTCTCAATCGAAAACACACCATGGATCGACAGCTTGATGACTAGAAACACGAGCAGCAAAGTACTACTGTCGGTGTTGTTCCCATCTTCTAGAACCAACGGAGAGGGAAGTAATTACTTTGAAGCATAAAAGACTCGACAACCGTTCCCCATATTCATGTTCTGCTTCATTGGGCAATCCTTTGCTTTGCCATATGATGGTCAATGTTGAAATCACACCGACAACCCTTTGGCAGACTTGATTGAATTTCAAACAAGAAGAAACAAAAGAGAGCCCACATGATCCCAGGTCACCCCGATTTGTGTCCTTTGTCACTTATCCCCCCGTCAATACATCAATCACCCAGTCGATCGTGGCCAAACTTTTTACCTCTTCGGTCATCCCCATTCATTTTTTTTGGAAACTTGAAAGACCATTGCAACTTGCCTTGAACCCAAAAAAAACAAGAGAGAAAAGAGTAGAGAGTAAACAGTCCAAAGTTCAAAGTGACAACAAAATTGACGAGGCGGACAGTACCAGAACTAGACGACCGATCCCAAAACAATCTTCTGTCGATTCCGTTCGATTTTATTTTTTTTTGGTTGATCTTATGGGTGTTGTTCAAGTCCCCTTTGTGAAATTGTCCCACATGCCCTGCAACATACCGGGGGACCCTGGTTTTTGTTCGGCATAGGCCGACTTTCGTTCGTCGACGCTGTTACGTTTGTAGGCGTGCAGACCGGCGAATTTGGTTTCCGAACTCGCACTTGACTTTTGACACAAGACGAGCAAGGGAAAATGGGAGTCAGCAGTTCCCTTGGAGGAGTGATTTTGACATGACAAAAAAGTAAGAGTGTGGGTGAGAGGGTGTATGGGTCAACAGTGACAGGTACGGTCAAAAACTCACCCTTCTTCTACCAGCCGCTCCCGCACTGGCTGCAGGCCCTGTGGTTTCTGCCGCCACCTTGTTGGCGTTACCACCACTGTTGTTGTTGTTGTTGTTGTTGCTGGCTTCACCTTTGGTGGCCGATTGACTTCCTGAAGTCCCCGATGAGCCGGACAAGGTACGTGGTTTGAAACCCGACTGTTTGAAAAACATTTTTGGGATACTTCGACGGTTCGAAGTCGAGAGTCAAAAAGTGTCAAGAGTGTTTACTTTTGTGTAGTTTGGTGATCGATTATTGAAGGTGTCAGAGACGTCCAACGTAGGCCGAGAAAAATGGGTGGTTTGGTGTGATCGAAAGTATGTAACCACTTGTTCGAAAGGATGAATTTCTCAAGATATGAGTTCCTGAGAGAAGTGACAAGGCAGTGGCAAGTATTAGATGGTTCAGAAAGCACACGGTAAGGTGTGAGGCTGTCTGTCACATATATTCTGCAAATAACCCCCAAATGGTAGTTTGCATACAAGAGGGTGACGACGACGACGATGATGATGATGATATCAGTGAACTCCCTTTTGTCGTGTGGAACTTGTCAAATCGGTTCAAGCTTTTGAATGGTGACCAGAGAAAACACAAAAAGTCAAAGCGCTTTCGGACTGATTCGATCTCGAACAATGATGTAGTTCTTCAAAGATCGAAATGAGTTAATACAACAAGAGGTTCGTTTGTACTAGGGGTGGTATTGTAGAGATATGGTGACGTAGTTGATGGACTGGTCGAGAACCCTTTGTAGTTTCCGTCTCAATCTGTCAAGGGGGCCGTGCGAGGAGGAGTATCCCTTGTGAAAAAGGTTTATCAAACAGTGAGTGATTGTCTGGTTCAGTTGTCTGGTCACAAGGGGATATTTGGGTTAGGTGTGTATGTGTGTGAGATGTGAAAAGGAAGACGAGGAGCCAAAAATAAAGAGAGAGGGAGGATCGGAAAAGGCGAAGGATCGTTGTCTCCTGGGGTTCGTACTGGCAAGTCATAACTCGTGTGACCTCTCACAATGTTGCCTATTCCCCCCCTCGTTAAATCCTCGCTGGGTGGTAAGAGACCCTTCGTAAGCAAAGCCCAAACACCCTCTCGAGATGGGCCGGAACTGACAAAGTATGCATACGGAGTAAAAAAGGACCAGACCTAAAGGAGGAGGGGGTGGCCTGTCATCTTCCAATGACCACTCGATGTATGTTGACCTACTGTAGTTCATGACGAGCACTGACCATGAACGAACCAAAGTGCCGCCTCAAACACATGTCGAGGAGAGTCCTCGTAGAAAGCAATAGGTGGTTGATTGGTCTGTACCCCGCAAATCAGCAACTGTATCTTTGCAGTACTCGTATGGGCCCATGGAAGCGATGACATGTGAATGGTGAAGGGAAAAAAGGCCAAACCCAAGACGGCGACGGTTTCATCCTATTCGGTCGTCTTGTTTCTTCGGATGGTAATGGAATCAGTCTGGTTGGATCGATATGAGGATACAGAAAGTCATCAAGAAGGTGAAATTGAATATTTTCCCCACTTACAGATCGTACTGTATAGTGTAGAACATGTGAAAGATGCAACAAACAACATCTACTGTAGGTAGGAAATCCCCTATACGGAGTATCATTGGATCAGTAACCTACCTGTCCGTACCAATAACTAAGAATAACTCATATCAAACTTGATCCTTCACAGGCACATTCTTCTATTCCAATCATTTTGTGACCCGAGAAACCACTCAATTGTCCACCTCATGCTTTCTGAATCTTGCAAACCAAATCGGATCCAGCAACAGAATCACCTTCCTTGATCAGTAGTGATGCAACTTTACCAGAATGTGGTGCACTGATGACCATTTCCATCTTCATGGCACTCAAAACTGCAAGTGGATCTCCCTTCTTGACTTCATGCCCTTCCTTGGCCCGTACCTCAACCACGACACCAGCCATAGGCGCACCAACTTGACTGCTATCACTAGGATCAGCCTTTGGCCGACTGGTGTTCTCCACGGCGGCCTTTGTGTCGTCGATCAAGATCTGGCGAATTTCTCCATTCACCTCATAGAAGACCTCACGTTGTCCGGTCTCCTCGGAAAGCGGACCAACGGCCAATAGCTTGAGGATAAGAACCTTGCCCTTTTCAAGCTCCACGTGGAATTCTTCTCCAATTTCCGGCTTGTTCAAGAAGAATTTCGTAGGCAGAACCGACAGATCGCCGTACTTGTCGACGAACTTACGGTAGTCCTCATAGACCTTCGGGTACATGACGTAGCTGGCAATGTCCGTCTCGGAGGTGATTTGATACTTCTCTTTGAGGGTCTTCTTCACCTCTGCGAAGTCAACAGGATCAAGGTAGAGTCCTGGTCGTTTGTCCATCTTTCTACGGCCGCGAAGAGCATCGGTTCGGAATGGTTCCGGGAAGCCACCGTACGGCTGGCCCATGTAACCCTCAAGGAATTCCAGGACGGATTCGGGGAAGTCGAGATCTTTAGCTTTGGCTCGGACATCATCGAAGCTGAGTTTGTTCGACACCATAAATTGTGCCAGATCACCTACAACCTTTGACGTAGGTGTGACCTTGACAATGTCGCCAAGTAGCAGATTTGCTTGCTCGTACGCTTTCTTCGTCTCCAGCCACTGGGCCCCAAGACCAAGTTGAGTTGCTTGGAAGATCAAATTGGTGAGCTGTCCTCCAGGTATCTGATGCTCGTACACATCTTTAGAAAGTTAGCATCCTCCGCAAATAGACTGTCCATCTATACATACCTGGATCAGGTCCAGTCAAGCCAGCTTCAAATGGCGAGTACAGTAGTCGAAGTTGCTGCCAATACTGGTCAAGAGCTCTAACATTGCGAACATCTAGACCTGGATCGTGTTCAGTTCCTTCCAAGGATGCCAGAATAGCGCCGATACTGGGCTGTGCTGTGGTACCACTCATTGCGTCTGTGGCAGCGTCAACAGCGTCAGCTCCAGCCTCAGCGCAGGCCACCATGGACGCGACGCCAGTTCCTGCGGAGTCTTCAAATTGTAAGCGGCGATTTCGGCAGGCTTGAAGCTTTTGAAAACTTACCATGCGTATGGACGTGTATCGGAAGGTCTGGGTACTTCTTGCGAATTGCGCCAACGAGCAGACGTGCTGCCTTCGGTCGTAGCGTCCCTGCCATGTCCTTGATACCAAGGATATCAATCTTCAGATCGACCAGCTTGGCAACGAAGTCCAAATAGTACTCGAGGTTGTACTTTGTCTTCGGGTTCTAGTAATTGTCAGCAACTGAATAAGGTAGTAATAGAACAATGGAAGCAAAGCAAAGACGCAAGTGTAGCTGGTGAGGAAGTTAATGTACAACGTGAATAATGGAAAATCACCAGCGTCAGCCTGAGATGTATCAAGTAACAGCAATCGCCAAATGTATCGAAAATCCGGAGTGTTTAGAGGCCAGCCAAGATGCTTGAAGTAATGAGGTTGAGAGAGAGGAGGCCGTTGAAAGTTGATACTGAGGTGGGATAGGTACGCGCAAAGACAATAAAATGAGAACAAAAACGAAAATCAAAACACCTACCAACACTGTAGACTTGTTAGTATTGCTTCAGAGCGAGGCGTATTTTAGGACTCACTGTCTCCGCTGATGCAAACGGTTCCCTCCGCAACACCACCGGCTGCTTGTACAGCTTTGATTCCGACTGCCACTTGATCGATATCGTTGAGAGCATCGAATACTCTGAAGATATCCATGCCGTTCTTCTTTGCCTGCTTACAGAAATGCTCAATCGCATTGTCTGGAAGACTCTTGTAGGCAACGCCGTTGGCCCCTCGAAGAAGCATCTGGAAGGGTATATTGGGAACCAGCTTCCTCATCTTCCGCAGTCTGTCCCAAGGATCTTCGAAGAGAAACCTCATACTGACATCAAAAGTGGCTCCGCCCCAGCATTCCAGAGCAAATGCGTTGCTCAAAGCGTAGCTCGTTTCTTTGGCGATGTTGCACATGTCGACGGTTCGCACTCGGGTGGCTAGGAGAGACTGATGGGCATCACGCCACGTAGTATCCATGATGAGACAGCCCTTGTTTGCTCGGATAGCTTTGGCAAAGCCAGCAGGGCCTTCTTTGTCGATGACACTCTTCCATCCCTTCGTGCAAGGAACTGTGACATCAATTTCTTTTCCACTGTCATCCAGGATTTTGGGCATAATGATATCGCCCTTGAATTTTGACTCTCCAATTTGACCTTTGATGCTGCTACCGTTCACGGCAAGGTCTCCAAGGTACTGTAGGAGTTTCTGAGCACGGTTCTGGCTGCCGATCAGCTTGAACAGCTCTGGAGTGTCGTCGATGAAGGTGGTCCAGCACGTGCCGTCAATGAAGACTGGGTGGGTCAGGAGCGAAGCCAGGAAAGGAATGTTGGTCTTGACGCCGCGAATACGGAACTCGACGAGTGCTCGCAGCATCTTGCGACGCGCGATCTCGTAGGTGGAGCCGTGGCAGGTACACTTGACCAACATGGAGTCGTAATGAGGGGTGATGATAGCACCAGCGAAACCGTTACCACCATCAAGACGCACACCGTTACCACCGGCTGATCGGTAGACTTCAATCTTGCCAGTATCGGGAGAGAATCCCTGGGATGGATCTTCGGTGGTGATTCGACATTGGATGGCAAAGCCGCGAGTAGAGATACGGTCTTGAGTAAGACCTAGCTGTTCAAGAGTCGCACCTGCAGCGATCTGGATCTGTGCTGCCACGATATCGATTCCCGTAATCTCTTCGGTGATGGTGTGCTCGACCTGGATTCTGGGGTTGATCTCAATGAAGTAGTAGCGATTTTGTTGATCAACCAAGAACTCGGCCGTTCCGGCGTTGCGGTAGTTGACTGACTTGGCGAGCTTGACGGCATCGCTGAGAATAGCGTCGCGAACTTCAGCTGGCAGATCCTTAGCAGGGGCAATCTCCACAACTTTCTGGTGTCGACGTTGGACACTGCAGTCACGTTCGTACAGATGGACAACGTTTCCATGGTTATCACCCAAAAGCTGAACTTCGATATGCTTGGGCTTGTCTAGGAAACGCTCAACGAAGACGGTGCCGTTACCGAAAGCTGACTTGGCCTCGGAAGTCGCACGCTCAAAGGAGTCCTTCAAGCTCTCTTGGTCACGGACGACTCGCATGCCGCGACCACCACCACCAAATGCGGCCTTGATGATGATTGGAAAGCCATACTTGTCAGTAAAGGCTTTGACTTCTTCGTATTTGGCGACTGGGCCCTCCGTGCCAGGAACGCAAGGGACGTCGCATTTCATGGCCAGCCGCCTGGCGGAAACCTTGTCTCCCAGGGCATCAATGACTTGATAAGACGGGCCAACAAAGATGATGCCAGCCTCCTCGACTTTCCGGGCAAATTCAGCGTTCTCGGACAAGAAACCGTAGCCAGGATGAATCATCTGGACTCCATGGGCCAGGGCAATCTTGATGATTTCGTCGCCAGCCAGGTAAGCACCGACGGGAGTGTATTGACCTCGTTTTCCAATCATGTACGCCTCATCCGCCTTTTGTCTGTGCATACCCAGTCTGTCTTCATAGCTGAAGACTGCCACGGTTTGGAGGGACAGCTCATGTGCGGTACGGAAGATTCGGATGGGAATCTCGCCTCGGTTGGCGACGAGGAGCTTCTTGAGCTGCATTATGCTGGAATTGGCCCTCAGCCGCTGGTGGACCGAGTGCTCAAGATGGTGACTACCATCTTCATGGTCGGGAGTTGCTGTACCGTGCGCCGCCATGATCGAAGTTGAGGTAGCCTTGCTGCTGGCAGAGGCAGCTAGAGGCAGGAGCTCCTAACGAGCTGTTGGAGAGGACAAGTGCTCAACACGGAGCCTAGGAGCTAGATAGTGTAGCAAAAGGAGTAGGGAAGCAGGAAAAACAATACGAATAGAAGGTCGAATAGGTCGGTCGGTGGATGGTGGGGGGGGAACGATAGAAGAAGGAATGTTGGGTTTGTTTTTGTCGAAAGATGATGTCGACGTGGGGACGGTCTCCGGATGACAGGAGGGAGCAGTAGAGCTAGATCAAGGCTACTGCAATAATGATATATCTCAGTTGGGGTTGGTCAGGAACAGCCAGGAAAGCAGCTTTTGGGTGGTTGACTTTTTGTTTGATAAGCTGCATAAAGGGAGGGGAAGGATATGTGGAAGTGGGACAAGTGGATGGAGGTGCGTAGGACAGACAGTCAGTCAGTGGTCTGCGGCTTTGCCTTGCTGTGCTCTTTTTACTGTTGCGGTACGGAGTAGGAAGCTCCTCCACGAGCTACGAGGTGATTAGACAAGGTTGACGTTCGGCGGGCTTGGGTTCCTCCCTCCGTCCCTAAGGTCTTGACTCCGTATGGACAGCAGCTTACGGAACAGGCCAGTGCGCAATGCACCGAAACAAACCTCGGATTCCGACCTTAGGGAGCGGTATCGGGTTGATTTCGGCGCAAGAGCCCTGTCTCTTTTTATATGGCCGTAGGAATGAGTTTTTGTGTCACAGTCACAGTAATGGATTCGGAGATCAATCAACGACCTAGACCCAGCTAAGTGATTCCCTCCGTCTACCAACCGGAATACCGTAACATATTGTCAGTCGTTATCATGGTTATTGAAAGGTTTCGACCAGGGTTCACGAAGGACATGCAGTGCGCCTTGCAGTGTGGTGGGGTGGTTTTACTGGACTTTTCGCATGGCTCTACAGTACTCAACTCCATCAATACCATAGCAATAATAATAATTCAGTCTTTAGCATGAATCCACCACGGTCCGGAGTACAATATCTTCAGGATTAGTAGATTAAGCTGAGAAAAACTTCCCCCCCCCCTCTGCCATTGCTTAGAAAAAATAGTCATAAATGGTGCTACTTGTTGCTGTAGCCTCGTTATCTCTCTCTGTCCAATTCCTTCTCCTGCAGACCACGATTGGATGGCAAAAAGACGCCACTCCATCACGTCACTGTTTAAATCCCAATGGCATGGGGAGATAAGGCAGGCTCCGTATCTGTTGAGGAGGGAGATATTGGTGTTGGTCAAAGATTATTGCCTCTACGGCCTGCTCCCCGCTCTACACACCATCAAAGAGCCCATCAGATCTGGCATCATCTATTTAGGCCGATCTCATCGGGACCAATAATTAGAGCATACGACACCATTATTCTGGGTACGGCGAGCGCGGTGTCAACCTCCGAGTAAGAAAACGACCATCTACAAACCCAGAGAGTATGTCTCGGTTTTCGTGTTAATAAATGGCCTTCATTCGCTATCTCACACAAATTGATCAAGTAATAGTAATTTTTGTTTGACTGCTGCAGCGCCCGAGGCCGTGAACAGGAGCCACATGGCCACCCCATATCAAGCCAGAATGTCGCTGGGCCTGCAACCCCCACATACGCGTTACCATCTTACAACTGTACTTGCGTAAAGTGATCCCATCCCCCGATGTGTTTTCATCCGCATCCATTATTTTCTTCCGGCACAGGAGATTTGCTGATCACAGATATCCATGTTGTTCCGAATATTTGTCGCGCAGGCACTCTAGGATCATATCGCAGCTTGCTCCGATATCACTCCCTGCCCCACAACACCGAATCTTCCCGACAGCTTCCCCGGATCACCAGGGCTTCTTTCCTTTTAAAAGGCCCGAGGAAACCCGGTCGGCTGGGGTGTAATGCCGTTGGTAGCGGCATAGCCTGTGGGTTGTGGTGCCATATTTGCTGGACCCTGTGTCAACATCAACCGGCTTCCAATGATGGGAGTGTTGTCCTCGGTCTTTTGTTGACTGGCTTCCCGCGACTTTCGTTCGTCGTTGTCTTTTCGAAGTTGCTCGATGGTCGCCGCTTGCTGGCTCATGTAACTGATCATGAATGGCATCGTGAAGTCGCTTAGGCCATGGCGCCATGAGATCTCCATAACCACATGGTATGGGATCAGATCGTAGCAAGCATAGAGCATACCAACATAGCATTCGCGGCTGCCAATGTCGACAAACTAGGCAAAGTTAGCTACTATAAGACGATTCATGAATAATGTTCAACTTACGTATCTGAGCAAATCTTCCACCACGTCTGGTTTGCCCGAGATGGCGGCAGTCTCGATGGCATCGCGGAACAACTTGTCCTGCTTGGATAGCGCAATCGACTTCTCCCATCTCTTGTTCTTGCGGTAGATTTGAGCGGCGATTTGTCGGAAAAAGACGAGTTCGTGCTTTTCAAGACGCTGGGCGAGCTCAACTGCGTCATAGTTATCGTAGTTCTCCACCGAGTCCTTGAGAGTCTTGTAGTCCTCCTCTTCGATGAGGAGATCGTGGATGGCGTTGTTCACAACACGCTTGTTTTGACCCTGGACATTGAGCAGGAACGGCTTGATGATGGGGATGTTATCCGACTTCTCAAACATGCGCACAACTCGGTTGACGTCAATGCGAGACGTCAAGGCTTGGAGCAAGTCTGTCAACAAGAGTGGCTGCTCTTGGAGGTAGTGGTTCAGAGCACGATAGTAGATTTCCAGATTAGCCACCTTGACAATGATGTCCTTGAAGGAGTGATGTTCCCAAGCATCAGCGGCACGTTCCATCATGGCCAACGCCGCATTGTCCCATTCGTCGTAATGGCAGTAGAGGAAGATCAACTCCGGCCAGAGATGTGCCTCTTCACAGCCCCGAATCATCTTCGGAATGTTGATACGCGACCAGAAGAGCTTGAGGTGCTCCATAACCCGATCAGGGTGATATTTGGAGAGAGCAATACCAAGCTCGGTGAACATGCCCATGTGAGCTCGTTCTAGGCCAAGGCCGGCCTCCAACAACGAAATGAGTTCCTCGAAGTATCCTTCTCGCTCATACTGCTTAACAAGATCCTGGAGCTCTTCTGCATGGACGATAAGGTTGAGACCGCAAATCTGGGCGAGTCGGAATTCCTTCTTGGCTACGCAAGCTTCGTTGACCTGCTTCCACACTTTGACACTGTTAGCACGTCGAGCACAGTCGACCGCGTTTTGGTACTCGTCAAGGTGTACAAGTGTGGTCGCCAGCTTCGCCCAGTTGGAGATGCTGGTGTAGAAAATCTTGGCCGCCTGGTGGAAGCCTTCTTCGTAAGCCTTGTCACCACATGCCTCGACATCTGCAACGTTTGTAGCACGCAAGAAGTCCTCCAGCTCGGGCAACTGGTCAAGTCGAGCATAACTGAAAGCCAGTGCGGTATCAATAGCTGGTTCGCGTTGGGTCTTCCGGGCCATCTTGAGGAATTTGATCAGATCCTCGTCCTTGCCTGCGTGGGTAGCGGTTTCGATTACTTCATTGTAGTTGCTGGGATCATTGGCTTTGATGTACGACTCGATAGCATCGCTCACTCGCAGACCATCGAGCTGCGCCTTTGCCACCTTGCTCCAGACTTCGGGGAGGTCGACGTTCTCGGCATAGTCTTGAGCACGATCAATGCTGACAATATGATCGACGAGCACGTTTGCAGCTGAAGTATGATCATTGACCTTCTTGTAGATCTCAAGAGCCTCCTCATACAATCCTTGCTGGATACACATATTGGCAATCTCTTCGGTATTGAACTCAGACAAGCGGTGGATGTAATCCATCAGACGAGACTTATCTGCTTTGGCAGCGGTAAGCATGAGCAAGTTCTGCAAGCTGCTGTTATCACTGAATGGAGACGGCTCCAAGATGATTTTCTCGAGGAGTTCAATAAGTTCGGCTGGAAGATCTGCATCCAAGAACGCCTTGACGGCAACCGAGACCTTGTCTGGCTCGCTGGACTCCGGTACTGCTGTTGCGATGACTTGGTCAACAAGAGATCGACGATAGACATTGTTTTCGGCCAGGACAAATCCCCAGATTTCTGGGTCGGCTCGTTCAAGTAGATAGCGAGCTTGAGCCCGGAACATAGAGTTCTCGTTTGTGATGTTGATGAGCTCAATATCGTTCTGTCCCTTTCGGTAGGCAATGTAGGCAAGATTAGGATCCCGCTTTTCACAGTATTTACCGACGGTGAGCGTATCATAGAGGTCATTCTCTTTCAAGAATTTCTCTGGATCATGGTTGCTGTCAATGTAGATCTTGGCTAAGGCATTGTAAACTGCAGGTTGTTGATTTCCCTGTGCCAAAGTTGACTCAAGGAATGGTAACAAAATCTTCAGGCGATTCTGACCCTCGACCTCACCGACCAGTTCGTCCATCGGCACAGCAGACGCGTCTACGGAGGACAACAAATTCTTGATGACAGACTCTTCGCAATCCAGAGCCAGTAGTGCACCGACCACGGCAGGTGTTCGGGCTGGGTTCACACGCTGGACGTACACCTCGATAGACTTGTATTGTTGGTTGCGGTAGAGGTAATTGATCAAATCCTTGACAAAGTTGAATCGGTCGCAGACAATGATCAATGGAAGTTGTTCCGCTAGGCGTGCCTCGATCAGGAAGTTCTTAACCTTTTCAGGGTTGTAATGGTTGTTTTCTCGGCAGATTCTCTCAACTTCCTGGAATTGTTGCATAGTAACGGCAGCCTCAAGGTATTTGAAAACAACTTCACCATCTTCGCTGAGGTTGACAATGCTTCCAAGATAATAATAGAGACCTTCAGCAGTGCGGTGCTTCTCGAATAGAGAGATGAGTCTGCCCGAACCCAAAAGTTCAGAGTATTTAGTGGCCAGTTGAACTACGGCTGCCAGATTCTGACGGATGTTGCTCTTGAGCATTTCGTCCATGCACTCGAGAGACTGATCAACGCCCATACGGCCAAAGTATTGCTGGAGCCATTCGGGATTGAGCTTGTCAGTCTGAACAATGATTCGCTTGATCGATGCTGAGTCATCTGTATTCTCAAGAGCACGTTGAAGCAAGCCAGCCTGTTCACAAAGTCGAGAAATTCTGGTTTTGTCGTAGTAGGAAAACATCTCATTGCCGAGAATTGCGTCTGCGACTTGTGGGGCGTTGAGCAGATTCATTTCAAGAAGGCGCGTCTGAAGATGACCTTGCTCCGGTCGATTCTCCTTGAGAGCATCAAGAAGGAAAGCAGTTGCTTGTTGAATCATGTTCTGTGACATGAAGACATCGACGACTCTATCGATATCAACCAAGGGACCGCTTTCGTTATTAGCCAATTGAGTGGCAAATTCAGCGCCCTTCTCGGGGTTGGCTCGAACAATGTGTTGCAGCAAGCTAGTGAAGTCGGGCTGATATCCAGCTTCCCGGGAATATGGCAAGATTTCTTCGAATCGACCGGTTTCAGCCAGCGCTGCCACAACCTTGGGAGGAACATTGGACTCTCGGTAGATCTTGAGAGCAAGTTCCAGATCATGGAGTCGAACGATATCACCCAATTCTTCTGACGATTCCAATTTGCCTTCGCCCATCCACTTATCAAGTAGGTTCTTACGATTCTGAGCCAGGACTGGCTTGATAAGTTCTACACTCTCGTACTTGTTGAGCTTGCCTTTGTCAAGCAATTTGCCGAAGTATTGCAGAATGACTGAGAGCTGTCCGGGTTGTTGAGGGACATTCTTGAATCGATTGATCGTTTCGGCAGTTCTCAGAAAGCCTCGTGGAGAATCTGCAGCAATTTGAGCCGCCTCAGCGTAGTTACCTTGGGAGAACAAAGTTTCGAATTGTTGTTGATACAAGTTGTCTGCTCCTGGAAGGCCAGCCCTCGAAGCCAATTTGACGGCAAGAGTGGAGTTGGCTGGGTTTTGGAGGAGATAGGGAATAATGGTATTCTCGTCAACGCTTACAGACAAGACTTGACCTTTGCGGTTGATTCCGATGATACCGGCTGACTCGGAATCTGGGCTGGTGACGAAGATGGTCTCGCTTGAAATCCGGTTCATGAAGATGCAAGTGGCTGTCTCCAAGTCGTAAAGGTGGATGAACCCATACTTGGTGATCATGTAAATAATACTGTACTTCTTGGATACCTGCATGGCAACCGGAAAGTCGTTGACAGCCTCATCAGGGAAGTAGACATCGACTGCTCTCTTGTTGAACCGGGTATTGCTGTCGCTGGGATCAATCTCAACCACATGCAACTTACCCTGGCCAGCAGCGTTGCGGACAGCGAAGGTGAAAAGCTTGTGTGGAAGCGGGTTTCCTTCAGCGTGGAAGGTTCCGAAAGCTGCGGCATGACCCTCGATGTGTTGAGAGATGCCACGGTTTCGTGAGTAAAGTTGCATTGTACCTGCGACTCTTCCTTCTCTTTGGGAGATGCCCACAATAACCATCCACTGCTCATCATCGCTGACACGGTAGTTGATGATCTGGCAACCATTGAGATTGGCGTTTCTTTCGAATAGCTTGACGGGAGCGTTTTGAGTAGGGTCAAAAACATCCCAGTGGTATACTGAGGTATCAGTTACCAAGCCCAAGCTACGCTCGCTGTACCATTTCCAGAAGACAACGTCCTCGTTCATGATCGTAGACTTCAGCTTTGCCTTCGCGCCGAGATCGAAAACTTGAATCGTTCTGCCCTGAGCCTTGAGGGCTAGAATCTCGCGGGTGAAATGCATGATGGCACTGTCGGCGCTGATAGCGCGTTTGATGACTTCATTGTTGTTCTTGAGATTTACGATTATGACTTGAGGCTTGTCTTGTTCATTAAGTTTTTGTCGTACGCAAACAAAGTGATCGGATTCTAATGTCTGCAGCATGAGTTAGAATACGCTGATTCCAAAGTTTTGGCAATTTACTTACACAGCTGTTGAAGGATATTGACTGTTGCTGTAGTTCGAAAGACAAGTCAGTATTCTCTCATGTATCCCAGTCAAGCGCGAGCAAACAGGCGTCCTCATCGCGGGTTCCGAGGATCTGCGCACTTACCGCGATCTCTAAGTTAGTCAACTACGTGAGAGAGTTAGCATGGCAGATACTGATAGAAGACCTGGCCTAAACGTACCTGAGCAACCTCAGTAAACTTGATAGGAAGCGCCATGGTTGCGACCGGCCCCCTGCGGCCACATGTACTCCCCCGAAACGAAGCAATTGACACGCAGGCCGGTTGATCGAAGATAATCAAGCCACAAAAGAGCGTGAGTAGAAGAAGAGAGGAAGCTAGATCACCGAGACGTGACGAAGCAGAGGAAGGAAATGAAGTGGTCGTAGGTGATGAATTGTTGATTGTGAGCTCCTGGAGACACCTTTTGGAAAGTGAACACCGGGCAGATTACTATGGGGAAACGCTGCTTGCCTGCCTGCGCTCATTGACCAGTGCCAAGCTGCGCGTCCAATGCCAAAAGCGCCCCCAAATAGCCAGTCACGCGAGATTACATAACAGTGGCTTGCTTCGAGGACGAGGACTGGCTACGCATGTATGCTGAGCCACCCCTGAGCTTGTCTGTGCCAATTTGCATGTGGCTTGTGGCTGCAACACCGTTGGTTTCGTCATTGAAGTTTTTACACATAAGATACTTTGTACTCCGTATGTTTCACAACCTTTACACGTCCTCTACCGTGGTTCCTAATATTCTGCTAAGTCCAGCACCTATTCTACGGCAAGTGATGAGATCATTTCTCGCACCCAGATATCTGAACAGGCATACAGCATTGCCTCTCCGTCAGACAACTGCATCTTTATCGCGTTTCTACTCCTCACCTACCAACCAAAAACGACCTCCACCAGGTGGGCAAGGGACGCAGCTAAGTTTCCTTCCCTTCCTTGGCCTGTTCTTTCTTAGTACTGGCACGTATATATTTCTTGTGAAGCGAAGGACCGGGCAGCAAGTGAACGATACTCGCCGAAAAGCCCACAACGAGAGCTGAGCGAAATCCACGTCAAGATGGCGACGATCGATCCAACTTCAGGCACATCGCCTGTGATTCAACCAGATGCTCCGTTGGCGTCCAGTAACGTCTCTCCCGTCTTTGACTCTCAGAAGGTCACGGTTCTCTTCATTCTTGGTGGACCCGGCGCCGGCAAAGGCACGCAATCCGCCAATCTGGTGCGGGATTATGGATTTGTACACTTGTCGGCTGGGGATCTACTGAGAGAAGAGCAAGACAACCCAGAAAGCAGATATGGGCAGCTTATAAAAGACTACATCAAAGAAGGACTCATCGTGCCAATGGAAGTCACCGTCAAGCTTTTGGAAAATGCAATGCGGGCAAACTTGCACGATGATGGCGTGGGCAAATTTCTGATTGACGGATTCCCTCGCAAGATGGACCAAGCAGTCTTTTTCGAACAAACTGTATGTCCTTCCAAATGCACGGTCTTCCTTGATTGCCCGGAGGAAGTCATGAGGGCACGGCTATTGAACAGAGGAAAGACGAGCGGCAGATCAGACGATAACGAGGAGAGCATTATCAAGAGATTCAAGACTTTTGTCAACACGAGTATGCCGGTGGTTGATCACTTCTCACAGGAGGGCCGAGTGATCAAGGTATCTGCCGATGGAACAGTCGACGCAGTGTACGAGCATCTGGTCAAGGCGCTAGCGGAGAAGGGCATCTCGCCATCCAAACCTGCTCCCCAACAGAAGCATATGCCGGCAGAATCCTAGTAACACCCCAATACAGCCAACCACCCCTGATGGCTTGGACACTACGCTCGACAACATTCGAAAACCACGATCATGAATCCGAGACGTTTTACTTCTTAGTGACCACAATGTCTCATGGCCCTACTTCGTTTCCCACTAAACCATTGCACGGCGAGAGCAGTCTAATACTGCGGAATTGGTAGAGGTATTGATCTCATATCGAGACCACTTGGTATCCTTATACATTATTATCGATATTCAACTGCTATCGCCTGAACTCTCTTCGTCCGAACTGTCAAACCCCCCAAATTCCTCTTCATCATCTCCGGAGTCATCCTCCAAGTCCGTTGGCGGTTGCATCAGAAACGCCTTCATACATGTAATCCTGCTGCTGGTCGCATAGGTTCCGATCACTCTGCCTAGCTGTGCGGGCTTAGGGCTTTGGGTAGCGTTGATCAGGTCGGATGTATCAATGTGTAATAGGCGGATTGTGCCGTCACTGCTTGCTGTAACAATAATCATGTCTTTTGCCGCCGAAGACGCGGTAGGTAGCAGAATGATCTCAAAATCTTTGATACGGACACTGATGCCTACAGACTTGCCACCAATTGAGGCAGAGCAAGTTGCAGCTGGTATCGCGTCGTCATTAGACTTTTCTCCATTTGTCGTGGATGTGTTTTTGCTGGTGTCGTAGAATAACACCCGACCGTCCTCCGTCGAGGCCGCGAGTAGTGTCACTTCTTCGCCGGCAGCACCAGCCAATGTTAAGTAGCAGATTTGGTGCAGTTTCGTCAGAGGTTGTGGCAGAAGTTTGCATCTTGGTTTGGAGTCTGCGCCGAAAATAACGACTCCTCGTTCAAACGATACAGCAAACTCGGTCCCATCAGGACTCCATCGTATCCGACGGCCCTCGCCACTGCTGTACTTGCCCTCTTTCACGCTTTGTAGGATATCGCGGCTGAAGTTGAGGACACCTGCTTTCTTGCCGGTGACAAGGTTCCAGAGCCGCATGCAGCGCTCGCCTCGACCGACACTCACCATTAGCTTCATGCTGGGATGAACGGCAAAGTCGTTGATGCCAGCTGGCGTGGCCCCAGGAGGTGCTGTGTCGCCGCTGGGTTGACCCTGGACCTTTGGACGTGGTGCTTTGATCGTCGAAACCACCTCGAGGTCACGTAACCTTGTCACAGAGATATTATTGTCTTCCGACCCGGCAAGGAGTTTCGATCTTGTTGGAAAGTAGAGGGATGTGATGTTGGACGAATGCTGTAGCAGGGTGCCTAGTTCCCTATTCCTCGGGTTTTCTGAGATGGTATTGTTCCCCAGCGTGGGCATAGGGATCTTGTCGTTATCCGAGACCGGTGAAGCTGCGAGACTATACACATTGATCTTCTCATCGGATCCACCTGTGGCGAGATAGACACCTTGGGCATCGGACAAGCCTGGTTCTGGCAGTGGTGAAAGTGCCAGACATCGTACGGCAGAGGCGTGTGCGTTGAAGAGGAATGTGTCTGCGAACTGGACTGCTTGACTTGAGTCCGGCGCCGATAGATTTGATATCGAGGCGGTGATGCCGTGCAGAATTCGCTCGTATGAGCCTGCTATGATCTGAATGACCGGACTGGTCGTCTTAACATCGACATGTCCATTAGTTTTTGGGACTTTGGAGGACTTTACATCTCCATTCGTGGTAGGCATAGACAACGCAGCATGGTTCTTCCCGGATTTGCTGGAGTTGGAAACGGTTTCCCGTTTTCTTTTGCCCGCCATGTGAAATTTTTTCGAGCCGAGTTTAGAAACAATGAACAATGCAATATCAACCAGGGAACACCTGAAGTCCTCAGAGCATGAATACTGGCAGGCAGAGTCCTAAAAGAACGCACAAGGGTCAATCGACCGCTCAAATCAGAGTCTTGCTCGCACGGATAGCAAAGAACTTGCTTGAAAGAGTGACAATGGAGGTTTGCTCTCTACTAGTGCCAATGCGTATCAAGAAAAAAAAATTGGGCTTAGGCATGTGGTGAATACGGAGAAAAGCGAGGATTATTGGGCAGGGGAGGGCACCAGGGAGGGCACCTAAGCGTAGGGCTAGTGAAGCGGGAAGTTGCTGTAATGGTGCTGGTGGTGGTGCCAGTGGTGCCAGTAAAATAGTACTCAGTGGTCCCTGGTCCTCCCCCCCTTGCCCGTACATTGACCTCATGCAGCCTCCAACTCCCTCCATTCTCGATGCCCGCCTGCGCCTGCACTGACTCGCTGTACTACCAAATACCATCTCATTTGAACACATCCTCCAGCCAGCTCGCCAACTTCAACAGCCTCAAATCCACCACAACGCGCCCAAACAATTCAATCTGAGGCGATCATCCATCTCCAGTTACTCTTAACTGTGTTTCCTCCAATTTTCAGCAATTAATTCGATGACTTTCAACCGCTGCTGTGACTGATGCAATGCACGTCGAGCAGTTGCGCTCGAAAAAGTCTGAAGCACAGTCAGTAAATCCTTTTTGAAGCGATTCATCTGATCCTGCGTCTCTCAAGGATCATACTAATATATTATGGTGAATTATAGAAGATGTTTGTGGTCGAGGAAGCGGAAGTTGTCTGAACTTTTCTCTGTCGCCGCGTACCCTCTACTGCCCGAGGACCCGGCGTACAATCAAAAGTTACAGGCTTTCCAAGATGCAAACGACTTAGAAAGGTATGATCCCCTTGTCGCTTCCCTACTACAATGGGTATCTTGACGACGGCAGCACGTACGCTGCCATTTTTGCTCGCATTTGCTCACTTTTCCGCAGTGGTCGACTCTTCGATGAAGCGACGCTCCCTCCGAAAACCCATATAACCCTTCGATCACGACAATCTAAACTTTCTCCTCCTGTCACAACCATACTCTCGATCGGGAGTCCTCTCTCACAAACTGCCGGTCATTCTAAGAGCAAAGTCTCGTCACCATCACCTCTCAAAGATGCGCCTAAGGCTGCTTCTTCAGAAACAGCCACACCCTTGCGCGACGAGGCCGATGATGGTGGACATATTGCAACACGACAAGTAGCAGATGGTGACGAAAGCCCTGACAGATCAGAGCAACATGTGTTCTCGGCAGCCCAGGGAGACGACGCGCCTAGCTTAGGCGTAAACGTTGCCGTCGTCAATGGAGCGTCGAAGTCGTCCACGCCGATGCCTAGTCCAAAACCACCAGAAGAAGGTCCTCAAAAATCTATTACGGAGGCTAGTGATGCTATAAGAGAAGGAACTCCTGCTGTCGCGACACTTGAACCTCCCGCTGAACAGCAACCAAGTCGAAGTCCACCAGTCCTTGCGCCTGTGTCTTCGGCCGCCGAACCTCAATCCTCCCCAGCATCAACGAATGGGCCAGAGTCTGCGATCACGCCTGCCCCAACCGCAGGCTCACCTGGCACGAGCCCTGGCATGGACCTACACCCCGGTGCAGCCGAGGTACTTCAGCAGCAGAAAGAGACTCGCGAGATTCGCGCGGATTCTGAGCGACCACCGCTGATTGTTGGCGACAAGGATCAGCAGACAGTAACTCAATCACCCGTTGCTAAGGCGGACACGAGCCAGGCCGTCCTGGAGAAGGATAGCGTATCCAAGAAGCCAAGCGTGCGCGTCGATACTCAAACTGACATCGAATCCTACTTCAAGCCACGACCGAGTACCGATGTAGTGGAAAGTCCTGCTCAGATGACTGCTGCTGGTACCCCAAAACGTGGACATTCAGCTACGCCGTCGGGAAACGAACCACCAAAGCGTGCGACCAGAATATCTTCTGGTGTTTTACAGAAAAAATCCGTATCGGAAATCCTGGGTGAAGCCCCCAAAGCAACTACCCCCCAAGGTGATTCTCCGCAATCAACGACGCTCCGCGATTCTTTTGCACTGTCAACTCCGGACGCCCGAATTGGCGAGCGCCGTGATAGAGAACGAAGTAGGTTGTCAACGGTAGTCTTCGCTAAGCCACAGAAGACATCTACTGATGATGGACATCTTGCATTGGAGCGCCTCAACAACCGCGAAACACAAAAGGCTAGTCCGAAAGAGAGAGATTATCTCTATACGCTATTCGAGAACAAGGCTCACTCTATGTCAAGACAGACGTCTATGACTTACCTTATTCAAAATGCTCACAAGACTTTATCCACAACAGATCATCTTGTCGAATATGAGCTGTCGGCTGAGTGTAGAATCTTGAAGCGTCTTTATCAACTACAAGAGAAACAACGATGGGCATTGAGGCAATATAAGCGAGCGGATGAAGCTCCAAGACCGACTTCCCACTGGGACTACTTCCTCGATCATATGAAGTGGATGCGGACAGACTTCAAGGAGGAGCGAAAATGGAAACTCGCCGCTGCGAGAAGTCTTGCAGAAAGTTGTGCAGAGTGGGTGGCTAGTTCACCCGAGGAGAGGTTTCGTTTACAAGTGAAAGTCCGGCCACCAAAGATCTTGAACAAGCCTGAGGAGCCAGAGGAGCTAGAGGATGTTAACATGGAAGATCTTCCTGGTCCTACCGCTTCTTCACATCCAACACCGGACTTGATGCCCTCAAATGAGGATGACTCCATCAGTGATGATATCGCAGATCTTCGGGACCTCCCGATGACCGTCGCGCCGGCCGCTCTCTTTTCTCTTGGCTCTTCCGAGTTCAATTTCCCTGTCGACCATACACCTGCCCTGGACAAGCTGTTGAACGAGCTGCCTCTGTATGGACCGTCAACTTTCGAGTTTGACTTTGCCCAGTCCAACCTGGCCGAGCGCCTGGACTCAAAATGGAAGACGGACATCGTACCTGTTTCGAGGTGGGCCACCGATAAACTACCAATCAAAGACTATCGGCCGCCCATTAAACGAAGTCGATATGAGTATGAGCTCGAATTGTCGCCAAGGAAGAAATCAGCGCCTCTTCCAGCTGAGGATACCAACGTTGCATTGTTCATGCAAGAAAACAAACCCATAAGGGACAGAATTCATCCTGGCCATTCGTTCCGCCCTCCAATGGAGCATCCTATGCCTCATCAAGCATTCTTCGAAACTAGAAGTTCTTCTCAGTGGACCCACGCGGAGGATGACGAGCTTAGGAAACTTGTTAAGGATTACTCCTACAATTGGTCGCTGATCTCAAGCTGTCTAACTCCTCGGGGTTCATACACGTCTGGAGCTGATCGTAGAACACCCTGGGAATGCTTCGAGAGATGGATTGGATTGGAGGGTCTGCCTGCAGATATGTCCAAGACACCCTACTTTAAGACATACTCTGGTAGGATTGAGGCTGCTGGTAGACATGTCGCGGCACAAATCGAGGAAGCTCAACGAAGAGCTGGAGCGAATGTACAGATCCCTGTTAGAAAGAGAACGACTCAACCAGTTCGTGTAGAACGGAAGCGGACCCAGCGACATCTCGCAATGCTCGACGCAATGCGCAAATTGGCGAAGAAACGCGAAGCCGCGGTTCAGAAACAACAACACCAAGCTGACCTCGCTGCAATGCGCAAAGTCAACGATGCAAATGTTCCCAAGCCATCGTATAAAACCCCTGCCGAATTTTCGCAGCTCAAACAGGAACGGGAAGCGAAGCTGGCAGAGCGACAGGAAATATACCGGCAACAGCTGATTGCTCATCAACGTGCTACCGCTCAACAACAGCGTGCTCAGAGCTCTCAGCCAAATAATATGCCAAACGGTATGCCTCCTAGCGCGCCCAACATGCGTGGGCCTCCTGCAGCTGGCGGCATGCCTGCAATGCCAAATGGAGGTCTGCAGGTGCCTAATGGTCACCCTCGTCATCCTATGCTTGCAATGCAACAAAACATGCAGCTGGCTCCTGGTATGGTAGGACCAAAGCTCACACCACAGATGCAGGCACAAATGCAAGCGCAGATGGCCGCCCGTGGAACAGCGACCTCTCCTCAACAAATGCGTATACTTCAGGAAGCGAGCCGTGTCCAGCAAGAACAGCTGATGCGACAAGCGCAACAGGCACAGAATGGAGCCTATTCCTCGCCTAACAACAGTCAGGCTGCCCTAGCGGCTGGCAAAGGTATCAACAACGCAGCGTATATGGCTGCCATGGGTGGTGCCAACGGTGTAGGGTCTCCTGCCAACATGAGCCATGCCTCTGCATCACCTCGTCCTGCTAGCTCAGGCCAGGCCTTGTCAAGCGGTCACATTCCTGTCCTTACGCAGATCGCGAATAAAATCCGCGAACATCACCCGAACCTGTCAGATGACGATGTCAATCGTCTTGCTTCTCAACAAATCACCCAGTATCAGCAACAAGCCACCGCTGCTGCGGCCGGGCAGTCGCAAAAACGCCAGCAGCCCCATAATCAAGCAGCTTTGAATGCAGCGATCGGTGCCGTCAATGCTGGGAATCATGCATCGAATGCCGCCGCCGCTGCAGCTGCGGCTGCCCAATATGGTCAACCGACAATGATGACGCAAGAGCAAATCCAGCAGTACAATCAGCGGATGCGCATGCAGCAGGCACAACAACACGCAGTTAGAGGCATGCAGGGCCAAATGCAACAAGGCATGATTCCTAATGGGATGAGCAACTCCCCTGTGATGAACATGGCTCGGCCCGTCAGTCAACACACGAATCAGGGACAGATGAGTCGGAGTGCAACTCCAAGGGACCAACGCAGCGGCAGCCAGAGTAATGTTAATGGCAACGTCAATGGCGGTGGTGCTGGTACGGGGTCTGGCCCGCAAAGCAGTCCACGTCCGGCGCCGGCACAACAAACTTGAGCGGGAAGGTGTGGTTGACGTACGCATTTACAAGGAGACTGTGCAGACGTTCATGTACGAAAGTGAACAAGGAAATGATTTTGCTGCGTCTTGACACCAACAAGGGTACTTATATAGTGTGGACGGGCAATTTTTATGCGAGCTGTTTGAGTACAGAAGAGGGAGGGAGCAGCAAGTCCGGCGTATCAAGTTTCGGAATGTTTGCACTTCAGTTTGAAAAGGAAAAAGGGCGAGAGATTTGCAATGATAATTTTACGTTCTTCCCCGTTCAGTTCATCTTTTTCTCTCGGATATCTTTGTCTATTTTGTTGTAGCACGATACTCATACTGCCGTGATAGCACCTGGTCTTGGACTATTGTAAGTAAAGACCCGTTCCCCACGGCTTGTGTGGGTGTATGTGTGTGTGACGGAGAGTGAGAGTGTAGAACTGTCCTGTCTCGTCTCAGACTCGCGTGGTCATTGATTCATTCGTCCAAAGAAACATGCTTGACCTTGCAAGCCTCCAGTCACATTTCTTCCCATCTGCAACCCTTCCTGATTTCAACTGGACGCCTTGCACCTCTTCCTTTTTTTTTAATTCAACCATTCCATGTTTGCTAGGAGCGTGGTCCTGGGACATATGCAGCAGTGTCGGTGGACTCGGCGTGATGATACCAGCTTCCGGACTCGGCGTGGAATTCCTAATCTCCACCACCCACGGCCTCTACCTCTCTGGGAGCCTGCTGCTCGCGGTGCTGACCGCCTCGGCCACCGCCACGGCCACCACCACCCTGCCGTCTTTGTCTATCACCGCCTCTTTGCATGCCCTCGCCGTCTGCGAATCCGTTCGTGCCGGACTCGCCGCCGCCAGGTCCCTCGCGAGCGAATCGTTCCCTCTCGGCCTTGACCACCGTCAGGACGCTCTCCAGACTGCGGCGCCAAACCATGAGGCGTCCCTGGATCTCAGCCCACTGCTTCTCGCCGAAAACACGGTAGGTGGCGCGCTGGACGAGGAATTCTTGCTTGAGCTGGCTGAGTTTGCCCTCGACGAGACCGGAACGGATGGCGTCAATCACCCACATTTCCACATCTTCGCTTGGAATTTGTAGGGCCGAGGCGATTGTGGAATAAGGTATCGAGCGGGTCGTCGAGGAAGCGGCGATGCTGGCTAGGGTGAGGAGGCGAATCTTGTTAGTCAAGGCTTCGGCGCTACTCTCTGGGATACCTAGAGACGCTAGATCGTTGGTCTCGAGGAAATCGGTGTATGAAGAGTAATCGTCCGAGGAGAAGATTTCGAGAAGTTCAAAGAGGTTGTTGTCGGACTTTCGAATGGCTTGAACGGCATCATTGACGGTCAATGGCGTAAAATCTATCACATTCGGGTTGGTGAGGGCGGTTTTCAGTGTGCGTTTCGCGAGATCTTGAGCTTCTGGCTCCGATGATGACTCTGGCGGGATGGTCTCGAGGGCGTCGAGAAGATATTTGTAGTGCAGATCCTCGTGACCAGTCTCAGATGCCACGTCGGCCACTGTGAGATACAGAGTGCGGGCGTCCTCGTCATCGAGTTGCCAAGTTGACAGCCAATTTGGAATATTCGTCTCCAATTGTGGTATTAAAGCCTCGAATATCTGTGCAGAGGCGGATGATTTGATGACTTTCAATACAGCAAGGAAAACATGATAACGGGCGTCACTGGTAAGAGGAAGAACGTTGAAAATGGTCGTGAGGGTCTGGAGGGCGAGCGAGGAGCCGAAGGCAGGGGATGATGTGAGTGGCTGCTCGGACAGATACTGGCATATCCGGGCAAAAAATTGTTCGGAATTTGGTGACTGAAGCGAGAGGCTGATGAGGAGGTTGTACGCTGCTGTAAATTCTGTAGAGCTGTTATTACTTGTACAGGATGAAGTCGTTTCTGGGGTTAGACATCCTCACCTCGCTCAGGAGCAGAATTGAGCACAGAGGCTTTGGTTACGATCTTTTTCAGCACTTCATTCTTTTGCTGTTGTACTGAGGCCTCGTCTACAGGCTCCTGGGATTGTTCTGCCTCTCGAATTTGGTGTAGAAATTGCGCAACGTCTGCTTGAACGCCCGCTCCTTCCTCGGATTTGGCGAGGGTGTCGAGATACTGCGCCAACTCCTCTGCGAGTTCGGAGAACGATCCTTCGATCAAAAGGGTGTTTGAAGGGCCCGGCATGGCGACGGTATTGTAATTTGAAGAGAAATTGAGGGCGACGGTGCTGGTATTGTCGTTATTGCCTGCGCCTGCGCTGCCGGCGACGCTTTGCTGCTGTGGGAGAAACTTCAAAATCGTGGAAATCTTGGCATTTGCTTACATAACCACGAACTCGGCGCTGGTTCCACACTTTCCTACAATACGAGTTCCTTGCACAAGCGGAGAGGGAAGTGTCTGTGGACGCGTAAGGTGTAGGTATGTTTCAATTGTATCCACGTTCCACCATATTGGGTTGAATATTTATGTCAGATGGTAAGGGTATTCAATCAACATCTTGCGAGCTCGAGTGTCCTGAATCGTCCTCAGTGTTGCACCGAGACAGGTACAGGCTTCGCCACCATTTCGTCCTCAATGAATACCCCCAAGCCAGCAAAAGCCTTCCAAAGACATTCGTCCATGTATTGATGAAAGTCGTACCCGGCGGCAGACATAGCTTCCGATGGTTTTCCCCTTGCGCGAGCAACATAACTGTCCTTGACTTGATAGTAGTCTCTCGTCCGCGGCATGCCCATGAAAGGATCGTACGGCGCTTTGGGCGCTGGGGCGACCACCGGCTTCAAGCCTTTGATCAAGCCACTTGGATCTGCAGCATCCTTGGGCGTATTCTGTCGTTTCGTTGGTCGTGTGCCAGCATCGTTTGTGGCTTCGGTCGCATCCGTTTTGATACCGTTTGCGATAGCATACTCCTTGAGCTTTCGCCTCGTGGCTTGAACATCTATCTTGAGAACCAAATTCATGATGAGCTCTTCTTTCAGTTCGAGATAATCATCATAGTCTCTCTTTGACTCGAATTCTTCCTCTCGACGGTCGAGACTAGCAAGAGAGATTAGACATGTTCCCCGGCATTTAGAGGGGCAAAGGGATACAACATACGTCTTGCCCACAGTCTTCCGGATTTCCACTTCACGCTCGATTTTGAGATCCTCAAAAGTCTGTGGTCGCCATTCACGTTTCCAGAGATTGACATGACACCCTGCTACAGGACATTCTGCTTTGCCACTGGAGAAGTTTCGATCTACACACCCTTCACATATTCGGTGGTAGCATTTCGTGTTGATCTTGAACCGAAGTCCGGGATGTGTACGAGGGTCACTGCCACAGACTGGACATTTATTCGCTCCTAAGAGTAAACAATTAGCAACAGAAAGTTCATTCGTGATGGTCAAGAGCTCAGGGTTTCTGCTTACCAAGAGAATCTTCGTCGTCCATAATGACAGTCCTTCACCGAGATTCAGGTACCAATGTAGATGGAAGTTGAAGTGCTGGAAGATGAGGCCATCAGATTGCATGCGAAAGCATCATCCAGCATCACACCTCTTGCGACATACGAATATTCAAGATCTGGACAAATGGGCTGTGGAGATAAATGTCAGTGCGATGGACTCACGAGGCTGAATGAAGTACGTGGTGGTGACAAGGCAGCGTAATTTCAAATGACACAAATTTATACTGTTTTGGGCAGTGGCGTTGTCATTTCAGCATCGCTGATTAAAATTCCAGCCTGAATGATTCTGAACAAATATCTGAACAAGGACACAAAACGCCATCTCAGAGTCTGTTCGTCACACACAATGGACGAATCTGCTCTTTCGCGTATTGAGCAGCAAAGGACCGAACTGGAAGCCAATATCGCTAAGCTCCGCAAGTCGCTCCGACACTGGCAAACTCTGGAAATTGATTACGAAAGTCTGAAGGAGGAATTTTTCGGTCTCTCAGTGGGAACTTCGGCTGAACTATGTTTGGAAGTCGCTCGAGATGCGAAGCTGGAGTTGGTCGATGATAAGGAGCTTCACACACTTCTCAAAGACAATAGCGGCCACCCTCGCCAACCCGCCCAGATTGTGGACCTTCTATCAAAGCGTGTTGAATATGTCGACCGAAATGTCCAAACAGTCCGAAAACAATTATCTGACGCCGAAAAACGAAGGAATGCCTTATTACTAGCAGAAGAACCTGACCACCGGGATGATGCCGGACTCCCGCTGGCTGAAATTACCGAAGAACTGGACGAATCAGGACAGGTATTGTCCGGAAAGGTCGATATGCCTGGGTCAAGCGCACCACAATTGCTTGACGTATTGAAGAAAGCCGGCGTGACAGACTTGAAAGAAACAAATGGAACAATTACTCATGCCGAATCCATGGACCCTTCTCAAGTTGACCGTGTGGGGGCTGAAGAAAGTGTGCAAAACGATTCTTCAAATGTCACAGCAGCTGCCGATGCCTTGCAGATGGTCGACGTGCCTACCTCCACTGACGATACAGAAGAAGAGGCTCAACTACGCAAAGAAATGCTGGAGTACGCCCAGGGAATGGACGAGGTTGGCGCTATCGTGGCTGAACTCGACCTGGAAGAAGACGGCTCAGATGTCTCATACGATGACCAAGATGATGCATTTGAATTCGACTCTGACATGGAGTATCACGACGATGTCGAAGAGGATGAGTCAGAAGATGACACCGGTAAAAGCAAGAATCGCCTGACAGTACCAAGGGGTTACCGAAAAAAGATGGAGGAACTACAGGAAAAACTTGGTTTGAAGAACTTAGGACCAGAGTCAGAGACCGCTGTCATCGGTCAACAATCACGACCTTCAGCCGCTGAAGCTGCAAGGAAAGCAGCGCTTGCACGGCATGATCAGTCCACGAAGAGCAGCCTAAAGTCCACATTGGCGAATGACGATACAACAGCAAAACCAAGAACAGGTAAAAAGAAGGTGGCGTTTGCATCCGAGCTGGATATAGCACCTTCTGAACCCTCCAGCTCAGCACGCTCCAACGCTGAAACGTCACGGGAAGATTCAACGAACAATCCTACCGTTAGACCAATCAATGACTCTGTGGTAGAGAGACAACCACAGACAGAAGACGCACCTGCTCCTGATGCTGCACCAGTCGCGCCCAGAAAACAATCACGTTTCAAGAGCACACGACAGGTGCAACCTCCAGCACCCTTATCTGCGCCTAATATGTCAGTTCCTCTGGCAGATGTTGAAGGGGAATCCAAGAATCCAAGTTCTCCAACTTTTCCGTCTACGATCATATCGAGAGACCTTGTTGAAAGACCATCGCCTAAAACGACCAGTGCTCCTGACCCGAATGACTTCTCGGAAGAAAGCCACCAACGCGAGATCGCGATGGAGTATCAAAGGCATCGAATGAAGCGGATACATGCTCAAGATCGAGCCTTCGTTGGAGATGGAGAAGACGACAATTACGGCGAAATGATCACTTCCGGTAAAGGTAGAGGATCCGAAGGTGCTTCAGGTGAAAAGATTAGTCGATTCAAGGCGGCCAGACTCAATCGGTAAGAGTCGATGCTCATGCCTCCTGGTGACAAATGTTTGAGCAGATGTCCAGGTATGTACGTACAATACAATGCTGAAACAGAACCTCTCGGGAAACACATCAAAACACCAAATACGTGTTTGTACGTGAGAATAGCCCTGACCGTTACAATCCCTCGTGCAATTGTCTTTGTTGTTGCTGGAGCCGCTGAAGATCGCTCTATGCGTCTATGGAAGTTGCAGTTCATCCCATCTGAATCTTCCACTACGACTGGCTCCAAGATGAAATCTCGTTGGGCTCTCTGACGCCTCCTCCCTCTGCAATGGATACGGCGATTCGTTTCACCCTACACAGTTGACGGTCTTTACATCGCATCGTGATGAATCACTGCGATTGATCTTGTTTAATTTCGACTTCGCGAAGAGAGATAGAGTCAATGCTTCGTACAATGGTAGCGTGTACGAAGAATGACGAGCTTGACATCGTCGGAGACTCTCGCCTTTCGCCTCTTGCCGCCACACAATCAAAATATTATACCATGACTAAATACCATTTGTACATGATGGAAATGCATCATTCAGTGCTCATACAAAGGTCGACAATGGCCCTTTAGCGGCTCTGTTTCTGCGTCTCTCTCTATTCTCGTTCCCCGTCTTTCAATCCTCTCGGCAACTCCTTCTAGCTTCATGGCTAACGCCGGCTTCTTCTGATGCCCCACTGTTCTACGGCAGCATAAAATCCTCACCGTCCCTCCCGCTTCATACTTGTTCTTTTTTTTCCTACTTTGAACTCTCTGTCCGATACGCTATAGACAACGCCCGACAGCATGGACGCGAAACGACCACTAGGAGGGCACGAACTAGATGTGATATCACCATCGCTGTGCACGCAAGATGTGTCCATCGAAGCCTGTCCTGCCGGCATCTTACCAACGATGGACGAGACCGAAAGCCCGGTCAAACATAGAAGCAAATTCCGAATCACCATGATTCTAATTGCTCTATACCTATCTCTTTTTGTTGCCGCACTGGACGCCACCATCGTTGCTACTGCGCTCCCTAAAATCACGGCTGATCTTCACTCTGCTGCCGGCTACATCTGGATCGGAGGAGCCTATCTGATTGCCAATGCCGCTGCTGCACCTATCTGGGTCAAATTGTCGGACATTTGGGGTCGGAAGCCAATCTTCCTTGCAGCTCTTGTCGTATTCTTCGCGAGCTCTATCATCTGTGCTGCAGCTGTTGACATGCAGATGCTTATTGTTGGCCGCAGCTTTCAAGGTGCTGCAGGCGGCGGTCTCATATGTATGGTCAATGTCGGAATATCCGATCTGTTCAGCGTGCGCGAAAGAAGTCTTTGGCTCGGTTTCTGTGAGGGAATTTGGGCGTTCAGCGGAGCTGTAGGACCTCTTCTGGGTGGTGCCTTTGCACAATCCGCAACCTGGCGCTGGTGCTTCTGGTGCAACTTGCCCATATCAGGCACTGCCTTTGTGTTGATCGTCTTCTTCCTCGACGTCCACAACCCGCGAACACCAGCAATTGAAGGGATCAAAGCTATTGACTGGTTTGGATGCATCTCTATTCTGGGCGTCACCGTGATGCTTCTTCTTGGTCTGGATCTTGGTGGAGCAGTTTATCCTTGGGGCTCTGCCAAGGTTGTATGCCTGATCGTCTTTGGTGCATTGATGGTTCTGGCATTTATTTACAGCGAGAAGAAGCTGGCCAAGTATCCTGTCATACCTCTTTCTCTATTTGGCACGAGAAATGTTGCCACACTTCTCGTCACATTTTTCCATGGCGTGGTAAGTACCTTCCGGTGAGCTTGCTACCAAGTTCCAGTGATTGACTATTTGCAGGTCTTCATGGCGGCAGAGTACTACCTTCCACTCTACTTTCAGAGCGTAAAAGAGTCCTCCCCTCTCAAATCGGGTTATCTTTTGGTGCCACTTATTGTTGCCACGGCAGGCACCGGCGTCCTCAATGGCGTCTTCATCCATCGTACTGGCCAGTACAGACCGTCACTTTGGATTGGCCCAGTACTCCTCACGTTGGGAACTGGCCTCTACTTGATGCTCGATGCCAACTCAAGCATCGGTATGATAATCGGATTCGAGATCATTGGAGGAATCGGATCAGGGCTTCTGTTCGAGCCTCCTCTGATTGCCATCCAGCAAGGAGTGCACCAGGACGACGTTGGTACCGCGACTTCGACTCAAGCTTTTATCAGAAGCATGGCACTATCGTTGAGCGTCATCGTGGGTGGCATTGTGTTCCAACAAAGTATGGACCTTCGAAGATCAAACTTGATCGCAGCCGGCCTGCCACTATCTGTCGTGGAAGAACTCTCCGGGAAAAACGCCGGTGCAAACGTTGACGTCGGACGCAATCTTCCGCCTGGTCAAGGTCGTGCCGTTAAAGACGCCTTCGCCTGGAGCATTCGAAACATGTTTATCATGTTCACTATCCTTGGAGCGCTCAACATAGTCGCAAGCTTGTTTATCAAGAAGACCAAACTGTCCAAGGAACATCGGGAGACTATTACTGGTCTCAAAAACAAAGATACGTCGTCACCAGTGCCTTGATTCTACTGATGGGCCTTCATCCATATAAGTGACATCCGCCTTTCAACTTGTGGTTGTGACTTTATCGACACTGACGCGGACGCTTCGATTTCAACATCAGACTCAAGAGAAGAGTACTGCCCTAGAACCTTCTGGGCTGAACAATACCTCTACACCCGCGTCGGATCCGGTGATGCTCAAGCACCGTCAACAACAGCACTCCTTCTTTTTGGAGTCTAATCTTCGGGCTCTCGGTGATGCTTAAGCACCGTCAACAACAGCACTCGATCATTTCAGAGACTGATATGCCGCCCATGTGCGTCTGCAACATTGCACAACGGAGACGGTGAGCTTCCCACCAACCAAAACCAGCAATTCATGTCACGTAGATTCACTTAAACCACCAGGCAGTCTCTCGGGACTTCTGGTTGCGGTGAGCTTCGCACCGATATCAACAGCACAAAACTCGCTTCCATGGCGAATTGAATGAAGTATTGTCATATCGCCACTTGTAAGGCTCCCGATGCATGCGTCTATCTTAAAGTACGGTGCTTTTGAGGTTTCGCTTTGTATCCGGTACAGTATTTCATTTCTTCGAACCCATCTCCGTCTCAAGCATATATGATATCTAACTCCAGCCCGTGAGAGAAAAATTCAGCAAACGTGCATCGTCCCAGAATTGTCAGCCCTTTCTCGAAACATCGTATAGTTGAGGAGATTGAGGCTTTTGTCTTAACAAGGCAGTGTTGGGAGCTTGAGTATGGCCCCACAGCTGGTAGCCCGGGGCACCTAGATATGCTCACGGTACCACCTATTTGTGGGTTGTAGATGATGATATTAGCCGGCGTCATCAGCCCGCTACGGGTCGTTTGGTGCTACTACGGGAGCGGCAGATGGGCCAGTCCGAAACATCATTCCAAGCTAAATCGGTCTGCATGAATATATCACAGTATTGTTACTAGTTAATTTCACATTCCAGTCCAAGGATATGACTACTCGACCTAGCAATTGTTTTCTATGTTATGCGCTTTCCCTTCGATGAGTTCTATCAAATTGCTATTCTCACCTACGCGACTCACCTCTGCTACTCGCCTCCCCACATCCTTCGTCTCGATCAACTCGGCGTTGTTTAGCCCCAGCAAGAGAATCAATATGGCGAGTACCCAGAAAAGTGAGTTGTGTTTGACTTTGATATCATATAGGGCTAAATCTAGCGCACAGCTCGATGGAACCAGAATATTGGGCCTGCGGTGTCTTCGTTAACCCCAGCATCTCAGCCTAGCCGGGTCAAAATAACGGGCAAGACAGTCACACTGGAGCCCTTGGCACCGAGTCATGCTATTGATCTATGGCCGGAGATCCAGGACGAGAACACTGGCCACATCTGGACATACATGAGCGACGGGCCGTATCGATCACTTGAAGATTTCCAGAAAGCCGTCACAACCAAATCCGAGTCTAAGGACTTGGTGTTTTCGGCCATAGTGAACATTCGAACCCAGAAACCCGTTGGCTGGGCTTGCTACATGCGTATTGATCCCAACAACCGTGTGGTCGAAGTCGGCAATATCCTGTTCTCACCGTCACTGCAACGAACGAAAGCTGCAACTGAGGCGATGTACCTTATGATGAAACATGCATTCGAGGATTTGGGCTATCGCAGGTATGAGTGGAAATGCGACAACCACAACGGACCCTCGAAACGAGCCGCATTACGATTCGGCTTTACGTTCGAAGGTGTGTTCAGGCAGCACATGATTTACAAGGGGAGGTCAAGAGACACTGCTTGGTTCTCGATGGTGGACACGGATTGGCCTATGATCAAGAGTGCGTTTGAAAAATGGCTCGATGATAGCAACTTTGACCATGATGGAAAGCAATTATGCCGGCTGGAGGACCTGAGGGAGACGGTGCCCGCGCAGAGAGGGCCCGTCACTCTTGATTTATAAGGTGACTATCAGACGATGATAGACTAGTCAGTAAACTATTCATAGAGGCGAGTTTTTGCTGCTGGTAGGCCTTCCAAAACGAGTGAGAGGTTCTGATGATTGTCACACATGGAGGGTTAGCTTTTAGGTAGGCAAACTTAGGTGGACTTTTTCATAAGCTCCGAGTAAATGTGTGGGAGGAGAAGAAAGCTTCATCCAGATATGGTGCACCAGTGTTTGTGTCAAATAGATAGATGGAGGAATCCCGAACAGCGGTGGGACTTAATTCACGCGATGCCATTGTTGTCGCTGTTCATTGTGAATAAGTAATTGTTGCTCGCAGTCAGGAAAACAATACTTCAGCTGAGCATAACACGAGTCCCCACCCACCGCGGAAGAGCAAAAGGTGCGGCAGCTGGCAAAGATTATTGTCCCCGTTAAGAAGTCAATAGGACTTGAGTGAGTGAAAGCGATAGGGAAAAAAAAAGACACAATGCCAATCCACTGTAGCTAGGGTCTTGATATTCATCCTCATGGACCATCCCACATTCTACATATATGAATGACAAAAGGTGGCAACCCTTTATTCCTGCTGATTTGGGACTAGACCGCTTTTGGGTCCTGACCTGCTCCTCCGCCCAAATTTCTCTGACCTGGCAAGAGCCACCACCTTGTCAAGACAGCTCTTCATCTCTCACAACCTCGCATTGGGACTCGACGGACTCACTCTGGCTGCTGGACAGTTCAGAATTGATTACTTCTGTCTCATTTATCACCAACTAGGCGGTGGTCAACCGGCAATGTCCCTTAGGAAATCTGCCCGGCTGTCCGCAACTCCTTCGTTGATTGTCACTACCACCAACGAACTGCCATCAAATGCATCTGGACCGTCATTCCGCCCATCGACAAGTTCCAGCCCTGCTGCCTCAACCATTGGTAGTCAGAGCGTCAACGATCCGTCTACCTCCATCAGTGACCCAGACGACTACGGTGAGCCCGTCCGGAAAGCTCCACCCACAATGTCATCAACCAAAACCACAACAAAACCGTCGGCACGCTTCGATGATCCAAACTCGCCGCACAACAATCGCCGCGCTTCAGGTCGTGTTCGAAAACCGACTGAAAAAGCTCAGGCAATGAGTGATGTGAAGCCTCTCTTGTCGCCACCTTCCGACACCATCGTCGTCAGCAATCCTCGGGTAGTCGATGAGCATCCTCCGCCTAAGAAGCATCCAACAGCTCCTCAGCCAACGAAAGAGGCGGCACTTGGAATTCCGCAACCTCCAGAAATTCCGGAAACCCCCGCGGTCACCAAAGCGCTTGCTACAATTCCGCCTTCATGCAGTCCAGAAGAAACTCCGGACGCTGATGCCGCCAACATTGAATCACCTTCACGGAGGGTGTCACAACGCGAACGTAAGCCGACGGCAAAAATTCTGGAAACCACTTCGACTCCAGCAGCACCTTCGACAACGACGACAACAGCAACCACGGCCACCACCACGACAGGACAAAAACGTCCTGCAACTGAGATCGTGGATTCCCGTCCGCGAAAGTCTGCTAGGGTCTCACATTCGGGCGCCAGAATACCCTCAAAACTACGCTACTCTCTATCTTCCAGCGCTGAAGAAGAATCGGCCGTGGTTGATGATCAAGCAGAAATACCCGAGACTCCGATCAAATCGAAGATTATTACTTTGAAGTTTAAGCGACCCGCCCTACCCAGCGAACCTGCTCCAAGAAGAGCCGCAAAAAAGGCCGCTCTTCCACCATCCAAGAGATTGAAACGCAATGTTGAGAGCGATCAATCGAGCATCGAAGTTGCAAGGACATCTTTATCGGTTGCGCCGCGCCAACCTACGTGCGACTTGTTTTGTCTGTCACCTTCTGCTCGTATTATCGCATTTGCAAAAATCGCCTTACAGATGCCTGATACAGATGACGACAACGGGGACGATGTCGTGCCGGGCAGTGCACAAGACTGGCACGTATACACGAAATATTGGTGTCAATGCCCGAAGCCACCACCTTTGAAGCCGACACGCACTAGTTCGGAAGAGCTTGCACGCGCGCTGATGCCTAACACGGTCTCAGATGGCACCAAGCAAAATCCTGTCGATTTGACACGACCAGCGGCCTCGCCAGAAGTCGAACTGCTATCGGCACCCGTCAACACTATTCTTCGTGCTACTGATGCAGAACGATTGTCGAAACTATTTGGTTATCCTGCTGCGGAAACTCCAACCAGGAATGGTGATATGACGCCCAACTTGTCGACGGAAGCCAGCCTTTCGACATCACAAGTCAAATACTCTGGCACCGGACGGTCCGTATTGCGAGACAGCATGAGTAGCTATTCTTCTCCAGCACTACCAGCAATGACGGTGAAGAAAAGCTACGAAGACCGAATTAGAGAAGACTACGAAGCTCTGACGAAGGTCAGGAAGATGGCCCAAGCATTAGGAGTATCGTGGGATTTCAACATGACTTTCGACGACATCAACAATTCACTTATGCGTTTCGAGGGTTATGCGGCCACGAAGTCATTTGTTCATGGTCCACCTGAGGGGGTGTATGAAAGTCGAGATATGTATGGACCAAATGCTGGGTTTGGTGTGCTTTACCCACCACAGCCACCGCGCTCAAACGGATTGGCCTCGGCAAATGGAGTCCGTGGAAACAGTCGGGATAGCAACAAGGAATATAGTCCGGTTGCCAACCCAGAAGGTCAAGTCGAGGCAGGACATGGAAGCACTCTTATCGGATGTACTTCTGAAGATTGGGGTGCTTCGAGCTCCAAAGGCCGACGGCAATCTTCGCCTCCCCGGCCAAAGAGTTCGAGATTCCGAGTTGACCCTAGAGGTTTGAGAGGAGAATCACCAGGACCAGGAACAATTATCAACATTGACGAAAACAAGCAAGGATTGAGGAAACGAACTAGAAGGTCACGAGCAGCAGGGTCAGAAGTACCTACTTGAGATTGATTGAAAGGGAACCTTCCAAGACGAAGGCAGTGCAGGCATGATGCAAGGGGGTGTGTGAATTTGGGCGGTGTGCAGGACGAGATCTTTTCTTTTGTCCGTTAGAAAGTCATTAGCGAGCAATGGCATGGAAGGAAATGGGAAGTCGAGTAATTTTTACTCGGTGTGAAGATCACACTGATTGTGGTCGATTAATAGGAAAGGGACATGCATAGCGGGAAGAGAAAGTCTTGCAAGTTGAGGCTTAATGAGTGTCTCGATACGAAGTACAAAAGTACGAGATTCGAAGTAATAGAATTGATTTATACCCTTTGGTATGATTAAACTGGTGTGTGTTCTTTTTTGTTAGGGGGTAACAGTAGGATACCTTTTACTTGAGATGTAAGGGAGTATGTCAAGTCTTCGAGTGCTCCGAGTGCTCCGAGTAGAGAGGCTTTTGGTTTGTAGTAGGGTTCTCTCTCTCCCTCTCTGTGTGTACTCGGAGAAGCATTTATTGGTTTTCCCTCTTACATGTGTCTAGGGTATACCTTCTCGGGGGTTGTCAAAAGTAGTATTAGATTAGTAGCTAGGCTGAGAATCCCGAGATCGTTTTATGTCGTTCATGTCATTGTTTACATTTGTAGGTACCTATTGTAGGTAGGCAGATTGACAGGTGACCTAAATATCGAACTAGTAAAGGGTTCAAGGAAATGCCACGGTAAGTCTCTTTCTGGACAAATACCCTTGGGTACAGTATGTACCCAAGATACGTACTTGTAGTCATGTACCTATAGATAGTACTGGGGGGTCCTGTTGTGCAAAGAACAAACGACAGGTGTCTCTCTGAGAACTGACTTCTCGGGCATGAACTGGGGGAGACAAACCCCCCTGAAAAATGAAAAACGCGCTTCCCCCCTCCAGCCCCACAACCACCTAAACAGAGGTTAAAGAAACTTGTTTTTTTCCTCTTACGATTAAACACAAAATAAGATTGCGGGCGCGTTTGTGTGTATAGGCCATTTTACAGGGGTGACACCACAGTTGACTACACGAATTACATACTTGAGGATTGTACAAAAACGCGAAACAAAAGGTACTATACCTATATTCTTACTCTGATTGCACGTGTACAGTACAGTACAGTACAAAGAACAGCAAAAAAGCAAAAAGGGTACATCAAAGTTCCTGTCCTAGGATAGACACGCGTCGTGTGGTGTTTCAATTCTCTTGGGGCGGGGGTTACTAGGTTCTCATTACAGAACAAAGACTAAACAAAGAGAAACATGGCAGAAGTTGAAGTGGTGGTCAAAAAGAGAGGTCGTCCAAAGAAAGTAGTGACTTCGGAAGACAATGGTGGGATCGTCGGGTTGAACGAGGCCACGACAAAGGCGACGACTCGAGGTAAAGGGTCTACCTCGTCGACAGCCAAGAAGGTAGCGGCATCATCGACATCATCGACACCGCCATCCTCGACGACGACGACGATGACAACAACAACGACAACAAAAAGAAAAAAGTCCGTCAAGGAATCGTCACAAACTTCAATACCCGAGTCTGAGAATGTACCTGAATCTCAATCAGTTCCGGTGCCAGAAGTCAAGACTACTTCGACGACGACGAGGAAAAGAGTATCCAAAGCATCGACTTCGAGTCCTGTGGCATCTTCAACTTCTTCTTCCTCGGCTTCAGTTCCAATTCAAGACGTTGTCAACGATTCCAAGACTTCTGTTGGTGAGAGTGCCAAAACTTCAAAACCATCGACATCGACTGTGAACAAGACGAAAAAAGCGACGACCTCATCTCCTTCTGTCTCTGCCGCAACTATACCGAGAACCGCAAAGGTTCAGGCGACTTCTGTATCAGAAACGAAGAAGCCAGTAAATTCATCATCACCATCACCAACATTTTCTACAATCTTACAACAAGTTCGAGGGTTCACTGATGTTTCTAATGAACTAAATTCGAATTTGACGGAATTAATCGAGTCGGTTGAAATACGAAGGAGTATTACGGCAACAACTGAAGATTATCAGCAACAACACCAACAAGAGAATGCCTTTTCTTCTTCGAACCAAATCAACTCACCATCACAGACAAATACACAAACGCAAGGCCAAAGATCAACATCAGCATCAACAACACTTCCACGTCACCTTTTCCCACCGTCATCGAATTGGCCAAAATATACCATACCACAATCCACCATGACCGCTTTGGCTGCTCGTGGTGGAGCCATCGGTGTCGGTACACATCCTTATTCTTCTTCTGGTCAACCGACGACGACGACGACGAAATTGCCACCGCGTCCCAAACGTCCCTCGGAACCAAAACCTACAGAGATACCACTCGAACAACTCAAGAAGAACCCGAAATTCCGGAAATTATCGAGTAGATGGACAAAACTTATATTCGCCTTACCGGTGGCCATCGTCAGTAGTTATGCATTGTGGGAAAAGTGTGAGTCTGCTCTTTTTTTCTTTCTTTTCAAACCTTTGCCATTCTATACCATGTTCTTCTTCTTCACTCCTCTCTGCTCGACCTTTTTTAATTATGTGCTTTGTGCTATACTAATCGTCAACAGATGACGAACAACAGGCTTATCAAGCTGCCTTGCAGGCAAAGAGGAGTCTACAAGACTCTTCTGGTATAGCCACGACCACGGCCACGACTACTACTACGGTGGACAATGTCAAGCCTGTATCGACCGAGACGACCAAGTGAGGCATTGAGAAAGAGAGAACCTATCTCCTTTTTTTTCTGCCTTGTCTGGACATACCACTTTGTGTTGATGTATATCTTTATGAACAATGGCCATCTCTTATGTTCATGTCAATGTCAAGGGTGAAAAGGGAAAAAAACAAAAATTCTCAACTCAATGAGGTATCAATCAACGGGCGGCCACGCCAAAGAGCTACGGCTGCAATTACATTTCTGTTTTGTTCATGCCTTGTGTATTACCGTCACAGAGTCAAGCTGTATTCTCATTTCTACCCCTGATGCTCATGCTGACTCTCTTCACAACATTTCCGGCCCATTACAGTCCGGGCCAGGCCAGTCCGAGTACTGTAATACTGATGATCTCCTTCTTGCCATGGCTGCTGCACTATGCCTTCACGCGTGTGTCATAAAATCTCTCCGTCAACGGTCATTACCTCATGTCCACTGACTTTCCATTTCAATTCGTGTCATCTCACAGTTTACTCTCAAAAGAACAACCACCTTCCCATGCATCACCGGCGTCGAGTTTCGTCCATGAACTTACCGCGCCGGGTTCTATGCACAGATATCTCTTCCACCCGTCCTTGGGTTCAAAGTCACCCATGGCCTTGATCTTGTCTTCCCATCCGTTCCACACCGTGACGTCGGGTAGGGAGTCTCGAGTCACGACGAAACTGTCGGTCCCGTTCTCCGTCACGACCAGCGGGACAGAAGCACCGTCCTTGCCGGCTGGAGGCGTGTAGACTCGGTCCGTTTCGCCGGAAAAGGAAAGGGAGGTCGCGTCTTCGGTGAAGGTCTGTGCCGACCGGACCTTGTCGACGTAGGGTGAGGAGGTTAGACCTTTGACTGCTGTTTTGGAGATGTCCTGTGTCCAAAAACCGGGGTTGTCAGTATGGGGTCGTCATGCCGAGTTGAGACGAGGGTTTCTCCCAACCAAGGAAGCTGCTTTGGCAGAGCCTTACCTTGACGGCCAAGTACGTGTGGAACAAGACTTGAAAGTCGAACGCCTCACTGCCCTTGTTCTGTACGTGCATTTGACATTCCAGTTTGTCCTTTCCCAAGGTGACACTGTAGACCAGACCGAAATCATACGCCCACTTCTTCTGCACACCGGGATCCAGCATCGAACTGCTCAGTCCAAAGTCCAACTTGACGCTACCGTCGGCTTTACGCCCTACGTTCTCGCTCGTGCTCTTCCCCAAAAACTCCCAGTGGCTATTCCTCGCGAACCCGTGCTGTGGTAATTGCCCGGTCGCGTGGGATTTGGGGGGAGGGCCGAAGACGGGGAAGACGAGAGGGATACCGCCGCGGATTGGTTTGGAGCCGTCGAGAGCCGCTGCTTGAGACAGAAAGAGTTGTTCTTGGCCGTTCGATGTCTTCCACGATGTGACGGTGGCTCCGTAGAGGTAGACGGTGACCGAATCTCCCGTGGGAAGGCGAGCCGTCAGGATATTGTCACTGAGGTCGACTATCGGCTGGGCCATGGAGGGGGATACGGGGATCGAGGCCGGTTTGTTCTTGCGCTCCATTTTGAAGAGGCGGTCTGCGCGGGGCGGAGAGAGAGTCTGTGTGGTAGTGTTTCCTTGAGAGGTGGTGGGTGGAGGGGAATGGGAGGTCGCTGAGTAAATACGGAGTATGCCACGAACAGACGAAGGGAGAGGGACACAAAAAGTAAACTTTTAGAGAGGATGATTATTCAGGTCGTTAAAGAAAGGATCTCGAAGGAGGATGTTCGCTGTATGCATGCAGTGGGTGGCATTCCTCATGCATTCTAGTGTCATACAGTAGTTATCTGAGTGCTTTCTCGATGAATGTTTCATCCTGAGCTGTTTATTGGTCAGCCTTGGCCCCACCGACAACAAAAAGTCTCAGCCTTGCCGATGCTGTCATACATGCACTCTGTAGTTCAGTCGATGAACAATGAAGTCTTTGTGCTTGTCCATCTGCACACCATTTTCCCTTCAACACCAGTCTTTGTCATTTTGAAAAAGGTGAATTCTGTACATATATAGGGTCTGATAACGACCATGGGCAACTCTTCGTCCAAAGTCGCCAGCAAGGCTGCTGCAGGCGCAGCTCGTCGCCAATATCCTTCCACGTCCTCCATCGCCAACTCCGCAGCCACTGCTCCCTCAAGAAACAACGCACCTCCTACTACGTCGTCCAAACCAACCACCACTTCTCCTCAAGTACATCCTAACCCAGCTACATCTCCCGCGGTAGACGAAAGGACACAAAACATCGAGCTGGACGGAAGAGACCCCCAGTTTGGCTCGAGACTCCAAAGAATAGGTCCCGTCAAACTCCCCTCAGGTGTGAGACCTGAAGAGGCTTTCCCGACTTCCAGCGAGCCTATGCAGCCGGCACATAACCTTTTCCCGTCCACACAGAACAATCCAGCCGTGATCCTTACACAGGCACGGCAGAGGATTAACAAGCAGTGGGAATTTGAAGTGGAAAACGGCGGACGACCCAGTTTCCCGGGACGAACATTGCTGAATTCGAAGGACATCAAGGAAGCGCTAAGATTGCGAGATGAAATGGGAAAGACCTCACAAGACGTCGAGAAGCAAATGAAGTTGAAGCCTGGAATTCTGGATCAACTTGTTGCCAAAGGAATGGTTGCCAATGCATGAGAAGCTGAATCGTTTCTTCTGGATCATACGTCAACCGTTTATCATCATGCAAAATTACAATACAAGCAGTTTGGGCTAGTCAACTGACATGAAACTCGAAGGCTCATGTGGGAGACACTGCCGAAAACTAGACTCAATATTCAATGCCACGATCGCGAGCCTCTGCTGGTGTATACTCCAGGTGTCACAAAATCCCGCCATGCACAGCATCGGAATGCCTCATCGTAACTCAAAGGAGCTGAAACCTTACCCACCAATCTGCTTGGAATACAAAATGAGGTGAGTGACATTTTTTGCCCTCGATGTTCGGAAATAATGCTAATTTTATCTCAGCATCTAGCCTGGATTATATCCTAGAAATCAAAAATATACGTATGCGTTGACTCAAGGTACCATGTCAAGAGTGTACTGGCGGGTGCTCCTTGTACAAGGCAACTCATCCATGTTCGGTTGAACGATGATGAGGGTTTCCAATTCATCCTTCACTCTTCTCCGTGACACTTCATTCAAAATCTTACTCTTTGTGTATCCCTATGACAATGGACGAAAGAAATTTTTCTTTACCTTACAATCAATACAATGCCTTGTTTTCGAGTCAATGTATTGTATTGGGCCTTTCACACACTTGTACATCAAAGGAAGATAGGTGGCCTAGTATAAAAGTCATCGATCAACAGAGAATATCCCTTGGAATCTTCCTCACAGTCTCTTGACAGAGTTGATACGAATTGAACGATCACGAACCATGTCTGACGCACCAAAAACGCTGCCGCTTACCTTTGGTGTCGAGATTGAAGTTCTCTTCGCCGTCAACTATGACTTGATGCAGATCCGCGAACCATCCACACCGCTCCTTACTCTCCTTAGGAGAAATCGTCGGCCTGACCCAAGAGATCAACTTACAGACTTCGACGGTGAGGATGATGAAAGAATCCTGCAAGCCGCTGGTATCCTGAGAAGGAGAGGTCTGGACTTTATTGTACACCAACCACATGACTACATACCTGAGGGTGATTCAAAGGCGTGGCCTTTGTTCAACAATTGGGGCTTGACCGCAGAGGCCGCAGTCATATATCCAGGTCACAAAGTTCAAATTGCGACGTGGTCGAACCATCGAATTCTTGATTTGGAAGGTTGGCATTTCAGAGGGCTGGAGCTGATATCTCCTATCCTTGACGTGCCAAACCCGCAGGCATCTAACGGTGAGTCCGAAAGCTTGTCCCAAGTCAATAAGTACCTCGAACTAATCACGAAACGCACAGCCGCCAATTCACCCTATCTATTCATGGGCCACCCCAAGACAACTAGCATCCATGTGCACATCGGTCTACGGCCTTCCGCAACAGGTCAAGTGGCAATCCCACTACATGTGCTTCGACATTTGGCATGGATCATCCTTACCTTTGAAGACACCATTACCCTACTTCACCATCCTGAGCGTCATGGGTATTCTGGCACAAAGTCCCAATCTCACGCCCGCCCAAACCGCAGTGGATATGCTGCTCGCTTGGGTGAAGTCGACTCTCCTCATGTCTGTCAGCCATTTGATCCTGTCAAGGCGCTCTTCCAGATCTTCGACCTCAACATGACCAATGAAGACGAAGCCCTCCAAGAACTGAGGCGTATTACGTGTGGTACACGAAGTTGGTCGGGGGAATCTTCTTATTATCGTGACTTCTTCGTCAACTTCTCCAATATCGTCCGGTCGGAGGGATGGAGGAAAAAGGCCACGGTCGAGTTTAGGCAACATCATGGCACTCTGGACGAGAAGGATATTGATGAGTGGATCATCTTTGTCACGGCGCTGGTCAGAGCGGCAGAGCGCAAAGCATATCAAGCAGCCACGCCCGAGGACACGCCAATGCCGGAACTGCCAGGCTCACTGTATGGCGCATCCGTCGACGACTTGCCCCTGCTGATGGAAGAAATGTCAAAGTATGCCAATATCTTGAACACCCCCAGACGGTCACTGAAACTGCTTTTCGATCTTCTAGATCTTGGCATCGAGCGGCGTCAGTACTGGTGGGCTAGGGCGGTGAAATTCCAATCCGTGTTGCGAGCGAGTAGCCGTTACCAGGAGGATTCCCACATTCGTTCACTGTGTACAGGGCTGCCGTGTCTACGGGATTGTGAAGGTTGGGGAGAAGGAGAACTGGACGAGCCTCCATGGGATATGGAAGAAGGGGATAGCAGCGGTGACAGCAGTGGCTTGGGGATGAGCACTCCTCGGTCCTCTTCCTCGAATGACTAGTTGGCCCTTGTGGTCACGTTGATGAATTTTGGGTTGTTGCTGGAAGCAAGTCTCTTGGACAGTTTTGTGGTTCCCTGGTTTGAGTTTTCCGATGTATGGCGAATGGTGTGCTTTGATTGAGTAGATATCATTAACAATGTATGACATCAAACTACAAGTATTATGTTCAAATTTTTGCTTCTTCAACCTCATCGTTTTGTCTCCTCTGAGATACCAATCTACGGTCTACATTTCGCGATCAGGGGATTCAATACTGACATTGCAATGGCCATCCTTGACAGGCTTGGATATGGGTAATGGACGTGTAGATAAATTTGACCATGACCCTAAAATGCGTACCACCTCAATTTCAGACCAACGCTTTCATTTTAATTGAGTGACGGCCGTTTTTTTTCAGCGTCTCACAGACTCTGTTTACAATTTAGACGCTCTCTTGTCTTTTTGGGCGATGCTCTCAATCTCAATCTCACTCGTACACAAGATCAAGGTGTCCTCCAACGCGGGGACACGGTACTTGAGGTTCACGGCCTGATAGTCTTCGCTTGCCAACATGTCTGCGAAATGAGAGATGGAGGGGTAAGACGCGAGGGCGAACTCGTCCCAACCTTTCCGGGACGGTTGAGACGCGGGAGGAGCCTGGGGGACGATGTTCCCTACGAGTTTGGCGTTGCCTCCACGTCTGGACCCGATGCTCTCGGCGAACGCCTTGCCGTACTTGAGGTACGAATCCTTGAGACCCGGCTTGAAGGCGAGTAGGTTGAGCATGGACAGAGGTGACGAACCCGCTTTCGTGGTTCGGAAAGACTTGATCCAGTTCAACAAGTCCGGAGACATTTCGAGCGTCTGAGAAGACGACCCCAGTCGTGGCCTGTCGAGGGCCCCCGTGAGGGGCGGCACGGATGACGGGCTAGGGTGGAGGATGGCGTCGTTGGTCGAGGCGAAGTCTTTGGTCAAGCGCGATGGGATCCCCGTGACGGCGGACCAGTGGCAAGCGACCTGTGAGGTGAGACTGTCGGGGAGGGGGTCACCGCCGAGCACGATGAGCAACAAGTCCCACGGTCGAGACGGGCGGAGGAGTGCGTCGGCTTCAATCTCGGTCGGGGTGATGATCCAACGGATCACTTTGGAGACGGCGAGAGGTTTGACCGACGTGGATTTGAGAGAGGTCAGAAAAGAATCAATGCTGCTGGATGGGTCGAGTGATATGAGGTGAAGTGTCGCTAGAGGCATGGTGGTGGTGGTGGTAGTAGTAGTAGTAGTAGTAGTAAAATGGGTTCGTAGTATTCGTAAAGGTACCTAATAGTAGGTGAGTGTTTGTGTGCACAGTGAGATGGCAACTCTTCTTGACGGCCCGTGGAATAGGACGGGTCGCATATGTATAGTAGATGAGATACTCCAACATAGATGTACGAGGACACTTTCGGCTCTCGTGTCAATTTACGGCCATGTTTTTCTATCGACTCGGACAGTCGACATGAGTACTTCTTCTTTCAGCCTCGGCTTTTTTGTGGCTCAAAGTGTGGAGAAATGTTAGAGTAATCATAAAGTCAATTCGACGACGCTAGTTTTTGATCTAATCTAATCTCGAGACTCGGGGTTTGCAGCGTCTTTCACATTATTCCACGGGAAACATTTTTTTCGAAGCATTCGACAGCGAGAGTACTTGTCCCTTGTCCGGTTGGGCATATTTGAGCACCACGACACGACAACGCTTTTTAACCCGACCCTCCTTCCACGCTCATTGCCCATCTTTTTCTTCTTCCCCGTAACAGAAAAAGGACACAACCTCGACGGACAATGGCGGGCCTCAACCCCCTTCCACCTTCGCACGTCCACAGTACCACCCGCCTCTCGCACGCCCAAGCGCACTCCTACCTCTCTTCTTTTCTCGACCAGACGGAGATCGACGCGGCGTACCGTCCGGACTCGACGCTCAGCGAGCGTGGCCCTCAAGCCGTCAGCACCGGCTCCAACCCCAACCTCACCTTGCACCACCTCAAGCGCATCTTGCAGGGCATAGAGGGGAAACAAATCATTTCCACTCTCGAACTCGAACCTGATGGCGCTGGCGCTGCCGACGCCGACGCTGGAGGGGCAGCCACCACCTCCACCAAACGTCCTCACGGCGCAGACGACGACAACGCCAAAAGTGCAAAACGTCGTCAAATCCACGACTCGGAACGAGGTCGCGCGGGTCCCACTGACGACGAGGGAGACGAACCGGCCATAACAGCCACCGAAGACTTGGAAGACTGGCAAGACGCAGAGGAGTATGCCCTGGCCCAGACGGAGGACAATCTGGATTTGACGAACGAGGATCGACATCCTGGCGCGGACCTGCCTGAGCCCGTCGACGCAGAGGAAGAAGCAGAACTATTGAACGTCCAGGTTGAAGATGACGCGGGCGCGGACTCGGACACAAACGCAAGGAAACCTTCATCCAGTAAAAAGGACAAGGACGAAAGAAAGAAGTTGAAGAAGCAGCGCAGAAAAGAAGAAAAGACTAAGTCCGCAGAAGTCAAGAGACGACAAGCCACCAAAGACTGAAAGGAGTCGTTTTACACATTTTAACATCCTTTTCCTCCCTTCCTTTGGAGCGACCAATGGCTTTGCTTTCATCGTCCAGTATCCTACTCTATTGGAAAAAAGTATATCACCCAGACATGCAGCTTCTCAGCATGCATGCGATTTGATGCAACGACTCAAGATTGACATTCGCCAAAGTCGAAAATGCCATCCTGTTGCAACTATCTGTCAAGATTGCCAGCATGATAACCCAGATCAGACCAAGACAATTGCTGGCTAGAAAGCTTGCAGTGTATCTGTCTTAATCCACTCCTCCATATCTCATCCTTGCTGTAGACCAGCAAGACAAGGAATTCACAATTCTCGGTCCGTTGCTTTCACAACATCCGCGTCCACCACTTTCTCGTCCAGCTCGACAACCTTGCCATTGGACGATGGTTTGGAACTTTTCCAGCCCAAGGCAGCCAGTCGCTCAGCCAAGATGGGATGGCTGTAATGGTAGCTAGCATACATCCAGTCCGCGTCCATTGTGCTGAGATTCTGGACTTGGAGCTTGATTAAACTCCTCGCCAGTTCCTTTTGGAAACCAAGGTCGACTGCAAATTTATCGGCTTCGAACTCGAACTTACGAGAGAGGACATTCATCAAGAGTTTTACAACAGCATCCATTGGACTCAAGGCATCAGAGAAGAGAATGAATCCGATGATGATAGGGTGCGAGTTGTGGAATCCAAAGGACGAGTACAAAGAATTGTTGTCGATGAAGACGCTGAACAGGGCAAAGATGTAGAACATGTGGAACTAAGACATGATTAGTCAATGAGATAGGTCCTCTTGCACCTCGCTTACCTGTGCGATAGCGAACAATTTCGTGGTATGCGACAGACTCCAATGTCCAAGCTCATGTCCAAGGACCGCAACAACCTCTTGTGGTTCACTCTTTTCGATCAAAGTGTCGTAGATGACAATGTGTTTCTTCCATGGAAGACCAAAGAAGTACGCATTGCTATGTGCACTTCGTTTGCTTCCGTCGATGACATACAGTGACTTCAAGGGGAACTTGAGTCTCGACGCGAGGGCTTCGACGCCTGACTTTAGCTCTCCGGGTTCGAGAGGTGACAACTTGTTGAAGAGCGGCAGAATGAAGATTGGGTAGATTGTGATGCCGAAGAGCTGGACGGCAATGCCAAAGAGCCAGAGGTAGTAGAAGAATCTCGTGCCCGTGACTTGGATGATCTTGAGGAAGGCGCTGAGAAGTGGTGTACCGAGTGCGACCATCAGGGCTTGACCCTTTAGCATGTCCGTGAGCCATAGCTTGACCGTTTGCTTGTTGAACCCAAACTTCTCCTCCAACACAAAGGTCCCGTAGTACGAAATGGGTAACGAGAGGGCTTGAGAGATCAAGTTGAACGTCAGGAAGAAGAGGACCGTATGAGAGATTTCGCCGGAGAATCGTTCGGGTAGGAATCGCGTGAGCCAGATGCCGGTCACCGACCACAGTTTGGGCAAGATATCGTATTGAATGAAGAGGACATTTTGGATCTGGGAATATAAACCTGAGATGAAACCGAATCGCGCTTTTGCTCGGCCATATGCCTGCGAAACAAAACGGCAGCGGTCAGTGGGCCGCACATTGTTTCAAGTATAACGATATAGTTGTCACTCTTACTTGGCTTCGGTCGAATACATCCTGCGAGATTTCATCTTCTAGGGTCTTGGGCGGTTTCTTCTTCTGCAACACCTTGTACTGTCGCAGGGATAATAAACCTTCGAGGACATACTGGCCCAGGGAGAAACCCAGGATCAGTCTTTTCCAAGGGAATCCAGGTCTGTCCAGGAATGCAGCCAGGCGCTGATGTAAGGTTAGCCGCGGGGGAAAGATGATCAATGCCCATCGGACCAAGGAAGAGAGGTACTTACACTGGGGAAGTCACTCAGCATCCGTAGCAGAGATGCCATGGTCCAGATCTCGAGACCAAGTGAAAAGCAGACGAATGGAACACAGTCTGCAGAGGAAATGGTGTCGGGAATGCACCATGGGACGAGTATGTGTTTGCTTTAAGTACAGGTAGTACATATGTTTCGCGTACCGGGGCTCAGCGCGACCGAATCGGGCAACTGCGGCGAACCAGGACGAGACCTCTAGCTCGATTTTTTGCATCTCATATTCGCTATTTCGGGGCACTGGTGGACTATTGCAAAGGACTCGAGTCAAAGCGCTTTCATTGAGACTAGTGACGAACAGCACAAAGGAAACTTGGTCTTTGCTCGACATCAACACCACCGCAGCATTTAAATCGTCACATCCCGCTCTTATCGTCGTTCGATCTACAAGATGTGCCGTATTTGTGGACGTGTGGTTAGGTGCATCTTCGAGACGATGCCATCCCGAGTACGCCATGTTCCGGCTCGAAGGTAAGCCATGTCCTTTCATAAGTTGATATATAATTTGTTTCGCCGATGAGATCAAGCTAACACGGGGGGTTCATCATCAGAGCTTTTACAACGATCAGACGATTAGCAACGCCTAGCACATCCATAGCACAGTCTACACAGTCTCCGACGCTCTCGTTAGCACGAGCCTTCTCCGCAATCTCTTTCAACACCCCTACATCCACACACGCATCCCTCTCAAGAACGTCTTCAGGATTCGGTAGAGGCAGCAGTCGACCGTCGATACCGTTGTCGTCCGGTATGACAAGCTCGGCGGCATCTGCGTCGAGAGGGTTCTCTACCTCCGCGGCTCTTCAGGGTTATCGGAGACGGTCAGACACATATAATCCTTCCAGACGTGTGCAGAAGCGGCGGCACGGTTATCTGGCTCGACTAAAGACACGAGGCGGACAAGCGGTGCTGAAACGGAGGAAACTCAAGCGCAGAACGTATCTCAGTCACTAGTCTGGCCATTAAGACATTGGTCGATATCCATTGTGCCAACGTTGATATTGATGGCTTTGGCGACGGGCCTGGGCTTGGTCAGGTTCAGGCCAGGCATACTCCCTTTTCAATGTACAAATTATACACTTCGAATCGTAATTACGAAATACTAGAACATATTACTAGATTCCCAGCTACCTCAAGTCGAGCGGACGGAAGCTATACGCACACGCTGAAATCGACATTGTGGTACTCAGGAGTTTTTATAATTTTATCTATATCCTACGCCTGAGGTTGCGAAGATGTCTTGTCCTCGTCTCTCATGTGCGAAAAGCTCTGAGCCTCAAATTTGGGCTCTTCAACGACTTTGCTGGCCTCCGTCTGCATTGGACTCAAGCCCCATCGTTCAAACATTTCCTTGTCCTCGTCCCAGCCATTGCACTCCGTGGTCAACATCTTCTCGCCCGTGAAGATGGCATTGGCTCCTGCCATGAAGCAAAGCATCTGCTCGCTTTCCGGCATTGTCACTCTTCCTGCTGCAATTCTGATAATGGTCTTTGGCATGACCAAGCGTGCGGTCGCGATGCATCTGACCATGTCTTCTAGCTTCACAGGGTCCTGGCCAAACATCGGTGTTCCCTTGATGGGGACAAGCTTGTTGACGGGGAACGATTCAGGGTGTTCAGGCAACGTTGCCAATGTGTGAATGAGCCCGACGTGGTCGGTGCGAGGGGTCTCGCCCAAACCGAGAATGCCACCGCTGCAGACGTGTATACCTGCTTCACGGACGTTCTCCAGCGTCTGTAGGCGCTCGTCGTAGCTTCTCGTGGTGATGACGTTCGGGTAGTGTTCTCTTGACGTGTCGATGTTGTGGTTATACGCCGTCAATCCGGCCTCTTTCAGCTCCTTGGCTTGCTGCTTGTCCAGCATACCGAGTGTGACACATGCTTCCATTCCTAACGATCTGACTCCTTTGACCATGTCGACGATGTTCTTCATACCTCTTGTCCGGCCACGCATGTCCCGCCAAGCGGCTCCCATGCAGAATCGGTTGGATCCATTGGCCTTTGCGATCTTTGCAGCTTCGATCACCGAGTCGACCGTAGACAGTTTGGTAGCTTGGAGATTGGTCTTGTACCGAGATGACTGGGCGCAGTAGGAACAATCTTCGGTACATCCGCCGGTCTTGATGTTCATCAGTGTACATAACTGCACAGCCGAGGGCTTGTGGAATCTGCGGTGGACGGAGCCCTGGGGAATGAAGAGTCAGAGGACGCAATGTTTACACAACAGACACCTTAGATGTAGATATCTACATGCTGGGAATCAGACAACTTACAGCAGCGAAAGCGAGTTCCATGAGAGGTGTCTGGTGTATTTGCGAAATCTCCTCTTTGGTCCAGTTGTTGCGAGGGCCCGTCGCGTTGACGGCCTGGTCGAAAACAGACCGTGACTGAGGCGGTGGTGGGGGAGAGGTCTGAGCAAGGCCAGGACCGCCTCTAGGGACATCGTGGACGATGCTATAGTACCTCACCGCAGGCACCTTTTTGGCGCTTCGAACGACACAGCGACTCATGCTTGCTGGATCCATGGTTCAGAGGGCCGCAAGTCTCAAGGGAACTCCAGGTGATTTGGTTGGCGGGGAGGGACGACGATAAATACCTGCTCTTATTAGATCGGGGCAGGGGAGAACTACGAGCGATCGATTATGGTGGGGGGCTTTTTCGAAAAGAGGTTGATGGTTGATGATTGTGGATTGTGGTTGAGTTTCCCGCTTCTGTCTCCGCTTCCGGACTTTTTCTGCTGAGAAATTCGGTGATGGTTTCTGGCTTTTTGCTGGGCCTCATCGGCATCTTCAGCCAGGCGATCGATTATGGAGTACTCATACTGTAGCTATTTACTGGACAAGTGTGAACCCGGCCCTGTCCATCCTCGGCTTCCGAGGCACCAAGACAACAACCTGTTCAGAGATCCTCCGTACCACCAACCAGCACGGGATCCTCCGTATCTCCTCCGTGTTCGGCAGAAAGACGGCCTTTTTTTCTTGTTTGTCATAGAGATCCGACCAGCAAGACTCCTCGTATCCGACATGAGTATGGACACCGTCTCAGCATCATCTACTATATATCCCTCCATGATCGCTTCTCTGAATCTCAGCGAAGTCACCCAATCGCGTAGTTCTCAGGTATCCGCAGTCGCACTGTCAGGGTCACGATTAGCTTATCAGGTCAGGTACTTCACTATGGCAACTTGTCGTCCGAGGAGCCTATTGCCTTCCTCGCTGCCTACACTAATGATACACCATACCCCTGATATATTATATTGCAAGTAATAACCACAGCCTATTTTCTTCATTACTCAGCAATATTTCTACTACGCAACTTACTTGATCTGTTGTTTCTGCGTGTTTCGTATCTCAATTCAAGCAAGAATTCAAAATGCATATCAGACCTGGTACAGCGCAAGACCTGCCGGACTGCGCAACAATCTCTTGCAATGCTATGTTCGATGATAATTTGACCGCCTATGTGGCCCCTTATCGCCATAGTCACCCGGAGTGCCTGCGCCACGGTATTCTCCTACGGACCAAGAAAAGATACTATGGCGGCGATAGGGTATTGGTTGCCGTGACTGACGAGAACGATGCTGATTGGGATGGGAACGAAAAGGTCATCGGCCACCTTTCAGCAAGCTCGACCCTTGACGCAAAATCAAGGCCCTCGTCGTTTTCATGGGAAGGTAAGTGACTTATCTTATGCTTGAGACACAAACGACCGGAATTACTAATTCTCACAGGCCTTGAGCTACGGCTTCTTCATCTGGAAGAATTGTTTATCTGGTACACAGGCTCAGACAGGTCGATCTCGAAAAGCAAATGGTCCGAATTTGCAGCGGGAAAGTCAGCGGGCTGCAAAGACCCATATTCCGACTTCAATGCATACTGGCACGTTTCCCATCTGTCAGTAGACCCGGCTTATCATCGACGTGGCGTTGCCACGGCCTTGATGGAGAACGTGAAATGTCTTGCTTCCAAGGACAGCCTACCAATCGTGCTTCTTGCAAGCATTCAGGGAAGACTTCTATACTTAAAAGTTGGCTTTCGCGAACTTGGACAGGCCAACGAAGGAACACTGTATGCCGCCAGTGTAATGGCCTGGTATCCTGAATCTTCCAAATAATCCACTCGAGTGGAGGCGATACTAATGGAATTTATCTGGTACTGTTTCGTATGTGAGTCAACATGTGCTGATGTGGTCTTCCGAAGCCCGGTGCTCGAGTCCTACTGGCTTATACACAATCGATTCAATTCCCGGATCTAGCGACAGGCTACAGATTGACAATACGGAGGTGCCTAGTTTTGCGAGGTTTGTTGTGGTATTGAGTTTCGAAATGTTTGGACATCGATTGGAATGCGAGCAAGGTGCATACTTTGGGATCGCTATTGTGGGTCACTTCCTTGCAAACGCTCCTGAGGCCCTCGAGTTACGAAAACTTTGTGGAGTGTGCCGATGTCCCTCTTCGCCGCAACGGATACTACCAACGCTGTATATATACGAAGACGCTGCCCTTGTCTGATTGAGCATGATCCTCTCTCGCTTTCAAGAAGATTTCGACTCTTATGTGTCCGCTAAATATACAGATACTCGACATAACGACCATCGACAGGGGTTTGCTCGACAAGTCAATCCCGTTACACTCTTTTGGGAATTTTTGAGACGCTCTCTACTTTTCAAACAGAAAATACCACTCTCCTCTTACTATCAAGATGCCTATCTCCATAACCGCCCACGATGACAGCCAAATGCCCCTCAAAAAGGCCAAAACATCTCATCCCGATACTTCGCTCCTCATGCATGCAAAGAACAGCACAACACAAATAGCTTCTGCTACCACCGACAACGAGGATGACAAAGCGCCAATCCGTGCCACAACCTTTGGCATAGAGCTTGAATTTGGCCTGGCATTCAAGGAAGAACTTCTGCGGACCATACTCCAAGAATACAACATCGAAGCGGCTATTGTCAAGAGATTTACTGCCCTCCAGCACGACAACTTACTGGGAAAGCTTGCAACAAACCCCCTGCCCAATCCTGCCTTGGATAACAGACTACGCTATTCTTCTTGGGCGCTACATGTTCCACGAGATGACCTTGGTTGTCAAAAGAACTTGCATCGGGAGATGTTTGCCAATCTCACAACAAGAGATAGACAATACCTTCGCAGATATGTGATGGAGCCCCTTCTTATAGGCAAGAAATGCCTGAACACAGCTTGTCTCGACAGCAACATCATTGGATGGGTGGAACCCGACGCAGACTATCCTACCATTCCTTCCAAAGCCGAGATACCTTTCCCCGGACAAGACAACGATGTCATGGTTCGAAAGGCCTTTGCCGACTATTCAAAGCGGACTCTGACGAACGACTATACGCTGGTAGGGGCTTTGAAAAGTCAGCTTGCAGACAACTTGCAGAACCGAAATATACCAACACAACAAATCTCGACTTGGGATACCACAGGTGTCGAATTGATCAGCCCGATCTTCGACCTCGACAACAAACGACCAGCCTTTCAACAAATTCAACAATATCTTGGTGCTCTGAATAACCAAGACACTTTCCTGATGGAGTCTGTATGGGCAAGCACCCATATACATATCGGCTTCAATTTCGACAAGCCAGAAGATATGCCAATTCTGTTATTGCAGCACCTAGCATATATTCTGCTACTACATGAGGACCTCTTGTCGAAGTGTCACCCACGAAGCCGATGTGGAATCGAATTGCCCAACTCCGTCCCTGAAGAGCCGACCTGGGACGAAAGCGACGATGACTTTGATGTCGATGCACCTTTCCCACCCGACCCAACCGAAGATGAACTGGAGAAAGAAGATGAAGATGCAGTCCTTGCTTGGGAGGCCCAATACACCGGAGCCGGTAATGTCGACTCCAACTATTGGTATCTCCATAGCAAGCTGCTAGCTCAAGCTCCTTCCCATGAACATCACAACATCATCAGAGACACCATCTTCGAAGAACACGGCAGCATCCGCGACCTCATTGAGAACCTACAAAAGCCCCTTCCCAACAAGCCCGGCAATGTGCATCGGGGATATATGTATAATTTCGCCAATCTCCTCGCTATGGAGAAGAATACAACATCGTGGAAATCCATCAAGCCGACTGTGGAATTCCGGCAACACGCATGTACCACCGACACCGACGTCATTCAACACTGGGTCATACTTTTGGAGGCTATTGTCCGAAAAGCTGAAGAGTTTGCCGCCATCACGACACATCACAGCACAAACTCGACAAACCCAGCACATACATATGCTGAGCAAGAGGCTGGCAAATACCCAACTACCTATACATCATCATGGCCGTATACAAACATGAAGGATTTCTGTGTCGACTTTTTGAACATGCAGGAAGAAGCAGGAAGATATTGGCAGACACGGCATGAACAATACGAGGACGATCGACCATCTAGAAAGGAACATATCGAGATGTGATGGTTTTGGATACAGGAAGGAAGTTGGAGAACATTGGACTGTTGGATTAGTATTGAGAGCTAATTATAAGCTGAAATATGTTGGATGTCTTTTGGTTTCTTTGCAGGTAATACGAATGAATGTGACGACGATGCAGTATTGTTATTTTGTGAATGATAACATTTCCTCTCCTTCAGCCTTGCCAAGATCAATTCGCAGCCTTGTCGGCACGTGCATCCCGAGCTAGCCACTAAGAAGTCGCCGGCAAGTGGCCGGATTTTTCCTAGTGGGAAGATCCTTCCCCACCCTGGGAGGCTGCCTATCTGCGTACCAGAGCAAGTGCTTGTAGTCACTCTTGAGATTTTTCTCTTCATGAATTCTTTACCTATGACCATATCTTGTGGAATGCGCAATACCGTTATCGCTTGGCTGCGTAGTCTACTTGCGCTATAATATGCTTAATCCGTCCTCTCGAATTTATTACAAGTGAAAGACATATGCCAAATCATTCCGACGTGACGCCTCTGACATCTCGAAATTCGGCTCCATCGGATGACCTCACCGTCTAACCGGGCGTCCTTCCACCCGTTGGGTCAACATGTAGCAGACGACAGCGTATCCCGCGACCTTTCGTTGGCGTCGGAAAGCTCTGGCAGCAGTGTCGACACTGTGGAAAAGCCACTGTACTCGGATGCTTCGCTCAAGGACGCGGTCAAACAGACGACCAAGATATCCGGCCGGCCTACCCTCGCACCAGGACTTTCAACGATTGCTCGTCGTCATTCTTTCATCGATGAAGAGGAAGATCCAGTGGCAGCGACGGCCGCTGTTCACGCTGCATCTTCTCCATCCACCAAGGACGAACCGGTGACATGGACATCTCTCCCTAGGAAGGGTCAATTGGCTGTCCTGACCATTGCCCGGTTATCAGAGCCTTTGACAGAACGATCTCTCGCAGCATACATGTTTTATCAACTGCGTTCCTTCGACCCAAGTCTTCCGGATAGCACCATCACGCGCCAGGGAGGTATGTTGACGGCTTCCTTCGCCGCTGCTCAATTTGTCACTGCGGTTTGGTGGGGGCGTGCTGCCGACACACCGTGGATTGGTCGCAAGAGAGTCCTCCTTGTTGGGTTGTTCGGCACATGTGTTTCTTGTGTTGGTGTTGGCTTCTCCAGATCATTCGCACAAGCCCTTTTTTTCCGGGCTTGTGCTGGATGTCTGAATGGAAACGTTGGAGTCATGAGAACCATGATCAGTGAGATAATCAAAGAGAAGAAGTATGTGTTTCCAAGCAGACTACTTGTGCAATTCTGACCCCACCACCACAGATACCAATCCCGCGCATTCCTGCTTTTGCCTATGTGCTTCAACATCGGTTAGTTCCTCCTACCGCCGCTATGATCGAAAGTCTGACAGTATCGCAGGCGTGGTCATAGGACCTATACTCGGCGGCTTTTTGGCCGACCCAATAGCTTCGTTCCCAAACGTCTTCGGTCCTGGCTCTGCCATCGGTGGTCATGACGGCGTTGGATGGATGACTGCCTTTCCATACGCGCTACCTAACGTCGTCAGCGCCTTCTTCATTCTGACCTCTGCCGTGTGCCTGTTCCTTGGTCTTGATGAGACCCACCCGGCTCTCAAGAATAGGCCAGACTATGGCCGTAGGCTCGGTAAAGTTCTGGTCCGTCTTCTCTGCAGGTGGCGTGGAAAGGGTGTCGACGAGTACGAATACACAGAACTTTCGGACCAGGTCGAGCTACAAGACGCCGTAGACTCGCGGGATGAAGAACATGAGGCACGAGACAGTGACACAGAGGCACTCAGACCCGACCAAGAGCCTCCCCAACAGCCAGCAAAACCATTGTTACGACACATCTACTCCAAGAACGTCATATTGACACTCGTCACTCATCACCTTCTAGCACTGCACCTGTCGGCCTTCAATGCCCTGATCTTCCTCTTCCTTCCTGCTCCGCGTTCCGACAACAACGACGCCCACCTTCCCTTCTCCTTCGCGGGCGGACTAGGTCTCAGCACCGAACGAGTTGGCCTTGCAACCGCCATCATTGGAGTGATTGGCTTTCCCCTGCAGATTGCACTGTACCCGATGCTCAACGCAAAACTCGGTACATTGCCCAGCTACAAATTGTTCCTGCCGTTCTCGATCGCGTCATACTTTCTGACACCTTTCCTCGCCCTGCTGCCGAACAAGGCGTACTTGGTCTGGCCCGCCCTGACGGTCGCGCTGGCTCTGCAAGTCATATCTCGTACCTTTGCCTTGCCTGGCTCGACGATCCTCGTCAACAACTGCACGCCACATCCGAGCGTCCTGGGAACGATTCACGGTCTCGCGCAAAGCGTCTCCTCGGGGGCCCGTACGATAGGCCCCACGTTGGGAGGTTGGCTTTTGGGCCTAGGTCTGGGCAACAATTGCGTCGGCGCGGTGTGGTGGGCCATTGCAGGTATCGCGGCTCTGAACTGGTCCTTGCTGTGGCTCATTTACGAAGGTGACGCGGGAGTGGCAGCTGCTTGTGGATGACGACGATGATGATGACGATGATTTTTTTTTCTTTCCCTATAACATGCGTGACTTGAAATTATGAAAGAGGCGAAAGGATATTTAAAAGACCAGAGAAAATTCCAACCTTTTCTTTTCACAACCCCGGTTTTTTTTTCACATGGACGTGGGCACAATGTAGAAAAGATATCAGTGCATCTATGACAGTAGCCAGATTCTAGCCAGATTCAACCCCAGTCCGGCATACCTAGGTGTTTGTTGATCCGTAAAGGTTATCTCTATTGTGAGAAGGTTCTTGCCTACATTCATGAGACAAAAGTGTTTTCTACAGTGGCCAAAAGGCCTTTGGACATCACCTACAACGAGGCAATTACAACTATATAGGCTCTGACATAAAGGTCTGCTGAGTATTGGACTTTGAACGGACCCTTACGCGCCGGCGCCTCCGAATCAAGGAAAAGGTGAGGGCCATTATTAAAAAGGCGGCTGTGACTGCGCCTACCACGATGCCGGCTATCCCACCTGCGCTCAGCGAGGTGCCTTTCGTAGATTCCGCAGACGCCGACGCCCCCGAGCTACCACTGCCGCTGATGGTCGACGACATCGGCGTCGAAGTGATTGTGGCTGGGACATGAACCGGCGAAGATATCAGTCCCGTCCCACTCCATATGACCTGTCCCTCCAGGATCAGTTGGTGACGTCTACTAGAAAAACTTCACCTGCAAGAGAACACACGAAGAACGCATAGAGAAAGGTGAAGAAGGGTGGGGGGGAGAGGGAAGGGGGGATGGTTTGCTCACCGAGCAGAGTTCAAAAAGAAACACTTGATCGAGACGTGAAACGCTGCCGGCGCCTTCACAGGTCTTGCGGTAATCATAGTCGCAGCGCGAGGCGAGCGACAGCATCGACGTATCAGTGCAATAACACCTCGACAGTGCACCGAGCTGCGTGGAATCGGTGGAGTATCCGGGCAAGCTGTTTTCGCATCGGCTATAACTGGAGTCGAGTGGCTCGCAATAGACAGAAATGTCACTGAGGCAGCTTGACGCGAGTTGGAAGACTGGCGTCGACTGTTGTGACGTGTGTGCAGCAGTAGTGGCAGTAGGCTCCCGTTTTGTCGTCGTATCATGTCGCGTACTGCTACCACCGACAGTAGTAGGACTCGGTGTGGTGGTGGCCCCGGTGGCCGCAGGCTGCGCGTTCATGGTCACAATGACAATGGGTGCCGCGGCACCACTTGGATAGAAGGCTTTCAAGGCTTGTATAACGGTAAACACGGTGGAAATCAACGTCAGAACGAGCACTATAAAGGCAAATCTTTGAGTGTGCAGTTTCAGTCAGTTGCCGTGCGAGGTCCGCGGGAGAAAAGGAAGGAAAATGCTGCCCGAGATGGTGAGGAAGGGCAGCAGAACTTACAGGAATGTCAGGTAGGCATATGAATTCCGTCGGTCACGGTATATCAGTTTGATGAACTTGTCGGGTTCAATATCGCGCAAGAAATGCTCGAGATACCTGATGGACGGCCACAGATACTGGAATTCTTGTTTTGACCAGCGTGCGAGATTCTCCGCCGCACGACCAGCTGCGTTTCGTTCGCAGTACTCCTCCAACAAGTTGTCGTGGGGTGAAGGAAGGTGAGGGCTGGCCAGAAGCTCCTTGATGAGCGATTTGTTCAAGGGTCCGAATAGCAGGTAGTACGACTTCAAGATCTCTTTACCACGTTCACGTCGGAAACCAATTGAGCTATAACAAACAGCAGCCCCTTGGTTAACTCGAGGACGCAATAGAAAGGTGACAATGAATGAGAAGAGGGAAAAAGGGGAAGAGACTGGCTTACTCGAGTGCCGCATCTGGAGTATTGGTTTCCACCAAGTTCGGCTCCAACAATTGGCGACATGGCATGCAGAAGATGTACAGTTCATTGTTTCGTAGCTGCATATGTTCGCTAAAGTTGAACGTCCAGCGGAACCGTACTTGGCCGATGCGGTTGATCAAGCGAGCATTCAAACGGCTTTGGAATACTTCTTCATGTGGATCGGCCGAGGGGGCGTCAACCCACGGCTCCAGGGTCGGCAAGAGTCCCATCACATCTGCAATCGACCAGATGGTGAAATTCCCGTCGTGATCGAGCTGGTCGTCGTTCAAGGCGAGGTGACTATAGCCTTCCAAGCCCGCATCGGCCCTGCTGAAAAACGTTGCCCTTATCGACTGGTTTCCAAAGCGTCCGTGGAAGTCCTCTTCCATTATCCATAGTGCGATGGCGCTGACCACATCGTTGATGCGCTCCCTTCTCCAGCGGCCCTTTGATGACTCGTCACTGTTGTTGAAGGAGAAGATAGACCGAAGATTCTCGTCCAGAGCATACAGATATTGCTTCAAGGTGTGATGGACTCTTTCTGGATGGCCGAAATACTCGACCACCGTTATGAAGAGGTTGATGAGGTTGTTCGGGTTCGGTTTGGAATCTGTACTGCTTCGTACAAGCCGAGTGTAGATATACTCTAGGTAAGGGTCGAGTTGGTCGCTGTGTGTGTTTGATCGTTCGGCGGAAGCATCGCCATATTGCAACGCATTCAACAGCCTTTTACGTTGCACTGGGTCGAGATAAAATTCTATCCCAGGAGGTCAGCATCGGTAGCCAGCAGCGCAGGAATCAGCTTGATCAACCTGGACCATCGTGTCCTCGTCCACGTATGCGTAGAGTCCGTCTGAGCTTCTCGGTCATCACTAGATGGCGACTGGTTCAAGCGGAGAGCTCCTTGAGTGTCGCTTTGGCGACAAGATTGTTATACTTCGCTGAAGGAGGATCAACTGCCATAAAATGACAGAATCTGGCACTGGAAGGTGCGAAGAGCTCAAGTACCTCTCTAAGAGGCTCTTCAGCCAGCCTCAGCCTCAGCCTGACCGAATGTGCCTTGCTTACAGGGGTGTGGCCCAGGCAACCAAGCATATGCCAGGGTTCCAGCGTACCGGGCGAATTGAGTCCCGTGTGACATCTTGCGATCCTAGCGATATGCATGAAGATTAGTCTAGTCTGTTGGGTTTGTGGTCAAAGAAGGCGAAGGGGGAGGCAAAGGGGTAGGGTATGTCTGTTTTGAAAGCGAGGTCAAAGAAACAATACCAATAACAACATGTTCTAGCCAGAAACTAGTCACAGCCCCGCAAGCCTCGCCAGCCATCGCCTCCTGATCAGCGAAGTCGAAGCTGTTTGACGTCTCCGTATGCCTAGTAGCAGGATTCGAGCTGGTCAAGGTGGGCGCACTTCTGCCATTAACCAGGATATGACGTTGTGGCGAAGGATGGAAAGAGTGAGGCTGTTGATGTTCAGGACTGCCGTGTTTCCTCCTGGCGGGTGGCTCTTTTCTCTCGTACGCTCGTCCTCGAAAAAGTTGTGTCTGTTGTGATTTCTCCCTCTGGTGCTATACTGCATGATGCTCCTCTTTGTTTAACATGTCTGCCCTACCCATAACAGAAGCCCATGATGCGACGGGCACCAGAGCAAGCAGTCAGGCTGAGGTTCTCACAGCATTGTTGGCGCATATTCTGGAGAATGTTCTACGTCTGGTCAACGTGATGCCTCACTCCCCATACATCCTCTCTCTATTGTCTTTGGATCTGCTTTACAGAAGAGTTTACGGATATCCAGCAGCGTTAGCATACTTCAGATATATCGGTGATCTGTCGGTACGGACCATTCCACCTAATGTTACAGACTTACAATTGATCATATTCTACACTCCAGAAGTCCATCTCTCTGTACATACACTCTGACAGAGGCCATGTCCGTAGAAGGTCTCTCCAGACCGTTCAAGCCGCACCTCCAAAGAAGGACGCCATCGACCTCGGAGATTGGTCTCTGAGGACACATGGCACATCGAATTTTCCCAGAAAAGCTGCAGCCGAGATCTTATCGGCCATACCAGGCTCTCAAGGTTTCTGTCTCTGGCCTGATGGTAATCTTGAAATCATCATGCTCCCGGGGAAACTTGTCAAATGGTACAGCAAGCCTGACATTCCTTGTCTTGCCGGTATAAGAATTCGTTTGTCACAGTTGCAAATCGCTTGGTCAGATACGATCACGACGGAGAGAATGAGATGTCTTTTGACTCGAAAGCTCTGTGCTCAGGTATCTAAGCCTGTGAGCAGATTGAAGAGGCTTAACGAAGTCAAATCTTACCTTTTGGCCAGAGCGAGGCATCGTAAACTTCAAACACAAAACGTCTGGAAATGGAGGTCTCGAAGCCAAATGGCACGACTACGCAAGCAAACAGCACTGCTACAGAAGTCATTGTTGCATCATGTTAGTGTTTCAACTTCCAGGCCGAGCAGAAAGGGTATAGCATTTTCGTCTTCACCTCCTACAACGCGTGACACCCAACCTTTGCAAGAAGAGGCAACAGCAATGCACGAGATCTGGCAGCAGAAACAGTCCGAATATAGAGACGCAACTTCACGGGTCCTCAACTCATCTAGGAATGAGCGACATCACGGACAATGCTCACGAAAGCATACTTCAGCCGCGTGCAGCGAAGCTGACGCCGTCCCAGCTCCAGTTGCACCTCAGTTGAATGGCACAGTGGCGACTAAAAGGTTGGATGCAGGTACACACGAAGCAAATGGTATCGTGCAAGAGCCAACGATGGCTGCCATATCCCGCGCAAGCACGGCCCCAGAAGATGTGCCTCTTCCACCGACACCACCTCCAGCAGAGTCGCCGGAGGACAACATAGAGACCATACCGCCTCCCGCAGCCATATCGACACCGTGGATAACGTCACCGTGCCATGTCAAAATCGGGAACTCAGTCAGCACGGCCGGGGTCAAAGTCCGGCAGGCCAACTCGACGGAGCACTTTGTCACTATATCTACTTATGCCGCCTATGAGGGTTCTTGCAAGAAGCCGCTGCCGTATTGCAAACCGAAGACCAGAAAACTTTTTGGTAGAAAGTCTGGTAAGCCGCTACCTGACTTGGTTGGAGTCTCCGTACAAGAAGCGAGCACGCGAGATGTTGAGGTGAGTGCCCACTCTTCCAGGCAATCGATGGCTTCTCGAACTGATCTGGCCCTAGGTTGGAAAGATATTCGAGAATACAGATATCACATCGGCTGCGCATGATAACCTCGTTTTTCCGAACGAGTTCCCCCAAGATGTGTCATTGGTCGGGCCAGTATCTTCAACGATACGACTTGCAAATAGAGCGGCGCTGGTATGGAGCGAGCGCATCAATTCCGATGGTGTATCTTTGCGGATCCTAGGGGACAATGAGCAAGCTGAATCGTTTGTGGCTGGGACGTACTTTGATCGCCCTCTCCCGGTCAAGCACGGCAAGGAGAAGCACGAGCTATCGGCGAAAGACATCCGTAGGTCTCTCCTCTACCGTCGAAATGGGAGACCTCCTGAGGATGCCGGAAAATTCCGCGGCGCGCCAGTCGTTTTGCGTGACGCAAAAGGCGGCTATAGAGAAGTTATTGGGTTCGAGTGTTTCCATTTCAAACCTATGCACGCGCAGCACGAAGAACTGGGAATGGATTCAAAGGATGTAATACAAAGAATCATCAGTGGCCATGTCACGACCATATACGGCGCGATCAAGTTGACGAGAGAATTTAAACAAAAATGGCAAATTGTGGATGAATAGGTTAAGGGATAACACAAAGCAGGAACAAGGGACCTCCGTAATTCCTCACGGACTGGACAATAACTCACCGAGTCAAACACCCCCTCGATCATGGCCGGTGACGACGACGACCATGGCAACAGGGCATATATACACACATCCTCGTCGACAGAGGTCTGCAGCCGGAAGAGCAGGTACAACATCGGCCAAGAAGTACACAGTCTCAACGTGTGTCTGTCGTTGGAGGTCTGCCCCTGGGAGCCTCTCGTCGTGGTGAACAGTGTTCCAACGTGACTCTGAACCAAAAGTACCGTGACATCGTGGTGGAAAAAGGTCACGTCCCGCAACAGCATCGTGGCAATGTCAAGAAGCTCATGAGACCGCGCCCCTTGCAGAGGAGTCTCGTCGACCTCACAAAGGCAAACATACCTCAAAGGATGGGCACGGTCCTCAGCAATGTCATCGTGGCCTTTTTAGTCTATCTAGAGGGAGGTTTCGGAGATGGTGTCGACCTTGCCGCCGCCGCCGCCGTCGGAGATTTTTGGTCCAGGTGTGAGTTTCGACGCCCCGAGTCTTGGAGCCCCCTGCGGCCATATCGATATGATCCTACGAGTATTGTCCTTATGGTCCTACAGTCAATGGACGAGTGTAGCCAGGTAACTGACAGTGTTATGTGGGAGAGAGAAAGAAAATTGGAGCCATGGAAACCCATGGAAGTCATCATTAAACAACGGAAGCTGCCAAAAGCAGGGTGTGACATTTGACAATACTTGCCTTGTTCTAGAAGAGCTCCTAACGACTCTTTGTAACTTCATCTCTAGGTTCTCATGGTGTCTCTCTCTATCTAAAGCACATTTCAATCTGTTGGCCAGTCCAACGCCAAACGTAATCTCACTCGAGTCTTCCCAACAGCAGAACGCAAGAAGAGATCGGTCACGAAATCGTAGTACAGCCTCGCCCCTATTATACACATCAAAGCACTTTCGAACCGTGTCGATGTTGTGCAGCTTCGAGTCTGAGCAATCGACCCATCTCCGACGAAGCAGGTCTGGCATCCGCAAACCCACCCGTGACTTCCTCGCGCTTCTTGACCCGGCCGAACAAACACGCCCAGAGATCTTCCTTGTCCACCATCTCGCCGCCATTTTTACCCGCGGTAAGCAATCTCGACAGATCGGCTGCCTGGAGCTCCATCGAGTTCGCCGCGTCGATGGCGTTTTCCTGCAACGATGACGACGCGGCTGGCGTCGCCGTGCCAGAACTTGCAGCGGAGGAGGACGCCTTGCTTTTTCCTTTGTCTTTGATCGAGCCCGAGCTCCTACTGTCGGAATTGCTCTTCAAATGTGCCAATCTCCTCGCGACGGAGATGTCGTAGATGCTCTCTTCGACCGTATCGGCGATCAGGTACATCCACACCGTCGTGGGTCTGTGCTGGCCAATTCGATGGACACGCGCAATGGCCTGCAACTCGATGGCCGTGTTGATCAGAGGCTCGCACAAAAACACGTGGCTCGCCACCACGAGGTTCAGACCGGCGGAGTGGGCCTTTGCGTGCAAGAGAAAACACTCGATCGAAGGATCGGCCTTGAACTTTTCGATTCCGTTCTTGATGTCGAAACGCGTAGAAGAGATCTTGTACTCTGAAAACGCCCGGGCAAGGACGTCGATGAACTCGCGATACTGGGAGAAGATGATCGACTTGCAGCCTGGATCGTGCTCGCGGAGCCACAAGAGGTGTCGACACAGGAAATCGATCTTACTACCAAAGCTCGGACCCCGAAGATCGATGTTCTTGATCTGGTTCAGCATGCTAGTACTGATATCTGAGTAAATTGACTGATCGTGAGTTCGGTCCGCACCGGACGGAGAATTGGTGGTCGGAGAGGTCGACGAAGGGGACTCGGCCTGCACTGCGATCTCAGCGGGTTTGTACGCTATGTCGTGAAAACTATTCGGATGTAGCGTGGTCTTGCAGACTGGACAGTTGCGGTGTTGGGCCCACCACGTCAGAACACACTCTTTGCAGAATTGATGACCGCAGGAGGTCATGGTCCCAATCTCGAACTGATCGGTGCAGATTGTGCAGACTCTAGGAGCGGAAGACTTGGTTTCCGTCGACTTCATATGAAGCAAATACCGCAATTTGGCCGACAATGAAACAACCTTCTGCTGATGTTTGGCCTCTTCGACTTCGAATTCGTGGTAATGTCGTTCTGACAGCGGCTTTCCGACGTTTTCTTCTTGGTACGGAGCGACTGTATCAGAGATTTTCTGGAGAGCACGATAATAGTCAAGACGACTGTTCATCGTGTCACGGAATTGGTTGACTTCTTGTTCGAGACTGGTGAGACATTTGGTCTGAGCGGTGTTCAACTGTTGCATATGTTTCAGCACGCTCTCAAGGATAGTTACTTCATAGCCTGCTCGAGTGTGACCGTTACCCTCCAGCCACTGCAACGAAGTAACCGTCTGCCTGACTTCTGCGATCAGCCCGCGCAGACAACCGAATTCAGAAACCTTGACCCTCTTCTGCTCTCGCTCTGCAAGCAAGTTCAGCATTAGTTCGGGGGCCGGGCCTTGACCTTCCTTCGCGGCACGAAGAAATTGCTTCATCTCTTGTTTGATAAGCATGTTCTCTTGCCCGCTGAGAGCTTCGCTGCGGTCCGCAAATAGCGCTCTCAATGCCTCCATGTAAGCATACATTTCATCTTGATGCTTTGTGGAACTTTCATATTCGTCACCCTGCAGCTCGACTCCCTCATCTTCATCGATAAGTGCTTGGCTTAGAAAGTCGGCCATCTTCATCCGCAATTCTCGGAACTGCTGAGCTTGGACATTCATCGCTTCACAGTAAGCATCGATCTTGTCAAAGATTTTGCGGCTCTCGATCCCGCTATATCCATCAGGCTCCTTGAGATCAGGAATTGCCACGGAACCGCTCGAAATACTATTTCTGACGGACGTGATTAACTTGTTGACGTGCCGTAGATTCTCCGCAAGGAGTTCGCCTCGTACGGCTTTGGCTTTTTCATATGCCGCAGTTTCTTGCCTTTCGAGATTTTCAAAAGCTTCACTTCCCTCGGTTTGTAGCGATTTGAGCTGGAAATATGCATTGGCGATGAAGAAGATGGCAATATGTTGTATTTCTAGCGCAGATCGTAGCCGTGCGCGCATGGTGGTCAATCGCGGATTAGCCTCTTCGTTGTCATCATCCTCTGCCTTTATGATTTCAGAGGTCTGTTGTTCTTCTTCAAATTGTTGCCGACATTCCTCCACGATGACACACGATTCCTCATGCACCTCTTTCCATATTTCTAGAGCCTCACCCGTGGTTTTGGCATTTTCCTTCAATTGGCCCCTACGTATCTTGGCCATCAGGCGGAGTCGCTGAGCGGTTCGGACTTGGCCTTCATGTTGATCGATCATCACATCTAGGACCTGCTCAACCGTCCTCAAGGGCCCATTGTGGTTTCTACCCAAAGCGCGACGATTATGACCGCCAACCTCTGGGTGTAGACAAGTCTGCCGTAGACGAGTGAGCCATGTCCTCATCTTCTCAATCATGGCCGGTGAGTCTGGGTCCCAGTCATCATTTTGAGGTGCACCCGTTCGATCAAGGTTGCAATCCTCACAAAGCTCCTGGAAAAGTTGCGAATAGTGTTGTTCTTCAATAGGTGTGAATGGGATTGTAATGGTATGTCTGCTTTGAGGGGGTAACCGCAAGTCTTCCCGCACGAAATCTTTTGTATGCCTCATAGCAATCTCGCCCAGCATATCTTTGAAAAGCGGTCGATGATAGCTGACTAGATAGTCCCACAGCCGAGTCGAGTGAGACCATGGCATACTGCGAAGAAACAGGAGGAGGCCATACAGGTCTCTGTGCCCTTTCCGCAGAGGAGTACCCGTGACTGCCCAAGCATTAATCCGAGGAATCAGGCGAGCAACAGTTGCCGCTGAAGATACACCACTTTCCACCATTTGGGCTTCGTCCAGACAAACTCTCCACCATGAAATCTGTGTCAGGGGGCTTTTGGGAGGTTCATATCGCTGTCGGTTCCGGAGCTTTCGATCAGGCTTCTCTGCAACATAATGAACCTCCTTAGCGATGACATTGTATGTAGTCAAAACCACATCTTGACTTAAAAGCTCATCGATAAGTTTATCACCCGCCTTCCTGTAAGTATTGACACCTTGATAATGGTATACACGCAGAGCGGGAGCATGTTCCTGCAGTTCTTGTTTCCATTGTTCTAGAATCGTAGGAGGAGTGATGATCAGCGTAGAGGAAGACTGTCGCAAACCAAGAGGGTCGCCCAGGACCGGTGGTCTAGGGTGCAGGCCGATCAAAGATATTATCTCCAACGTCTTGCCAAGACCCATCTCATCGGCCAGGATGCCGCCTTTGATAGAACCGAATTGCTTTTGAATCGAGGACAAGTCGGTCGAGAGAATACCCAAAGCATGGCTGACGTAGCATTGAACTCCATCGGAGGTCTTAGTCATCTCAAACCCTTGGGGTAGAAAATTCGCAGGAGAATCAGGCAGCAGCTGGGTTTGTCCGCTCGACCTGAGATCGACGCCTTCTCGGCGTAGAAGCCATCGCACGCCACGACGCTGAAAGGGAAATAACGTGGATTCCAGATATGGCACATTGATCTTTGCAGATGCTTCTTCTGATTTTTCGGGGACGTGAACGCTGTCATAGAATTGACGTGGTTCCCATGACTCGAATGAGGGCGCTGTGATTGTTTTAGACGGCACATAGCGAGCGAGGACATCGCGCAACTTTGGGTCGACTTTGTCCCTCAGCGAGACAGTGTCTTCCCACAGAATCAAAGTCGTCAACTCAACACCATTAGCAGTAGCCTGAATGCTAGAATAAGTACATGCCAGCGGTAAGGCGGCAGAATGTCTGTATTTCACTGCGGAGTCGAGGTGTGTCGAATCCAGCAGGATCTCTCTGTCCGTCGTTGACAATGGCGCTCTCGCTCGCACCTCTTTCAAACCCTTGCTCTTTCCCACGCTCAGACTGATCAGAAGCGGTTCATCCGTGTCCGATATGATTTCGACAGTCACGGGCAAAGGATGGTCGCGGTCACGGAGTCCGGCCTTTTCGAGATCGGTGTCGAGTATCTCCAACGTGGTCTGCGCGATCGGGCTGTATCTCAAAAATGGGGGAGGTAGGGCAAATTTGGTATCGTGGGATATCTTGCGCCTCTTTGGCATATGTTCGTCGCTTTCATCCATCGCGACGATCATGCAACACACCTTGCAATAAGGTGAGTGCACACATGAAGGGGCGCGAGAGGCAAAAAGTGCAGGCAACGAGCCTCATGGAGAATCGATAAGGATGCGGGGAAAATGCGCAGCCTTGTCGGAGGATGACCATGTCACGTGTCAGGCTGTGAAATCGCCTCTTAACGAGACAACGGTCAATCAATCATATTATCAGTGTGTCGTAGTAATGCGACAGCATCCTTCTGGTGCACTGAGCTTCCAGACCCAGTTCGATCTGGTTGACATTAGTCACAAAGAGCCTCACCACATTTTGCCTGCATGAGAGCGTGGAGACGCTATCAACCTTTTTACACAATACAGATCAGACTTGTGTCCGCCATGTCCCACTCCTCCGCCGTGCAGGAGCAGATTCTGCGCCTCAGCACAGTTCCGTGGCTATGGAGTAACGAGATCTTTGGTTTCCATCACCCAGACCTGGACCACTTCGAAAATCTAGATCCAGATCCTAGCGTCGACTTTAAACCAGCTTCATTTGGCTCCGGAAGTATTAACCGTCAACTAAGGCCCGCATCCTGGGAATCAAAGACGTCATGAATTTGACAATGAACCAGCCAGTTTTCCGACAGCAAAAGCATGGTCTGCTGTGATCCTAGAGGAACAAAGATGGCGGTGCAGTATCAACAGATATCCTGTTATGTGCCAAAGCACCATTTGCAGCATTCCAGGCCAGAGACAGGAGAAACAGCGACGCAGGGAAAGTCGTTGTGAAAGTATCCCGCCACGAGGACAAAGCATGAACCTCATTACATGCCCTGCCACAATTAAGCTAGCCTAATGACTCCCGTCTTCTTGACAGCAAGCTAGTGGCCAACATTCCAGCTGTTACATGAGAAATCGCCTCACTCATTGGCTGCAAAGGTTCGGATCTGGAGGTCAATGAACAGTGGAAGAAGATCACGCATGATGAATCCCGCGTACTGATATCCACGCTAGAGAAAGGTGAAAAAGTTATCACTCCACGGAAGCGAGGCGTCAGGTATTCTTGTACTCTATTTAAGCCTGGTTCCCTCGTTCGAACCAGATCTAAACTCACAGAAATTCATACCTCACGTTCTTATCAACACCTTGACCTGTGGAAGCAGCTACATCGCACTCGTGGGGGAAAATGAGTACAGGTGTGCGCAATGCACACCTTGATGTCGAGGGTCCTGTCTTTCCCAGTGGCGAAGACAAAGATACACATCTCGAGACGGACGAGAAGCGAGCCCCAAAGCAAAATATTCCCATTTACAATGAGCTGGAACTAGTTTCTGAGGATGATCTATCATTGGGATCCATCCTCAAAGGAACAGCGGCTAGACCACTGACGAACTTTGAGAAAAAGGCGGCGTTGATCAATGGGTGAGCCGGAATTTTCCTGGCATCATTATCTGTATCTTTACTAACACCTCACCAGCGAGCTCGACAAATTCGGCATGGGAAGATACCAATGGTGTATCTGGTTCCTGTGCGGTTTCGGATACTTCCTTGATCTTGCCTGGGCCCAGGGTGTGGGCTTGATCGCTTCCGCAATTTACCAAGAAATGAATGTCCCTTCCAACCACTGGGGCAACATCTGGTCGTGCGCTAATGCTGGCCTCGCGGTCGGTGCCTTGTCCTGGGGCATACTTGTCGACATTATTGGCAGACGTTGGGCCTTCAACCTTACCTGTCTGATTACGTCGGTCTTCGGTCTTCTCCTCGCTGCGCCGAAGTACAATTACGGGGCCATCTGTGGAATCTACTTTCTGGCTTCCCTCGGGCTAGGTGGCAATATCCCAATCGATGCCACGATCGCCTTGGAATTCCTTCCTCAGAACCGTCGGTCTCTGGTCGCCCTTTTATCCTTGTGGCAGCCTGTTGGAGTCGTCGTTGCTTCCGCGGTCGCCTACGGCACCACCGCCAAGTGGCGATGTGGCAGTACCACCCTTCCTGCTTGCAACACCGTCCCCAGTGGAGCGGCGTGCTGTTCGGTCTCGAGCAACATAGGTTGGCGCTATACCGTGATCGTGTTGGGATGCATGACCCTCTTCATCTTCTTTCTGCGATATTTCATCTTCAAGTTTTACGAGTCGCCCAAGTTTCTCATCAGCAAAGGCAAGGAAGCAGAAGCCATTGAGGTTCTACATAAGATTGCCAAGTTCAACAAAGCCCCACCACCGACTTTGACACTAGAACAATTCCAGGCCATCGATGCTGAAGCCGGGGCGGTTGCCCCTACAGCCACAACCAAGAATGTTCTCAAGAACTTCGTGCACAGCTTGAGGCACCTCAAGGGTTTGTTCAACAACAAGCTGAACATTTTCATCTTCGTCTTACTCGCTATCGCGTACATGGGCGATTATTGGTCCTTCAACTTGGCCGGATCATTCTTGCCCATTATTCTGCTCCGCAACAACGTCTCAAACGGCCAGGACAGCGTAACCGACACCTACAGGCAATACATTTACGTCTATCTTCCTGGAATTTTGGGTGCTGTGCTCGCGCTGTTGACCATCCAACTTCCCCTGGTTGGACGAAAGTGGTCACTTGTGTTCTCGGCGTGCTGCCAAGGCCTGGCTATGGCCATGTACACTCAGGTCAAGACGACAGCTGGCTATGTCGGACTCAATGCCCTGGAATATCTTATGCAGACAGTGAGTATCTCTTGCTCGTCACACCTGTTGATTGAAAAACTTGCTCACCATATCCAGTACTTCAATGCCGTTCTGTATGCATCGGCACCCGAACTGTTCGATACGACTTACCGTGGCAGCGCGACTGGCATGCTATCCTGCCTGGGTCGGCTCGCTGGTATTGTGGCACCGTTTGCTGGTATGTTCCTTTTCTTGGTTTTTCCCCTTGGAGTTGTCATCGACAATACTAACCGGCTTGTCCACCAGGCGAGAAATACGTCGCCAATGCCAGTTCAGGAGTTTTGTGGCTTGGAGCGGGTGGTATTTGGCTCGCCGCCTTTGTCATGGTTTTCTTGCCGGTTGAAATGAGGAACAGACAGATGTTCTAATGAATGATGATGGATGGGTATACATGCTTCAAAACAAGTACGATCTACAGGCGAGGTCAAAGCTGTTCCACCACTGTCCATTGCTCGGTGGTCTTTCTCTATGTTCTCTATTCACATAGCAGTAAAATGCTATGGATGATTGATTTTCCAGATCATCCTTGTAACGAACGACGGCAATGGCCTGTGGTACAAAAAGGAAAATCCTAAAATGTACGGTCAGGAGTCTCGATGTGCCCAGGCGCTATTCGGCGTGTATACACACACACACAACATTAATATCCACACCTCGGCCGAAGGCTTTTTGAAATGACATCCCCCTTGCATTCCTCATTCGAGTATACTCCTTGAGTCGACAACCCTAGAATATAGTTATCTGACAGGCCATGGACCGCGGTGAACTTCCACGGTCAAGGTAGTTCTAGCGATCCTCAAGCCAGACCCCAACCCCTTCTTTTATATTTCCACTACACTCGAAAAGCTTCGGGTCTATTGTTCCCTGAACCCTCAAGTAGTCTTCATGAGTAGAGGCATGTACTACGCCGTAAGAATTCACCGTTTTTTTCCCGAATTCCCGATATTCGACATGTTATGCCTGGGCATGATAAGTGGCGGTGGAGTAAGGGATAAATCATAAGCCGATGGCGAGGCCACGAGAAAAGTAAAGTACGGCAGCTTTCCACTTGGTTCAGATTATAGACGAGAAAAAGAGTACACTGTCCACCTCAAGAGTATGTGCAGAAACCATGCTTGGGGGGTGTACCTCCACGTAGTAGTAGGATCTCATTGTAGCATCTTACGCTAACATTTCACCATCGCGTCGTGACATCAAGGACAATCTTTGCTGTATTACCATCTCTCCTTACCTCGTCTTGCTCACGCCAAGGGTTTTCTCCATCTTTCAACGTGATGCCTTGATGGCCTCTCCACCGTCCGCATCATTGAATGAGGTTTGATTATGCAGCTTACACGTCCGTAGAAAGCGAAGAGGAGTGGTGATGAGCAGTGAGTCGGTGAGTGGCAAATGCAAACTGTACTTCTCTTTGACCGACGAGTCATAAAAGAGGATGTCTCTCGGGCTCTCGGCCCGAAGTTTTGTGTTATAGAGAGTGAGCTGCGTCTGTGTTTCTTTTTTTGTGACGAGGATAGGACCACATCGGTATAGTAGGATCGGGCTTTGGAGATGGAGAGCAAAAGGGCCGGTACGACTGAAGTATTTTGAGTTTTAGTTACGCGCACTTTGTATGAGTCGCTTCCGTACTCGAGAACGCGTCAAGACCAGACTGGTTGGCTGTAAGACGGCACTGGAGCACCACCTAAGTCTCCCGGCTGCTCACTGATCTTCCTCAGGTAAGCGTGGTGTTTGTTTTTGTCTTTCTGCAAGACCTATGGAGTAGAGGGTCAGGCGGAGGAGTCCAGAGGTTCCGATAGGACAAGATAAGGAGCAGATGGGATAGGATGGAACGGGACGTTTTTGTTCGTGTTCGTTCTCGTGTCTCGTCGGTGGTGTTGTTCCGTGTGAATCTTATGCATGTATATTTCGGAAATTCGAGGTATTATCGAGGGCAAGTGTTCCCCAGAAAGGGCTGACAGTTGACCACTATCCTGCAATCATGCATGCATGATTGATCAGATGGAAACGTAATGACGCGAAAATGAAAACAGAAAAGAACAGTCTGAGCCGTGTCTTGGAAGTTAAGGAGGAGGAAGACGACGTTGAGTGACTGCAAGCGCAAGTCGCCACCGCCAATAAGTAGCTAATGCAATGGACTAAAACGCACATGAAGAGAAGGCGCCTTGTCCTGCGCCTGAGGTGGTATTCTGGCACTTGCACACAGTGATTGGAAAATTCAGGGTGCCACTGTAACCATACAGCCAGCTCTCACCCTCGAGTGCCTCAACCACCTACCCAGACTACCTTATACACAACGAGAGCACAAATTTCGGATCCCCAAAATCCCAGTGGTGCCCCCTTACGAGTATTACGGAGTACAAGAGTACGAAATCCCCCCCAGGCTTCCAAAGGTGAAATACCTGGAACCGCACTCCTCAGGATGCTCTTCCGCCAATCAGAGTCTTGGTAAGTCTGATGTATCCACAGTCGGCGGGGCTGAATTATTGGGGCGTCGACATGATTGGCAGATATGATGACTGTATTAGGAAATTTAAGCTCAACAAGCGAGCGAGGGCCAACGACACGCCAGCCGTCACCATATGAGTATCAATCAGGAGGGAGCACAAGTTTTTATTTTTCTCATGCCTAGAAGACAAGATCGTTTTGAAACAAAAAGGCCTCGCTGTGTGACAGAATCGTGACGATATCGAATGATACGCGCGCCGTACTCCGCGATCTGTTAGAGTAATGCACCCTATTGAGGTGGAGGCGCCAGTACATTATCAGTGCGGCTAGCCGTAGCCGATGGCCATCGACATTATTGTTATGGTCCTTGGTCAAACCCAGTTGCCGTGCTTGCCAGTCACGACTGCCCATCCATGACCTAAGCCTACGATCCCAGGGGACTACCTGCCTCCAGAGACAGCATAGAAGGGCAAGAACAGACTTTCCCAACTCGCCTCTTCTCTTCTGACTTCCCTTCTGGCATGTGCTCTATGCTGGTAGATGACTCTGTTGCGAAATTGCTGAAGAATCAAGCAAGGGAAGGATGTACTTGCCTTGATGAGCATTCCTTTGTGTCGATGTCTGATAAGTAAGACTTAGACGAGATGGAGAAACCCATGACTGGGGCGGGCGCTGCATGCATCCCTATCCTCCCTTCCGTCGTTGAACAATCGTTGATGATTACGGGAGCGAGGGCCCCATTGACAATCAGCCTTTAGCAGTAGTCGTAGTGGGTTTCATCCAGGGTTGCTCGTACTAGACGAATCTGTCCTCTAGGCTGAGAGATCATTCCTCGTTCCGGGGGTTTGAGAGGAAGGGTGATTACTGACTCGATTACGAACGATACAAAGGACTCAGATGTGTCACCGTCATGGCTTACCTACCTTTTGAAGATCTTCGCCCTCCCTTTCCTCGACCTTGTCCACGTCGTCGACCACTTCCGAACCCTTCCTTGCCCCCTGGTCACCGTTCCCCGCAACCATGTCACTGTGATGATGGGTCATCAAGATTACCATACACACACAGGTGTTTTGACTTGTCCCCATCAATACCAGGTCCTGCATCGCCAAGCGAGAAGAGACAAGTCAGAGCCATAATTCTTCACCACCCATCTTGATAGTCTGAACACCCAGGCATGGTTATTGGTATGCACACCACACGCACGGCCGTACTTATGCAATGCATGATATCGTAACATTCTTTGGCTTCGAGTAGCGTCTCCTCTTGAGTGTCATAAAGTTTCAACCGGTCGATCCTTTGGCGTCACGGAAGGGAGGACACATGCTGCCCTCTCAATCCATTCCCCCAGCCGCAAGCGACGAAACTTGTAACGGCTCACAATCGTAGCACTTCTCATCAGACTCACTGTTGCCCAGCGATGATAACACATGATACCCACATCTTCGGGTTACAGTCGCAAAAATCACCTCAATCTTGATGATATTTTTCTTTTGTGCTCGCAAGACGCAAGGCTGTATACGTGACTTGAAATGATTAAATGTGTTCAAAGAGAGTCAGCCTTTCAGATAGGCAAGCTGCAGCTTCTAAACTACCATTCTTTGCACACTCGACGCCCTGACGGACGCAGGCATGTCTTTCTTCGTACTCGTATAATCTCAATGGTCAGGGAAAAACACCGAGTGATATCCTGTTCAATATACCCAAACGAGGAAAAATCCCAAGCAACCTCTCTAAACTGAAATGAGTAGTGGATTTTCTTTCCAATCCCGCGAAGAACATTTACCCTCGTAAATGACTAAATCAATCTCGAGAGCTTACAAATGGGCCACTTGGACCCCCTCATGCCTACGCCTACGCCTTTTTACCGAGTGGCGTCCGTTGGACACACCCACCACCGTCACCCTGGACCAGCACGACTAATGGCTAACTCCACGAAGAGTAGAAGTGAATCCACAGCGGATTTATGACAGAGAACCCACCCGCCCGTCTTCCGAACCTCGGATCCCTTTCAGAGGACGGAGGTCAAAGGGTTTGAAAGGGCAACCCCTGCGAGTCTTTCCCGTATGAGTATGGAGTAGAAAATCATTCTGCACAGACACACACGCACACCCGCGTCCATCCCACGTCAGGGTTTTTTGGCCTACTCATGCGGCCGATCATCCTCGATGTGGGAACGTAGACTGCCCTTGGAAGTGGAAGGACCAAGCGATAAAGAGAAAAAGGAGGGGAATTAGACCGAATAAGAGAAACATGATTCATCAAACCCGTGTTGGATTTCATTTTCAGGGTCCGTTGACTGATTGATTACAAGCTCACAACAGTTGGACACATCCCTGTTCGGACGCTATTCGACTGTAAAGTGTGTAATGGTAGGGTGTGAAGAGAAAAGTAACTTTGAATATGTGCAGACCAAGGCCTATTATTTGTTGCCTTGAAGTCCCAAAATGCACGCTGAGACACGTCTGTCCCGACAATTGCATCGTCTCCCCTCCTAAACCTGCTGCATGGCCCAGAAGACCCTCCTTTTTATTTTTTGTCTCCCTCGACGAGTTAGACAAAGGGTAGAGCGTGGAGGAGGGGGAAAAGAAATTCGTTGGGCTTTTGCACGCCCCTCCTCCTCCTCGGGCGAGGGAAGGAAACCAAGTCTAAATACCCTATACCAGTTTTGAAAAACAATCATTGGAAGAAAAAGCAGGAGAGGCAAGCCTAATGATGCCTGAGCCTGCACATTTGACAGTTTGCTGCCGCCGGACCCAACCCAGAAACCATACCTAGGCAATAGATAGCGCCCCGGGGGGAGCTTTTTTGGACTCTGCCGCCCTTTTTGCGCCCGCCCATACTCATTTTACAATTCATTAAATAACATAAAACAACCAAAATACACGAGAGACATGATCCAATCATGTTGGTATTCATGATAACCGTTACTTGTAGGACAAGTTTTAACTCGCAGAGTACTTCCCGTAAGTAAGTTAGTTGGTCGTTTGGTACGGCTCCGACCTTTTTTTTTGGTTTTATTTTACCCCTCGACCCCGGGACTGCCGCTGAGATGTTCGATTTGCTTGATTAGTCGTTGGTTGAGTTCTTTGAGGCTGTCAATTTCCTGGGTCTGCTCCATGACCTTGGACCGGAGTTGCTCTAGTCTTGCCTCGTTACGCATTCGATGGTTTCGTTGTGCTTTGCGGTTTTGCTCCTTTCGTTTCTATAGTTTTGCAGGATCGTTAGCTTGCAGGCTCTTGAACAATAGAGGAGAATTGCAAATGTATGAGTGTAGTAAAATCAACATAAATGAATTAGTGTATTTGGCATGGGGTGGAGCAGGAGAAGAGGTTTATTTGCAAAGCACACGAACCTCAATCTTATTGCGCTCGCATAAGCCACATGTCTTGTGTACGTGGCAATGGCGATCACAGTGCTCGGAGTGACCGGCACCCTCGGACTCGGAATCCGTCTTGCATGTGGGAGGCCCAGTAACGTCCGATGGTGGCAGTATCGTGGAATCCGATACTGAGCTGCCTGTGCTGTCCGTACGTCTGATGTGCGTCAAGGAGGGACCTGCAGCCACCAGGTCCGAGAGCGTCGGGAAGTTGGTGTAGTTTGTAGCAGAGAGAGGCCCCAGGTCGGTCTATAGAGATGATTGAATGTTAGGGAAGTTTTCTCGTGGGGGAGAAGGAAGCAGATTCCATTACCTCGTTGAGATCTTCGATAAAGTCCAAGTTCAACTCGGGGAACCCCATGGGCTGCCAGAAAGGACTCGAGTCGTAGCAGTAGGGGTTGCTTGGTGTCGGTGCGGAAGGATTCGATGTGAGGCTGTTGGTCCGGAAACAAGACATGAAGTTCTTCATGTCAGGGGTTGGAGTGGTACTGTGTCCTACGGTCACACCTTGAGATGTCATGACGGTGGGCTTTAGTTGAGTCTGTTGTTTGAGGTTGTCGAGTTCTGAGCAAGGACTTGTATATGTTCGTGCTGTGACTTGTAGTATTCAACCGTTGAACAATCTGGTAGAGACAGGTGTTGGTAGGTTGAGTGTCTTTGAATGGTATGTGCTAGTCTGGTACAGTTTGGTTTGAGTTCAAGGTAAGTACTTGTTTGAGGGTGAAGTAGACAAAGGAGACTGTTGTCGAGAAGGCCAATGTCCTGTAACTATATCTTCGGTCTACTATGAGGAGCAGGACCATTCCGTATATACTCCTAGCTGCATGCCATATGTCGGCCGATGCTTCTCCGGCCTGTGAGATCATACAGGCCACGCTAAGCGAGACCTGCCGTTCATCTCCAAGCGAGGAAGGATTCGTCTAAACATCAATCGCCGTACAAATTCCGGATGTTACCAGTGACACTAATCAGTCCATCATAGAGACATGGACTCTGAACTGGTTTGGCATGTCCTTGCGGTATTGAGTTGGTTATTACAGACCAAACGATGAAAATCACCGTATGTTGAACGTGGGACTATCTATCCTGAAATAAACGAAACAATACCTGCCTGACAAAGGAATCCAGGGTGTCTGTCAGTGAGGCCAAACCCAAGTCTTTGAGTATGGTGGTTGTAAAGAAGGACCATCGGTTTTCAGGGTATGGGGACCAGGAAATCCTTCCAGTACGTTGCTTTGGTTGTTGGTGACCTGTCTCAACCCTGTTCCGACGACGCCTTAGGGTGCATACATTGCCCATGATCTGTGCTGACTGGGGCCTAGGTGGGCTACTGGCCGACGCGTGTTTGTCCCTTGACATACCCTAGTCGCCTGAAACTCGGGGGCGTCTAGGCCGAGTACCCACACAGCATCTCTAGCTGCGGTATGTACCTGGCGCAACATTCTTTGGTAAGCGACAAAAGTTGTTAGAGGTATGGACGATCCTGTTGTTCAGTATCTCTTCCAGAAAAAATTGGCGTCATCCTGCATACACAAATGGACCCCCCAGTATACGAAGCATAACATCCCCGTCCTTCGTCCGGTTTAGGAAATAGAGGGGGCCATTAGGAGCGTGGAATCCTCGCTCCTTGGATAGTGCCATACAATTTCGAACAAGTCGCGGCATCAAATCATGCAAAATCATGGACGCCCCCGTTATGTGACCCTGCATGTTGCAACCTATCGCAATGAGTTTCCCAGGCTTACAAGTACGGTGACCCTGCGCCAGGAAAAGACAAGGAGCCACAAGGATGACTTCTTGTCGTTGTCGATGTGTTTCTGCAAAAGGCGAGAGAATGCCAGAACCCAGAAATGCGAAAAAGGGGATCACGGTGGCGATCTTACCTATCTCGCATCCTTCGGGCTCTCCTCCTCATACCCTCCCTCGGATTGAATATGCCGAGGATGATGGGTATTGTTGCGAGGTGCCCTACCCGGCCATGATTATCAATGTATTCACGAGAATCAACTCTGGTCAAGCACGTCCAGGAGGAAGGAAACATTCGAGTATGATTACTGACTTATCCTTAGGCGTTCGTCACCCTTGACTCGAGATTAGAATAGCATCCCGATGTGAAACGAATTGTATCCTTTTACACGAGGCTTTTTCTTCTTCGCCACATGCAACTATGCCACTCATGAACAGAATATTTGACAAATGTAAGCTGGGTCCTCCGTACATGGTAACAAAAGAACTTCCGATGACGGCTCATCCACAATCTTCGATATCGGCGTTAGCACGGCACCCCCCAACGCACTCGGGACTTCAACCATGCATATGCACCTAGTAGAATGCCGTCGTCTGTCACATTTGCGGGGCATCCCTGTTGCTGGTTGTTAGCCGAGAGCTACGACTCTGAATAAGCTGTTTTGTTTCGATAACTAAGCCCGCTGAGTTTGAGCAATGCCAATAGTGCCCTCGGAGAGGTCCACGAGGCGAATAAGCTTGTGGCTGGATGGGACGCGGAGTGTGGCTCTAGCCTATAATGAGGGTTTAAGGGCGGTAATGTAGAAAAACACAGCCAATAGCCATTGATGGTTTCATGTAAAAGCCGGTATCAATTGTTGTACATTGTCCAATCCGATATTCCATGCCGCGGATTGGCATAACATTCTACCTCGAGGGTCTTGATGAAAATGTCACGGGAAAAGCTACGCAAGCAGAACCTTTCGATATCCATGCTTGCTGATACTGTCAATCCATATCCATGTCGCTTGCATCGTTGTCTTCGCCCTCTGCACCAACGGAGTCGTCGTCCTCCATGTCTTCGTCGCTCCGTTCCGCTAGTAAATCCTGAGTGATCTCATCGTTGAGGTCTTGGCCTGTCTGAACGATTGGGGCACCTCTCCTGGAGCGAGACAACAGTGATTGGGACGGTGACTTGACCTTTCGGCTCTTCTTTCGTGATCCATTGGTGAGAGCTGGTGCTAGAGGTTCCTGAACCACAGTCTCAGTGAACTGGGGACGATACATCCGAGCATGGTAGACTTCGACGTCTCTATCGCCGTCCCAAACCTCGAGCCTCCGGCTAGTTCGCTTCATGATTTTCATCCACATCTCGACTTCTTCGCCATGATCATCTGGTTCATAGCCGACAGGGATACCTCCTTGGTCAGCGTCGAGGGGCTCTCCAGCCCATCGGCGCCCGAGCAAGCCAGCAAAGCCGACTCCTTCATGCTCTTCAGCTTCTTCTTCGCTATCATAGGTTTTGGGAAGCTCATGGACACGTCTGGCAGCCGTCAACAACCACTTCCCACCCTCTCTCAACTGTCGAGATGTTTTTAGCGCCTCCTTTCGTCGTCTTCTCAATGCCCATTCAACACGACGTTGGCGATGCTCCTCGAGTTCACGTTGGTATCCCGTCCGAGCCCTGGACTTGGGTATAGTGCTGGCTCCAGGCTCACCAGGTCGAATGGCAAGTACGTCAATTTCCTTTCTGTTTCGATGGGAGCCGTACTGGGGGATCGCATTGTGATTGCCAGCTCCAGTTTGCAAGGGTTGTGGGGTTCCGCGGAATCGGTCGACTGTGTCTGGAGTACCTCCGTCCCGTGCTTTGGCTATGCTCTTCCGACCGTCGGTCGGCTTGCCACCAGCACCACCCCCTCTGACCCGTGACGGTGTGTTTTTGCCTTTGACTCGCTTGTATCGTCCTCGACCCGGATGTGGGTCAAAGACTTCCCAGTCGTCGTCGAGGCTGTCAGCCTGTCCACCCAGTACGCTACTCATCAAATGCCCATGATGGGCTTCCGGGGTAGCGACGCCGGGACTTGCACGTGAGTCTGCGTCTGACACCAGAGAATCGTCGTCGCCATAGAGAGCTGACCGTTTCAATCGCTTCACGGCCTTGTGATCGGGATTGCCAGGGTCCACCATGGTGAGAGGCGGCTCGTTCGCCACTTCCAGCATTATTCGTCTCCTCTCTTCCCTCATTTTGTCTCCAAAGGCAATCTCCTCTTCAGGATCCTCATTTTCTTTGTCGCCTTCTTCCGGAGTAATCGTGACCAAGTCAGGTACCAATAGAGGTACTGTGTCAGGATCAGCAGGGTCTTCGCCCTCTTTATATTGACCCGGACCATAGGGATTATTCAAGGCGTCCGCTTTTGTGAAATTGGACTCGAGATACCACCACATGAGCCACAAAAATGCCTGGGCTCTGCTTTCGGAGCTTATGGTGTGTCGCATGGCTAAATCGAAGAAGTCGACTTTATCAGTGAAATGAGATTCACTGATGGTGGGCGCAGACTGTGAGAGGACAAAAATGAGGTTGACAGGGTTTGTGCGAGGGATCGGTCTAGCTTTAAGTGCTTCGAGAGTCCGAGGTTCTTCGGTATCTTCGCTGGCGCCTTTCAGGATACTTTTGAGTCGTGGTGCATCCTGGAGTGATTTGTAATCTCTTTGACTCTTGTAAGCTTGCAAAGACGGAATGGAGTGGTAAGTCCTCAGCTGAGCTCTCATCTCAGGAAAGAAGTTCAATGTGGTGTTCATTCGGCCAACATTCACCAACAGACATATCATGGCCATGTTCTGCGACGCCTGGCGATCGACTTGTAGTCGGTCTTTGAGGATCTTGCTCGTCTTGGAACTTCGCGCCATGCAGTCAACATAGATGTCCAGAAAGGTGCAGCCAGGTTTGCTATCACTCAATCTGGTAAAGACTGGTTTTGTGTCGGCAGTAACGCGCGTCAAGAACTGGTATTGGATTTCCTTGCGGTATAATGGCTCGCCATCGGGTTTCTTGATGTGCCTGATCTTACTGCCAGAGTAGACCGACCCAACGGTGCCGTTCGCTTGCCTTCTGGTTCCGACAGCAGTGCCTACGGTCCTGGCTTCTGAGTCTGGAGATGCCTCAGACTTTTTGGTCCTTGAGTGGGACGCAGACACGACGCTTCCTTCATCTTCTGTCCCATCTTGAAACTGCTCTTGTATCCAGGCCGCAGACTTTCGAGGTCTTGCTTTCCTGCCGGTAGATACTCGCGAACGGGCAGTGCGCCGCACACTTGTCGGCGTTGTGTTAGAGTGGCCGTCTTCTTCCTGCTGTGACTGGTCCTGTTCAAGCTCAGTGATGTCTGGCTTTGTTTCTTCCGTTTGATCGTCGATGGTATCGGCGTCCGAAGGCGCTGCAGAGGGTTCACGAGAAGTCATCGTATTGTACAGACTGAGAAGATTTGAGAATTATGTGATGGACATTTTATGTCCGGGGTGTCATTAGGATGAGATATCGCAAAAGAAACAATGGTCGCAAGAAAGGAGGATGATGAATGCAGGTGATTGATTTCACTTGTCGCTCTCCCTCAATGCGACTTTCATCTCCTGCCAAAAACGCGCCAAGTAGCTCTCGGCTAAGCTGCCTACTATGCCGACTACCACTTAACGATGTCATACTAGACGCGTCACAGACGGTGTGGTGCTGGGTGGGTGACACAGATGAAGCTGCGGTCAAGATCTTGAGAGGGTTTACCAGAGCAAGATCGCTCCAAAGCTGATACATTTTTGATAGTAAACGCAGGTAGGTCGGTATTTTTGCGGCTGAGGACGCAGGGAGCCTGATCCGAAGGACCTCACCGCTTCGCCGCTACGAATCTGAATTTCACTCCGGAACCCAACTTGTCGTGAAAACAAGTCACGACCCCTGGACAAGTACTTCTGATCATGACGAACTGGATCTTGGGCGAGAAATTCCGCGAGCGTTATCCTCATTTGAGCGGCGTCAGGGCACTATGGGAGACGAAATGGAAACTCCCCTGCTCACTGGGTGTTTATCCATTCCACGATGGCAAGCTAGAAGACTTTGCACCGATCTTCGAGATGCTCATCCGTGACAACGTGAATGATGCCTACTCTGACAAATATACCGAGTATTTCCTGCCAACGGCTGAGAAATTGACCGATTCTGCCCTCTCAGCCCAGGCTTCAGATCGTGCCAAAGCGGCCGAGCTCTACAAGCGTGCGGCATGCGTCTATCGCATATCTCGCTTTCCTTCTCTCGACGCAGGACCAGGTCTGAAAAGGAAGATTTTCGAAATGCAGAAGCAGGTATATCTCCGCGGCGCAAGTTTGTGGGATGCTCCCATACAAGAGGTCAAGATTCCACACACCGCAGCTGAGGGCCAGGACGGTAAAGAGATTCCACTCTTCGTCCGACTGCCTTCGGGCGCGAGCAGTGACAAGAAGTGTCCAATGGTACTGCTCATCACGGGGCTGGATGGCCATCGACCTGACAATACAGGGGTAAGCCTTAATTTACGTGTTCCTCTCTGAGGGGCCATGAACTGACCAACAGCCGCCCACAGCGGACAGACGAATTCATTTCTCGAGGGTGGGGTTGCGTCATTGCCGAGATCCCGGGCACGGCGGACTGTCCAGCAGATCGTCGAGATCCCAAGTCCCCGGATCGATTGTTCACATCCATCCTCGATTGGATGGACAAGCAGCCGCAATTGAACATGACCAAATGTATTGCCTGGGGTCTTTCAGCCGGAGGCTACTACGCCATCAGGGTCGCGCATACCCACCACTCACGTCTGGCAGGGAGCATCGGACAAGGAGCTGGGACACATTTATTCCTGTCTCGAGAGTGGCTTACACATGTCGACGACCACGAATATCCCTTCATCCTAAGTGAAGCATATGTCTCCAAGTACGGCTACAAAGACTGGGAAGAACTTCTCGAGAAGGCGCAAAAGGAATATAGTCTCGTTGAAAGTGGGCTCCTCAACGGACCATGTTGCAGACTTCTCCTCGTCAACGGCACATGGGACGGGTTGATGCCGATTGAAGATTCCATGCTTCTCATGAACTACGGCCGGCCCAAAGAGGCCAGATTTTATGAGAAGATGTTACACATGGGTTACCCTCCCGCCAACGAATGCATTTGGCCCTGGATGGAATCTGTCATGGGCACTAGCAGCACTTCTGTCTAGGTTGATACTAGTCTGAGAATTCCCTCACTTCCAGGTCCTTCTCATGAGAAACACCTAATTACACGTTACTCATACCACAAACATTCGTATACCGAGTAAGGACCATGCAACCTGTGCTGTTACTGCCTGTCTGCCTCAAAATCCCTCCTCTGTTATCTTTCGCCACATCCTCGGAATAAACACCTTGGCCTCGGCGATGTGCTTGACCGTCCAGGGTGTCACGTTCGCGGCTTCTGCCTCTTTCCCATCGAAAGCGTGCACGTTGTCAACCTCGTGAATGGCAAGGTACCTCGGCGGGTCCCCTTGGGTGACGGGTGTTCTGGGCCCGACAATGTACCTCAACGACCTGCGATACCCAGGCAACTTGCTCAACAGTTCCAAATGCTCCTTGCGGTACCATTGATCAAAGTCCTCTTCGTTTTCAGCCGTGGGCTCCATCTCCACGGTGAGTAGATATGGTGGAGCAGCTGTTTGTTTGACAGTTAGCCCCAACACGACAATAAGCGACAAGGACAAAGATACGAATGACCTAGACTCCTGGTCACGATGGTCACGGGGCGAAGAGACCGGGCGGGAGACGGGACTCACAATCACCAATCTTGTTCGGGTCGTATTCTTGAATGAGCTTGTAATTCCGACAGTCAAAGTCGCCTATCTCAACAGTGGGTTTGTGGCCGGGCCACATGCCGCTCGAATGCCGGACGCCCTCGAGGTAGTTTTTGGTCTTGAGCGGTTCTTCAAAGTCGGTCTGGTACAGAGCCAGGAAGGGTCGCGGGTGGTGGTCCTTGGAGGCGGCGGCAAAGTCGTGAGTTTCTTGGTAGAATGCCGCTCTCTTGGTCGCCTGACTATTGACCAGGTCTGGTAACTATAAAATGGTAAACACAATACTATATCAGACCTAGAACTTGCAGGAGGAGGGGGGGAAAGCAACAAAAGGGTAAAGATTTCTTACATGTTCTTCCTTGTACCATTTGGCCCAGAGTTGGTCGTCGACCCCGGACGAAGGTTGTGGTCGAGAGTTGACCGAGAGAAAGTATTGACAAGGCATCTTTACTTTACTTAGTATCTAGGTATCTAGGAGGTAGGTAGGTAGGTAGGTAACGAGTGAGTCTTGTGATAAGGGAACGAACTTCAACAAAGAAGAGAGTGTCAGGAAATCCGAATCTTATAAGTCTTTTTTTACTTTGCCTTATAGTTTATACCTTTATTTACTCCCTCGGCTGTGGTTCCTTTGCTTAAATTCGTAACGATCCTCGAGTCCTTTTATCTCCGGTACATGTACCTCTAGTAATATGCAATACCCGTATCCTCTTACTAATGTATGCGTATCATTTTCCCCGCATCATCGCGAATCTCGTCCCAAGATTTCACTTCGCGAGTGACCTGTACAGGTACTTTGCTCGTAACTAGGCCTAAGTTGAAAAAGAAAAGTAGAAAGAGGTTACTCAAAACTGGGGTTTTTACCTCGGGGCATCAAACATGATCCATCTCTCCCGTCCTCCCCTCCGTGCGGAGAAGGGGGAATCTGTGTTAGGTTCTTTTTGTATGAAGGAAGACTTGAAGTGGGGTCCTTGCTAAGGTATTCAAAGTGCACAAGTCAGTTTTCAACAAAGCGAATCGCTCGATGGGCTTGAAGTACAGTAAAAAGGAAGCTCATCCTCATACGATACCAAAGTACCCCAAAATGTCCCCGTTGGGTTGGCCTTTTTGGCCGTACGGAACACGAGAAGGAAATATCCCCTACTACTATTGTACCTACTACAAATAGAATACCGTACTTATTGTACCCACAATACAACCCACCCCTCTTCCTCGGACCCGCCTCCAATAACCTAGGCCACTCCTTGTGCTTACAAAGACACACATACACGGCATCTAGAAACCCACGGTACTCGTAGACATCGTGAAAGGAATTACTACCAAACTACTGTAGATATCGTCGGTTTCTCCTGCTTGATAAAGTGGGACTCCTGGCTGACAGCGACCTCGCGCGAGCCTTCATTACGAGGCACCCCAACACACGACTGTGTACACCAACACAACCATCTAAAATAGGTTCACCTCCATCCGGCACAATGCTCGAAGCACAAGTCCACCACCCGCTCCGGGTGACCCTACGTGACGACGCGGCCATCCCCACGCCCAAGGCCAACGAGGTCCTCACCAAAGTGCACGTATCCGGATCCAACCCCAAGGACTGGAAACGGCCGATGGTCAACCCAGAGTTCAACGGCACCAACCAGGGTGACGACATTGCAGGAGTGGTCGAAGCGGTAGGCTCTGCCGTCACACAATTCCGACCTGGCGACCGCGTCGCTGGATTCCATCAGATGCAGACCCCCGGAGGCTCCTATGCTGAATACGCCATATCGCCCGAACACACCACCTTCCACATCCCCGCGAGCGTGAGCTTCGAGGAGGCCGCCGCGATCCCACTGGCCGCCATGACGGCCGCCGTCGGCCTGTTCCTCCGGCTTGGCCTCCCGGAGCCTTGGGTCGCGAGTGCCCATCCGGATTGCTTACCAAAAGGTGGGATCGTGGTCTACGGCGCCGCGGGAGCCGTGGGAGCGTATGCCGTCCAGCTTGCGAGGCGGGCGGGGATTCATCCCATCATCGCCGTGGCAGGGCGTGGGATCCCGTTTGTCCAAGGCCTGTTGGATTCGAGCAAGGGTGATGTCGTGGTAGATTACCGCAAGGGGAATGAAGCCGTGGTGGAGGGACTACGGGGCGCAGTACCGGCCGGTAAACAGCTGGAATTTGCTTTCGACGCGGTGAGTGAGGCGGCGAAATCTTCCGCGGAGAATATCTGCAAGGTGCTCGCGCCCAACGGCCATATTACGACGGTGTTGCCCATGAAAGATGATCCTTCGATCCCGGCGTCGGTGGATATGAGCCTTACCTTGGTGGGGACTGTGTTCAACCAGGACAAGGATTTTGGGTATGCTTGGTTCCGACTTTTCGAGCAAGGTTTGAAGGACGGGTGGCTCAAGGCGCATCCTTACGAGGTCATGCCGGGTGGCTTGAATGGAATCCAGCAAGCTTTGAGTAATTTGAAGGAGGGCAAGGCCAGCGCAACGAAATATGTCTTCCGAATCGCAGAGACAGAGAGGTTGAGTAAGTAGGGGCCCAGTGCCGTTGGAGGGCAATGTACAAGAGAATACTTGAAGAGACGTACTGATTGTGTCGAACATTTGTAAATCACCCGGCGCGAAAAGTCTCATTGTTAAGGTATTTGGCTCACGGACTGGTATTTGCCGTCAAGCGCACGACCTTTTCAGGGTTGAGGAGACACAAGGGATCTAGTGCGACCTTGAGTCTTCGCATCGTATCGACGCTGTCTTCGCCCAGCTCGTCGACGAGTCTGTCGCGCTTTTCGAGACCGATTCCATGTTCACCGGTGATAGTGCCGTCCATTTCGATTCCTAGTCTTTCCACCTCCAGTACAACCTTCTCAGCCTTCTCTTTTTCGGCTTCGTTGTAGAAGATGGCGGCGTGGACGTTTCCTTTGATGTAGACAATTAGCATAGGACCAATCTTCACTTGATTCCTTTTGAATACTTACCGTCGCCAACATGACCACAACATGCTCCGACTAGTCCACTCTCTTGGATCCTTCGATTCGTAATGTCGATGATATCAGCCAGCCTCGAAATCGGAACCGCATTGTCTGTGCCCACAAACTTGTCGTCGGGGTTTTTCTTCATCGTCATCAAGCTCCATAACATGGTCTTTCGTGCGTGCCAGAACGCATCAGACTCGGCCTCGTCCTTGCCGAATTGGAAACTGAGACACCTTGCTTCCTTTGCCAGTGCACGGACCTGTTGGATCTGTTCACGTACGACAGTCTCGCTCCCAGAGAACTTCAGAAACAGCGAAGGTGCCTCTGCCAAATCTTTTTCGCAGTAACCGGAATTGTTGATGGTCTTCATCGACAGCCCGTCGAGCAGTTCAAGAGCGCCCACGGGCAGACCCTTCTGGACGATCTTGACGGCAGCCTCCACGGCGTCCTGATTAGACGGGAACGCAGCGACCGCCACCCTGACGTTCTCGGGCTTGTTCGTCAATTTCAAAGTAGCCTCCGTAACTAGCCCGAGGGTGCCTTCTGAGCCGACAAACAATCTCGTAAGATCGTAACCAGCTGATGACTTCTTCGGTCGCCTTCTTGTTTTTATCACCGTACCATCGGCCAGGACCACTGTCAGGCCTATCACCCAGTCTTTGACCGTACCATAGCGATACGCAGACGTGCCGGAGCAGCCCTGGGAGATCATACCGCCGATCTGCGCACCTGGGCCTGGGTCCGGAGGGAAGAATAGGCCAGCTTTGCCGAGGATCTCGTTCAATTCGACGTATCCCACACCTGGCTGGACAACGACATCTAGGTCCTTGTCGTGGACTTCAATGACCTTGTTCATGCGTCGAAAGTCGATGCAAACCTCGCCGTGAATTGCAGCGAGTGTGGATTCGAGACTTGTCCCACCCCCAAAACCGATAATGGGAATACGTCGACGATGACAGATCTTCACAATCTGACTGACATCCTCCGTTGTCGTTGGATATACGATGAGGCATGGTCGATCAAGCTCACCGTGAGGAGCAGGTGACCAATCCGTGCTAGATCGTGATATACGAGCATGAAGATTCTCGTCAATGCCGTCCTCGCCCAGGAGAGCGACAAAGTCTGTCTTGGCACCTTGGATATTCTTGTCGGTTAGGTCGTATGACGGGGCAGGGAGGGAAGCCAGCGGTGTTGTAGACGTCGTGCTCTTTGGTGCTGGACCCAGCAATGACAGGCCGTCGGAATAGTACAAGACAGTCAAAACTGCTCCAGTCCCGACGAAGACTCCTCCGAGGAAATGATCAGATCCGTCTGAGGCCTTCTGCTTGGGTCTGGACGCTTCAGATGTCTGTGATACTAGACGTTTGTAGTAGGAGTGTGGTTGACTTTGCAGGGGAGCTGGCCGTCTCAATTGACGTTGAGCGAGAAACCTGAAGACTCTGAGTCGAGTCATAGCTTCGGGACAGATCGTTGTTGAGAATCGTACTCAGAAGAAGCTTCCTAGCCCTCCTCAAGCAAGCTGTTTGTGCTGCTATGACAAGTGTAGAGAATGTAGAGCTGTTCAAATATCGGTGAACTCGATAGGAAGTGGCCTCGGGAGTACAATTTTCCGTATTAGTTGTGATCTGTGAGCAGCGTCAGCTTAAGCTTACGTCCTTAGCCAGAGTTGCTCAAACCCCGCCCATAGCCTCTACTTAACAGGGGCCGCTTACCTGGGTCGGCTACCCTTACCGTAGCTAAGCGTTTGTCTAAGTGCAGCCAAAAACTTGCTTAGGCTCCTTGTTTACCTAAATGCCGATCCTCAGTGGTCCGCTCAGCGCACTTTAAGCCCCGACTCTCTCCAACGTATCCCACAATACAGGCTAAAAGTACCCCCAGTAATGCCTACTGATGCTGGATTAGATTCCTAATCATCTGAACCACTCACCCAAGTCATTTCTCGCCACGAACACATTGAATCCAAACAATATGAGTGCACAGAACGATGTTTCCCGAGGCCTTCAATGCGCTATCGATGCCATCGATGCAGCCAACAACGACTTGCGCGGTCTGAACAAAAGTATTCATGAGCATCCGGAGACAGCTTATCAAGAGTTCTTTGCTGTGGACACAATTTCTTCTTTCCTTCAAGACAAGGGTTTCAAGGTCAACAAGGGTACTTACGACCTAGAAACCTCCTTCACAGCGGAAGTCGGCTCCGGCGATCCCCTGGTCATCATCTGTGTCGAATATGATGCGCTTCCCAACATCGGTCATGCTTGTGGCCATAATTTGATCATGACATCCTCGATCGCTGCATTCCTCGGGGCCGTGAAAGCCTTGCAGACCTGCGGTTTTCCTGGACGGATACGCCTCCTGGGCACCCCTGCTGAGGAAGGAGGTGGAGGTAAAGCGAAGCTGATAGAGGCCGGAGCCTTCAAAGAGGGCGTTGCGGCTGCTATCATGGCCCATCCTTTTGCAGGTCATCAGTTCAAGTCTGAATATACTGGCCTTGCAGGGTTGAAATTGATTGCGTCGCACAAATTCCGCGTCGAATTTCGAGGTAAGGCTGCACATGCCGCTGGAGAACCTTGGAACGGCCTGAATGCCTTGGACGCGGCCGTCGCTGCCTATAATGGCGTGTCCATGCTACGTCAACAGATGAAACCCGACGAACGAGTTCACGGAGTCATTGAAGACGGCGGTACCGTGCCCAATGTGATAACGGCGTATACGAGGATGAACTGGTACGTTCGAGGTCCTACAGTGAAACGCGCAGATGTTCTCCTGGAGAGGGTACAGAATTGCTGCAAAGCAGCTGCTCTTGCCGCTGGATGTGAGGTCAATTTCCTACCGTATGTATCTCTCTCTCTACCCTCTCTCCCTTGTAGCCACTAAACAAATCTCGCAGCTCTCCAACCTACAAAGACCTAAGGGTGAACTTGCCGTTGTGCCAACAGTATGCAGATGACATGGATCGTCTTGGTGAGAAAATCCTTGTCAAGTATGATGAATCATACACAGCCTCGACTGATATGGGCAAGACACCTCACTCTCACAATCTTCTGTACCATGAGAAGCTGACTGCTGGCAGGAAACGTCTCATACGAAGTCCCAAGTTTCCATGGAGCCTTTCCGATACCTACTAAACCGGGTGTTTCCCAACATCATCCCCAATTTGCGGCACATGCTGGAACGGATGAAGCCCACAAAGCCGCTATTAAATGTGGAAAGGGTCTGGCAATGCTAGCCATCCGTGTTTTGACAGACCCAAAATTGGTGCAAGAAGCAAGAAAAGATTTTGAGCTGATGCCCCAAGAGTAATACGGTAACCTTGCTTGGAAAGATCGAAGGTAGTGTATCTAGGGTCCTTAGCTATGACTCTTTTGTTGGACCCGGGCAATGACAACGCTATTGATACATGATAGTATGGTACATTGAAATATTGATACATGGTCGTCAGTCATCATGAAAAACCAAATTCCCTTTGACAGCATCTAGGACAAAAATCAGCTTGAATCACAAGATCTATGTCGATCGGTTGTGTTGGAGGTCTCCGTATGCGTATGGTGGGAAACGAAATGTTTAAACACAAAGACAGTCGGGAATCAGGATGAACAGTCAAACTCACCATCGTTTATTGGCCACGACATTGTTCTCATTTGGATGGCAGGAGACCCAATGCTTGGAGCGCTGCACCTTGATCTTTGGACCACAAGGCTTCAATCCGATCTTTGGCCGTTGGATCCCGGATGACACGTTCTCGAAGGGTTCGTCGCAAGGTTCTCTTGGAGCAGTTGAGGTTGTTCTTCTTGATGATGGCATCCAGGTCGAGACCTTTGATGACAGGCTTCCCTTTCAGAGCCGCCCTTCTCCGGTTGACGTTGACGATCTTACCATCGCCTTTGACAGTGGTGTTCTTGGGAAGATCGGGATGGTCTGTAGCATTGGTGCGAGTAGGACCCTGTCGAGTCTCCTTGGTTTGAGACCGGGTGTGCTTAGCCGGGTGTGTGGCGTATTGTCGTGTCATATTGTTTTCGTTCCGTCTGATGTGAAATTGATGCGACCTTCTGGATGTATGTGTCGAGACCTCCAGGTTTCTTGGGCTTCGTCCCATCTCTACCAGGAGTTATATACCTTTGGAATGCTTCTGACCCTGCTAGAGAATTGTTGATAAATGATGTCATTCTAGGTCTCTTAGCGACCTCCCCTGCGCGACGCCCCCCCTGCTAGCAAGTGACGCGGATCCTACACCTGTACACGTGTGAAAACACATCATTGTCGAAGACGATCAAACAATTCAGGGACCTCAGCGACTTCTTTCAAGACCTTGAGCGACATCTCCCCTGGCACATTGTCCGGTCAACAGCCTCGTTAGCCCCCTACCCTAATGACGTCGCCGACCAGGAGGTCGCCAGGCTTCAATGGCTGGACGTTTACATCGGCGATGATGCCTTGCCAAAATCCTGATTCTCACATCTTCCTGCGATAGTCATTCTCAAAAGAACAAGAATGACATGAGTATCTGATGGACAGTACAAGTCCGAGGAGCCTGAATGAAGCTACGTGTCAAGGGGAACAACTATCGCCTGGTTCGCTTAGAATGGCGTTGATCACTACCCTGGCACGTCCCCGGCCGACCTCATAACAGCGCAGTCATTATCAGCTTTCAAGTGACGACGAGGAATGCCATTAACAGATGGAGCTAGATCGTTGATTGAAATGGGGGCACCCAATGGTTGATGTGCCCTGTACGTACTCTGTACGTTGTGAGTCATGCATGTTGGTTTGGCCTTGTACTACCGGGCCGAACCATTCTTGAGGACACCATCGAAATCCCGGCTACGATTTGGATATGCACCAGCGCAATTGAATTAATGGACGGCCCGAGATGTTTTATCATGCGGACCCTGAGTGGGCTGATGGTGCTTCAAGTACGAATACCTAAACTCCCTCCATCAAGCACTCATTCTCCCACGAGTCCTCGTACGGTCATTCCTAATGCTGAGAGCTTGGTTCAAAAATGTCAATCGCTCCGTGTTGCTTCCAAGGATTCACGTGGGATGGGACCCCTCGAGGGCGAATCGAGAGACTCGCAGACAACGACACATATGTCACTGGCGACAATCCTGTCGCGGCGATACTCATCGTCCACGACCTCTTGGGCTGGACTTTTCCCAATGTGAGGCTCTTGGCCGACCACTACGCCCATGAAGCGGACGTCACGGTCTTTGTGCCGGACTTCTTCAATGGCGAAGTGATGGACTTTGACACGGTCAACAAAGAGCAATGGCACAAGTTGGACATGCAGGGTTTCATGACGAGGCACGGTCGTCAAGCTCGTGAGGCGGAGATTTTCGAGTGTGCTCGAACCCTTCGTTCGCGCTACAAGAAATTAGGGGCCATCGGCTTCTGCTACGGAGGGTGGGCCGTTCATCGGCTGGGTGCGAAGCAACATCAGCCACCCCTGGTGGACTGCATCACGGCCGGACACCCTAGCTTGTTGACCAAACAGGACATTGACGCGGTGGCCGTGCCCGTCCAGATTCTGGCTCCTGAACACGATCCTGTCTACACTCCGGAGCTGAAGATGCACAGTTTTGTGACGATGCAGAAGAGCGGAGTAGCATTTGACTATCAACACTTCCCCGGAGTTGGCCACGCTTGTCTTGTCCGTGGAGATCCGGAGAAGCCGGGAGAATGTGATGCTATGGTCAGAGGGAAGAATGCTGCTGTTTCTTGGTTCCGACAATTCTTGCATGGGGCATGATGATGTTTCATGCACTGTGCAGTTGCACGAGTTGTCGCCGTCCCGGCTGGAAGTCTTGTTACGTGTGATGATGAGTAGTGAATATCAAATGATAAAAAAACCAGGTTGATGATCTGTGCATCCTCCGAGTAGTCGACTTGGGTTCAGTCACAATGTACTCAAACCAGCGTCCACTGGGATGACGGCACCACTTATATGTCTACTCATATCCGATATCAAAAAAACAATCACATCAGCAATCTCCTTGGGCATAGCGGCGTGTACAATGCCATAATCGAAAATCGGTTTCGCCTTGGCCTGTGCTTGAAGATCCATGGTCGAAGGGTCAACCGTATTGAAGATGTTCGTATGTACACCTGTAAACCAATGTCATAGGACAGGTATCAGTTAGAAAGGGCCCCTTGTATCGTGAAATCTGGATCGACAATCAAAAGGTACATTACCTCCTGGGCACACTGCGTTGCATCGAATCTTGTCATCCATGAACCTGAAGGCGATATTCTTGGTCATTCCAACCTGGAAAAATCATCATCTCACATTGTTAGCACAGCATTCCTCATTGACCCATTCGGACCCTTCACCCTCCCTCCTTCGAAGCTCACACCGATCCACTTTTTTTTATGGTGTGCCGACTCACCACTGCATGTTTGGACGCGGTGTATGCGATGCCCGCCGCTGCACCACTGAGCGAGGCAAAACTCCCCATGTTGACGATGCTGCCACCTCCCCGCTGGTTCTTCAACATGAACGGCACGACTTCCCGGGTCAGTCTCGCTGGTGCAGTGACGTTAATCGCAAACATCCTATCCCAGGACTCGTCCTCAAATGTGTCGACGCTGCTGTAATTGTCCATGACGCCAGCGATATTACACAGACCGTCGATCCTGTCTCCGAACGCCTCGCGACATTTTTGGACAATCTGCTTCGGAGCGTCCTTGTCTCTTAGGTCGCACTGCCAGAAGCAAGACTTTTCGTTGTCATTGTCGGCCAGCAGTGAAGCTGGTGCTGGTGCCACGTCACAACCAAACACTTTGGCCCCGAGACTGAGTAGAGCCTCCGCCGTCGTGAAGCCGATCCCGGACGAGGCGCCAGTTACAATCACGACCTGTGCAAACAGTAAATATCAAATTTCGAAGATTCGTTCATTTAGACTTCATATCAGTGGGCATTGGGGCACTGGCTTTCATACCTTGTTCTCGAGGTCGCGCATCGTGACTATCTAGTCGAGTTGAAAACAAGGGTCTGTCTTGCTTTGCCAGGGTCAGTTCAATCTTGCTAGCTTCTTGCAGTCATAATGAAGAACTGATCAAAGGAATTCAACGATCTTATGGCCTCTCAAACACGCCAAGTGAACCCGGGTAGTATTGGGCATATTAGGTCTGACAGATGAATGCATCAACCTACGGAAGATGACAGGAATTGTCCAATGATTGGAGGTGCATCTCATGGCCTCGGGATTTCAGATGCACAATACCTATCTAGGTATGCAAGATTCCCAATCGTGTGCTTGGAGTCCCACCAAAAAAGTGATTCTACTTCCTGTGTGACCAGATGTTGGAAGAGCCATAATTAGCACAAGGATCTTCTTCGGCAAATGCATACCTAGATCACTTGCAACTTTGGTGGTAGTTTGGGAAAGCCTTGTCAGCATGGTAATCTGAAATCTACGATGTGGGAATGCAAGGGGATATACATTTCTCACACCGTCCCTCCCCAGATCTTTTAAGTTGTTATAGGTATGATTGTCCTCTCTTTAACTGGTATGAGTACGAGCATGCGCGGAGTTTTTATAACTCCACGACCAACCATGCCCCTCGCATCTTCATATTCTTCCCGTTTCTAGGGCCCATCATCCGAGAAGAATCGACAACGTCCGCCCCGGAGCGAGATACCTATTGGACATGCGGCCTACAGCGTACGTACGAGTACTTTCTCCAGTAACTGATGTTTCGAGTCGAGATCAGCGTTTATTGTGGTGATGACATTTACACGGAGATGAGACTGGGGGACGTATGTAAGGTCTCCCAGATCCGGAGTCGGGACTTCGGGGCTACTTAATCTGAGAAATGCCTACCGTGACCATGAACCGAGAAATCCCATCTTTTTTGATTACTCAAGGTCATTAAGCAAGGGCTTCCCGCGTCCTTTGAAAAATCTGGGGATCCTGCGGATCAAGGGCAATGACACACGCTAAGACTTGAACGCCATGTCCAACTGGGAGGCCTTAGGTGGGTACCTGGCAACGTCGAAGACTCGGCCTTCGGGTCGCTCTTAACTTCCCGTACCTAAGAACCGTGGATGCCCAGTCTTTAGGGTCGATCAGCATCACTGTATATGAAAAGGCCTGAATCCTCGGAGGCATCTCTGTCTACACTGAGGACATCTGGCCAATCTACAAGTCTCAAGTTCCCAAGTCAGGAAGAAGAAATCCGTTGCAAAAAGATGACGACCACTACCACCAGCACCACCACAACCAACACCTTGACGATCAAGGCCCAGCCTCCCGTTGAGGTCTCGAAATACCCCAAACTCGACGCCAAACAGGCCGGCCATCTGCGCCATTTCCACAATCTGGTCTCTCAGATTGACGGCGAGTGGAACCATTTCGGCTCCCTCGAAGCTCAGCAGGAATGGGACGATGCGTATCGATACCAGTTGGCCACGATGGCGTACGCCACAGGTCTCGCGCACTACCATCGCCTCCCGGCGATGAGGACCGCCTTCAAGACCCTCCTGCGCCGCATCATCCACAAGATGCTCCGCCGTGAAGTCTGGGGATACTGGTTCAGCACGAGCCTGGGCGGGAAACTTCTCGACCCCGACCTGAAAGAGCTTCGGAAGCCTTGGGCTGACCCCGTCATCAAAGAGAATATCATGTACTCGGGACACCTTCTCTTGATGACCAGTCTGTACGCCATGCTCTTCGACGATGACGAGTTCGAGAAAGAGGGCAGCCTGACCTTCAATTGGAATCCGCTATTCTTCGGCATGGGACCAGAAAAATTCTCGTACGACAATCGAAGCTTGCAAAAGGTCATCTTCCAGCAGATGGAGGAGAACGATTGGGTCGGGGTGTGCTGTGAACCGAACGCGGTGTTTGTGGTTTGTAACCAGTTCCCGGTAAGTTTCTTTTTACCTAGTTCCGGTCTGCCTCTTATTAAGGTGATCGGTCGCTGACTGAGAGGGGGCTAGATCATCGCCATGAGGTATAATGATAGCCGGGATGGAACGAACAATGTCCAGGGTGTTCTTGAAAAGTACGAAGCATCTCTTATCAAAAAGGGCATGCTGAACGATTCCGGACTGTATCCGAGCTTCTTTGCGTTGAAACAACGATCAACTCGGCCAGCCAGACAAGGCGCTCATACTGCTTGGTGATTCCTGACATTGTTCCCTTTGTATTCTTTTTCCCACTAACGTATCAAAAGGGCAAACGCATACATGAACACCTGGAACTCGGAAAAGGTTCATTCCTTGTATGAGAGTCAAGTTCTAGGGTTCTTGACCACTGTCGGCGGAAAGACTCGACTCTTACCTACTCGCGTCTCCAGCGCGTTTCGGCATCTCGTCCTAGAAAAGGGCGAAGACCCCGACAGCGAAGAGACACTGCGGAAAGCTCGTGAGATGTCACCTCAATTTGTCAGTCCTGCTTTCCCCTTCGAGGCGGTCAACTGGAACGGGTTCGCGCAGATGCTCTCGGAGCTGGGGAAAGATAAGGAACTTGATGACTTGCTCGAGTATGCGGACTCTCGTCTAAACCCGACATGGGAGAATGGTGGCCTATATTATCCGCGCAACGATGCGGTCATGGACGAGGATGGAAACTTGGTTCACATGGAGCCACACTCGGGCAACTCTGGGATTGGGTATTCTCGACTGAATGTCAAGGACGGGCAGAAGATGATGTGGGAACAGCCTTGGACGCGCGAGATACTGGCGAAGAGACCCTTTGTAGACGACGTTGGCTTCGCCGACGGGGTGGATTTCCTTCGAGGTGCTTGGGATGCCGAGGCCCATGCAATGGTCGTCACTTTGAAGAGTTGGACCGGACAAGACACTGAAGTTTCGTTCTCCGTCAAGAATCTCGAGAGAGGGGATTGGGCTGTTTATGTCAATGGTGAATTGCAGCAGACGACGACGGTCAAAGGTTCGGAGAGTGTAGGTGTGACGGTCACCGCAGGGAACGATGAGGTCGATGTCGTTGTTTCGCAGATTTGAGCCATTTGAAAAGTGAGAACGGGGGGTTTTCTGCAGTGAATATATACATTGAAGCTTCTGGTCCAGAGAAGACCCGGGGGCTAAGATTTAATTCCATTTCAATTCCCATTGACGGTGAGCGTGTCGCACTTTGATGGAGTTGCTTCGTTCTGAGCATCTCCAGCTCCAGTCAACGCATCTGGGAGATCCTGAGGTTAGCAAAAGCTCTCACCGGGCGAAGAACAAAAATGTAGACTCCTGAAGCATGTCGAGCAGACAGCCTCGGCCAGGAAAGATAGAGAACGATTCTTGACGGCGCCACGAACTAAGAACTGTGCTGTACCGAGTATGTAGGCTAGCATTGATTCATTGGCAGCAATAATGCACCCTGCAGGACTAAAGACCAGGAACCATATGCAAGGGCCCCAGGCCAGCACAAAACATTCCGTGGTAGATCGAGAAGGGGGTCAATGATACCCGAGTAGAAGATCGAGGATTTTACCTCTCTGATCCTACATTACGACAAGATGGCTCAAAGATGGGACAATCTACCCGAGATATAGTATCTTATCTACCGATGGGTACTCGTATGAGTACAAACTCAGTATCAATAATTCAATATCTGAGAAAAGTAAAGCGGTGCGGCTCCATAGGTATCTCTGTACTGGGGTGTTGAAGAAGAGCTGGGGAGCATGGAGCAGCTTCAGGTCTCTGCGCGGGAGCTTCGGGACTCACTCAGTACCTTTTCCACGTCTTCTTTCAGTGGAGCAACCGAGGCAAGGTACCTGTCTCTCTACGTAATGGTCGCCGAGAAGGGAGAGGGGGGGGGGCCTGTTAGAGGACAGTAGCTACCTATCTTACACGCCCGTCGACAGCGAAGGGGGGGGCCTTGGATAGTCTGGTCTGGTACACTAAAAGGAAAGACCAGCGCCTACTGGATTATCCACCCACTGTCTTACTGTTGTCTTTTCATTATCGTCCAAAGGCCTAAAGATAGGCATCGATACTCCGTAGGTACTCCGTACAGTAGCGATCACCGGCCTGGGGTGCAGTGCCTCTTTTTTCTCCCATGTCACTACTGTTGAGTTCCATCGACAGCTATTACTCGTACTCGCCAGGTCATTCCATTCTTACATACAAATCACCGCGGTCACTTTTCTCATCTACTCAATATGTAACACCGCATGCAGATCTAAAAAGATCAAAAAACAACACCAGTGGGCAGCTCAATGATTCGACGGGCTTCGTAACTTCCAGTCTCTCTCACTCGCTGGCGGAGGCGCAGGTGATGATGGCATGCAAGTCTAGACGAGAGAGAGAGTAATGCACCTACTACTCGTAAGTGTCCAACCGATGGGCTTCGATAGGTTCATCCACCAACGCCACGTTTGACGCTGATCCTTGTCTAGCCAACCCATCATGTTCCATCGACCAGGATTTTTAGTTGCGAAGAACCAGGATGTTCTATCAACTCCGTACTGTTTGTCTTTGGACATGTTCTCCCCCACCCCCCTCCCCAAAAGACCAACCAAATCGGTTGCATCCGGACTGCGTCACTTCTGTACAAGACCTTTGGCCCTTTTTTTTCCCCCTTCGATATTACGACTACAACTGGGCGTTTGCCAGGGGACTCGTAATGCCCAAGACATGTTCCTCTCTAGTTATTCAACTCGTAAGAAGTGACCGTACGAGAAGCCTATTCCGCAGTATTCTACAAAGAAACCGTTCCTCTGTCCACCTTGAAAACTCCACATGGGTCTCATTTTCCATGCCGTTCCGAGGCTTCCATACAGTAACCATTTAGCACTCGGTGCCTAAAGCTCACCACCGTTTAGCGTTCCCATTCCAAAGCTATCTTGACGCCACCTTGAATACTCGCTCATGACTCTCGATGCCTATTGTACCATGGACGCACGCGGGAGATCTGCATTTCGACCTGTGAACTGCTGCTCTCGGGGCCACATGCTTCAGAAGAGACCCAGAGAACCTCCGTGCCAGGTTCGAACTACTCGTAGTAACATACAATACTAATCCAGCCCGGCCCTGGCCGAATTGACTAGCTTGGACTTTGCTAACCTTGCCACCTGTACCTCACATTTTTGGTGGGGACCACTATTTCTGTAGTACCTACAGTACAATACAACGCTTCCTAAACTGTACCTAAAACTATCGTATCGTAATCCATTGGCATCATCGAACCCACTTCTTCTTCATCATCTGGGCCCAGTCTCAAACCTCATTCTTGTACTTTGTACATATATATTCGGTCTCGGACCTCCCTTCTGAGAAGATTTAAAGACGGTCCTCGACAGCTTTCGACCCCTTCACTCTCCTACCTTTATCCTTCTTGTGAATAATTTCACCAAAATCAATCACGCTCGTTAAATTTGGTGTTTGTGTGTGTGTGTCTCAAGCGAACAAATTCACTGGCTGACGAGGATCACCCTTCAATCTCTCTCTCTTCTCCCTCTCAGTTCAACCCACCTGTCACCCACACTTTGGGAGGAGGCGAATACAGCATACTTTTTTTCAATTTTAACCGGGAAGCAAACAAAGAATAACGCAAACTTGGGTGAATTCCAGGGCCCAGGGTTCCGATCAAAGCGTCACACGCACACAAACACAACAACTTTTCACGGGCAGATTTGTTTTCAATTACTCTTCGCGTTCTGCGTATTCACTCTGCCGATCTACTGCCCGCCTATATAAATCCCGTCTACCGACTACCTACCTACAACTTTCTCGAGAATCAAACAACACATCCAACTCAACCTGGCCCACACCAGAATCGCCTTTTCGAATTAGGGACCAGTCCTGCAGGCATCTCTCAGGGTCTCCAAACAAAGATCTTTCCGACCAAATCACACTTTGACCAAAATCGTCATACCGAAAAACCCATTGAAACTACTAGGTCGTTGTCGCCACCGATCTGTAAGTCGTGCAGTTCCTTGTGTCCCATTTCCACCGTTTAATGGAGATTGTCTGTGTTGCATGGTACTGTACCTTGTGTGTGTTTGTGGACGCTGACTTTTGTGCGTGTCAAGTCTCAAGTCCTTCCCCTCGGAGAGCCATGTATCCCATCTTCTTCTTGGCCTCGTGCTTGGTGTTGTCGTTGCTCGGTCATCTCGCGTCGGCGTCACCGGTCGTCCGGAAATCCCTCAACCCCAAGTACGTCCAGAAGAGATCCCCCGTCACGGCCAGCGCCTTCGCGGCGACCGACGCCGAATGGCCGACCAACGTCCTCTTCACCGGGGCCTCCCAGACGTACGGCCTGTGGGTCCCCATGGACGGCGCCTGGTACGACCTCGGAGGCATCACGTGCCTGGGCCTCCCCGCCTACGCCGAGGGTCCTTGCAACGGGGTCACCATCAACGCCGTCGGGGTCGTCGCGGGGGACGGACCTTGCAGCTTCTTGGGCAACGACGGTTACAGCGCCACCCTGCCCGGAAACGCCGGGGACGGTTGGTTCGCGGTGGCACCGCCTCAGAACATCATGTCCGCCAAATGTGGTTGATCCCCGACGGCATCTTCTTTTTCTTTCCTGATCCACAATCAACGCAATCGATCAGTGCCGGTGGGGAGAACGGGGGAGCTTTTTGTTTTTGCGGCTGATGAGACTACCGGGATTTTTGTGACTCCGTTCACCACGACGTACCCCCCGCCCGACCGAGTGAAATCATGAAGGGCGAGCGAAATGCGGGACACCCCCAGGATCGACCAACATGAGTGTCATCAAAACGCCAGGTCCATACTCGTGACGAAACACATGCGACGTTCGACACGTTTGGGACATGTCCGATGGATGTACTCGTCGTAACGCGCCGCATGACTTTTCGAGGTTCATGAAATCACACCCCTCCCTTACAAATCAATTTGTGACTTGTCCATCACACACCTTACACCCACCCACACACACAGACACACACACCCACATTCTGTCTCGCGGATCCGTTTCCTTCCTCGTTCACGAGGGTCCAAAAATCCTTCGCAAAGGAAAATTTACGGGGAAAAGAACACACAAAACATACGAAACACAGACCAGAAAAATTACCACCATCGGGACATATTCGTCGAAAGGTTTTTGACTAGGTACTTCTCTCTCCACCAAAGGGGAAACCTCGAGGAATGGTTGGAACCCTAGAGTTTAATTTGGAATCTCGAGACATTTGCAAATTGTGTTTTTCCATAACCCACATATCACAAACATGACCCAACCGATCCACACATCACGACGAAATGAAGAAATACTGTGATGGTGGGTGAGTCTTGATGGAAACAAGTTTGAGAAAACCAATGTCCCCGGGGGAGAGAAAGGGAGGTGGGATTCTTCGTACAGGGAGATCCCAGATCACAACGACCACCTGCCTGCCTAACTTTACCTTTACCTTTACCTTGGCCAAGGTCATATCACCAGAATGTAACATCAGTAGAAATGCAATCAATCCAATTCAGTCTCCCTGTTGATTGATACCCTTTGGGTCCTTTTCTCTTTGGAACCCCTGACAGGGTAGATAAGCCCCAATACTTTTCGACGTAGAACAAAAGACAAGACAGGCACCGAGGCAGGTAGGCAACAAGCAGGAGATAAGCAGACAGAGCGATCTACAATCATCTATATATAAGAAGCTATACACAAGCGGGACATACCAAGTCAGGCAACCCATCTCCCAAACCATCAGGCCCCTGAGCAGGGTCCTGCTCCCGTCCTTGATCCTGGTCTAGACAACTTCGATGATATAAATGTCGGCACGAAAATACCACAATCGGCCCCATACCAGTCCCAGGGCCAACACCACCAACCCCATCGCCACCAGAAGCAGCGACATCACTATCACCACGTTCACGTCGGGTGGCTTTGCCTTTACCTCTCGCCACGTCCCCACCTCCACCTCCGTCCAGATCCTCAACACTTGACCTCCTCAAGCGTCTGGCCCTTCTTGCTTCTTCTCTTCCCGTCCATTGTTCCCACACATTGGAATTGACCCCGACACCAGGGCCCCAGACGCGTCGCCGGCAGACTTCGCAAACCTGTCCGCGTGGCCTCCATCCGCGGTGTCGTAACTTGCCAACATGCTCAAGCTGTACAAAGACGTCTTTGTCGAGCATGGAGTTTGACAAGGCCAGCAAAGATTCTTCATAAGCGTACGCCGAGAAAATACTGGCTACCACAGAGCGGAGTTCAGAAAGAGATGGCGATGTTTGTGCGGCTTGTGTGAGGAATGCTCGTAGTATTCGAAGAAAAGTCATGTCTCGACTTGAATCATGAGAATCTCTAGAAGACTTGCTGAGGTCGCGCGTCGATGTTGTGCTGGTCAAGAGAGCCGTGAAGACAGATTGGATCGTACCACGCAATGAAGTTGCAATTTCAACCCGGTCATCATCATCACCATCACGCTCATCAATCTGAGGGCCATCCTTGGACGTTTGCGAGACCGATGTGATGGAATTATCCCTTGCAATCGAAACCACTGCAAGCATCAGATCGAGCCACAATGTCTCTTCAAAGGTCAGTGGCGTTGTTGCATTTGCAGACCGGCCAGGAGACTTGGATACGCTCGGACGTGGCGTGTTCTTCCTTTGTCCACGGCATAACCATACACCCACAAGAGTATATTTCCTGATGTTTTCGAGTATACCCGTGACTGGACGACGTATGCTAGCACCGTCGTCGCTATCTCCATCGCCATTTTCCCGGCTCGAGAATAAGCGAGAGGTGGTAGCCTTGAGTGTCTCGTCCAGAAATGATAGATGCCTGACCAAGCGATCCATTGCTTCCCTAAAGCGACCTTGGCGAACTTGTAAGACAACAACAGCATCAATAATTCCATTTTCTTCAATTGTAGGTAAGACTTCATCAAGCCGCAGATCACCTTCTTGCACGTGCTCGATGTATTCACGCACATGAGAAGCATCGAATTGACAGAGTAATTTGACGTACAATTCCATGATACGGCCATCCTGAATCCGCTTTGTCCTTGTCGACGTCTGCTTGTGGCCTTCTTCATCTGGCTCGAGTAGGATTTTGAGGTACTCGTACTGCCCATACTGGTCGCCCGCAAGGACCTGTAGGAATAGGTTGTGCAGGTCAGGAGCGACTTTATCAATCGTTGTCGCCGTCTGTTGAATGTCGATTCCCACTAGATCAGCTGCGTGCTGTTCAATTACAGACCGCACTTCCTTGCGTTGCTTTTCACCAAGATTGGAGCCAGCCCGTAGACTGTCGCTAAGAGCAGAATAGACCTCGTCCTGATCATGCTCGTCCAGGAAATAAGTACGAATCATCTCTGCATATTGGCCTTCTTGCTTGAACACGGCTTTCAAGACCCGGTAGAATTTCGCTTCTCGTAACAGGGGCACAAGATCGAGCGCGTTTGGAGGCTGGAATACGGACAGAAGATATTCCACACTCAATTGCGCATCTTCGCGCATATCTTCCTCGGGGTATTGGCATAATCGATTAAACACATCTTGGAGAACAGTGCCTGAGAGAACCATGTATTGAGGATATTTGGCCAGGTTTCGCGCAATGAACATATCCAGGTATATCGTGTCTTCAGCCTCGAAGCCAGAGGACATTACTTCTAGCATAATCCGAACCACGTACTGGCGCGTGTATGTGCGTGAGATTGAGGGCTGCCGTTGGCTCGAGGGAACTTGGCCATCGTCGTCACTAGAATTTAGAAAACTGTCTTCAAAAGCCTCATTGAGCGCGGCAATGAAGCTCGCTGCATCAAATCGCAGAATGCGCGAAAGGTTCTCGAACGAGCTCGTCGTTCGCTTTGGGGTCAGTCCGCGTTGCTTGTTATTTCCGGAAAAGAAGTAATCGTAAATTTGACCTTTTGCGAGCATGGCCTCCTCATTGTCCATAGCAGCACCAGTAGGGTAGATTCGGCTTGTCAAGATGAATGAAATGTAGGGGAAAATCTTTTGTGCTGTAGTATACCGTTCAGCCGCGTTTCCGTTCGGTTGATTGATCTCATCTGCAGTATCGGCATAATCCAGGAGCAACGTCAACATGGTCTCATAATCGTGCAATGCCATGGTCCAGACGTAGATGTACGCATCATAGAGGTTATACCTTTTACAAAGGCTGGTGACTTGGTCAATGTCCATCGTGGAAGTATCTAGCATGCAAACGATTTCTTCTAGTGTCGATGGCGTATGTGTGATGGCGAAGTGGTCGATCAAAGTTTTCAAAGCTGGCGGAGGTATGGACACAACCCTCTCATCCAGGATATATGGCTCCAATATGTCCACAAACAATGGACCATGATCGTTGTCATCGTACCATGGAAACACCTCCTCGAAGAGAAAGTCTTGATCCCCCATGGTCAAGCAAGCTTGGATACATGCATCAGCCAATTCAATCATTTGTGGCTTTTCGATAGGCTCATTGCCGGCTTGTTGATTCTTTCCAAAGGCATACTTCAAAGACGCTGTCATCATCTCGATAAGTTTCTCCTGAACCATACTTGCTCGAAGTCTATCCTCTTCTGGTAGACCTATTGTTGCTTTCTCACCCTCACCTAGATAGTACTTGGTCGCAAGTCGGATGGCTCCGATAAAGTCACCGACATTCATCAAAGCCAATAGTCGGTCCGCCCAATTTGTCAAAACGCCTGTCCAAATATCGTTGAAGCCCAGAAGAAAGAGCCTCCCCTTGTAAGCTCGGAAGCTCATATGGAATGCATCTGCTACTACTCCATGCATTGAAGTATCCTCCTCGTCCAGGGATTCGATGATGGCTTGTAGCTGTTGAGAATATAGATCGGCATGATAAACATGCTTCTTGAGAAGGTCGAAAGACTCCGTAACATGCATTGTGAGATCTTCAATAATGAGCAGTTGTTGAGTAATGGTCAGTACGGCCATGACCGACCTGTTCAGCCATTGTATCGCGACCACTGCTTCCTCGGCCTGATACCGACTTCGGGCTAGGAATTGTAATTCTGGTGGCTTGTCCTTGCTATCCCCCTCCTCCGGGGGGGCTTCATGGACTTCAAGGATGGTGATTATATTTGACCAGGCATAAACGAGTTTTGTTCTAGAGGTCTGAGACTCTTCCGCTTTCAATTTGAGGGCAGGAAACCAAGCGAGAGCAGCAGTCATGGCGCTATGTGCAGCCACTTCCTTCGGCCGAGCCGCTTTATGCTGAGTTTGAGCCACTGGTGTTGTGGACACTATAACCAACAGGTAGGGCGTCAGCATCGCTACCAAGCCAAGGTTATCAGTCCGTTGCTCGATGTTACCGAGAGGCAGAGGAGCGAAAGCAAGAACCGAGCTTTTCTTCAAGGGCTTTGTCGTCCGACTCACAACCTCCGGATATCGTCCTAGAATTCGAGCCGTGCGCACTACGCGGCTAACAGCTCCCATGCCTCGAGTAGCGAGATGTGAAAATGCCATGCCTTTGTCATCAGCAGAAACCAGCGCCGTGTGTCGATAGCCCAGAAATCCGATGTGTAGAACAGTACTCCCCATTATGTGCCCATCTCCACGTCTTCCTTGTGGATGTGAATTATCTACCGGCAGAATATGAAGAAACGGCCTGGACGATCTGGCCAACTCCCATGTGAAAATGTGGCCAGTAACATGTCCCACAGCAATAGTCGTATGGTCTGCAGAAATGGCAAGTGCTGTCACTGCACCACTCTCTGCTGCTTTGGTACCGCTACCGATTATGGCCTTGTGGTTCTGCTGGTGATCGAATACCAGGACGATGCCCTTGGATGTGCCTATGACAACTTGATCTGCCACAGCCAGGCATGTCGGATTCCCAAAATTTCGTCTCCCAATCTCGGAGAATGTCTGTCCTGTTATGCGTTTGTATTTGTTCCAGCGTATGACATCCCACGGACTGCCAGATTCATCGATTTCTGACGGCGTTTCTACGCCAGCAAAGCTTGTAATGGATGAATGACGTGAATGTGCACCTAGGAAGCCGGGTGAGCTTGAGCGGAGGGGTGACAGATGCGAGCCTGATAGCCGCGACTGAAATCTCGTGTCGAATGGCCGATGCGCCAGCGAAGGACTGCCTCGTCGAGCTGGACTCCGGAAAGACGGGGTTTCGCTGCGAGGCGATGACAAAACCGATCCCTGAATAGAAGGGGACTCATCCGGCGTTGATACAGTGTCATCTGTGCTTCGAGCATCATCTTCGCCTCGGAAGGGCACCACCCCATCTACACCATTGGGTGGCAGAACACTCGCTGGCTCCTCGTCTTCGAGACTGTTATTTTCTTCCTGCGGCTGATGCTGCTCTGTAGTGTTCGTACCACCCTCGACATCCCCATTTTCTATGTCTGGCACATCTGCATCTGTGGTTTCAACAGCTCCTCCATCCGAATGCACCTCTTCCTTCTCATCGTTCTGACTGGTGGGATTCTCGCCCTCATCTCTGGGCGAGCTCATCGAGGAATATGGATGTGATCATTGCATCCTCGTTACGGCAGTTCTAACAATTTAAGCCGTTCAGGAACGCGAGCCGGAGGAGATTCTTGTGAAGGATCGCGGAGTGTTGGGGAGTGTGGTAGAATGCGCAGGTGCTTGTGTGGCTTGACAGGAGTCGCTTTTGTGTAGAAGTTTCGACCTGTGTCCCTTTGGGCAATGAGAGAGCCCAACGCCAGCGATGACAGTGTTAGTATGAACAAGCAGACTCGTTTGTTTGCTGAGTATGGCTATAATACTACAATTACGCAGCCTGGCGATGTATTCGTACCATCCATCATCCATCCAACTTCCCATGTGGAGAAGAGGCTATATCGCGCCTATTGGTCCACCGTACTCAACTGCGGATCATTTGATTTCAAGCGTAGCATTAACCTGCGCAAGTGAGAGTAACGTTCATTTCAGGTGGAAGGTCACTGGTGTCTTTATGTTGCAAAGTGAGTACGGGCGGTGGAAAAGAGAGACAGCTCAATGCTCTTGTTTCATTATATCCTATACAGCATCCTGATTGATCATGAAAAAGACTATCAACTCCCGCCCCTGTCCTAGCTTGAACAGATTCATCAAAACTCATTATCGTGCCTGAACTCCCTGGGCCTGTTCTGTGGCAGGACCGCCGGTCAAGTTCGCCACAAATTCCTGGTAACGGAACACATCACCGCCTTTCTTTGGAGCGGGGGTATTAAGACCCCGAACACCAGCAATGCCGATTACATTCTTGCCCAGAATTCTTCTGCCCGTGAACCCCTCGATGGCTCGATCAATATCTCTCTCGCTCAAAGGACGTTGGCCTGGATCTGGTGCTGTATTTCGTAGTGCGGAGCGGAGCTCTGAAATATCAATTTGCCCGCTATCATCGTCATCAAAGGCGGAGAATGCGTTGAGCAGCTCTTGCTGGGGAGATAGACCGACCAGAATGTTTGCGAGTTGATTAAGGTATTGTGGTAGCGAGAGCTGTTGTGGTTGTCCGGGTGGGAAGAATTGGGAGAGGTTGCTCTCGTGTAGGCCTAATGATTGGAGTGTTTCGGCGACTGAGGCGGCGTCAATAGTTCCATTTGAGTTAGAGTCAAGTACCGAGAATGACTCGCGCATATTGTGGAGGAGTTGGGGTGGGAGTTTGGAGAGGTTGTCATTCTGGGAGAGACCGTTAGAGACAAGTCTTCGAGGCTCTCTAGAAATCCCAGGAGAGGCGCTCATGGGGTTGTTGTCAAGCTTGTTGGAAAAGGGTAATCTGTGTGCGGTGGGTGATGGAGGGGGTTCCGTCTGCGCCCTTCTAAATGACCCAGAGTCGGTCTTTGTTTTCGACGGTGTTGAGATTATCTCGTCTTCCTCCTCTTCTTCTGACACGGTGTATGCATGTTTGAGCTTGGATGGAGAAGTCATGGGGGATGCGCCGCTTCTGTTTGTTGGCGGAGTATTTGGTCTTCCACTGGCAGTAGTCGGAGAACCTGGTGAAGCAGGACGGCGAAAGGGAGAAGACCGAGGAGAATTGAACGTGGACTTGTAAGAAGCCTGATTGATAAATGTTAGATCACAGACCACGACTTTGGCTTGACATGAGTTGATTACCACTTACCATGACAGATGTTTGATCAGCACAGGCGGATCTGTGCCTTTCTTTAGATGATCGACAGAGGTTCACCTGGCAAGCAAGGAGAAGATTTACTGCTTCTTGTAGCGATATATGCTGAGGTGTAGTCAGAATGATCACAGAGTCTGGGTGTCTTCGATTGAGTGTGAAGTTGATCGTTTCTAACTGTTATAGTGGCCGATATTGTATTCCAATGTTCGTGGCGGCGTGCAGGACCTGGACCGAACATACAGCGGGCAGGTGATCTTGTTTACAGGCGGTTGTCATAGCACCGGATCAACCCTGACTCCGTGTCCCCTTTACTGGCAAGTATGGCGAGCACTAAAGGCTAAGCTTAATGGTGTTTGAACCCCAATCAGTGCGGGCGCTAAAACGGCCCCTCAATGCCGATCTCAGGGGCACCGATAACTTTGCAGCAGAGGACGGGGACTCTTTGAAGCCATGGGTCTCATTCAGCGAATGTTCCATCTTCGAGGGGGTCGCAAGAAGTGAAGTTTGGATGGTGCTTGATAAGAATCGCACTGATACATTCCTACACAGCCTCGACGGCTAACTTCTCATCCGAAACCGATCTTCTTCTTTTTCAGCACGCACAATCCCACCGCCGAGAAAACCTCCCACTCTTTTCTCGACTCTTCGAACTGCGGTGGCCTATAGTCGTACCCTTCGTCATACTCGGGTCGCGGCCTCTTCGAACGACTGATCCTGGGCGATCTTCCGATTGTTTCTACCACAGTATTCAAGCTACGGTCCATGGCTGAGACCGTGGCATATCGTCCGCACGCTCCCCATGCCTTCTCCGACAGTCGAAGATCTGCTTCCTCCACCTCAGGCTCCCACAAGTCAACCGTCTCTCATGCGGCTTCGCACTACAAAGTTTCGTCGCAGAGTTCTCTAGTCCCTCCTTCACCTCGCGGGTCTTACCGGTCGTCGCAAAGAGTTTCTACAGTGCCAGAAGATGGACCTTACCGTCCTAAGAAGCGGCTCAAGTCACAATACCCGCTGCATTCGGGCGAGCATCATGTCGAGTACATCTTGGTCGCGTCTTTCGACATCGACCGTGGACCGATTATGGAACACCAGTTTCCTGGCGCAATCAGCCCTGATGAAAATATGTTGGCAGAGTTGATGTTGCCCGATCAGACACATGTCCGGCAGCAGGATTGGACCATGTTCTTCCTTCACAAAGACACCGGCGAGAGTGAGGAGGATCTAGCAGAGAAGGAAACAAGGCGACAGCAAAGAGCCGCCAGAAGGCGTCTTCGAGAAGAGATGGCTGTGGCGGGAGTCACTGAGGAGTATGAAGATGAGTCCAGCAGTGATGAAAGCGATACTGGCGGGATAGACAACCCTCCCCTGATGTATGTGCTGAATCTGGTCAACACGAAGCAAGACAGTACCGTCAAACGAGGCGCTGTGGTGAAGGCCATGGCCATCTGCACGAGACATTCATTTCTGCACATATACAAGCCGCTCCTTTTACTGGCTCTGGAGGATTATTTCAAGTCACCCATACCAGACACTCTAGAGCTGTTATTCAATGCTCTCAACAACATGGATTTATCCTTGATGCCAAAGCTTTCAGTTCTTGAACGACATATTCTGCAAGCAAGCGATACCAAAGACATGTTTGTGGAAAAGTTTGAACAGATGATCTCCCAGCGACTCGCTGACGAAGCTCTGAGCAAGATCAGTGAGGCACCAGAATCTCCGAGCAAGGCTGAACCGAAATATACGGTTCCTCGCGACACCCATGAGTTCGAATCGAGAATAGTATACAATGGCATTCCAGTACCTGTCAAAATTCCTACTGCATTATCTCCAGAGACCGTCGGAGACTTCTCTTTGATCAAGCTGGTTCAGATCTTCGGAGGGCCACACCACTCCCAGCCCCAACCTTTCGCATTGCATCCTCATCTCACAACCTCGGGTGCATACACACACCCCATCATCGTACTAATCAACGCCATGTTGACCCAGAAACGGGTCATCTTCCTTGGACACAATCGACCTTCGGGCGAAGTGGCAGAAGCTGTACTCGCGGCCTGTGCTCTTGCATCAGGAGGCATTCTTCGGGGCTTCACACGGCATGCTTTCCCGTACACGGACCTCACCAAGATTGATGAGTTACTGAAGGTACCCGGCTTCATAGCAGGAGTTACCAACCCTGCTTTTTCTTATCATCCCGAATGGTGGGACCTGCTCTGCGATCTACCGTCAGGCAGAATGAAGATCTCATCGTGTATCGAAACGGCTCCAGTGACCGAAGGCACCACGTACTTCCAGCAGCACGGCCATGCGGTGCTGAACCACAAGGATGCAGCGCATGCCGATGCCACTGGGGACATCCATTTCATGGAAGACATAACCCGGAGCATCGCCTCCCGAGCTGGAGAATCAATTGTCAGGGCTAAATTCCGTGCCTACATTTCCAAATTTACTTGCGTCGCAGCCGCTTTCGAAGAGACTGTATATGGAGCGAGCAGTTTGAGCGCCCTTCCTCCGACCGAAGTTGACAAGGTGGAGACACCTTCGTCTGCCACCGCCACTCCACGACCAATGTCACTGAGGACGTCTAGTCAGAATCTCAAGGGCCATGGATATGTATGGTCTACCGAGGACGCAAAGACGCGGGAGCTTGCTGCCTCGGCGGCTAGGATTGAAGGATGGAGGAACACTCGATCGTATCACTCGTTCATCCTTGACCTAGCCTCTCATTCGCAAGACTCGATATCTCCGACCTCACCGGTCAGCATGACCAATATGCTGGCACGAGAACCACTCAAACCATATGTTGATCTCTATCATTCGCTGTCCAAGCTCCGGATGCTACGCTTGACTCCGACGGAAGCTGGGGCGATTTACCTTGCGCTCGAGGCATACTGTACCGACTATGAGAGTATTCTTGAATTATTGGAGAAGGTTCCAATGTCGGAAGCTGGACTTTTCTACATTGGCCTCGGGCTGTGGCACGAAGATCAACGAGTGAGGATGGCAGTTGGGACACTTCTGGATCGCATCAGGCAACACCCGGCTGGAAGAGTATTCTTCAGCCGACTCGGTGGCTGGGCCAACATGGGTTTTACGAGGTGTTTACAGGAGAAAGAGGCCAGAATGCGTCAAAATCAACATGACACGGAGGAGATGATGGCACCTCTCACGATCAGTGGTGATGGACGACGAAGCTAGGATTGCCAGTCTGATGATTGGGTAACGATTGTTTTGACGATGAAATTGATGCCAGAGCTTTCTTAATGATTCATATTTTTTCACCAGCTTCTGATTGTTGGCTTGCCATCTTAGAAATTGCGAGGCGGTCATGAGCCAGAACGACGCAACGACGGGATAGTATTGGACCATGTTGTTGCTATTGTAGTATCCAATATTCGCACGGGAACCTGCCTATCACAATTATCTAGATTCGAACAGGACAAGGGCGGCGACACGTATGTGTTGTTTGATGATGTTGCAAGCGCTTACCATGATAAATGGAGGCGCAGCAGTAGGAAGAGTGAAAGGTCTAGACAACTCGCAACATGTGGCCATGACAGGGATTATACAATAGGACAGCCCTAGCCCATCTCCATGTCCCTAGTCCACCGAGTCTACTGATAGAATGAGTAAAAATGTTACCCCTGACTCTGAAGAAAACAAGTCGGCGTCCGGCACTATCGAATCTTGGCAACTTTTCAGGCTTAACGAGGCTCGCGTGTAAAATTGTCAACCTCGACCCCTGGTCACCATATCATCGTCTACTTTCCATTCCAGACTCCCTGTCCAGCCGCTGTGGTATAGGCGAGATCAGCATGATTTGTGGCCTGTTCAAAGCATGTTGTGCCTCGAATCGACGCTGACCGGAAGGGGGTCCATGGAACCAATCATTCGACACCACATCTCTACAGTACTATTTGGTGCGGCGGGCGAACACCATGTCCGAATCAGAGCTGGAGATTAGCATTCCTACCTGGATCAAAGGATTGGTCTGCGGAATACTCCGTAAGGTAAGAAGTCGCGCTTGGAATCCCACTGTAAGCAACCCCCTTCGAAGTTCAACATCTTACGCAACCATGCCCCCTAGCTTTCATAGGGTGGTCTTTGTCTGGAAAGGACTGGAACGCCACCAAAGCGCCACGGCGTTCCATGAACTCGAACTCAACGTGGTAACCTCTGGCATTTGGGGGTCCCGCTCCCTTGATGCATACCAGCGAAAAAAAGAGGTCTGGTGGAGTATCAACAACGGACTCATCCTTTTGTTCGCACATTTTGCTAACGCCGACTGGTAAATATGCCGCCGAACTTGCCTGGGAAGGTGACTTTGGCTCTGGAACCGCGAGCTGTTGCGGAGCGGAGGGACATAGGGCATTCTCGATACGGAGTACAGTCAATACTGTCTTGCCATCGAATCTTCCAAGGGCCGCATTTAGCATTCCCATGTGACGATTATTTCAATCCTTCTCAAAAAACCCCTTTCAAAAGTCTTTGTTCGGTCCGCTTTCAGCTTCGGCCCTGGGGGAGAATTCTCCGTACATCCAGGTTCTTTTCTTTACTTCCAATACACGATACACTCTCAGCGTGAGACATACTCAGTCTGCACGGAGAGAATTTGAAGCTGTTAAGCGACGTCGGTCTTTTACCACCCTGAAACCCCCGACCCTTGCAAGTTCGAATCCACATTGGTGTGGAGGAAGATCAATTACAGTAGGATCAACACCAGGGATCCGACACGTGCTGCAAGTTATATCTCTTCCCGACAACCCATATCGGGAGTGATCGACTGCACATCACCCAGCACACGCTTAACGATCCCTTGGGTTACGAACGGCTTCGACGAAGGCTTCACAGAGGTGTAGCTAGGATCGCCGACGGACATTGTTCGACCTGTATCATCGGCCTCATTGATGTGAAGACAGCAAGTACACCAGGAGTCTTCAAGACGCCGCCGGCGTCGATGCTTGTCCCGAGTCCTTCTCAAAGGCTCAGGACGTCCGTTCGTTACTGAAGAACCTTCTTCTCGACACTCGTTTCAACAATCAATTCGACTCGACTCTGGCGGAATACTCACTCTCACTAAGAATACAATCATCCATGATGTCCCAATCAGCATCAGATATATCATCTTCAGACCCGAGGAGGCGAAGGCGGAGGAGGAAGAATGCTCGCACATCATCATCATTACTATCCTCACCCAAATTATTCTCACTTTCAATAATGATGATGCTCCTGTCGCTATTGACACCCTGCTCAGCGGCGCAAGACACGCAATCCGAAACGCTTGTGTACGAGTCACCGTCTCTATTTGAACAACTCGAAGCCAGAGGGGAAATATTCATCGACCGGTCCGACCGTCCGGCTCGACGAGACAGTCCTCTGCCGGTATTTGTGGTACACAAGCGAGACGACGACAACGACGGGAACGTAGTCACTACGACGGTCTCCGTCCCGTCAGGATCTGCCGCGACCATCTCACCACCACCACCACCACCACCCGATTCCGCACCAACGACACCGCCGTCGTTATCCGACACCATCGCCACCGACACCAACGCCAACCTCGCGCCGACGTTGGTCTCGACGTCCGTCTCGCCCAGCGTGACCGTGGTGACCACGCCCCTGCCGTCCCCCTTTGACACCTCGCTCGGTCAAAACTTTACGTCCTCGACGTGCCCCGCCTTCTTCTCGACCTTTCTGTCCAACTCGACCTTCCAATCCTGCGTGCCCGTGTCGCTGCTGTTGCAGAACTCCAATTCTTTCTTCCGGGCCATGCGGTCGGCGACGCTGCTGACCCAGACCCTCGACGCGGCCTGCTCGGCCCCGCTCGCCCTCTGCGCGCCGCTCATGTCCAGCCTCGCGTCGCAGCTCGTCTCCTCTTCCGCCTGCGGCGACGACTTCAAGGACCAGGTGGCCACCGTCACCCAGGCCTACGCCGGGCTGACGGCCTACGAACCTCTGTACCGAGCCACGTGCCTCCGCGACGCCGCGACGGACGGTTACTGTTTCACCGAGGCCGTCACCAACGCCACGACCCAGTCGGACAGTTACCCTTACTACACGGCCTTGGGACTCGCCATGCCCAACGCCACCACCGGCGGGGGTGATTCCGGCCCGGATTGCACACAGTGTCTGCGAGACACCATGAAGATCTTCGCCGGTTACGCTCAGGACGTCAATCAGCCCCTCTCGAAGACGTACCTGGGTTGCGCCACCCAGATAGACGACACGTGCGGATCTGGTTTCGCCGACGTCAACGTCAAGGTTGGAAGTGTCGACAAGGCCGAAAGTCAAAAGAATGGTGTTGCATCCACGAGGGAGGTGTCCACTCTTGCACCGGCCGTCGTGACTGCCGTGGCAATCTTACACATGGTATTGTCTACACTGTAACAAAACAAAAGTCATTGTGGTAGATTTCATGCCCGAGGGGAATGAGTGTTTGGATCGCGAAAGAAGGGGCACTCTTTGGTATGATTTAGCGACATGTATTGTGTATACTGCTCTGTATGGATTTCGCAAGTATTAGTATGAATGGGAACGGGAAACAGAATACTTGGTACGGTTATGTCAAAAATGAAATGATAAAAGAGCGGATTTATTTAGATGGTGCAAGAGAGAAAAAACAAAAATCAAAATCAAAAATAATAATAATCAAACAATGAGTGGAACAAAGTCCATGATGCCATGTGATACGTGGGTTTCGCCTGGTGACGAACACAGTAAATAGCAAGTATATACGGGTACCAACGATGATCAAACAGGGAGCTAGCGATGTGAAGTTGAACAAGTAGGATCGGTTTCTTCCTCGTATCAGAACTTGGACCACCACCACCTCAATGTGTTCAACATCCCTCTACTCGATATAAATCGTCAACTACTAAACTTGGAAGTTGCAAAATGAATACAAAAACAAAAGACTTTTATTGTCCTAGATATTAGACTTTTGTATGGACAACCTCCTACTGGCCAAAAGTCGTCAGAACTGCTGTTAAACAATGAATGTCATGGTGTGTTGCAGGGACAAACTCTCACACTGGTCATGTACCATGCAATTGGAAAATCAAATATCCCTGTTGAACAACAAACCGGTACTCACAACTCCAAAGAAAAAAGAAAAAAGAGTGGACGCTCGTGTGTGAATGCAGAGCCAGCCGAATTGTCTTTTTTTTTTTTTTTTTGCAAACACCACCGACAACACGACAGCGAGAACAACATGTGTGGCCTTTCCTCCTACAATTTCATACCACGCAATCCGTCTGATGTTTGAGTCACTAAAAACCAGACAGCGGATTAGTCAAAGGGCTACGCGACCGTACGATGAGCATAAGCCAACACCATGGACGAGGAAAAGCATCGACGACTCGGAACATACCATCATCATCCTCCTCCTCCTCATCATCACTGCTATCCCCATCAGAGCTGTCATCGTCGTCATCACCATCGTCGTCGTTGTCATATTGTCTCTCCACCGAACCTCTGCGTCCAACACCGAAAGACTTCTTCTTCCCGTCACGACTGGCGCAAAGGCATCTGGCACCATCGACGATCAGAGGACCAGATGTCGTCGAAGAGGATCCGACACTGCCAGTGTCATCACTCTTGGCTTTGGGTTGCGATTGCGATTGCATTCTTGTCTGATACGATGATGCGATCTTGGTTGACGGGCCACGCAAAGCGGCAGTCATGGATTGTTGGTGTTGCAAGATCGTCCTCTCTTGAAGTGACATTGCGAAAAGTTCTGGCCTTCCACCGCCGCCACCACCAGGTCGTGACGACGAGAATGTCTTGTCCTGCTTTTCTTGTCGAACTTTGATCTTGCTTCCACCCAGATTGGAACCATTGAGACCCTGTACAGCAGCAAGGGCTTCAGTGGCACAGTCATACCTGGCCTTTGCTGTTCCTTTGGCTTTCTCGGTATTGGGGGTCTTTGGTCCAATGTCGAGGTAGACGAGCGACCCATATTGTTCCAGGAGACTTCGAAGCTCCTTCTCCGATTGTTGAGGTGGAAGTCTGGATATCAGAACGCTGTTGGGACTTTTGTTGTTTCTTGTCGAAGAAGTAGTACTAGTAGCGACTGATGGCAAATTCGATGACGACTTGGGCGCTATGCTGCTGCCGCTGAGGAGTTCTCTTGGCTGTTGTTGTGCTGCTACTGCTGCTGCTGATACGGCCGGATATGATGGTGATATTCTCGTTGGACACGTGTAGGGAATTTGGCCCACGTGGACCGCATGGGGGACTACTACTACTCCTCCTCGACTTGCGCCTGTCGCTGAAGCATGAGATTGAGAGGAGGGTGTGACTATGATGCCTGTTGTGCCATTCGGGTTCGGTCTTTGGTGGTAGAACTGATGATTATCATGCTGGGTCATGGCATTGAATTGGTAGGAGTTTGAATGATAGACATGTTGGCTGCGAATGGCTGGTCAGCTGAAAATTCTTTTTGTCATGCTTGCTTGCTTGCTGGTTCAAAGCTAGGGATCGATAGATTGATAGATAGATTACCGTGACGATGAGCCAGTTTGATGACTTCCGGCGGTCAGTCCTCCTCCTGCCTGAGACTGAGGTGGATGTGGATGATGACCAAAACTGGGAGAAACCCTGGTTTCAACCATGGCACCACGACTCTTTCTCGGACCCTCAATAGTCTTTAGGATGCCGGGTTTCTCAAGCACTGCCAGTGAAACCCGAACGCATTTCCCGTTCCATCCTTGTACACAAAAGTTCTCTGCCCCGATTTTTGATTAGTATATGATATGCTGCTTCTCTCTCTTTCTCTATCTTCGATTTCAACCCCCCCCAAACGAAGGAAAGCATACCGTAGACTTGGGTCGCAGCATTTCGTCCTTTTATAGTGCAATGACCCAATTGACTTCCGTCGCTGGCTGCAAAGACCTCCGCTTTCAAGCTTTGTTCACCTCCGAGACTGCGTGTCATGTCTTTGAGTTCCTGCCAACGGCAATGGCGAGGGATCTAGAACAACAAAAGAAAATGTCAGCTTGGAGACGCCACTTTTCAAGGGGCATGAAAACAACAGAGGGGTCTTTCCGCACATCTTGGACCAGAATGATGTATTGATCATCATCTCTGTTCAATTCCCGAGTCCGACGCTGTTCTCGAGGCATCTTTTTTGTTTCTCAGCGCGCTCTCCGAAACAGAGAGGCAGGGAACCAGAACTCCAACTAATTGCCGTAGGTGTCAGGGCACTCCTCCTGCATTCGATTAACTAAGTGGTGAGGAAGTGGCCGGGAGATGTGACACTCTTGCTGACAGATCTCCTCGCCACAAACGTGAGAGAACAAGATGCGGAAATCTGGTTTTATAGCCTTTACCAGATGCATATGGGGAGAGGAGATGCCAATTCCACGCATACGCTCCTGCTGTTCCCGCGGGGGAAAAGTTAGCGACGCCTTCTGTTTGGAACCTGAATGATGGATGGCGCTAGGTTGGCAAAGGACAAAGCTCTCAAACGTTGAGCTCGTATTGACATGCAAGGATACAGGGATTCAGACTGCAGAATTCTGGATCCGGGGGAAGGTCAAAGAGCTGGTCGGGACCGATAAAATTCCAAGATAAGCGAGCGCCGAGTTTGGCAACCGTTTAAACGAGCTTGAGAAGTGTGTTTGCTCGCTGAAACAAGCACGATCGACGGTCAGGAGATGAAGCTGTCTTTATAGCAGTTTGGCCTGACCAATCTGTCTAGATACCGTGGTACAGAGAACCCTTTCAACCTGCACTTGGAACTCATCCTCAACCACACTTGAGGGACAGCCCTCACTGTCATCCTAGTATTGCATTCATATGACTCTGCGCGGTGATCTCAGACAGTAAAATGCACAGTACACCTCAGCCTGACATTGGAGGGTACCCCGACTCACATTAGGCTGCGTCCTCGTAAAATAAAAAGTGATATATCAGATGCAAGGCAGGAAAAGCCCATGTCTCCGTTGCGTGTAGTTAGGATCATGCAGAAGAGGAGCATGAGGCTATACCGGGAAAGGAAGCTCTGGTACTGGGTTGAGTGCCACTTACGGTCGGCTGTTGGTCGGGAAAGATAATTGTTCAACCTCCCTTGGTCGAGGCTAAGATGTTCCAAGAGATCTCTCACCCTGTAAAGAGGTGTGGGTCGATCTGATCCGAAAATTACTGGGAGGCAGTAGATCAAGGCCGGTTGACAGGTCGGTCGGAGCATTAACTTGCCGTCAGGTACTGGATAGTCAGTCACTGGGTGAGGCTGACAGTACCGCCCATCTCATTGTCGACTCGCGATCTGGCACGAACCCAAAGGAAGCCTGTAGCTGTTAACTGTCAAATTAGTGGTCGGCCGACCTCAGCTAAGCAGTAGTTATCACGGAGATATACAGCCAGACACAAACAATTGAAAGGTGGGAAAGTGGGTAGGAATGCATCTCGTATCCTGCACATTCGGGCACAATCACAAGGCCAGGCAATCTGTAGGTCTGGGGCTGCCCGAGATACCCGCATCTCTCACCTTGCCTCGTGCTGAAGCGAGGGAGTAGCCATTTTTCTTTGCAGGCAAGTTTGACATGGCACACATCGTGTTGGCCTTTGTAAGACAGCGTGTATGGTACCACAGACAACTGCATTTTCCACGGGGAAACGAAACATGGAGGCAGAAAATACAGGAGTCAGACCATGAGGACTTGGCCCAGAGTTGTGGACTGGGGCGGAGCTGAAAGACGAAGGATGATGGCTTGCCAATGGCCTCGTAATTGTGGCTAGCGCAAGAGGAATCAGATGGATCAAATGGAGAGGGATGTTTGCTGGCCTTTCGTGAGCCCTAGTCGTACAATTCAACTCAGGATGGAAAAGGCCGAGGTGCGTGGTCAAGGCGGTGGCCGGTCATAGGGGCCAAGTCTCTGGGATTATCAGAGGCTAGCAAGGAAGCGACAGGCGGAGACGGAACAGCTATTCGTCCTGCACAGAGGAGGAGAATGATGATGATGGAAGGGGGGGAAGAAGAGTCGACATATGTCTCTTGACGAAGCTGGTCTCGAAGGGTGGGAAAGCGTGGGAAGTTGTTGCTAAATTTTGGTTTTTCTGGTGGCATCCGTATCTCCCCGTTCGGCTACCTGCATGGCATCCATCACGGGGACTCGAAGATGCACCGAGATTCGGTAGACACGATGCCACTAACGTGCCATCTCGTCCCAAGGATGGGCATGGCTGGTCAAGATGCAAACCGAGAGCCCGAAGTCGACAGAAGGTGTCGCAGCCAGGGAGTTCAGGTGAAGGATACACAGATCTGGTGGTCTCCTTCAAAGTGTGCTGTGCAACACGGCGCAAGGTTTAATGGTACCAGTTCGACTCGATGATGAGGCCGAACGATTGGGACGCGAAGTCACTGTCCGATGGAGCGCAGCTTTCTAGCAGAAACATGCGACTCTATTCGATACCGCCACCATCGGGAACATGTTGAATCTGCACAGCCCATTCATGAGTATCGTTGCCTGAATCAAAGACCTATTGATCCCCACCGCATGTGTTCCGGTCAATCAGGCGGGTGTGGTGAACGCGAAGATTCCAGGGATGCTATTTTGTTACGAATAACGGATTATATTGCCCATGTTTCTGGCAGTTCGCAAGCGGCCCACACTAGTAGGGAGGTAAACATTGTACCTCGTACTCGTATGAGGCGTTCGTAGACTGGTAAGGTTCTTTCCTCGTCTCCAAAGATTTGTAGAATATGGATATTCGTGTGCTATTTGGGTACTTCGAATCCTTTCTCTTACATACAAATACATAGAACTGTTCTCACAAGATACGTTGCTCACAATCTTCAAGTCTTGTCCGGACGCCAGCGTACAATGAGCCTGCATTGCTTCTCACTTGGTCGATACTAAAACATCACACCATCATCGGATCATTTCGTCGTAATCATGTTATACTGCTGTGTTGCCAATCGGATCAAATCACTCCATGTTACACCACTTCCACTTGCAACTTCTTGGACGTTGAATGGGCCCTCGTTTGTACGCAGCGTTGATGCGCAGCTGGGTGTCCTCGTTTGTCCCCACAATCTCTGTCCCATGGTCCCGGGGCGTAGTGACAGACGACGGTGGCAGACCGGGATGCCGATCGTCCAAGTCCATTGCTCCTGAATCGTGGCCAAGGGTAATATAGCCAGAACGTAAGAGGGGGTCCTCCGGCCGCTCGTACTTTATGCTGTGTGCTATTCTTGCCTAACAGCCCACGCAGCCATGCAATGGTGTGTCAAGTCCGAGCTTTCCAGGATCTAAAGGTTGTGATCTTGACCGAAGGTGCATTCGCCTCCGCCGATGGCTTGCCAATAATACATCTCTGATGAAAAGAGAGACGCATCTATTTGACAAAGCCAACGACATTGGCACATCTTGAGCAATAGTAGGAATTGAGGCCAAATCTGACCGCTCCACTGTGTTCTCTCGGAAGTGAGGTGTCAATACTCAGGGATCGTTGGCACCGTGAACAGCGGACAATATCAAGGGATGGCTTGGGGGACGCCGAGGCAGAACTGTTGGAGGAAATAGTGCTGATGCTGTCGTCGCTTCTATTTGGTCTTGAATGAGGATTCTTCAACGGGATGGGTCGGGCGCCACTGGCAACCTGGGACTGTAGCTGTAATATTGACGATGATGAAGACATTTTGATATGATGAGATCCGTGGTATCTGCAAAAGGTAGGAAGTCGTGGAAGGAAGGATGGAGAGATTCGGTGCTGGAGGTCCGTCAGGTCTTCTTCAAGAGGTTTGCAATAGAACGCGGAGAGTGTGACGGCCGCTGCTCAGGGAATGACGAACCGATCGTCGCGTAGAGGCAATGATGGCGAAGAGATGCGAGGGCTTCGTATTGGGCACGTTGTACTGTAGTGATACAAGTAGTGAAAATGATCAACGACGAGGATACGACGGGTTTTCACAAGTGGGAGGAGGAAAAGGCCTGCAATAGCGCGAAAGTAGCAAAAACAAGGAGTTTCAACTTTCACGTACAACCTCAAGGAGGCGATTCACGCGCGATGAATGGTTGACATGCGAATCATCAGAACGAGAATAAAAAGGCATCTTCGATGAACAACAATTGCATCTGGAGGCCGCGGTCGATGAAGGGCCACAGTTCCGATCTTCGTACCATTTACGCGCGGCATCATCTTTCCCGCCCACTGACCATGGGTTCAGGTACCAGGTATCCGTAGGGCATCTATCGCAACATCTACCCGTCACGTCTAGGACTCCGTTAGGGGCCGTAGGGATAGCCTCTGGGCACTTTAGGCTCTAGCGTTCTAGGGCTCTTTAGGCTTCCATTCCTTGGTCTGAGTTGTCTTGTCCTTGTCAACACCCACCACTCACATTGTACGGGACAAACATTCCAGCTGACAACGACAACCAGCTATTCCTCTTCCAGAGTGGCGCACCGTTTGCTAGTTCAATAGATCACCACAAGATCGCTAGGGAGATCGCTAGATCGTCCACGGTTACTGTCCTGACTCGGTATCGGCATCGAGATCCTGCTGCTCCTGCTCCCCTTCATTGGTCTGCGCCACATCTCGTTCGTCCGGTATCAGGTTTTTGGCTCGACAGCCACGATCCTCATCGTCGATTCATGGAGTCATCACCGGAAGAGTTTATCGAGGCTCCCCCTTCTGCGACGGGAATCTTCCAATGGCTTTTGCCTACGTGTGCAGTACATAGAAATCCGAACAGGCCGAGGATTTGTACGTCACTCGTACTCGTACTAGAAAAAGAGAAGAGAAACAGAATAGCATCTCGACAACGACAACGCCTCCATCCTTCCACGCGCTCCGGGCGGCACCCACCGTTTCCCCTTCCCTCCGGTAGGTTTTTCCAGGCCGAGGCAAAGCCACCGTACGACAAGCAGACACGAAATTGTACAGTGCGGCACCCGTGTTGTGCCCGTACCAAACCTGATCTTCAACAATCAGAGTACCCTGGATCAATGTTCTTCCTGACCCCGGACGTCGTTCACGGAGATTAGTCAGACGATGGAACAATGGTAGGTCAATAACAGTATGGATCTATGCTATGCTGTATGTAGGTACAGCATATATGCCTCCATATCTCTCTTGAGCCGTCTCAAAAGCCATCCGAACCGGAACCGATATCATGGAAGTCACTGACCCTGTTGAAGATTCGTGCGCGACCTGTCGACTGTAATGCCAACGAGTCGTGCCTCTCTGAGGTAGCGGCATCACTTTGATCCTACAGCATGTTTGTCTCAAGCAACACCATAGTGTTGCCAGTGACTGCTGACTCTCTTGAAATGATGCCGGAATATCGCCGGCATCGGACTTACCATCAAAGACAAAGTTCACATCGGTGTCAAGTGGAATGGAGAGTGCCGAAACAACTGAGTTTAGCCAATTCTGGTCAGAAGCGAATCCAGATTGCGACTACAAATGGTGGTGATTTCTACGGGCCGTGTCATATCACACTCCAGGAATCGCACGCCCATGCCAGGCTCCGAATATTGGCTCTGCTCTCTTGACCATTATTGTTCATGCAAATGAGGATTCGCATCACGTACCCAAAGCCTACCTATCATCTACAATGAGCCCTACAAGTTTTGAAACCACCTCGGAGCAGGACTGCATAAACCCCACCTTGCTCAGTACCCTCGATGACCCATTCAGGCTTTCAACGTCTTCCTTGTCATCTAATATTTCACATAATCATGTGTCGGAGCACTCCAATACAGATAAGGGAAATGATGATCGAGGCGACAACCTCAAGAACGTCGAGGAGCTTCTAATGAGATGTGGTATACATCACCCCTTGCGTCGACATACTAGAGGCTTATCTAAGATTATAGAAGGGTTATCGGATTTGTGTGAGTGCATCCAAATACTGGTGGGGAATCAACCATCCATGGATGTCGATACCGAAGTGGTCATACAACCCTGGCTCCTTACCAGTTCGTTGACTAATGAATCGACAGATGGAAGTCGACCCCCTGACCCCCGATCTGGAACGCCGACTTGTCGATCTGTACTTTGAGACTGTGCATATCTTATGTCCAGTGGTAGAAAAACAAGAATTCCTAAACTGGTACAGTGACAGATCGAGTCTTGGTCCTTCTGAAGGGCTTAGGTCTTTGGTTCTTCAAGCCACAGTCTTTGCGGCATTTCCTCATTGTAGCGATCAGGATCTGTCTCTAAGTCCCTATTCCGCCATCCCAGAAGGCCAGAAACATCTGTTTGATCGTGTTCGTCGCCAGTATATGGATCTGGCTGAGAAAAATGAAGGCTCCACGGAGCTCATCCAATGTGCACTCATTTTGAGCCACTGGAGCCCCTACGACAGCTCGGAAAATGTGAATAGCTTTTGGGCTGATGAGGCCATGCACCATGCGCGCATATGTGAGCTTGATTCAAGCAATGACCCTCTACATCGCGTAATCTGGTGGTGTTGTTTGACCAGAAACAGGATACTTGCACTCGCCCTTCGCCGACCACATAAACTCAAAACAGGAGGCTTGAAGCAAAGTTCCTATGTTGATATCTTTGGTAAGACGTGGCCTGCATGCTCATATCTCTTGAGAGACCATGAGCAGATGGCGTCAATCATTTTCGTCTCGCTCTGCAAATTGTCCGAGTACATGAGAAGAGTAGTACTTCTGAGACATAGTTCTTCACGCTGGGATGATTGGCGAGCCGAGAAAGCCAGCTCTGATTTAGCTGGGACCGATATCAACAGTGTCATGCTCATTGACCAGGGCTTGGGAGAATGGAATTTCGACTTCGAACAACAAATCACGCAGCACACCATGGGCAAGATTCCGCTGCACTTTCGGCCTTCAGTTTACGTTCTCCGCTTGGTATACCAGTGAGTTATGTTCATCTTGACTCTCACGGAGGCTGTCTGACCTGGTATTCTTGGTCTCTGCGAGCATCTCTGTATGAGCCATACATTGGAATCTACCGTGAGAGCGACGCAGCGTCGTGGTTACTAAATGCCTTGGCCCTAAGAAGCATGAGAGAGGCGGCATTTCTTGCTGCCCGGCAGGCTTGGAAACTGCTAACTACCACGGCCGTGGTTGATATACCATTGAGTGTGTACGTGCTCGATCAACCCTTAAGAGACCTTCATCAAGTACTGATTACATAGTGTCGCCTGGCTTCTTCTACCTGCATATGTGAATCTAGCCAGGCTACGCAGTCATCCACACTGGGAAGACCTACTGCCTTTGATTCAGCCTGTCCTCTATCTCCTCAATCGGATGAGCCGCCGTTATACTGGGGTACAGCATACTATCATGATGGTCGAAAGCTTCAACAGAGCTTTCACGACAGCAGTTGAAGCATCCACAGAGGCTAAGTGAATATACCACGAATGGTATTTGATTTTACTGTCCTTACTAATGTCTACCCAGCCCCGACGTGCTAGAAATGGAGCTTTTGGTGCAAGGAAGAAGGATATTGCAGGAGAGTCTGGCTTTAGGCGTCATCGTCAATACGAGGGCAACACACCTCTAGGTAATCACAATCGCCTCGGGCTGCGAGAACAGCGAGTCAGTCCGCCACTCGGCTGACCACCTCAGAATTTCCCAAAAGGAACATACTATTCCGGCTATTTGCATTCGGGACAGGGACGAAGATGGCGACCAAGTCTGAGCGGAGGCCCCACCCAACCTAGTGTGCCCTAAATAGTTAATCCACATTGACTCCTTTATCATATACAATACAGAGCGCTGAGTCTGAGAACGACAATTTCAACCTTGACGATTATCTCCTTGAACCATAAACCTTATCACTATTCGACCGATTGCGAACTAAATTATGGGCTCCAAGGCATATCTTTCGGCGGTCAAAGACAGAAGAAGCTATTATAGCTTGGAGGCAACCTCTCCCATCTCAGATGCAAAAATTGAGGAGATTGTGAGGCAAACCTTGCTGCATACGCCCAGTACTTTCAACTCGCAGTCCACTCGATTGGTACTACTACTCGGGTCGGAACATACAAAGTTATGGCGTGATATAGTCAAGCCATCAGTGAAAGCCGTTATGCCTGCAGACTTCTGGGCTCCAACAGAGCAGAAATTAACAGGCTTCCAAAACTCATATGGAACTGTATACTACTGATCCATTCTGTAACATACGGGGGTCTAATATGCTAAAGACTTGAATCTAGGTTCTGTTCTACGAGGATCCAGAGGTTGTGAAAGGCCTGCAGAAGCAGTGGGCTTTGTTCGCAGATAAATTTCCCCAATGGTCCGAACATACCAACGCAATGCATGCACATGTTTGTAAGTGAAACCGTTTCTTTCCCTTTTTTCCTCTGGAAGTGCTGACTCGATCCCGCCTAGTATGGACGGCGTTGGAGCAGGATGGACTCGGTGCAAGCCTCCAGCACTATAACCCCTTGATTGATCAAGGTATCTGCAAGACATGGGGAATTTCGCCCGAGTGGGAGCTCAAAGCTCAGCTTGTTTTCGGGAAACCGACCGGTCAACCAGATGAGAAAACTTTCCAGCCATTAGAAGATCGTCTGAAGATATTCCGCGGACAATAGCTAGCTTAGAACCACGGACGTTTTTGAGACGTCTTGCGTGCAGCCAAGCCTCACCTCTCATAGCTCCTCTTCTAGAAGAATAAAACCATTTTCGAGATCGCCCTGCTATCCCTAAGTCACCTTATAGGCAGGTGCTTCATGGCATGATATCGTCGCTAGAGGGCAGCAACAACAGCTAAAGCAAACCAATCGTGTTCCATCCCGGCACGCCATATGCTGCGGGCCGAACAATACGACTCGCTACTCCGTGAACAGATTCGTCCGGAGTGTCCTGCTCGCAATGCCCTGATCTTCCGATTGATCCATCACCACGGATACTGACTAGATCGATTGGCTCAAACATGACCATCACTTAATCTAGGCCGATTCAGTCGTGTCCACGGCTCTCCGAGCTGCAGAGCCAGATATTAATTTCAGAATAGAACTTTCTCGTTTACGTTCCATCTGCGTGCACTCGAAGTGTGTTGAAACTTCAGGCAAGCACTAGGATCGCGAGCGATCACAGACCAGAAAACATGAACGGCCATGCAACCACACCACAGCCCAATGATACTCCGATAGGAATGGAAATACTACCTCAGGGTACTGTCTTGATCGCAGGAGGCGGACCTGTCGGTCTGACACTGGCCACGGTTCTGGCATTCTACGGTGTAAGAAGTGTCGTTTTGGAAAGAAACGAAACAACTACGAGGTGTGGAGCCTATTGCTATAGGATAGTTGCATGCAGACTGATGTCTCTAGATGGCCGAAGATGGACCTGACTAACATCCGGTCAATGGAATTGTTTCGAAAACTTGGTCTGGCTGACGAACTTCGCAAGCAGGGTCGGTTCTATGGTTGCGAAAGATCCAGAAGCAGCTTTCACTGACAAGTTGTAGGGGTGCCTTCTCATTTGCCATACCGGGTCCTAATCTCCACTGGCCTAGGAGCTCCAAAGCCAGTCACTATCTGGGAACATCTGGGTGTTGACAAGTATCGGGTCGAAATTGCCTCAAAGAACGATGGAAATATGCCACTAGAGCCATGGCAGAGGCTGTCCCAAGCAGTTTTTGAAAAATGGTTAAAGGGAATCTGCGACCGGAATCCTCTAATCGATCTTCGGTTCGGTTGGAAACTGGAAGAGGCGACAGAAGTCGAGGGCGGCGTGCGTGTCTCCGTTACCAATACTTCCAGTGGCACTCAAAGCCAGATTCTGTCAAAGTATCTCATCGGTTGTGATGGAGGGTCCAGTCGTGTGCGGCGCAGCCTGGAGATTCCTTTGGATGGTGGGCCGATGTAAGTATTCTGGTCTCTTTGCTCCTTGAAGTTGGCGTATCAGAGCTCACCACATAATATAGGCCAGTCTACGTTCTTTTAGTCCACTTCAAGTCTCAGGATCTTACACGGCTTCATAAGCACGGGCGATTCTGGCACATCTTCGTCCTAGGAGAACTGGGATTAGGCTCGGCATGCATTGCTCAGAACGAAAAGGACATATTTACTACCCACCTGCTGCTGCCAATAGGGGAGGAGTCTGATAATATCACCTCGGAGGACGCAGTCTATCGAGCTCTCGGTGGGATACACGGTCCATATCCAATCAAGATCGATGAGGTCCTCGTTCGATCGACATATCGACCCAACATCGCGATTGCGCGCAGTTATAGCGGAGCCAATGGACACGTATATCTCGCTGGTGACGCCGCTCATCAGAATATCCCCACGGGGGGCTATGGTGAGGATTAAACCTTAGTCCGACTTTGGAAGATGCCTTGCTGATTTGGCCAGGAATGAACATGGGCATCACAGACGCTTTCGAACTGGGATGGAAACTAGCAGCTGTAGTCAACGGGTACTCTGAGCACTCAATTTTGCAGAGCTACGAGCAGGAACGTAGGCCCACCGCCCTTACGAGCATCGAACGATCTGGAGTGCACATGGGGGTGCACATGGAGGCTACCAAGATAATCGACGGGCGAATTCGAGAACTCGACGCACCTACTGAAACTGGGGAGAAACTTCGACGTCTATTACAAAAGTACTACGAGATTCACGACGGTGAAAACACTGACTACGGCATCGAGATGGGCTATCACTACAAATCGAACATTATCCTCCCCGATGGTAGTAAAGAGCCTTCTTGGACACCTTCGAAATATACGGCGACCACGTTCCCTGGAGCAAGAGCTCCACACATTTTCCTACGCGACGGAACTTCCATCATCGATCTCTTTGGGCAATTCTACACTTTGGTCGAGTTTCAAGATAGCCATGACCGTGGCGCAAGTCTGCTTCTAGAGGCAGCATCGAAACACTACCTGCCTGTCAAACATTTGCGTCTGACTGAGGAACCCCATGCACATGCAATCTATCAGCGCCCACTAGTGCTTGTGCGGCCAGACGGACATGTGGCTTGGAGAGCCAATGAAGTTCAAAATGACGCGGAAGCCATGGACATCCTCGCTCTCATCTCTGGGCGCAAGGTTCCGGAGTCTCAGGGTGCAGTGTCAGAAGAAGTCCACCTTACCACGGATCCAAGCCAAGCGGGCGATGGCGCCTTTGCATTCACATCTACTTTGGCATCCCAATCGCAGACGATCAAATTTCAACTAGACAAGATGGGTGAGTTCCAGACCTGAGGACTCCATAGGTGCGAGGGTACCAGAGACTGGTGGCAGTCCCAAAAGGTTCGGGACAAGCTCATCCGACCCAAAACTGCAAAGTGTCGGGGTACAAATGTGGAGCCCCGAAGACTTCGGGGGAGGGAGGACTACGAGTACTCGGTAATCACGGGGCAGTCAGCCGCCCACACTACTAGGACCTTTTCTGGTGAAGAAGATAGTTGTGAGTGGTGCTGATGGCATTTGGCAATGTCTCTCTGTGCGATCTCTATCCAAGTCCTTTTTCAATGGGAGCATTAGTTATGTTTTCTCTGTAAATAACCACAGACGCCTATAGAGAAAACTCTCCTGAAAGCCGTACGAGTGAAGCAAGAGCGGACAGTCTGCGTACATTTTGCACAAAGCCTCGCCCGTTTCAAATGAATTCAAGTGTGCACGGTTCAACAATTGTGGGGTGAACCCCGTGGGCTGCGGTCAGGTCGAGCTACTGTAAGTCACTTCTCCAGACCCTTGGTTCCCGAGGTTCGACCTTTCTCCGCCAGTCCATTTTCGAGGAACTCGACGCTGCGGTTGTTCAATCTTCGTCTTGGATTTCAGTCCTTCGAATACAGTATTACAGTATCGTTCGGGAGCCTTGCCGCGTGGGTAGGGATTGACAGAGACGACATTTGAAGCCGATGGTAGAGTTGGTCGGCGAAAGGCAGTTGGCATATGAAATAGCATCTGGACAATACGTGGAAAGGATGAGATCAAATCCCAAGTCGTCTATGGCATGCAATTTCTGCAGGTCTAAAAAAATTAAGTGTGAGCTGACGATGCCCTCTCTCATGTCCCCGGGAACCTGATTTGCAAGAGTGGTCTCGACAGGGCTAACCCTGAAGGGTTTGCTATAACAGGTAACAGCGGACAACCTTGTCCAAACTGCGTCGTAAGTTGAACATCGTCTTGCACATGATCAACGCGACGTTTATGTGCTGAAATTTACCCCTTTCGAACCATTCAGGACCATAAGGTGGTATGTGACTACGCCGGTGGTAATCGACGGCGACCGCATCAGAACAAACTCAGTAGAGGGCAGCAAGATCGTCTCATGCGCCTGGAAGCAGTACTTTCGAAATCTCTACCGCCCTCAGAGAGACCGAATGACCGAAGTGTCAGTCCAGGACTGGCGATGGCCAACGATGTCCGTGGATTGTTCCAGTCTTTCACCCTTCAGATGGAGAGAGTCGACGATGGTCCGTCTCTCCACCAAGGTTCCACCGCTACAGGGCCTCCACCGGAACCTATTACCCTCAGACATCAATCCACAGAACCCTCGCCTGTTGAGCTTTACTCGACAAGAGATCCTTACAACAGAAATAACACCGTCAACCAGGGCTTTATCGCCAGTTTGCCACAAGTGCTACAGGCATATCCCGCTCGGGATACCAGTATGGATGCGCAACCTTCGCATGCCTTGACCGTGGAGAATTTGGGAACAGTTGATCTTCACCTTCCAACACTTCCACCCACACCCTCGTCACATCACGAAGACACGGCGACTAAGATTGCCTCAGTTTCCCGAAATACTCCCCGTTCAGATTCAAATAATTGCACATCTGTCAGCCCCGCTGAGGATGATGGTACAAGCACAGCCCCTCCGGAGCAAGAGGTAAGGTAGACAGACTCTCGGTAGCGGTAGTCTCTGGATCAGAGTACTGACTTTTTCTTGTCTTTAGCTAACATACGAGTATCATGGTATTGCCAGAATATGGATCCTGCTTTTTCCATTGCTGACAACAATTCAGGCCCCGGGTCATTTCTTTCAATTTGCTCCAGGTCAGGCATTGATTGGGTCAATGAGAAGACAGGAAACAATGACTTTGGCACAATTGCGCGAGGTCTCATATCCGATGTATCTCGTGCCCTGAAACTCAAAGAACCTATTCCAACGGTACGAGAGCCTGAGCCAGAAGAGGTAATGGCCTGGAAGTATTGTCGCATCTACTTTGATTTGGACCCCGATGCAGCCTTTGGCATTGTTTCACGTCCGTCCTTTGAGAACGCCTTGCGTGCTCATTTTCGCAAAGATGACGGTCAAGCCGAAAATCAAACCGACCCAGGATGGTACGCTCTCAGATATACAGTCTACGCGGCTGGATGCCGGATCCTCGAGATGAGGGCTGCAGCGAAAGGTTCCAGAGTCGATATGATGGCAAATCAAAGCTGGAAGTACTTTACGAATGCCCTTTCAGTGCACAATGATATCCTATACTATCGAACGAGTCTAATGGCCGTGCAAGCTCTGGCAGCAATGGTAGGTTGAAAAGAAAAACCGACTCCTCTTTTTCCTTTCTTCCCCGGCTGTATCTAGTCTCTTGTGGGGGAGCTGACATCCACCATTCATACAGGCATTCTTTGTGGAAGCTATCGGCTATCCTGCCATCGACTACATGTTATGTTCATCTGCCATGAGACTCGCAGTGTCCAAAGGCCTTCACCGCCAACCTCCTGCCGGGTGGAAACTTGGTGCTGAAGCGATACGATCGCGCAGTATGCTCTGGTGGGCCATTTACGGCTACGAACGAATGAATGCAAACAGATCTGGCCGACCATTGGTCAGTAACTGTCCCCTTGAACTCTCTCCTTCTTCACAGATTTTGTGAAGACAACAAGAACAAGCTGACTTACTAACCGCACTCTTCTTTGGGATAGTGCACTGATGATCGAGACATTACTTGTCAGATACCCATCGCCACTGGAGACGACGAAATGCAGCTCGCACAAATGAAATCTGCCATTGAGCACGCGAAGCTCTCCTCGGATGTCAGTCGAAGGATCAATGATCTCAAAACGAGCCCGGCCGGGTTACAAGAGGTGGCCAACATGATATCGGACATGAGTCAACGCCTGGACGCGTGGTGGGGTAACCTTCCGAACTTCTTGAAGATGGATCTCGGGGACCGTTCGCACAGACTTCCCCCGAACATCAATTTCCAGTGCGTACTATATCACCATTACGCCTATTATGGGACCAAAGTTGCCATACATGCCATTCTAGTCCACCCCTGGAACAGTACCGTCCTCAAGGTCTCGGAGGAGGAACCCCACCAACGCGAAGAACTCGCTCGAATGACGGCACAGAGTAGGGAGGTTTACATTGATGCCACCCGGAAGTTTGTACAGTATCTTCCACACTTAGACATTAATGCCCTGACTCCGAAGTGGTGAGTGCCCTTGGTGTTTCGTTTCCCTTTTTGGTGTTGGCCCCTTTTGGCCTGTGGCTCCCCCATGGGCGGCGAATCTATTCTTACCTCAACTGTCACAATAGGCTTGTCGTGGTTTACCCACTCACGGCACTGGTCAATCTATTCATTCATATCCTTCAGAACCCACAGTCACCATCGATCGACTCTGACATTGGGTTGATGTATCTGATAGCTGGACATTTCAGCTACGTCGAATATGCCGTCGCAGGCCGGGTCTTTCCTTCCATCGGACACATGGCAAACCTGGCTCGCTTGACGGTAAACAACGCACGAAGCCGAAGTGGTGTTGGTGGTGGTGGTCTGGCAATGGATGACAACAATGAATTATGCTCCGGGACAGAAGTCACCCTTGACCATCATGATCAACCCCTGCAGCAGCAGCAGCAACTCGACCTTGAAAGTTTTGAAGACGTAAGTATAGATGGTCTTTTTCTTCCGTCGATTCCCCAGTTATTTCTATCACCACTGCCATGCCACACATTCGGCAGCGTTTCCTAAACAATGCTAACGATGGTTTCTGCCTGGGGGTGCAGTTCGACCGTATGCATCTTGACAACGAACAGTGGGCGACCTTGATAGGCTGGCCTGATAATGACGATCTCATTGGTCCATGTGTGCCGTAGTTTTGTTTGAAGACCATTTTCCGCAGGCTGGCTCAAGGGGACACTTTACTGAGTACCTTTCGATCGGGTGGTACACCCACGCTTGTGTCTCGGTCGACGGAGGAACTTCCTACCTGGCGCGTGCGCATGTCACATATGGAGGCCCGTGGTTCAGGGATTGATGGGTCAGGGTAGGTCTCCTAGTACAGGCACGGATTTTGCGTTTTGAAATGTCGATTTCCAGGAGAAGCCCAGTAGGTCTTGTGGGACCGACCCGCGTCAAGCTCACACGAGAAAGGGATAAAAATCTCTGGCTGAATTCAACTCTGTGACTTTGGATATAAGAAGCATGTTACTCCGGGATAGAGGCTGTTTTTGCTGGCTGTCCTGTCTTGTATGCCACGGCCCCTTATAAATGCTTTATTGTGCCATGAAAAGGCGCCCCCGATCCTTCATGGCTCCGTTTCCGATATGACACGTTCAGTTAGCTACCCCGGTCAGTCAAATGGGGAAAAAGGTTCGAACTACAGAGTCCGAATCTCCGACTACACTCGTTGACGGAAAATAATGTACCATTCCGTTCGCACCGAGTGATTGAGGCACACTACCATCACCCATCTGGGGGTTGGGTGGCAATAGTTAGTCAGTATGGCCACCAAATATGGATGTTTTTGTGTTTTTGTCTCAGTCAATGCTGACGTTAGAAAGTTGGTGGCCGATTTTTGCAACGGCCGATATATTTTCTCGAGGAGTAGGCATCTTTTGCACAAACAGACAAAACCTTTGGAGCATTCTCGTTCGTAGGTGGTTTGAACACATGCCCCTTCTATTTCATTACTATTGCGGATATATAGATGCATTTATATGAATTCTTTCTCATTTTGTTCCTCTAGAAGACTCGTAACGGGAAATCAAAATGGCGCGGTTTGGCAAGCTTCTTCGCTTCAAAACTGCTTCTGGTCAAGTTTATTACGGAGAAGCTCAAGACCTACCTCGCAGAACAAAGGACGCCCTGATCGGAGCCAGAATTGCTGTTTTCAAGACTGGCGAGGAGCCTTGGTCACCGGATTTCAAGCTCTCGGGTTCAACAGAGGAGATTGCAGAGGTAAGTTACCTTATTCAAGTATAAGCTAGAGACAGCCCTCTGCCAGTGCCCGTCGTGCCAAAGTGTGTCAAAAGCCTTTGATGTGGTGTTGTACATCCTTTTACTCTTTTAAGATTTCCTTGCTTTTGCTAACAGTTCTCTTCTTCTCCTGTGGGCGTAGGTACTTGCCCCTCTGCCGCATGTACCCATCTTTCTCTGCATAGGCTTGAACTACAAAAAGCATGCAGAAGAGGGTAACGTAAGTCCTATGAAACTAACATCCTGACAAGAGCCACTTGTTGGCTTGATGCGGAACAGGCTTGACTGACTGATATTTTGATTGGTATTGATAGATGAAAGTCGGGGAATATCCTCAGACATTTTATAAGCCCGCAGGTGTGTATCCTCTCCCGAGAAAGAAGAAGGTAACAAAAGCGTCGTCAGCGAATTCTTCTTCACAATCTTTATTCTTCTTTCTTGTTGAAAGGATAGATTACTGAAACATTAGCTTCATAGATGCCCTTGCCGGCCCCTTTGATGACATACCAATCCACCCAGCCTGTCAATGGATGGACTACGAAGTAAGTTATCACACACACACACACACACACACACACACACACACACACACACACACACACACACACACACACACACACACACACACACACACACACACACCTTGATTGCTCTGGCTAACTCTGGCTATATTATACATTAGGTTGAACTATGTGTAGTCATAGGCAAGGATTGTAAGAACGTCGGGGAGGACGAAGACGTTACTCAATACATCCTGGGCTACACCGTGGGCAACGACGTGTCGGCTCGATGGTGGCAGATGCCCGAACGTTCCAACAACCAACCTTCGGCAGCCAAGTCGTTTGACAAGTTTGCGCCCATCGGCCCCGTCATAACCAGCACTGACATCATCACCGACCCCAAGCAGCTCAAGATGAGGAGCCTCGTGAACGGGGAACAAAGGCAAATGACCCAGACCGACGACCTGATCTTCGACATTCCAGCCATCATCCGCCATTTCAGCCGTGGAATGACCATCAGAAAGGGGACGGTCATCATGACAGGGACTCCGAGTGGCGTGGCCGCATTCATGAAACCTCCGGCGTGGTTGCAGGATGGGGACGTGGTGGAAATGGAGCTTGAACATGTAGGTACCATCCGTAATAAGATGGTTTTCGAGAAGCATTGAGTTGAAGTTTCATACCACTGGCCTGCTTTCTATTCAACCAACCAAGAATTTCTCCATAACTCTCCGTATGTAGAGTCATTGAGATTTACATACAAAAGACTAGGGCACTTCTCGAATGTTTTGAGGCAAAGTCACTAGGTACTAGTCTTTACAAGATTGCCATATCAGGGCCTGGAAAAGAAGGATGTAAAGTAGTTGTATCAATTGCTATGTAGCAATATACAGCTTAAATTACGCAAACGAAGGAATTCCACGAGGTCCTATTTCTTGCCTTCGCTGTAGCTCCGCCTCGCTCTCTCCCGCCGACAGGCGCTTTATGAAGTCTTCTGGATCGAAATCGACGCCGATAGGGTTCTCTGCAAACGACGGCGACATCATGAATACAGTGGCCTCATCTGCGTCCTCGAAGTTGTCCACTTGAGTCTCGATCATGTTTCCATCCGGGTCCTTGTAGTAGATTGACGTGGTTGGACCGTGGTTGATCGGCCAAAATGGAAGAATCCCCTTTTGCTTACGCTGTCTGTAGGCCAAAAGGAGATCGGTCAGGCTGTTGTAGGTAAACGCAGTGTGCTCCAGCCCACAACTCTGCGGATCCTTGTCCTTCGTCCCCGGAATTTGAACCAGCGCTATACGGTGGTGTTCCTCGTCATAGGTCAAGAAGGCCAACATGTCGTTCTCGTACATGGCTTTGGCTCCTAGGAAACTCTTGTAGAACTCGACCATGGGTCCTAGTTGGTTCGTGCGTAGGACGACGTGAGCGAGTTTCGAAGGGGACAGCACCTTTGCAGCAGGGGCATCCCAGTCTGTCATTGTCATGTTGGGCCACGAGTTGTGAATGGATATTAGGTCATGAATCTTCTTTCAGGGTCTCTATTTTCTGGTCGCGGTATGTCCGATGAGGAAGGATTGATTTGGGACTGTAGCTGAGGGTCTAAGGGAAGTCAAATTAAGGCAAAGTGATGGTGCGTCATTGTTAACTGACCTGTGTTTCGTTGGCCTGGATGATTCGGCTTTTCGGTATTACTGGAAGCTGGGTTTTGCTGTCTGTTACCAGGCTCTTCGGACGAGGATCTGGGCTGAAGTTATCGGGAAGGATGTTTAGGGACATTGCGAACAAAAGCGGTCGGCGGTACGAACGAGTTGGTCGACTATTCCGAGGCCGGATCCACTTTTCGTTTCCCGGGGCACAAACAATGCTTTGTTTCCTAACCCTACGGGGGATTTCAGCAAAAGCTGGAGGGGATAGCTAGTTGGACATGAGTAAGCTATCTATCAGTGGATCTTCGACTGAAGTGGTGTCTACTATAGTGTTCGGCTGGCCTGGAACTGTGCTGGTCGACTCAATCGCTGGTGCTCGTCATTGCTTCTTGATCTGTGCCCCTCTCCCCTTGCCAATGCTTAAACATACGGTGAGAAATAATTGCCCCAACTGGCTATTGATTTCTTTTATCATTATCATGCTCGTAGTTAAACGCATGTAAAGCCACTGTTGAACAGTCAGTGTCTGACAGTTCTAGGGTCTGGGCTTGGACGGTGGGAGTGAGCTTACCCGTTCACGACGACGCTGGTGCCTGTCATATAGCTACTCATCGGCGATGCTAAGAAGCATATCACTTCTGCCAGCTCTTCAGGCTCGCCGAAACGACCCATGGGAACTTTCTTTTCTTCGTCCTGGACTAGCGGACTGGCCCGAGCAGCTTCTTTGATGGCCGGTGTGTTCACAAAGCTTTTTTATAATTCAGCCGTCTATTGAATTGCATAATCCCCTTCTCAGAATGCTTACCCGGGACAGACAGCATTGATGCGAACTCCGTCTTTGGCAAAAGAAGTTGCATCCTTTATGTGCTTGGTTAGGTTTTCCGTCTAGATTGTTGATCTCCCTTTTTACTTACGGTTTTCGTTATGCCCAATATTCCATGCTTGCTGTCTCGGAGAGGTCACCAATGTTCTCGTATTGAAGTTCTGATTGGAAAGTCCGAACTCACCTTGTAACATAAGCGGATGTCGAAAGTCCCCCAGGAGGCGAAACGAGGCCATAAGTCGAGGATAGATTCACAATCACGCCTCGTGATGCTGGTCCTATACTGCAATGTGTGTCAGCGCTGTGTCCATGATAGATCATGTAGGACACAGCAAACCGTTGCTTGATCGGATCCTGCTTCAGCATTTGTTTGATGGCCTCCCTTTGGCACACCCAAAGCCCGATCAGGTTGACATCAATGATCTTGCGAAAGTCTCCGGTCGCCACATCAGTAGAAGGTCGAATTGCACCAGCTCTGGCAGCATTGTTTATCAGGATGTCGATTCTCCCAAAGTGATCTACTGCCCTTTGAACACCTGAGATGATGGAATTCTCTTCAGCAAGGTCAACATGAAGTTGAAGCACGTCGACTCTCCGAATCCTTTCAACAAGATCTTTTGTCTCGCGAAGGCCGACCACGTTGATGTCTAGAACTGCAAGTCGCTTAACGCCGTGCCGTACGAGAGCCACGCAGGTGGCTTGACCTATCCCTTTTGCACTTTGAGCCGTGAAAAGAAAGAAGCAGGTAACGTCTTACCAGAGCCTCCTCCAGTGACTAGGGCCACTCCTTCTAACAGATGACACATACTTCAACCAACTTTGCGCAGCATCAAGTCGCAAGTAGTATTGTAAATGGGTAAGAGGCATAGTTTCAATGCCAGTAACACTTCTCAAGAGGTGTGTGTGTGTGCTTCAATGCAGGCTAGTCGCCCCGGACTGAACAGTTTTAGTTTGAGGAGATGATGTATACACAAATAAAGATTTGGTGCATGAATCGGCAAGCCATCTTCCAATGAGGATCATCCGCTTGCATGAGAATGATGTCGTCACCCTCGTACACTATATGCTTCATGATATAAGATCTAGGTCGATTACTGGAGACTGAGCTCTGCTTCTCTATCAACTCCTTGACCAAACGTCTGTCTGTCAAAACGATGGTGGTCTGAGAGGAGACCTTGATTGAATAGATAGACCCATATTCCTTTGACCATTCGTGGAATTTAACCAATTAGTTTCACCATTCACAAGAGCCCTGCGATAGAAGATCCAAGTATATTTAACATACTTTAGGTAGGCCTTCTCTTTGGGAATTTGATGGATATTGCCAGTTAATGGCAAGGTTTTTGGGCCTCATCAATGTTGAAACACGTCATTAGTTCTGGCATCATAAGCACCAGGGGGTAAGTCCTTCCCCCGTCGCCCTGTACAGAGCACTAGGTAAACCAACAGGCCTAGTGCTATGGCCGCCGTTACCACCGCATATGCCATCGTGTTGATCTGGTTTCTTTGGAATGAAAAAGAGATTGATAGCTAGGAGATGGCAAATTCGTCTAGCATGAAACACCATGCGCACAGCGTCACGACCTGGAGGCGTACGAATCGCTCTATATGAACCTTTGCTGAAGCTGACCGCTCTGAGCATCATCCGAACGAGGAAAGTCGCTATTGGCCTGGGGGTGCTAGAAGTTCTCTAGAAGTGGTCGGTAATGCTACGAGATACAGAACGAGACTTTGGTACGTGTGCGGTATGGTAGACCCCCAGCAAAACACGGGAAATGGTGAAATATAAATCAAAGAACTAAGATACTAGGCAGCTAACAATTCACACTGGTGCTCAAGTTCTCGATACTTTAACATTTGACTCAAGATGTCTTAATTTTGAGTGCCCCTGACTCTAAAGACTCCATTATCGAGATTACTGCAACTTGTTATAAGAGGCCGGACGTATCATGGGAATATTTCATCCAATACTGGCGAAATACTCACGTCTTCAAGTTCACTAGGTAGATGCCAACATGCCCATGCAGCAATAAGCAGATATCTAACGATTCTAAAAGTGCCATCGCGACGATGAGTGGGCAAAGAAAATAGGTCCGCTACCTCTTTTGGATCACGATAGACTTTACAGGATTCTATGTCAAGCGTATTGAAGACTTCTGTAATTGCAAGCGAGTCACAGCATCTGGCAGAGTCAATGAAGGAGACGGAGAATTTCTGGGACATTCCACGTATGAAACATTACATCACCAACTACGAGCCACGATTCTGGAATGTCCCAGTTCCGCCTCCGTCAGCCGCCAAAACAAGTTGAATGGAATCACTCTGATCCTGATAAGCTAAACTTGGATCCTAAGTATGACTAGGCATAGACCACTCTTATAGTGCCGATAAGATCTGTGCTCCTTTCTGTGAGAGAACTGCAATACCGTCGCGCCGCGCTCCTCAATAACATATCTTCATTAAGCGGGTTATGGAAACGTCACCTTTAATGCCATGGATGCGGCTTCTGTTAGTGTCAATAGCCCTCATCCTGACTTGCCAAGGTGTAAATATTCATATATATATGCAGTCAGTGGATTTCTAGTCATCTCGATGCACATCACGATTGATGGCGATTAACATACATAGTTAAACTTGGTCCTTTCAATACCGAGGAAGTATCCACATAGCTGACAGCCATCAAAATTTCTAGATACACCTCGGAAGATGAGTGTCTAGACTTTTGATGAGCCTGTCCAAATCCGGCCCTCCTGTTAGCACGGTAGCTTAACAGACGCTGTACTGGCTGTTGAAGCCCGGTTCAGGGAAATCCAATCATGTACTGCATGAACCTGGATTTCAGGGCTTGTGTCCGGAGCTACCGGCAATGATACAATAGTCATCGTTGAATCATTCTATGAACCCGGCCGTTTAAGAACGTTCGGAATTCCTGTTCCAGCGTACTAAAATGGTGTGGCATAGAGCATATGTCATTAGTGAAGACTTGGATCGTCCCAAAGTGCCGCTGTGCTGTCACCACAGCAGCCTCAACTAGCTTGAAATAGTTCGTATGTTCCTCAGGGCTACAACTGCTTCACATCGTTCATGCTCAGACATCACGCACTTTCAACTGCCCAGCATGCTGTCAGAACGTCGAACTTTGAAACCAGGAGTTAGTGTCGCAACCGTCACTCTGTTCAACACCAAGGATGAAGAGATTGACGTTGTCGCCATGAAAAAGCATGTCGTACGTTTGGCCAAGGCAGGAGTGAACAGCATTGTTCTTGCAGGATCTAACGGTGAAGGTGCTCATCTGAGCCATGAAGAAAAAACAGCCTTGATCCGCGCGATCCGAGGGACTTTAGACGCCGCAGGGTTTGGACGTCTGCCAATCATCTCAAATTGCTCCGCGCAGTCTATTCACGAGGCAAGCAGCTTCTGCAGGGAGTTTCACGAGGCAGGGGCAGATTACGCACTAATTTTGCCACCATGCTACTTCAAGGGCGCGTACTCACGTCAGAATATCATCGACTTCTACGAGGAAATCGCAACAGTATCACCCATACCCGTCATCATTTACAACTATCCACCAGTTGTATCAGGGACAGATCTGGACTCCGATCTCATTATCAAGTTGGCCTCTCACCCAAATATCACGGGCTGCAAATTCACTTGTGCAAATATGGGGAAAATCACCCGTGTAGCGTCAACTGTTGGCGAAAACACCTCGAGCTCTCCGGAATCAGGTTTCCATGCCCTGGTAGGCCTAGCAGATTGCATTGCCTCGACCCTGACAGCCGGAGGAACGGGTGTTATCGTCGGGTTGGGGAATGTTTTGCCCAAGTCGTGTGTCAAGCTATTCGATCTCTGTGTCGGTGGAGGTAAGCCAGAAGAGATAAGAAAACTTCAGCAGCTTCTTGCCCATACAGATGGCACATTGGTAGCCGGTGGGGTGACGAGTGTCAAAAGCGTTTTACAGACATACTTTGGGTATGGAGGAAATCCTAGACGGCCGCTGCCCCAAGCCTCGCCGACAGACGCAAAATCGTGGGCTGAGGCGATCAAGGAAGCCATTGACTACGAAAACAGCATATAAATTTGGTCCTTGGGCGGGTAATTGCAAAGTTTCGCCAGTCCAGGATCTCTAGATAGAGATTTTTATGCCAGATTGTGCACTGTCTAGGTACTTGTAATCTCAGAGATTCTCCTCGAGGAGCCAGTGGGAATCCACAATACGGTTCCCGTGAAGAGGTCCGAACCCATCGGTGCTAGTGTTCTCCGTTTCAAAGACTACAACTGGCCAGCTAGCAATATCATCATCAAAAGCGAGTTTAATTTTTATATCTCTGTGACAAGGATACCTCAAGCCGGGGGAAACATTTCATAGTTGCGACTAGAGCGACCTCAGACCACAAAGCCTCGTGGCCGAAGATGGCGATCACCGAGCCAAATACCAAACATCCAGACGTGTTATGGGTTCACCCACATACAGAGCAGACCAACATGGACAAATTCCGTCGCTGGGTCAATACAAAGAGGAAGATCAACCTGAGAAACTATGAAGATCTCCATGCTTGGTCGACCAGCCGGGTTACAGCAGAAGACTTCTGGATTGACCTTTTCCAGTATGAAGGTCTTAAGCCAGGGATTATTCCCACACGAGCATATGATACAAGAGCAAGCTTCCCCTTTTCTGAATAACGTTCTGGAAATTTGTGTATGTAACAATGCCACATAACTAATGCTTTTTGGGAGGTTCCTGCAGGACTTCGAGATGTTTCCACCACCGCGATTTTTCCCCGACGTGAAGGCCAACTTCACCGAACATATTTTTCAAAGCAAAACATCGTGGGAGAATGTCGCACTACATGCATGTTCCGAGGGGCTTTCAACGATCGAAGACATCACATGGCGCCAACTACATGCACGCGTTACGATATTGGCCGATGCGATGCGAAATAGTGGTCTTCGAAAGGGAGACCGGGTGGCCGCAGTGATCACAAACACGCCCGAGGCAATAGTGACCGCCCTGGCCGTCCTTTCTATAGGCGCAATTTGGTCCACTTCATCTCCAGACATGGGAGTGAGTGGGATTTTGGACCGACTCCGGCAGATCGAACCTCGATTTCTCTTAATCGAGACCTCTGTTGTTTACAATGGCCAGAGGCGACCGCTAATGGACAAAGCTCGAAGATGTCTAGAGGAACTGCGCAAACTTCCAAACTTTCAGAAAATGATTGTCATCCCCAGAGGCCGAGACGCCGTCAACACAACCTTGCTTCCCGGGATGGTGACATGGGACGACTTCAATGACCTCGCGACAGGAAACAAGTTGGTATTTGAGCAACTCTCGTTCTCCCATCCTGGGTTTATAGTGTATTCTTCAGGCACGGTGAGAAGATTGCGAAGCTCATTGCCTGTGAGGCCAAAGTGAGAATTAATGACGCTGACATTTCTTAGACTGGATCTCCAAAATGTATCGTCCACAGTGCCATGGTGAGCCTGCACGCTTCTGCATGTTTATCGTACCCTCATTGATTGACATTGCTCTAGGGCGCTCTGATGAAAATCAAGAAAGACTACATGCTACACCTTGATGTTCGCCCGAGGGATACAATATATCAGTACACAACGGTGAGTAAAGAAATCACACGCCTCGACCTTCATTAAAGAGTGTGAAACACTAACCAGAAGACGCTGGTTTTCAGACAGGTTGGATCATGTGGCTGATGGTCTTGGTCGGTTTGTCATATGGCGGCAAAGTCGTTCTCTATGACGGATCTCCCCTGCAACCAGATCCTCTTGTGACCCTTCGGATGGTTGAGACATTGAAGTTGGTATCCATCTCTGAGATGATTTGGCGCTTCTAAACTAACAAATCTTAGGATTACTTTGTTTGGCACCTCTGCAAGATTCCTATCTGATTTGAAGCAATCTGGGATAAGGCCCCGTAAGTCGTTTTTCAAATGGGAGATAAAAAGCCTCAATGCTCACTCATGAACGACATTAGGGGACACAATCGATCTCTCGAGTCTGCGAACCGTCTCTTCAACAGGCTCAGTCCTCCAGCCGGACGTATGTGAGTGGTTTCACAAAATTGGGTTTCCGCCCCGAGTTCACCTGATATCTTCAAGTGGCGGAACTGATCTTGCGGGTTCACGTAAGTATTGAAATTTAACAAGAGCTCCATCTGAAACGGAGCAGAGCCTGTTTGCTAACTTTTGCTTGCAACTCCCAGTCGTTAATGGTGACCCTACATCACCCGAGTACTGCGGCGAGATACAAAGAGCATCACTCGGGATGGCCATTGACATACTTGACTCGGAGAAAGACCAACCTGTCTCAATAGCCAAAACCGGACAGCCTGGAGAGCTCGTGTGCAGAATGCCATTTCCTAGCCAACCAGTCATGTTTTGGGGAGAAAATGGTGACAAGAGGTACGAGGACTCGTACTTTTCTCGTTACGGCCGCGGCATTTGGCAGCAGGGCGACTTTGTGTCCATGTCGCCTCTGACTGGTGGATTTGTCATGCTTGGGCGATCGTAAGTCTTATGAGTCTACAATCTTACCCCTACGGACGTGACAAGAGTATGTGAAGCTTCCCACTGACAGAAAAACACCTCTCAGGGATGGCGTTCTCAACCCATCTGGCGTCCGCTTCGGTTCAGCCGAGATCTACAACGCGATTGTCAACATTCACGAATTCGAGGAAACAATTTGCGTCGGACAGCGTCGACCGCAAGATTCTGACGAGACTGTCCTATTGTTCGTCAAGATGAAAGACGACAAGCCCCTGACGGCTTCACTGATCTCCCGGACAAAGCAGATCATTCAGATGAAACTCACACCGCGACATGTTCCAAAACATATACTGCAAGTCAACGAGATTCCATACACCATCAACGGGAAAAAGATTGAGTTGGCAGTAAAACAGATCGTCTCCGGACGAACGATTGTTCCCTCCGGAGCTGTTGCTAATCCTGAGAGCTTGAAGATCTATGAGAAGTTTGTGAATATCGAAGAAGTGACAAAGGCTGGTGGCGCAGTGCCGGCGAAGTTATAGGTCTATCAATGATGGCTCCTAGACACATGAAACTATCTGTGCTATAGTCTCCGCTTCTATAATATACTAGAGTAAACTTGTGATCAAATATCCAAATCTTTGGTCTTCTCCTAGTTATATCACTCTCTCTCAGATAGGTAGCTACCGGGATGACCGCGATCAACGTTACTCTCCCAATAGATGATCGGCGTATAGGTATAGTCAGCCTACCTTATCTGCCATTCCGTGTCAGCAAAACGGCGGAATTGATAATATCATTGGGGGATATTCCACTCGATGGTATCCAGCACCCCAAACCACATTTGTCCGGGGAGGTGCTCATTCTGGATTGTGTCTCTACCGGAGGGTCCGCACCGACGAGTATCCGTACAAAAGTACATGAAAGACGGAAAGGACAACAGCCTGTGTACCGCTAATGCAAGCGTGTGACCGACTCACCCGAGTCATGTAATTACAGTCGTAATCAGAGTGTAAGGGTCGACTGACACGCCTATGAACCCAGTGCAACAAAGTCCAAATACCCCATATAACATTGAATCGACGGTTTTCGAGGGCCGACGACCTGAGGACAGACCCGTGCTTTTTTTTGGCGACTGAGCCCTTTGTCCTGTAAAGCCAGAAGTCTTTACACCCATTGAATCATTTTATCCACGTTTGCCTCATGAGAATGGCAAAAACCAAAGGCAACCATTCAAGCAGAAGAGACGAGATCTTTGTAATTGGAGCAGGATATGCCGGACTGGCAACCGCCATCGAGCTCGTCAAAGTCTGGCAAGATGTGCTCCCGACTCGAGGTACGGTGGAATCATTTCCACGCTTTTCTGGCGGGTACACGCATGAGGAGTGGACCGTGAAAATGATGCTGGCGCTGGAGAAGGCTCAATTCCAGGGACATTTGTAAAAGATTGTCAACCGTTGAGGTGTTGACTTGGTATTGCCGGCAGGATATACAGAAAGTGTCTCTTTCCTAGTAGTCATTTGTAAAACTCTCGCGGTCCTAATCTCACCATTCTTTGGTACATACACTACATACGGTCAAAGTTCACTCACGCCCTTTTTAATTGGTTTTACAAATATCAAGAACGAGCAAGATCGTTACAGCCTCTCTGGTCCTCCCACATCCTATAATAATGGTTCGTTGATGTTGGCTTGTCTAGGTAATGGTGCTCCTACTGTGTATGTCATCCCTGAACCCCTCTCCCCCAGATCTATTCGGACCGCAACCTTTTGAACATGAGCGGAGGAGATCCTTTCAATTCCCCCGGACGTCCACTCCGGCCGAATCCGGAAAGTGTGTGGGTCTTGACCTTTCAAGATACAACCACCCATCATTGGGGAAACCAAAGCCGGACATACCGCTTGTGAAGTTACCTCCCCCAAGTCACCAGACATAATTGCAACTACCAGAAAGAGAGAGAAGCTTGTTCGCACTGGGGCATTTTTGTTTTCTTTTCTTGTCGGAAGGAAAGAAAGACTTGGGCAGAAAACCCGCCCTACCCAGTAGCTTACACTGGGTCAACCAGAAAAAAAAAGGATCAACAAAAATGGGCTACAACACTCAAGATACAGTCTGGCCTGACCACCCTGTCCCGGATGCTGTAAAGGCCTTGATGGGTAGGTTTTTCAATTTACTCGACAGTCACGACTCCAACGTCGGCAACATTCTCGCAGATGAAATCTTCACACCCGACGCCAAAGCTCAATTTGGTGCTCATATCTCGACTGGCAGAGACGGTAAGTTTTGTTGTTACTCTTGTTGTGATGTGCAGCTTTTCTTTTCTCCTTTTGAGCCACGTAAAACGAACCACACACTAAAGCACAGAGGGACTTCTCCCGAAATAGAAATAAGAAAAAGCAGAGACAACGCTTGGACATTGTTCAATGCCCGCAAACACACCGTCTTGAGAGCATACTCATCCAACGACGCCGCCGACGATTTACTCTTCATCGCCTGGGTGGCCATGGACCTCAAGAACGGTGAACATGTCGCCGGCGAATTCATCGGACGTCTCCGGTTCGAGAATACAGACACGCCAAATCCAAAGATCAAGTCGTATGCTATCTGGGCGGTGAGTTCTCGGGGCACCGCAACCCTAATGACGGATAGAAATCAAAGTCTTTACTAACACAGTATCTAGGATTCGTCTCCGTTGGTCAAGGCACTTCAGAAGAAATGATGATATCATTGGGATTTGCCCGTACTAGATGGTGTTGTAGACGGAAGCTTTTGCAATGTCGAGGCCATTGATAGGACTCGTTTCCAGAACCTGTACCTGCAATGAACAAAATGAAAAGCAATCCATGAGTCGTGATTGGGAACGGGACAGCTACTCTATTACTTTGCCTTTTGGACAGCCTCCGCTTCCTCGACCCATTGCATGGCTTGTCTTGCAAAGAGCGTGTCGAGGTAGAACCTCGCAGCTGAGATCTTTCCATCTTTGATTTCAAACAGCCAATGGTACCTATTACAATAGCTGTTGCCATTGATTTCCATATTGGAGCTTGCTTCTACGGCCAGTCGGTCCTCATCGGCCGTGATCCCCTCGACTTTGACACTGACATCACCGATCCGAGACTCCTTCCACACCCATGCTCGAAATTCGTCTTTAGTAAGCGTTCCAGCCAATATCGGAAGCATTCCCTTTTGTGCGATGGTCGTGAAGGTCGCATCGTCGTGGTAGAGCTCAAAGTATGGTTCGATATCGCCCCCTTTCTTGACAGACCAGCGCTCACAGATTTGGTAAGCTAGCTTGCGATTCGCATCAATCTTCCGTAGTCTTTCTGCATCTATGATTGCGTTGCTTGTCATTGTGGTCGACATCGTTGATCTGCCGGTCCGCCGGGTCGTATTTTCAGGTCAAATAAGAGTTGAGGGTACAACACAGCCAATGTACTGGTAGCAGGTTTGTTGAAGACTGAACTGGCGATTCCAGGTTCTTCTCCGTGATTCACTTCAAGAATAATATTCAGTGTAGAATTTATTGGCCACATTGATTTCCTGTGCGGTGTGCTTTGCTATACTGTCTATGGCCGGACTTCCCCTTTCAGGAATTACACTAACCCGATCCAGCCGGCGCCCGAATTCATGTGGACACAGATTCACCAACCTTTCCAGACCTTTGGCCGGTGCATTTTGTAGGGTCTGAGCAGCGTCCCGATCATGTCAAGGTAACGCCACGTGAGAGAGCTTGGTCAGGGGCAATGGTATCCCGAAATTTCAGAGTTTCGAGGAATTGCCTGAGAGAAGCCTCTTACCACCGTCTAGTATGAATTCATTTCCGGTCACATAAGCACCAGCCTTGGAACAGAGGAATACTGCAGCTCCAGCAATATCCTCCGGGATTCCTAGCCGCCCCAGCGGATTGTCAGCGCCTGCCCGCTCGATCCCGCCGTACTGTTCGATGGCGGGCCCTGCTAGGCGGGTTGGGAACCAGCCAGGTGCAATCGCATTTGTGGTGATGTTATGCGGTGCAAGATCTAGGGCCAACTTCCGAGCTAGATGATGTGCAGCTGCTTTCGATACGTTGTAGGCTATTGAACCGTGCTCTCCAATATGTGGTACTGATAATCCACCTACTGAGCCAACAATGATGACCCGCGATGGGAACTCTTTGCTCCCTGCTGAGATAAGCAGCGGTAGAAGCCTGTGTAGAAAGGGAACCGAAATGATGAGTGCCTTTAGATCTTTGATAGGGAAGAGCAGCCGAGCGGTGCACCTACCTGCGTGTCAAGTTGAAGGGGCCTCGGACATTAACATCCAGCGTTTTTTGAGTCTTCCAATCGTCAAAGTCTTCAAAACAACCAGCCCAACTGGCACCGGCATTGTTCACCAGAATATCGAGTCGACCGTTATGCAATGTCTCCTTGACAGCAGTGGCCAGGGAGTCTACGCCATTCATGGTGCTGACATTGCCAACAATTCCAATAGCCTTGCCGGAGACGCTTTTGATCGAGTTCAGCTCATCAACGGCCTTCTGTAGACCGTTTTCCTTTCGAGCTGTAATGATGACCTTTGACGCGCCGGCTTGCAGAAAGGCAGCAGCAATGTAAAATCCGATACCGCGGGTGCCTGTGAATTGTCAGTATATGAAGTGCCCACAATTTTGACGACCAGAGGAGAGCCCACCGCCTGTAATCAACACAACCTTGCCATCTAGGCGGAAGAGGGAGTTGAAATTGGGAATACCTGCCATAGGTAGGAGGCGGCAGAAGTCTTGAAGAATATCAAACAGATAAAGGTGAAGCTGGACAGAACATTTTCTGGGGAAATGAAGAATAAAAGCTATGCGGGCTCATTAATGTGCCTCGGGCTTGGAGTCATGATACCGAGGAGCGTTCAGACAGTAACTGTAGCTCATGTGCCTACAGTAGAGGGCCCTCGCGCCTCCCGAACACAGGGGGATCCACCCGAGTATGAAATCAACAGGATTTGGCAGAGGGCAGCCGTGGATACAGTTTCTGATATTTCCATATGCCTACAGTCGTGCTGCTCTTCTGTTCACATAGGTCAACAGGAGTAACGCTATAAATCGAGCCCCTAATGTTTGCGCTATCGAACTGAGCCGAAAGACATCGTATCGAATTAGCTTACCTTGGGGGGGCATCTGACCGAGAAATTTTCTATCTTCTGATCGTTTCAAAGCACCATGAACAATTCTCTTTCTGATAGCGCAGAGAGATGGGCAAGTACTGTAGCAAGAAGAACATGATGGGGACAACAATGAGAATGATGGGACCTTGGGAGTTGTTGGGTCCTGTGATCTTGACACGGTGAGCCAACGAAGTGTCAGACGAGACCAATTTGGGACATTTTGCCTAGGACTTCCATAGGACAGGGCCATCTGAACAGGGCGTCAGACGAATCATTATCCTTTGGCCACCACCGCTTTCTGTCTCCCACAGCTCTTCTGGTCAACCATGTGACAATGCAGAGGGGATAATCCTCAACAAGCAACTCGGTTACTGTACGGACACAAGGAACAAATAATCAATTAGTAGCATTCGGACAAAGTACTGGAAGTGGAAGATGAGAAAATTGTGCCGCTTACTAAGCCGTGGAAGCCCGAGTAAGCACTGCATTTTGGATGTCTTTGTCAGTCCAACATCTCTACTAATGCTGAGCGCCGTACATCTAACTACGACGCTACCAGAATCCCTTGGAGTACTTTAGGCCCTCGTATAATCAGGAACGTTCCCAGCCCATTGGGTACCTTGGTAAAGGTACCGGAGCTACTCCCGCAATAAGGAACTAAGCCCAATAATGAGTTGTCTGACAAGATGTTTCCCACATGCAAAATGTCATTCCGTCAATGCCTGAGTCCGTACGGAGTAAAAAACTCATCGCCGTCAGACATGCCTTGCTGTGACGTCAGAAGCCACTGATGGGCAGATCTCTTCCTTGATGAAATTCCACGTGCGTGTCAACCGAAGTCACAGCAACAAAGAAATATATAAAAAAAATATGGAGTACAAGACTTCGAGCATTTTCTGGTGCCGTTTCAGCTTCAACATACTTTTCCAAGTCTTCCTTTTCCGAATCCTCACTTTTTTCTCACTTCAATCCTCTCCTTATCCCCCAAACCACGCCCACGCTCCTTAACATTACGACCAAACCCAAACAAATCCTCTCTATCGCGACTCAACCAATCTATCCCCAATTACCTAATTCTAGTACCTGAAACCCAACGTCATCAAATCGGCCCGCCCGGCGATAGGCCAAAACGGCCCCCCTCCCCGCCAATAACCCAAGATACGAGATTTGTCCCATATCGGAAAGGGGAGCAATATCGTCATTTATCACATCTTCTCAGACTGCGATCCAAGCGTCTCAATTATTCTCTCTTCTGGCAACGAAGCAGGGGGGAAAAAGAAGAATCACCATATCCGCCATAGCCACCTCAACTGCATACCACACCGAGAACAGAGACAGAGGCATCGTCACATCTCAGTCGATTTAGGCACAGCTCCGACAATCGCCAGCAGTTCTTGCGATAAGAAAAAAGGAAACAGGAAACCAAAAATCCATACCCAGATATCTCTCCCTCTTCCCCATACACACGCATCCGCGCGCGCACAAGATGGGTAAACAGGCAAACCTGTACAGTTACCCTACGGTCGACAACCTCGCCGCCCACCTGCGCACTTACATCCTGTCGTGTCAAAAGGCCGCCTTCCAACGGCACGACGCGTTCAAGGTGGCCGTGTCGGGAGGTTCCCTCGCCGCGACGCTCGCCAAAGCTCTCCTCGTGGCCGGGCCCAACGAAGACCCCGAATCCGGCCCGCAGTTTTCGAAATGGGAGGTCTTTTTCGCCGACGAGCGGGCCGTGCCCTTTGACGACGAAGACAGCAACTACGGCCTCCTGAAGAAGGACCTCCTCGACAAGATCCCCCGTGGACAAGGCACGCCGACCGTCCACGCCATCAACCTCGAACACCTCGACGACGCTCAGGAGCTGGCCGACCAGTACCAAGAGGCGCTCATGTCGAGCTTCGCCAGCAAGGACTCGGTCAAGACGCCCATCTTTGATCTGATCCTGCTCGGTTGTGGCCCCGACGGCCACACGTGCAGTCTGTTCCCGGGCCACCAACTCCTGCGCGAGTCCGACGCCTGGGTCGCCCCGATCGAGGACAGCCCCAAGCCCCCTCCCCGAAGAATCACCCTGACCCTCCCCGTCGTGACGCACGCCCACAAGATCGCCTTCGTCGTCACGGGCGGCGGCAAGAAGGAAATCCTGAAAAAGATCCTCGAGGCCGACGACGAAGGTCGCAGTCTCCCCTGTGGCCTCGTCAACGAGGGCGGCGGCGAAAAGGTGAGCTGGTTCACCGACCACGCCGCCGTCGAGGGCGTTTCCTTCCCCAGGAGGGGAAGTTTGTGAAGAGCAAGACACTCCTGCTCCGCTCCCGACGAGGCAAACCACGAACCCCCCCTTTCATCTTTCTTTCAACGTCGGAACGATATGATATAGAAGCTTAGGAAATTTGGGATCATCGGAATCATAGAAACGAATTTTTTTTTTGCCCTCTTCTTCAACCAGTGGGGCCAGGCGTTTTCGCTCGTGCGGCACGATTTTCGATGGTGCAGCGACGAAAACTCGGCGGCCCCGTCATCATGATGACTTTTGAGTAGTCGATGGGAAGCGAGAGAAAACCAACCCCGGATTGATAAAGGTCCTCGGAGGTCCTTTTATTTTGGCAACGCTTGGGCAACGACATATCTGTGTTCATGTCCTGATCGAGTCGAGGGCATACTCTATAGAAAGAGTACCTAGCCAAAAGGGTTCAAATCGCAATCTCGGTCTCTTTTCATCTTCTTCTTTCCCAACAGAACAGGATATATAGATTCATGAGACCGTTCTACTACTCGTACCACGTTTGCTCTTCGCTCCTCGTGCTCTAGTAGAATAATTGTTCCGTTTTGCCCTGCCTTCTTTTCACGTATCTTGTCTCTCTTCCTGCAACCGTCGAGAGCGGCAGTAGAAGGAGAAAGAAAAGGGAAGGAATTCCTGACAACCATTTATTGCGAGAATGGGAATGTGAATAGACGTGATCAAAACTCCGAGCCTGTTTGAACATTAAAAAAAGAGGTCAAACTTGAAGACTGACAAAAAGCGGCCTTGACGACTGAATTCCAATGGGTAGCTAAACGAGACCATGCAGTAAAGAGTACGTAGGTACATATCATATACTCGTGCTCCATTCATCCTATATCCCCAATTTTATGTCACGCTTACATATTTATTCAACATGGCCATGAAACCGGTCAACAAGCTGACTAGATCGTTCCAAAGGTAGTACAAATAAGTAGATTTGGTTTTCTGTCTTTTCCTCTCATCTCATAGACCAAGAAAACGAAACAAAAAAAATATAAGCTGGCTTCGCCGTTCACGAATAAAAAGCACTCTTCTGGAAACTCTCGGGAGAAATGTCGCCTGGCTTGCTCTTCATCTCCGGTCCCTTGGCACCGAGTGCCACGGGGACGGGTGATTGCGCATTGCCGATCCCGCCAGTGGGCGAATATATTGAACTGAGGCTCTTCGCCCGGTCGCCTTGCTCGAGCAATTTGGTGGCCGCGAGGGGTGCGCTTCCTTTCATCGTTGCGGTCCTACTCCCTGGCGCAGAAGCTGCCGGCCCATCGGTGATTTGCCCCTGTGCCGGTCGTTGCGCAGGTCTCTGAATCGGCTCGAGATAGGGGCTAGGTAGGTAGCCCATCTTGCCGTCGCGTGCTCGACAACGCCACCATTCCGAGGCGTTGCCCATGGGATCCGTCTTGGATAAAACAGCGACCAGGTCGCCCTTCTTCACTTCGAGGTCCATGCCGCCCGAGTTGGGTGCAGGAGTGTAGTCATAGAGAACACGGCAGAAATCAAGCTTTCGTGGGTCGATGGGGACCTGTTCGCCGTTAGGGTTGGTGTATGTCAGCGACATTTGTTCCTGTTGTCGCTTTTGCTCTTCTTCCTGAGAGCGGGCCATGGCGCGGATGAGTTTGCCCATCAAGTAGGGCAAGCCAAAGACGGCGATGGCGAACATGATGAACGGTTTTTTGGATGGTCGAGGAGGGGCGGGACTGCCATCGGGCAGTGTAGCTGGGGCGTGTCCGCCCGAGAGGAATGATGAGAAATTGGCAGGAGTAAGAGCCGTAGCGTCAGCTGGAGGTGGTCGGCCAGTGATTTTGGCGATGAGTGTGCGCATCCACCGTAGTAACGTGAATATTCCCAGGACCGACCCGAGTGTTTGGCGGAGGTTGCCTAGTTGTTCGGCCATCGATACCATGGCTTCGGCACATCAGTTGCAGTTCGGTGCGATCATATTAGCGTCCTTGACTTACCGAAAAATGAGGAGTGCGTCGTCATGTACGCACTCTCGAGCATCTGTGCGAATCCACCAAACGCGCCCACGATGCTCTCCATTATCTGAAACGTTGCTGCTGTACTTTGATTCCATGTTTGGGTCAAACTTTGGTTGTTCGGGTCGCCGGGCATGCCGGGGTAGTTTCCATAACCTCCTCCATACATGCTACCGCCGTACATGCCGCCTCCGTAACCGCCATAGCCGCCACCGTACATTCCCCCGCCATACATGCCTCCACCACCAAAGCGGTTATATGGCGATGAGTACGACGAGTACGATGAGTAAGGTGAAGAATATGGACTTGCACCCATACCGGTGCCGAAACGATTCTGGTTCGCGTAATTAGATGCAGTCTGGTTGACTACATTGTTGAGGGTGGAAGGCCGATCGGGAAGAGCTGGAGTGCCAGAAGAAGCATCGGCAGCAGGTAGTGAGGAGGGCGTGGTCATGGCGGCCGAAGCAATCGGTGTTGTTGTCCCAGCGGCAGCTGTAGATACGTTAGCAACATGTCTTGCATCAAGGCTAGCAGATGGTATATACCTGATGCAACAGCGCGTTCCCAAGGTTTGGGCGGAGAGGGTGTCGTCATGTTATCCTGACATTATCTTGAGCTGGGACTGGCGATTGAGGCGAAAGTCGCACCGCACGATACACGGGCGTACGGGGATGGCAGGCAACGGGAGCGTCTCTCGCAACACACTGCGCGAGGACAGAGAAGCTGAGGCTCGTTGTTGAATTTCGGAAGAATGATCGGGAGGCGAGATTATGGTTCAACGCTGACACATGATTGAGAATGGCGAAGGCTGGATTCCGTAGGAAAAATCAACCAAGATCAAAAGATGCCGAGGATGCGGAGCAAGAGGCATGAGGGAGACGGGGAGGAGGAGATGAGCGAAGCACGAAGAATCTCCGCCAAGTCAATCACATTGACCGGCCTCGGCCTCCTCCGAATGTACGGGTACGAATGACTTTAGTGAGGGATCTGAGCACTAATCGATTAGTGATCCCATTAGCCTTCAAATACGCCCTTGGAGAGTACCTGTTAAGTGGTGTAGTCTGCGTTAGCGCATCCTAGTCAGCCTCTAAAGATATCAGGTTGATAACCTCGGCTATTGTCGCATGCACTTATTTATGTACGGCACAGTACGGAGGACACAACAACCAAAAGCAGAGTACGGCCGTGAATGACACATTTACGACGAGATGGCTCATCATGATGTCCCAAAGGCTGAGAATACTGTACTTCTCGATGATTTACATGACATCTCAAGGCTATATTACAAGAGCGTGTCGAAACATGTAAGAGGTCAAATGCTTGCACGATCAATCACTCAAGCACAAACCCAAGTTCATCTCTCTTATCATCGGTCAAGCGTCCCCATTCAAGCAAGAGCCTGAAGAAATAGACCTCCATATCTTCCTTTCTGAGCACCTCTGACGCCCATTTCCTGCCCCCTTCTGCAATCAATTCGGCCTCTTTATCGTGCCCTTTCCACCTGATCTGCTGACCAAACATGGTCCCATTGACACCTGCAAAGTATGCCAACGTGCTCCAAACCCCATGCAGTCTGATATCCTGTGGCACGAAATGGAGCCATGCTGTCAACCGACTGTCGTACCACTCTCTGAACAGTGCCGTCTTGAAGGGCAAACTTCTCGACTGTAGAAAGGGCAAGAATCGTCCAGAGAAACCTGCCCCGTCGAGGTCAAACAAAAACTTATATCGCCAGTGCTCCTGAAAATCGCTTGGGCCGACCAGTCCAAACTCGGCCTCCTGGTCAGTACAGTCATGCAGGCCAACTCCGCCGCAACGCGCGATACGATCGACAATGGCAATATCAGTCTCCAACCCCAGCTCTTTTGCGGCAGGGCCATCAAGAATCTGGTATTTGTACTTTTTGTAGTTGGCCGGATTAGGCAATAGAACGGCGAACCGGTCATGGGAAGACGTTGTGAGGTTGTTAGTCATATGCACAAGCCTTTGTCTTGTCATACCTCGCCAGGAGTGGTCACCACCCGACACGCCCTCAGAGGTCGCGCCTCGCCAGAATAAAACATTCACCTTCTGGTCGAACGGAGGGTCTGGGTTCCCCGGGGTATAGCCCTCCTCTCCTGGAACACCTTTTGAGTCGGATGGTTCGTAACGCACCTTGTCCATGTAGTTCCAGGCGCTGGGATATAAAATGTCATTGTACCCGTGGGGCTTGGATTGCGAGAACACTGGCATGAGCTGGTAGCTTGACTTGAACGCTGCCGGAGAGAGGTAAAAGCCATGCAAATACGCCATATCAGGTTGGTGGCAGATATCAGCTGCTTCCGACCAGTTGCTTACGAACTGGCCTAGCGAATGCTTAGCGACGCAAGGTCCGCAGACATGTGCTTGAGAGTAGATGTGTTGACTTTGTCGGGCAGTAGACGATGGAGGACACCCCACCGAGCCGAACGCGCGGAATGTGTTTCGGAAAGACATGTCTCTGAAAACGGTATCGGTGAGAACATTTTCGGGGATTGGCAACCAGCCAGATGCGCGATCTGGGGAAAAACCTGCGCCGCCGCTTTTATCTTCAGCCCGGGCCTGGTCTCTCAGGTGATTGATGTCACTGTACGGTACGGCCACTCTTGACTCGTCGTTGATGTTGAAGGCAAGATCCATATCTGGTAGATGGCGAGCAAAGCTATTGATGAGGGCGGCAACACCTTCAAGCATCCAGCGATGCGTGGGTATAACATTCTCTTGTACAGCTGCGTTACCATTGCGGATGGTGATGCCAGATATTTCGTTCCAGGGGTTGGAAACCATCTCCCAGGTTTGTTTTCGTAGCGAGGCTGGTGATATGGTGCGGAATGGCAAGAGGTCTTCGTATATCTGATCAAACTCATCCACGATGAGGATAGATTTGTTCCTTGCGTATTCAAACCAAACGTCAAACCCGGGAGGAGGATTGCGGTTGTATCTCTGCTTGTACCGAGCGACGGTATCAGAAAGTGAAGAGGTACTTCCCACAGATTGCAGGTAATTATCGTGGTGGATTTTCGCATCGTAGATCAGCATATCTATCGGATGATAGTGTACGTAGCTATTCTTCCGTAAAGCTGGGAAGATAAGGATGCACAAAAGAAGGAACAGTAACGTCTGTCGAGATGCTGACAGTGGAGTCCTATCGCCCACTGCTTGCTGGCTGTGTCGATATGCTAACCAGCCCCAAAAAACGAAAAGAAAGGAAAAGGTGGTTGTAGATAGGGGGGTTGGAGGGAAGGGATTTCTGTGAGACCAGATAAACTCGAATCCTGGTATCATTGTCATTAGAGCCGTCAAATAGAGCGACATGTCCAAGGCGCCGTGAGTCATGATCTGTCGTTGTTAGTGGGCAGGGCGATTGAAGATATCGTGCTTGACTTACACTATGCAAAGTGCTGATGCAGAAAAGACAGAAGAGCAAAATATGCCCGAACATTGCCACAAATGTACTGAACTCAACGCCCGGCCGAAGCAAGAGGAGCCAGTTCCTGTACTCTGGCTTGAATACATACACGATCGAAGCCACGACCGACCAGATCACGGCCGTCGCAAAAATGGCGGAACTCCAAAGGACTGCATATCGCCGTCCTGAAAGACCACGACCATTGCTCTTGGGCGAGCTTTCGTAGACCAGGAGCACAAGGCACAGGTCTAGAAATAGAGCTATGACTTGCATCGCTGGTACAGTCCTAGGTTCACCGGTCACGATCGGGCATATGTAGGTTGAATTCGAAGAGCTCCAGAGCCCTTGCGCCAGATACGCCCCATAAGACACGAGCAATATCGGAAGTAAATACCGAGTGCGAGGCCTAAGGATGAAGCGTTTAAGGGCCATACGTATTCCATCATAGATGCTGCTGTCCGGACGATCATCTTGTTCTAGGGCCAACGGCCGCTGTGATCTAGCCGCATCATAGCAAGCGAGGAGAAAGGGCAGGAACACCTCGACGTTGTCCATAGTGCATTCTGTCGCTTTCCCTATTCGGCGGTATAGTTCAATGCGCAGTGACAGTGCGACTACCGCTGCAGCCAACACTGAGATGCGAACCTTTCCATCTTGTCTAGTACTGGGCTTTGTAGGTTCCAATCTTTCAAGCGCATGCCCAAGATCTTCCAGTGGGACTGCTTCATATTGTGGTTTCTCAAGGCCCGGTGGCTGAAAAAGGGTTGGGAGTGCTTTGGTTGCGCTCACCACGGCGAAGGAACATGAGAAGAGACCAAAGACGATAAGGTGTACAGGCCGATCTATGTATAGTCAGCGACAAGGATGGTTCAAGGATCAAGTGGTAAGCGACGCGTGGGCCTTACCATGTGCGGTAGAGATTGGAAAGAGATGCACAAGCCACGCTGCTGCAACGAGTGAAATGCTGGAATAGGAAAGTCAGTGAGCGGTCTCTTTCACCCCATGCTTTGCGAAACACCTACCAAAAGCATACACTGTCGATAGTCGCCATGGCCTGATGCCAGGCTGCTTGCGACAGACGATCTCCTACTCGTAGCTGGAATCAGGAGAGCCCTCCAACCTCGAATATCGCAAATTCCGTCTTCTTCTACGTAGCGGCATTCCGAGGTTCGCTTGGCATATCGATGTATCGCACAATAGCCTCGCACAACGTGAGAGCACGCTGCGACTAACGATTTGTCAGGAACCGTTCAGAATAGTAGTTTATTGCAAGCCGGTCTTGATCTACCGCCACAAGGCTGGGCTGGGCGAGTCCCACGAGGCTGCACTAAAGTTCTCGCCTTCTCCACGCCTATTGTCAATAGAGGCAGGTCTGCCGAAATAATTTTTTGGAGAAAGATTCTCGTCGCAGGCAATTTTATCGCGAAAGACCTTCTACCATTTGGTATTCCCAATCCCTTCATGATCAGCTGATATCTGAGGCGGAGGGAGGCCGGGACATTGCAAAAATGCCTCGAAAAGCGATCGACTCGCGCATTCCAGCGCTCATTCGCAATGGCATCCAGGAAAAGAAGCGCAGTTTCGTGGTCGTCGTCGGCGACAGAGCAAAGGATGTCATTGTCCATCTGCACTACATTATGTCCTCAGTCGATGTGAAACAGAACAAGTCAGTACTATGGGCATACAAGAAAGATCTCCTTGGTTTCACGAGCCACCGGAAGAAACGAGAAGCAAAGATCAAGAAAGAGGTTAAACGAGGTATTCGAGATGCGAACACCGAGGACCCTTTTGAACTCTTCGTCACTCTGCACAACATTCGTTACGTTTATTATAAAGAGACGGAAAAGATTCTCGGTAACACATATGGCATGTGTATATTGCAAGACTTCGAGGCGATCACTCCCAACCTGCTAGCCCGAACCATTGAAACCGTTGAAGGTGGAGGATTGGTGCTGCTGCTTTTGAAAGGAATGAAGAGTTTAAAACAACTTTACACGATGTCGATGGACGTCCACTCCAGATATCGGACTGAAGCACATGATGATGTTGTGGCAAGATTCAATGAACGCTTCATTCTATCATTAGGTTCGTGCGAGTCATGTCTGGTGATCGACGACGAGATGAATGTGTTGCCCATATCTGGTGGAAAGAATGTCCAAGCTCTTCCCCCGCCCGTCTCAGCAGAGGACAGCGTGCTGCCCAACAAGAAGGAACTGAAAGAGATCAAGGATAGCTTGCTTGAGAGCAAGCCTGTTGGTCCTCTCATTTCTTTGGCGAAGACAGTTGACCAGGCCAAAGCGCTCCTCACGTTCGTCGATGCCATATCCGAGAAGACACTCCGAAGTACAGTGGCCTTGACAGCTGCTCGAGGACGAGGCAAATCGGCCGCTCTTGGTGTCGCTGTAGCCGCAGCAATAGCCCATGGTTACAGCAATATCTTCATAACATCCCCCAGCCCGGAAAACTTGAAGACTCTTTTCGAGTTTGTAATCAAGGGATTCGATGCTCTTGAGTACATGGATCATGTCGACTACACTATTTTACAGTCAACAAATCCGGACTACAACAAGGCCATTGTACGGATCAATGTTCACCGCCAGCACAGGCAAACGATACAGTATATCCAACCTCAAGATGCCCACGTTCTGGGTCAGGCTGAATTGGTTGTGATTGACGAGGCGGCTGCCATTCCTCTTCCTCTCGTCCGGAAATTGATGGGGCCGTATCTTGTCTTCATGGCCTCAACAATCAACGGTTACGAAGGCACTGGTCGGTCATTGTCCCTCAAATTGGTCCAACAACTACGCGAGCAATCCAGAGGTGGTGTTGTCAACGGGGACGATCTCGAAATCACCGACAAGTCCACTGGCAAAGCCGCCAAAGATGGTCAAAAGGTCTATAATGGAGGTCGCTCCTTGCGAGAGATCACTCTTTCTGAGCCCATTCGGTACGCCCCAGGTGATGGGGTTGAGAAATGGCTGAATCGTTTACTCTGTCTCGATGCGACGCTTCCTAAATCTAAGATGAACACTCAAGGCACACCTCACCCCTCCACATGCGAGCTCGTCCATGTTAACCGAGACACACTCTTCTCCTTCCACCCCGTATCCGAGAAATTCCTCCAGCAAATGATGGCCCTGTACGTTGCCAGCCACTACAAAAACTCACCCAACGACCTTCAACTAATGTCTGACGCTCCCGCGCATCAACTATTCGTCCTCATCCCACCCATCCCCGAAGATTCCAACAGACTCCCCGAGCCTCTCTGTGTCATCCAAGTCGCGCTGGAAGGCCGCATCAGCAAGAACGCCGTTCTGAACTCTCTGTCCCGCGGTCAACGTGCAGGAGGTGATCTCATCCCATGGCTTGTGAGCCAACAATTCCAGGATTCCGAGTTCGCTGGCCTCTCAGGCTCACGCGTTGTCCGCATCGCAACCAACCCGGAGTACCTCAACATGGGCTACGGTTCACGCGCCCTACAACTCCTCACGGACTTTTACGAAGGCAAATTCACATCTCTCTCTGAGAACGAGTCGATAGAAAGCGCCGAGCACATGCCCCGCCTCACGGACGCAGAACTCGAATCATCCACCCTTCTTGACGACAACATCCGGGTCCGCGATATCCAAAAGATGCCGCCTCTCTTTAGCAAACTGTCCGAACGACGGCCCAACCATCTCGACTACCTGGGCGTGTCATTCGGACTGACCCAACCACTCCACAAATTCTGGAAACGAGCCTCCTTCGCACCCGTCTACCTGCGCCAAACGCCCAACGACATCACGGGCGAGCACTCGTGCGTGATGCTCAAGCCCCTCTCCACCACCGCCGGAACCGGTGCGGACTCGTCCTGGCTCAGCGCATACGCCCAAGACTTCCACAAACGTTTCCTCACCCTCTTGTCATACCAGTTCCGCACCTTTTCATCCATCCAGTCTCTGAGTATCTCCGAATCGGCGACACGGGCGACCTCGGCCGCAGCAGAGCCGAGCACCACTGTTGCTCCACTGACCAAACCCGAACTCGACGCTTTGTTTTCTCCCTTTGACCTCGCGCGACTCGAATCGTACGCCAACAACCTGCTGGACTACCACGTCATCCTCGACCTGATGCCCTCGATCGCCATGCTCTTCTTCACAGGCCGACTCAAGCTCGCCCCGTGCAACGTCAGTCTCTCCGGCGTGCAGCAGAGCATCCTTCTCGCCATTGGCCTGCAGCGCAAGGACCTCGGCGACGTCGAGAAGGAACTGAACCTGCCCAGCAACCAGCTCCTGGCCATGTTCATCAAGGTCGTGCGCAAGGTCAGCACGGCGTTCAGGTCGGTCGTGTCCGGTGCGGTCGAGGCCGAGTTGCCGGAGAAGAAGAGCGACGCCATCAATTCTGGCGCTGGGTCCAATGGGATGACATCTCGCGTCCAAGTCCCGGCTCAGTCCGTTCTTGGAAATGATGATGACGACGACAAATATGACGACGACGACGACATGGTCGACCCGGCTTTCAAAGAGAAGCAGCGCGCTCTGATCGACGCGTTGCCTCTGGACAAGTAAGTACATTATTCATCGAGGACAGTTATCCAAATTTCATCATCACGGCGTGGCGTGACATGACCCAAACACCATGAATACGTGCCAGTTGATTGATCAAAACAAGTCTGAACTAATACCAGCCTTTCTGTCGAATAGATATGAAATCCGAACCGGCCAAGGAAACGGCGACGGCGGCGAGGGCGACGACGACACGGCCTGGGCCGAAGCGGAGCGGCAAGTCCGAGAGGCGGCTCTCGCGCCCGGCGGGAAAAGCAGCACGACCGTCAGCGTCAAGAGCGTCAGGAAGAACAAGAGAAAGGCGGATGAGACCACCACCGGCGATGGCGATCGTCAAGATGATGGTGGCGAGAAGAAGAAGAAACAAAAGAAAAAGGACAGAGGGGACGGCGAGAAGAAGCACAGGAGCAGCAAAGACAAGGATCACAAAAGACATCGATGATTTATGATCAGCTCTAGTAGTAAATTCCAAGTTGCCGGAACTCTGTGCGGGCTTATTTAATAAGTCCGCCAGTGCTACTCTCTGTAGCTGTAGTTCAGACGGCTCAAATGCTTTTCTGGTATCCATCAACGACTTCAAGGTGGGTGGTGATGTTGAAATACTCTCTAAATAAACCTCTGACTTAATCTGATGGCACAAATTCATCATCGTCGTCGACGCCGCCATCAACTTCGGTATACTTGACTTGCTTGCCAGCATGTCGTTTCGATCTCGGTCTGCCTGCAGACGCTGATCTGGCACGTTTCCGGGCTTTGGTGGACGATGTTGTCACGGATTGTGACAACGGTGACGCTGGTAACGGCCTGGCTCGTGATTGACTGCCGGGTCGCATTTTGCGTCTTTTGCCAATGTTCGCATTAGGCTTCGTCTTGATCTTGATCTTCAGGACATTTTTCAGATTCTTGTTCACGAGCTGTGGTTGATCCGGTTCAGGTCCTTGTTGGGCTTGGGCATCTGACTCTCCCTCCCCTTCGCCGGTAGTACTCTGCCTCCAAGTCTTCATCCAGAGATTGTGATCGTGCTGGACTGCTGGTGGTTGACAGTCAGCACCGCCGCCGTAGAACCATTCGGCTTCTTCTGCTTTGCTGCCATCGCTGTTGTCCCAGATTCCATGGATGATTGTCTTTCGGCTGGGGTCAGCGGGATGACAGAGCGCTTCGTACCTTCCAAAACGAAAATTTGGGACTGGACATTCGCAGGTTTGTCGCACATATGAACCTAGATATTCGTCCATTTCCCGACGCTCAGCGAGGCTTGAGGCGCGAGTGTAACGGTAGCGGAACCCCTTGTGATTAAAGACCTTTTCGCTTGTGAGCTTGTCGGGATCGAAGCCTTTGGGGTATCGCAGCTTCACCACCAAAGACTGGTTCCCGGCCTGTTCTTCGAGAGCTTTGGAGATAATGTTGTTTAGTTGTTTCCCATCAAACTGGTTGCGGGTTTCCGAGGCTTGTTCTCCTTGCGAAGAGGATGGTGAAGCGACATGAATATCCTCATCCTTACTCCCCGCAGGAGGAAGACAGGGTGGACAAGGCTCCATCGTGGCATCATGATCATGTTTCGCGAGGGGCGTCTGGGGGCATTCAACCCGGTCAGCATCAACCTCTTCCTGATCATTGGTATTTGTGGAAATACTGTCTGAAGACTTTGTCTCATGGGAATCTTTGGAGAAATTCTCGCTTGTGGTAGCACACTCGCCCAATATAAGAACTTGTGCATCATCATGAAATCCTCCCATTTCAACATCTTTAGATGCATCGTTGTCGTTATCAGTTTTCAGAGACTGGTGTTTCAGGCTAGAGAATAGGTCTGCTAAGAGGCTTCTCTTTTCAGTAATCCTCTTCTCCAACTGTGCAGTTTCAGTCTCTAGGCGCAGGTGTCTCTCCGGGTCGCCAGCTGCTTGTTCGGCAGCAGTAGATAGAGAATTGATTGAATGGATATCCTGCAGGAGGTCTCTCAAGGCAGTCCTGGCGATCTCCTCATCGCTTTGGGAGTCTGTAAAGAGAATATCTGTGTCGGAAACGAATTCAGGGACGATAAACGATCCTGAGCTGGCTAACCGTCTGAGCTCTCCTATATTAGTCACAGCGATAACCTTCTCCATGAAATCGATCAAGGGTATGCCAACGGCAGAATTTTTTTTGCCAGTGTCCGGAAACTGCCTACCGAGATTGTATCCTTCTTGGTCAACACTTTCTGGTGACATGGAGGATGTAGTCTCAGCTCGATCGTTGACCTCAAGAGCAAGGGCAAGAAATAGATTGTGGCGTTTCGTTTCTTCATCAATGCGTTTCTGGGTATTCAACTTTTGTTGTTTCGTTGTGAATCGGACATAGAGCCCTTCGAGGTTGTTGAGGCTACGTCGTGACATCTGCACCTCAAAGAGAGAATAGTGAAGGAGATCTCGACCCAGAGGATTTAACGGCGTGACTTCCTCCGTGCGCCGCCAGTCCGTCTCAGAAATATCTTCTGTTTCCAAATCATCAAGAACCTCTTGTAACAATTCGTCACCAGCACTCAAGTCGGTTGCAGCTCTCTTACGGACACGATTCTCGGAGATGCCAGCTTGCTTCAGCTCGCCCGCAGTAACGCCCCAAAACTGGGAGTTCTTGTAGCTTTCCGACACGAAGATCGGTAATTTTGAAGGTTCTACTTTCCTCTGGCGAGGTCTAGCTAAGGGCGGAAGCTGGCCAAGATTCAACTGTCTCTTGCCAGAAGTAGGAGCCATAGGCGGACGCTGACGACGTTTGCCGCTATCTGGGGCTGATATTCCTGAGTCGTAGCCAAGGCGCAGTGCTTCGAACCATGCTTTTTGCAAAACATCAAAAACATGATCAAGAACCTCTTTTCGTCGTGCGTCATCTTCGATTCTGGTCCCTAGCTCTGCCCATGATTTCACATGCTCCATGATCTGGCAATTGAAAGGTAGGCTTCTGTCGGGCAGCAGATGTGACAAATCAAAGCGGCGACGGAGCGGTGACAGATAAAGTTGTTGCGGAATCGAAGGAAATCGGCAAGTTCCTGCAGGGTGTGTAGTATCATCGTAGTCATGGCTCTTGAAAGGAGGTATCTCAAATCTACCTTCTCGAAGACCCTGTCTGACCCGACTAAGCGTGTCACAAGTGCTTGCGGCATTTTGGTCTCTTGTGATATCGATTTCGTTAGACTCCATGGATAAAACGGTCGAAGACTGCTGGAGCTTCTCATCAGACTGGGTGGAATGTTTCTGCGCAATGATCTCGTCCTTTGGGTTTGCAGCTTCAAAATCATTGATTACAGCCGGCCGATCTGACACGGGAGTGTTCATCGGCGAAACTGAGCCACATTGAGAAGATGACATAGTCATTTCTTCTCGATTCATTATACCTTTGTCTGATTCAATTTCGCTAGCATCTGTTTCAGGATGAGTCAAGCCCGCATCGGCTGGTGGGATTGTTGTCATCTTACCAGGATCCAACCGTGTTGGCTGGCGAAACTGAGTTAAAGCCACAGAAAGGTATCATAAATTCAATCAGCCTGGATAAAATGGTCGACAAAACCGTCAGAAATAACGACTTCCAAGAGTTTCCTCGAAATATGATGGCCAGAAAAAAGCCTAGGTACAAGTGATCTCGATGGTAGCAATGAAAGGGCTGAGACCAGGAGATGTTCATCATCCTCAGGGTGTCGCAATATTCACCACCCAAAGTCAGTGAAATGTGAGAAAGGAGGGCAGGAAGCGGAAGAGGGGCAGAGTAAGTGGATGGTGCGACAAAAGCACAAATGAGAGTCGAGTGAAGTCGACAACGTCAGGATAGTTCAGAGTCAGATGATAATAATTGGTATGATGGGACTCAGCAATTAATCAATCGCTCGGTGCTGATTGTCTAAGCAGGACTCTCAAGTCTGTGCAGTATCAATCAAAGAATTGCTCAAGAACGTTACAATTCATCATGTTCGGTAGACGCAGTTTGTTCGTGGACTGTACTCGAAGCACCCTCAACAACTTCACTTGGTTCAGACGCAGGCGACTCTGGTGCTGAACCTCCGAAAGTATCAGGTAATCGTGTCTTCGAACCTTCTCCTAGTTTGATGGCGTCGATGAAATTCTCAAGATCGAGAATATTGTGGCCCTCGCTTTGATATCTTCTCCACCACCGTCTCTTCATGTTCAAGGCAACGATCTCAAGGCTACCATCAGCTGCAAATCCCAACTCTTGTCGAATTTTGATCGCAGCTGGGTTGTCAGCTGTGACCGCATAGGCGGGTATCATATTGGCTTTGCGTTTACTATACTTCTGCACGATTTCAGCGATTCCAGCCAATGCAGAAGTCGCGGGTTGAGACACTTCCTCTGGATCAGCACTCGCCGGAACCAGAACCAAGAGACAATTGCCACTCTTTGGAGTCAAACAGGCAGTTTCAAGCTCGGCAGCAGTGCTAGCTGTGGGAATCGGGGGTATCACATCTGGGACAACCATGGGCTTCTCCTCATGCTCCACGATAGGAAGTGGTGACTCTGTTGGCGTATCATCGTCCAGTACAATCGTCCCAGAGCTACCCAAGAAGTCGTCATAATCGGATGATTTATGAGCTTCGGAGGCTTTGGAAAATGCCGCGGATGCAGATCTCGAGGACTTCGCCTTCTTCGATGTTGATTTGGGTGATTTCGCCTTCTTCGGAGCAGGATCTGGGTTGGGCGACGCAACTTGACTGAAAAACGCCACCAGGGCCTCCCGATTAATTTCGCCGTCATAAGGGATAGGTGCTTCACCAGCAGCTGGGATAAGCTGGACCGTGGGTAAGGTCGTCACACCAAATTTCTCAGCAGTGTCCTTGTGCCTTATCTGGGCAAAAGCAATGTTTCCAAGAAAGTCTACGGCCAGGCTTTTGACGAGGGGGCTAGTGGTCCCTTTGTCCGTGAAGATGAGGGCCTTTGCATGGGTAGAAGGATCTTCCAACCACTCTTCGAGAGCTTCGCCCTGTAATCTCTTGACGTGGTTGGGTATCTTATCCTTAACGGCCTCCACGATGCCTTTTGCTGATCTGGGTCCGTTGTAGTCTTCGACAATGGGTCGTCCTGGCTTTTTGCCGGGTTTGACGATTTTCAGAGTGGGAAATCCTTGGATACCCATCTGTCCACAGAATGGTTTGTTTGCCTCGTCATCACAGTCCACAGCAGCAACTTTGGCCAGTCCAGCAAGGTTTTTGGCAGCTTTCTCGTAGGCAGGTTTGAGGTTTTGACAATGTCCACACCACGGTGCGTAGAACTCTACTATCTGGAGCAGGCGTTAGTCATGAACTGAAGGGAGGGGCATTGTCGGCGTACAGATGTATGATTGGACTGGGCGATGAGAGAATCGTATGTTTTCCCCGTAACCTGAAGGACAGGAGAATTCTTGCTGTAGAAGGCATCAACCTCAAGACAAATGAGGGCAAGCACCGCCCAAGCGAGGAGGCTTGAACGAGCCATAGAATCAATAATACGAATCCGACAGGCAATCTAAAGAACTTCAGGGCACAAGATGATGGTGCAGGAAGGCATGGGCTCGAGATATGACCATGGCCCAAGGAAGTGGTGTTGCACACTGTAGTTTTCGAACACGCTGGCTTGAAGTGGGCTCGAGTGCAGGGAGGAATTATTGCGAAAGTGATGGTAAATCCGGGGTAAGAATCGCGTAGTGGTGAAAGTGGCATAATTTTGTCTGACAATAACCAGTAGCAACAATAATCCATAGAACACTTGTCAAGGTCTTGTCTACGATCGCTATCACCTATCCAGGCCTCATCATTGGCTTCCAGGTACGGAGTTGGTAGGTAGAAACTGAAATGGTAAATGGACTACGGAGTGCTTCTTCTTACTCTAGAATCCTCCTACGTATTTGAATTGGAGACAAAGGTAGAGTAAGCTGCAGTATTTCCACAGTCGTGTCAAAGAGACGAACATATTCACCGAAATCAGACTGCGCCGCTGGTTATGCCTCACCAGTGCCTTACGCTTCTCTAAAGTCGATGGCAGCGTAGTCTCAACCTCTTACCTCTTGAAACGCCCACGATTGTTTGTTCCCTTCAAATCCTTGCTCTTGACATCATCCCAGACATGGAGTGGTGATCGAAAGCACATTCAATGGCTTTGCCGTAGGATAAGGGAACGTGTCACCGTTTTCGGAGCTTGTCCAACTGAAGCCAAGTGATTCAACCACTGGGGCGCATCAGCGCGACCATATTAGAGGGGCACTAGGAGGTCGGGTTGTCCATGTCAGGAGGTACATTAGAAGATCGACCGAAAGGAGGAAGCCAGGTAGAAACTCTAGGAACGCTCAAGAAGCTTTACCTAGGTTGGTAAACCGAGAGGCGCATAAAATGGTGTAGGTGCTTCATGAAATCGCCGATAACAATGCCTAGAAGACGGTGCGAGGTGCTGTACGTACGGAATCGATAAAACACTATCCATGGCTTGCAGGGCGAGGGCGGAAGCTGACATTTACCAGTCAAAAGACCTCGGAGGCAATACGGAGTAATATCACCAACACATCATCGGAGTGGAGTGATGATGGTAATGGCCACCGCCTCTCTGGTCCTTGTGTGCTCTTAAACCTCATACTCCAGACAGGATTTCTGGCTTGAATCTGCGGTGTCGATCATGGGCCAAAGACGGGGATGGAATCATTGCCCAAGGCGGATCATCCAAACACCAATCGACCACGACCTTATCCTTGCAAAGGGGGTCACAGGTTGATGCGATGCGTAAGCGAACTTTGCCCAGTGTTGAAGTGCCCTGCATCTGCTACTCCCCGTTGAGTTAATGCGACTGATAATGATCATGGCGTAATTTGCTGAGGCGCTGTAGGTGGTATTCGTGTCACATTGAGTAGACGCCGGTTTCGCCGTGGGCCCAGCTCCTTCGTATTATTCGTATTGTACGGAGTCGCTACCAACGGGAGGAGTAGAAGGGCAAGACATGGACTGCGGATGATGTTTACGGTAATTAAATTGTACAGGTTCTTGGTACAATATTATTTAATCAATTAAGCCAACTAGGGATCCGTATATCATCTGTAGATAGACACCTGAGGTACTCTAGCTAAGACAGGCGAATAAATCAATCTTGGGTGGAACTCCCAAGCTACGGGATACGGAGTACTACCTAATACTTGTACCTGGCTTAACTAGGTACCTTGCCTGGCCTCCTACTGTGTCCCAAGGAAATCCAGTACCACCTTCCCGCACCTTTTAGTCCCCAATATAAGTTGTGTTAGTTCCAGCCCTACAGAGTCACCACCACATCCTTCCATACTAATCGACAATCTTGGGCATTTTGACCATTACAGACGCTTTCAATCATTCTGAATCGCCTTCCCTCTTTTCTCATTATCACGACATTTTCACAGAGTTCGGGTCTTTCAGATTGCACCCGTCTTGGTGTGAATCCTCAACTATTATGGCAGAATGGCTCAAGGTCGAGCCAAACGCCCTCATAAAAAGACGAAAACAGGGTGTTTGACCTGCAGGTATCCATGCCACCCTTACTCGGCTTCTTCAATCTTGTATACCCATTCACACTGGTCGCAGAAAACGACGCATAAAGTGCGATGAAGCGAAGCCCGCATGTCGACAATGTACAGACTCTCTCCGAAAATGCGAAGGCTATCAACCGCCTCAAACATGGCTCTTCAAGCCTCGAAACCCTCCAGCGCAGTCTCGAGAAAACATGAATCTCATTCACTTTGTGGCTCCGATGTCTTCAATCGGTGATTCTGACGACAAACGCTCCTTTCAATTCTGGGTAGAACAGGCTGCTCCTATATTTTCATGTTACTTTGGTAAGGCCGCCGCCGACTCCTTTCGGTTTCTTTACTCATTCCTTGCGACTAGGGCATTCATTCTGGACTCAGCTACTTCCTCAACTTGGCTTTGTCCGGCCCGCAGTCAAACACATGCTTCTCGTCACCTCTTCAGTGGTCGAGAACACTGCCTTGGAGGGCGGCCCTCTGGACCAGAACATAGTCTACCAATCTCACTACACAAAAGCTATTCAAGCCACCTGCTCGTCTCCCCAGGTGGAAAATGTGCTGTTGGCCTGTCTTCTATTCGCCTGTTGCGACTTCATGAAGGGTTCATATGATAGTGGACTGCGACACATCCGTTCCGGCTTGAGTATCATGGACGAGTGGTACAACTCGATCCGGAATTCCAACCTCAAGGCTTCTCCATCTGCTCGCTTGATCATCAACGCAATCGGCCCTATTTTCGTCTCTTATATCGACAAGTCTCCGACCTATGGTTTCGGTGATATCACAGTGGATAATTGTGCTTGTGCAGGCATGCTGACTCCGAGTCTTGAATTACCCTACATCGCTCCCTTCAACCACATCCATGGAGCTCTTCACGCTCTTGATGGTATTGCTCACTACGTAGCAAGGCTAATGGACTGGCGCAAGCAGTCTTGGACACTGTCACCACCACAAAAGATACAAATGTTATTGGATACTTGGCGTATGAGTTTTGACAGATTCGAAACCAGTTTGACACCAGCAAAACGGGACGCCTACACCATGGCACTTTCATACCTGCGAATCTATCACACCATGTTCGGAGTCATGGTTCGAGCTTCGGCCGGGGACTCTGAAGCCATCTACGAGAGATTCGATGAGGAATTCAAATGGATTGTGGATCGTTATGACGACTTTACGACTTCATGGGCCAAGGACGACAGTCTTAAATTCTCTGCCGGGACTTGGGCGAATCTCGAGTATCATTTCGGCTTCATTCCTCCACTCTTCTTCACTGCCATCAAGTGTCGCGACCCTACAACACGAATGGACGCGCTGAACCATCTTGGCTCTCTCCGAGTTGTGGAAAATAATTGGACAAGCTGCACCGCCTATGTGATTGCGAAGAAAATGATGCAGATTGAAACAAATCTATCCATCATAAATGACCGAACCGACCTCACAGATCAACGCGACCTCATTCGACCCATTGAAGCTTACATTACAGACAAAAGAATGCCCCAGGCCGGTCTCGACTATGCGGTCTATCCTTTCATAAAAGATCAACCGCTGATACAACACGAGACTATTGATCTTTCCGACTGCCCAGCTTTGTCTTCTCCATCAGCGCGATGGGTGAGTTCGATTCACCATTCCATGGGTCTTTTTGAAATTGCTAACTCTTGAATAGCCTTTGGCCAGAATACTACGCATTGGTGGCTACCAAGGAGGAGGTATAACCCCGGCGCCGACCAATTGCCACTGCCAGTTCTACTCCTGTGGCAATAGACTCTTCTACAGACCTAGGACGTGAGCTCGAGAGACACGCCAACCCTAGTTAAAACCAGTACTTCGACGACTTGACGATATCTCGAACCAATGATAAGATCAGTTCTCATTCCTTCCAAATCCTCTCATCCACCGAGCTAAGCGAATGGTTGGTTTCCACTGTGGCGAGCATTTCCTGAAAGCGTACTTGCCAATGCTGGGTCCTTCCAGGCCTAGGTCGGCCGATAAGCCACCTCAAAGAGTCAATCGCGTATCGTGGCATTATTTGACCCAGTTGGTGGGGTTTGAGAGGCGTTGTATGAAGTATGACCGAATGGCTACCCACGGCATAACGGTTACCACTTGATCATATTGATATAAACGTGAGCAAATTAGTTTTGTGTCTGTCAAAAAGCCTACAGTACACCTCCAGTGGCCAGTCCTCTGCCCCGATCAGCGAATCCGGGATTACCTCCTTGGGTAAACGGGCCTTTTGAGATCGCCGCTTGACTTCACCTGACACGGAACATCGCTGGGTCTGATTTCCCATAGAGGGACGCCCAGGGTGCAAGTCGGAACAACGATCAGGAGATATGCCGTGAGCAGGGTCGGAGAAGGTGCTGTAGCCTGAATGGATACCCCTGAAAGCTCAATGCGGGAGGACGAGGCCGAGGTTGTTTCAGCTCCGAAGACCTGTCTGTGCATGGGTCAAAAATCACAAGCCAACAAGTCATAAGCCAAACTTTCGATTCTCCGTCATGATGACAAGACAGTGAGGAATGTGTATGAAGCTTTCCGACCTCACGAGGTAGTCGATGAAGGTCTGGTCGAGAGTGGTAAGATGACGTTGATGGTGCTGACCTATTTTGGCCCCCGCCTTCAGCCGCAGCCACAGCCGCAAACGGTCCTTGCTTACAACAAAAAACCAGATGTAATCAAACCACCTACCTATTAGGTCGTGGGTACTCGTACAGAGTACGGAACTACGGAGCACGAATTGTCTAAATCTTAACCTGACACGTGGAAACACCACGAGTCCTATTTGGAGGAGAGAAACACAACCAAATTCAATATAGCCCCGGCAGGAATAGGTAACCAGGTCTCTTCTGTGTGCCCGTCCAGGGCGATTACATAGGACAGGAGTGTTGTACCGTACGGTGTGAACTTCAAAAAAATCGTAAAGAATGCACGAACGTCCGTCCCTTTTCTTTTTCGGAATATTCCACAGTTGCCCCAGAGTCCACTCGTCTGTATCAGGCAGGAGGTCCGCAAGCGTTGATTGGAACCGGGCACCACACGGTAGGTACGGCCGGCAGGTGGAAGGGCGGGCAGGTTGAGAAATGACGGTGCCGCGCGACGCGGACGGGCGGAGAGAGAGAGAGAGAGAGAGAGATTTACGGGAGATACTCGCTACTTAGCGGAGTGTACATGTACTTTTGTCACCCGGGCACCCTTCCTTACCTGCTTTGAGTCACTAGGCGGTTTACTCGTACGTACTACTTACTGTAAGAGGAGTCGACGCCCCCCCAATTCCCCGGAGTGTGTCCGAAGAGAGGTAGATGGATAGAGAGAAAAGATAAGAAAACGGTCAAGTATGATTACAAAAGTGATGCGCGGATTTTATTTTGTTTCCGTGGCCTTGGGTAGAGAGTTGAATCCGTTGGCACATTTGAATCTTAGAGTATATTCCGTGGTTGTTGGAGTTTGGTAGACAAATACCTACAGAGGCGGGCTCATTTCACATATACCGTGATCATCATGGGCGGGCCGCTTTGGAGTGAGCACTTCTGTAATAACTAACCACGCAAAAGGAATTCGTCGTCACAGGTGATGGTGCGAATCGCAAATTTGATGGTAGTTGCGTCCTCCGTCCCATCATTAAAGAGGGAAGCCTACCCACAAAGGATCGCTTGACGTTCATATCTGTGCGTGGGCCGCGCCAATACGTCCTCGTGACCAGCGACAACTTGCTGCAACAGAAGGGAGAAAAAATCTCTCGGCTGTTCGTCCTCAGCTTTGTATGCGGTTTGCGGGCCTGGACTGTTCGCGACAAAAGGTCCTGGTATCTCCAATGGCCCAGAGTCCGGCTGTCCTCTTGCATCTGGCTTGAGATCTCGGCGCGGAGAGTGAACCCGTGGAGTCTGGAGACTGAATTCAACTGGTCTTGTGAATGAGTAAACGTCGTACAAATGACACTCCTGACGGACTCAATCAAAAAGGCTGACAAAATTCTCAATTCATCCTCCGAGTGAGCCCGCATCATAGATACCTCGCCTCGCTGAACCTCGAAGAAAAATCGGCGGCCTTCTTGACCATCTCCCTACGCTTGGTGGCGCTAATTGCCATGCCACCACCGATATCTTTCTCGCGATCAAATGCACGAGCACTGGGGTCGTCTTCTTCCACAGCCTTGTTGGCGGAGCTATGGGAGGCGTAGAGAGATGGGCCTCTCTGCTTGTCCTGGTGAAATGTAAACTTCCAATCTGGGCAATGGCAAAATGGATGATTACCACCCAGAGTTACATCAGTAGGGGACCGACTTACGCTATACTCTTTCACCCTCTTTGCCGTCGCCTCGTCATGCGAAGTGCCTGTGGGTTTCATCTTCCTCTCTGAGGAGGCTGTGGGGTCTGAAATTCCCATGACTTCCCTTCTCAGACGAGCTTGCTTCTCCTCGGGTGTCTCATGCCACGACGACCCTCCGACTCCGGATTGTTGTGGACCTTTTGCACCTTTTGTGGTATTGAACTTTCGGTTCTTCAGTTTCGTAGGGTCTATCCGCGAAGACCAATCCCCGTTGTCAGGCGCCATGGTCATCCATTCGTCCCGCTGAAGTCGTGCAGGCGGATCGTTGGAGGATGATATCTGTGGTCCGATTGACTGTACCGGCTTTGAGGAGTCACCTGCAGAGGGCAGACTAGGACCGAAATCATCGTCGTCGCTACTCTCACCTTCATGGGCGTCAACGGGCTGCGGCGGGCTCGGGGGTCGTTCGTCTAGAGGCGCCGGCGGAAGCGTAGGGCCTATGACTCGGCTGCGCTTGGAGGAAGGTGGCGACGACTCTTTTGAGGCAGGTCGTTGAGGTAGAGGACCTGTCGAAGAATCAGAAGAACTGCCTTGTCCTTCGTTTTCATCGTCTGGGCTGCGTTTGCGCTTTTGTAATTCGGGAGGAAGCTGCGGGCCGACAGGAGCCATTACAAGAATCCGATATAGTGAACCTAGGAGTGATGTGCTGAGGAAGTGGTCGTCAATGTCCGCGGGTTGTCAAAATTGAGGGAAGGGAAATTGTTCTGGTCCTGAGCGCATCGAATTGGACTTTCTGGAAAGCACTGTTTACCTGACTTGCCCAGGTGGAGAATTTCCCTGAGGGTATTGTGGGGGAGGAGCGCGATGCCCATGACGCCTATCGAAAGAGCCGAGGGGAGCCCCAAGTGTAGACGCTATAGGGGGCAGGTTTGGCGACTTAAATTCTCTCTGAGTGAGGCTTCTCTGTCTCTACTCGTTCTCCCAATAAACTCCCTCTCCACCCTCAACCCTGGGTGATGACAACTTTCCACTGGTCGAATTGAAAGGCGATGGGCGGATGGATGCATGTTTCATGTCCCTGGATAATCAGATTCCATCTATTCGTCGGGTTCATATTTTTGCAAGCGCCGGGACGCCTTCCTGCAGACGCCCTCGTATCTCCCGCCAGTCATGTCGCTGGACTTTTCTCCTCGTCACAAAAGTCCTTCGAATCAGACTGTCTGGCCCGCTTCTAGCTGATGGAGGCTTGAGTAGCCCTGGCACTCACGACCGGATGCTTTGGTCGACATGCAGGACTTGAGGTTAAAGGTATAATTCAACCCTATCCCTGCCGGAGCCTTGTTTTTCAAGGATGCCTTCCTCACTTCACCTTTGTAAGGTAGGGCGGTGTTCCTTGCTCGCTTTTTGTCCTCGGTTGAACGTCTTGAACCCCACCCGCTTCCCTTTTGATATCCAAGGAAATATGTAAAGGACTCTCGTCCGATTTGGACGCCATATATCATCACCATCGCTATGGGTGGAACGGACGTATCCTCGATAGTGTCGTCCATCATAACAGCTTTAGGAAGCGGGCTGAATATCTTTCACCGTATAAGTGGAAAGAAGAGGAAATCAAACGCAAGGCTTCCGCGACCATCTGAGGAAGAAGAATGGCTACGACAGTCCCTAACGACTCGACCTGTGCAAATCAGAAACGAATACGATCAGAGTGTAGCAAAACATGGAAACAGATTCGAAATCGGAGACGAAGTGGCCCATAGCAGTCTGGCACATACTCTGCTCGTTCTGAATACTGGACTGGTCAATCTCATCAATCATACATTGTCAGCTGGTCCAAGGAAGAAGATTGCGTCGAGGCAGACATTGTATAATCTGTCCGAGTCTGCTGCTTTAGATACTATGACTGCACTTGGACAACTCAGCTCGCGGTTGAGTATTGCACGGCAGTTAAGATTGCCAGCTGAAGCCGGACAGGCCAGGCCAGGATACCAGACAGGGCATCACAAGAAGGACAAGCCCAGTACGACCGGTCGACCATCACCGTCGCCGTTATTAGTACGTGGTGGCTGGGTCAGGAGCAAAAGTGGCAACTCTGTGGTCTCTGCTGCTGCGGCAAGAAAGGCCAGGGGGTCGCAACCTCAGAGGCATGGTCGAAGTAAATCAGAATCGAATCTGTCGGAGTCTGCCAATGTTCAAAATCGAAAAGATGTCGAAAAGGACGACAACTCATCTCCCTGCCCAGACAAACGCAGAAACCATCAACCATGGGGTGAGGCAAACACTCAGCGACCACCGAGCATGCTGCTTGTACCTTCAGATTTCTTCGATCAGCCTTACACCGATCTACAGGAGCAGCATCAGCCGCCGCCGCCGCCGCCACGACCACCAAAGATCCCACTTGGCACCAGCGATAATCGACGTTTGAGACGTAGAGGAGGTCGCCCAGTTTCCACCATGACATTCATGACGACCAGTACAAAAATTGGCGAGATACCCGAGTCTCGTGTTCAGAATCAAGTATACTCAGACGAACCCAGAGTCGGGTTAGTCTCCACTGCCGTGCATCCAGCCTTGGAAGACAGTCAACCGAAGAAGAGGAAAGGTTTCAGATTTTGGAAAAAGGACGACAAGTCTCGTGATGTTACAAATCACTAAAGGAATCGAACCGATTAATGACAGTGGACTGTTGCCAGGGTATTTGTGTTTTGATGGACCGTGAAGGAACTTTTGTAGGTAATGATCAATGACTATTCTGCACGAAAATGAATTGATGCCTCAATTATAATAATTCTCCGTGTATTCTTATTTCTTGATAATCATCCTCTTGGTATCTCGATGTTTTGATCTTTCTAGATTGTCTGGTGCGGTTGGGGGTTACAGTTCATATCAGTCTGTCTTGTCGTGTTGTGATCCGCATCTCAGCCTTGCGAAGAGAAAAAATTCCCCCGCATAAAATTTATTCCGTCCGATCCTTGCAAGGCTACGAAGTCGATATGTCGACCTCAATACCTCTCCCTCCTTCCTTCAATCCTTTTCCCGACACATTCTAGATCACTTAGACATCACTTTAAACATGGCCGCAACTCCTGTTCCTGTCCCCAAGCCAGGCGAAGGCGAACCAATCGTCTTTTTCGACATAACATTGGGCGGTAAGTACCTACCTACCTACATTCCTCTTCCCTTCCATCGATCACATGAGAACACATAATTGGTGTGTTTTGTGTCCTCATGGGACGAAAGAGCCGTTGAGGGCTTATCTGGCGCGGTCGACTCGATGACTCCCACACAGACAGCAGTGGCCCGACTTGATAGGGCTGCAGATGAGGTCTTCTTGCAAAAATACAAACCACGAAAGCTTTCATTCTCTCAAAACATAACAATTTCAAACCCAAATACGACCGAACCTCCACTTATCATGCACCCTCCAAACCACGTTCCGAAGCCCAATGTAACTGACCTGTCTTCCTTTCAGGTGAACCACTTGGCCGTATCAAAATGCACCTTTTCGCCAACACGGTTCCCAAAACGGCAGAAAATTTCCGACAATTCTGTACGGGTGAACATAAAGTTAGCGGTCGACCTCAAGGCTACAAAGGGAGTAAATTCCATCGTGTGGTGAGTTTTTATCGTCCCCAACGACAGATACACAGGTACCCTAGGCAGTCGGCTTGTACGCTGTACGCTGTGTGCCGTATTGTTTCTGACATCATATCCCCCGAAAACAGATCAAATCCTTCATGATCCAAGGAGGCGATTTTCTACACGCAGACGGTACAGGGTCAACGTCAATCTACCAGAACAGTTCTTTTGCGGACGAGAATTTCAGCCACAAACACACGCGCCCGGGTTTGCTGAGCATGGCCAATTCCGGACCCAACACGAACGGGTGTCAGTTCTTCATCACGTGCGCTCCCACGCCGTTCCTCGACAACAAACACGTCGTCTTTGGACAGGTGGCCGACGAAGAGAGCATGAACGTCGTGAGGATGATTGAGAACACGAGGACCGCGGGCCCCGGAGGGAGGGGACAAGGTGAGAGGCCGGTCTTGGACGTCAGGGTCAGTGAGTGTGGTGAGATGTGACTTATGTCTCCCCATCGAAGAACCCAAAAGAGAGAGAGAGAGTGAAATCGAGAATCGCTAGACTGCCTGCTGAATTACGAGCCGAGAACGAATCCGAGCCTGGCATGATGGAAATCACAAGTGTGGTATTAGAAGGGTTCAATCCATTAACAGAAGGTTGTTTCAGCATACCGAACAGGGCGACCATGAGACATTCATTTGCGTGCTATGTCTGTAATTGAGGTCAAAAAATCACCTTCGATGCATCGACTCCTCCAGAGCCTGAGGGACCTATGTCACGAGTACGGGATTGATCGTTGTAGGCAAGGAGAGACTTGGACATAACAGCCCTGTCAACAGATCACACGATTGATGGATACAATTCCCAAGTCTTGCTGGCAGTCTTCTTGTCAAATGCTCGTCATTGCTTCCAATAAATACAACGTACGCAGACCAAAGGAAATGAGAAAGGCAAAAGTCTGAAAAAGCAAGAGCAGAGCCACAAGATCTGGTGTGGATATACGGTACGATGACAAAGATGCCTACCTGAGGGATCCTTTGTGTCCATCGTTTAACAATATCATATCAAAGAATACTACATGGTACTCGTAGATCATGAGTCATAACATCACAAGTCATATCCTAGGCAATGAATCCCTCGCATCCCTCAAGACGAGATACTCGATAACATCTACATCGGGACTGTTCTCATCTTCTCTCTCGTGTAGTCGTGTTGTCCTCCTACCACGTTCCGTATGACCACGACCACGACCACTGCCACTACCGGCCCTTTCCCACTTGACCTGTACAGCTTTAGGCACACCAATCTTGAACAACCCATGAGATTCCCACCCTTGCTGCCTTCGCATAGAATTCACCCAATCGTTCCGCCACTCCTGGACAAGACCAGAAAACCACATTCCAGACATTGTTGCCCCTTCGAGTTCGGACTCGATCCCACTCCAGCCGTACTCATTTGCTACTGGGTTGTGTGCGGGGCCGTTGTTCACGTTCACGTTTAACCGCATAGCCAGACTGACGTGTATGATGTGTCCCTTACCCCGTAAGTGATGGTCGAATTGTTGTGAGAGAAAACTGCCCAGGACGAGAGCGCACCAAGTCAGACAAGTTCTGTGTGTCGGAGAGGTAGAGAAGCCTTCGAGTTTCTGATAGAGAAACGTATCGCCCATCTTGGAAAGCGCTGGGAGGGCGTCGCCGGCAGCAGGTTCTGCGAAGACTTCCGCTGGTACCAAACTTTGCTGCTGGTCCTGTAGAGCCTGGTACATGCCATACAGTTGTAGACAGTACGCGAGAAGTGCGCAAGAGAACTGTAACTCGATGGGCGACATGTCTGGCGAGGCGAGGATTCGAGCAAGTTGGGATGTGGAGGTTTGTAAGTTGGAAAGTACGATCGATTGGCTTCGAAAGTCCCAGGATGATTGATATATCAGGGAAACTGTGTCGAGGGAACGTAGTACAGAATCTAGGGCTGGGGATAGGGGAAGTGTCGGTAGGACAGATCGCCCCTGCTGATGGGGTGCCAGTTCTTGAGGCGATCCGAATGATGTTGTCGCTTCCGAGCCACATAGGAGGTTACGGCCGGTCCGGTAGGCATGTAGTGCCGTCCAGCTATAGTACATGTCAGTCAAGAGTCTGTTTCAGTCCGCAACAAAGACAGTCCACCATACATACCTATCGAGTCGATTTTGAATGGTAAGAGACGTGTCGGTGTTTGGATTTGCCTCGATATAGCGTGCACAAACCGTCCTGAAAGCCTCAAAATGGGCGATGAAGGCTTCGAATTCGCTCGACATATACTGATCATAATGTTGTTAGAACTTGTCGAATCTCAGGAAATGCTTGCGCGTGGCCACGTACCGCTATGCTGATCATTCTCCCGATACAGAAAATCAGGGCTTCGAGAGACTTTTGTGTTTCCAAAGACACTCGCCGTCGCAGAGCCGTCATTGCCAAGCCACGATGGTACAACATCAATTGGTCCTCGGAAGGGTCTTTGTGCTGTGACAATACACAGGCTGTTCTGCTCACCGCCAACGTGGCGTCGAACAGCATTTCGTCTTGGAGTGCAAGTGGCCAGCAAAGCTCGAGTTGGGTGTTGTAGCCCATCAGGTCGTCGAAGTTTCCGGCCTTGTGAGGTGACCAGACATGTATGTCTGCAAAAGAATGAGCAAATATCATCGGTCTAACAAACCGTCCAAAAGGTTTCGAGAGAGTACGTACGGTAATCCACCATGTCCATGACCGATTTTGAATTCGAAGAGGGAAACGAGTTGAACGGGTCTGCACGAAGACCGATGTTGATCGAGACGTTTATCAGAGACATTGCAGGGTCGAGTGCATCGTCCGTGGTAGACTTTGATCGTGCTAAAGTCGTCTCTTCCAGTACATTTTTGGGACTGGCTGACCGAGATTGCCATCCGACAAGACTCCTGGCATGCGCAGCACGCTCCATCGCCGACGATCTTTGCTGCCGACGTTTGCCAGCAAGTTGGAATTTCCGAGCATGACTGGACACCACTCTTGAGTTGCCTTGATGGATATTCTCCACTGTCTGCTCGATGAAGATATGCCCGGGGCTCCGTGGTGATTGATTCCTGCTCCGACCTCCTGGAGACATTTTTCACCGTCGCTCGTCACTTACCAAGAGGGAGAGGGTCGTCCAAAATCCAATGTGATATCCTGTTTTAGAGCCGACGACAGTAGCCTGGTAGTTGCTTTACTTATGACGCAAATGCTCGTGTTCATTCTTTGCTGGCTGTCAGACTTAACCTGGGATATATATCGTGAATGGGAGTGGCCACATTGCTGAATAAGCGTGCACCATTGACTTATTACAGTATCTCGCGTAGCGATTGTGGCGGACAAGAAAGCAGGTCTCTGTTCCTGAAACGGTGTCTTGGATGTGCACTGATTCATTGGCTTTTGCAGTGTCACTCTGATCGATACGAATTAATTTCGGGCAATGGTGTGAACGGTGATGGAGGGAAGAAGATGAGGCTGGCGATGTATTTGTATCGTCAATCCACATTGATCCACCACCATATTTCAACCCTCCTCCCTCCACTTCTTCTTCCATTCATTTCCTTCGTGCCTTCTATCCTTCCTCTGTGGAAGCCGTAAGTGTACTCTGTTTATCTGGCTAAAGTGTGCTGATTGTTCATTTCGTAGCCTCAGACAGAACCGACCTTGTCGATTCTAATCCTGATGAGAACGAAACGCCAAAACCTGACAACGCTGGTGCAGCAGAAGCCTTCAACCCTCATCTCTGTCTCTAGAGACGCCCATTATCATCGACTCGATCTTTAACAAGATTCTTTTCCTAACAAGGCTACTGCATGACTTGAAAAAACTTACAGCTGAGAGACTCAAGGCCCAGGATGAGAAATTCATCCTGCGTATTAATGCAAGTACTGAAAAGCTTTCCGCTCAATTCACCATGATTGAGAATAATATGTTTTTTACTAAGCAAGTCAAATGTATCCAAACACGACACAGGACGGCTCATTATGTTGGTTAAATTTAAGGGCTTCAACACCAGGCCAGGAAATGCGTTGATTTTAGATCTCTTCGATGACAAAGACTTCTGGGAAGATCATGACTTCCACCAATGCGGTTTACGAATCCTTGGTGTGATATGGTCATATCTCAGTGCGTTCGTTCTCATGAGATTCTTGAATGTCTATTAGACGTCCCATTCGACCCAAGGGAAATATTCCTGTGACTTTTCAGTGAGGGAGGGTCTGCAGGGTACGGAGACCAGTGCTGACAAAACTTGTTCCGCTTCATCCAGCCGAGGACCGTATATACTGTGGCGAAAATCTTTCTTGGATGTAGGTAGGATGGCCGAAGTGCCATCGACTCAAGAAGTCCAACTAGCAATGCTACACGGATTGAGAGGTGAGCAAGATGATATTGTGATGAACGAAGATGGAGGTGCTGCCGGACGCCGCTGTGATTCTGTTCTCGCCTCTCAGTGTCCACAGGTCAAAGTGACTCCGAGGAAGAAAGCAGACATGATAACATTGGTAGCTCTAGAGGTGGAACCGAGACTTCTTTCCTTGTTCGCAGGTAGCGAGTTTGGGAAAACAACACACTTTGTCTTTACGCTAATGGCTTATGGGAGAATACCACACCTGAGCAAGATGAACACTTATTGCGTTTTGGTAAGGATGTAGTAGAAGCTACATTGGTCGGCAGCCTTGTCGTTGTCCACACGACGGGCATCGGAGCGAGTCTGCTGACTGGGGATGGAAGACAGGAGGGAGTAAGTCCTAGCGAAGGCCAAGAGTGTTGGGGGGTATCTGCAATCGATATGTACCCAATACAGAGGTTGCAATTCGTACCTGTCAACTACATTTCTCAGATGCTATGTGTAAAGCCTTGTACATGTTGTAATTCCCGCTAACCAATCTGAGAAAATGTTTCTTTCCATGCAATTGGCTGCAAGGAGCGCCACGAACCCTGAGCAGTATAGCAAGGCAGGGCAAGGATGGCTGGCCGAAAGCCTCCTCTTGAAAGTCAAGAGTCATATGCTGGGTCATCAATAACATGTCACTGACGGCGGGCTACATCCCTGGCAGAGGTATTTAAAGAAGCGAAGTGAGCTGATTACTGAGGGGCAGAGCACCTTCGAGATCGAAACGGCTGCGCTCGTGCTCTTAAAACGTGCTGGTAAGAAGTTCCGTATCGACAACATGCCTTCAGCAGAGAATCTTGCTATTCTTCCGGGCGCTCTGGTAGTTGTGACCGGAGCAAATGGCTTCATCGCCAGCCACGTGGTTGACCAGCTTCTGCTTGGCGGCTACCAGGTCAGAGGCACAGTCAGAAACACCAAGAGAGCCGAATGGATGATTGGATATTTCAGCGCCAAGTATGGTCCGGGAAAATTCGAAGTCACCGAGGTGCAGCAGATGGCTGATCCAGGAGCATTTGACAACGCGGTCCAAGGAGCATCAGGTGTAATCCATCTGGCAACACCGGTGATGCAATCGTATGACCCAAATGAAGCTGTCCCAATGGTCGTCAATGGCGCTCTCAATGCCTTGAAGGCGGCGGCCAAAGAGCCCTTGATAACGCGCGTCGTAATGACATCCTCCTCAACAGCTGCCGCTAGTCCAGTGCCAAATGTCGAGTTTGTCATTGATGACAGGACATGGAACAACGAAGCTGTCAAGGCGGCCTGGGCTCCACCGCCATACGAAGGCGAACAGCGCAAGCTTGACGTGTATTCGGCAAGCAAGACTCAGAGTGAGCAGGCGGCTTGGAAGTGGATGGAGGAGAACAAGCCTGGGTTCGTTCTCAACACCGTCTTGCCCAATGCCAATATCGGCGTGGTGTTGTCGCTTGAACATCAAGGGACCCCTAGTACGGTCGGATGGGTCAAGGCAGTATGGGACGGATTCAAAGGCAACGAGAAGCTGGCGTTCAACCCACCTCAATACTATGTCAACGTGCAAGATACTGCCAGGGTGCACGTCGGGGCACTGATCTACCCCGACGTCGACAGCGAGCGACTGATTGATTTTGCTCATCCATTCAACTGGAATGACATTCTGGCCATCTTCCGAAAGCTATACCCGACGCATCAATTCATAGATGACATTCCTGACCTTGGCAGAGATCTGAGCAAAGTCGCCAATGGTAGAGCCGAAGAGATCGTCAAGCGATTCGGTAGAGTTGGGTGGACTAGCCTGGAAGACAGTATCCGCGACGCAACGCTGGGGTGGGCATTTCCTGAAATGTGAGATGCACGAAGTCCGTTTAATATCAATATCAACCCAGAACAATATGTGCTATTATCGCAGTCCTCACCGGAGATCCGATTAATTAGAAACATCACGTGATGCATACGCAAAAATTCCAACAACATCCCGATTTCTTCCTTACAAGACTCCCGTATTTTCGCTAGCTTCTTGTCGTCGTCCTTCTCCGCAAATAGCAGAGCGTCATCGTGATCCCGGCATGGCCCATTGTCCTCACTTCTCTGCGCCTCACGGGCCATGGAACTGATGACCATGAGATACAGGTTTGTTACATATACCAGACCATCTCCCCACCAGCGGGAATGGGAACCTACAGACTTTGTTCATTGCTTCCCATTTCGTTGTCCTCTTTCATTTCGAGTCTTTCTTTCACCAGTCGAACCTGAGTGTCACTGACTTCAGAGTGGCTTGTATCCGAACCCCTCTTTCTCCCAGACGAGCGACCCGAGCACCATTGCATCATGAGATACCAAACTCTCCGGTTCACCATGTTCTATAAAGAGCCGTCGAATGAGAGCAGGCTACCACAAGAACTTCGGTCTTCGCAGTCGTCGTCATCGTCATCATCATCATCGACATTAAGCTTGCGAACTTCTTCAGATGCGTCTCTGTTATCGCGACAATCCACCTCGTCCAACTTGAACTCACCGAATAAAACCCACAGAGACACGCGCAAGGCATCATGATCAGAGCCCGCACATATTTGACGGGACAATTCAACACCCACACTTTTGACTGCCCATCTCCGACAGTCCTTGACATACCTGATATAACAATCACCTGCATATTCAGACCATAATGCGTTGCATTTGGAGTGGTCAATCCAGCCGGCCGTTTTCGGCATTGCAGAGGTTTCAAAATTCAATAATACATATTTTGTGGAAGGGAGAGTGTTGTCCCAGGATGCAACACCTGCCTGGCGATTACGGCGCCATGATATGAAGAATATGAAGAGTATGTGACATGTTTGGCGTTTTGAGGGAATATTTACATGGCTCTGATAGCCAAGGCGTTGGAATCAACTGGCGGAAGAGATGATACCCTTTCGGTGTACGGACTATTCTTCTATACAAATACGTGGTTCTTCTTTGGAAACCAATCAATGACATAGAAATGGTTAGAGTGGTCTTGTGAGCTGCAATGTCATCCGTCATGTGTTTCGTTTCGTGGAGACCACCTGTACGAGTACCCATGCTACTTTCACATGCCCCGGATTCTGTCTTCGCCCCAGGGGGAGGGAGAGGAGAGCATTAGTAGGTTCATTGGCCAGACGACAAAGTGCCAGGCGCCAAAGCGGCAAGGGAGAGGACGAGAAGAAAGACATGTGAATATTTTTGTGAAGTGCGAGTCGGAAGTACCGGCCCGTGGGGGTCGGAGCCTACGGAGGAGTTCCGTAATGGTGTATTTCAATGACTTGTAATACCAAAATACCGACTGGTCTGGTGGTCTGCAGGCATTTTGGGGGGTAACGCGGGTGTCGCTATAAGCCCACAGATTATGGAGAAGTGCCTAAAGAGTGCCCCCAAGTCTCTTTTCGCGGAGTGAAGAGCGAGGGCTCTAGGACTGGGTGCTGGTAATATCCCACCAATACTCATAACACGGCGACTGAAGCGTCGGTGACATTGACGATGAAGCTCAAGGAGAGTCTTGAGTTTGTTTCTGTATAATAAGGAACCCTTTTCACTCCAAGGATCATTTCCAGTATTCTCGCAACTCCCAGTTGAAATCCTCCCCGTGCGAAATCGGGCACTAAGCCATTCCTCCAGTTGGCAGCGACTTTCGGCTTGTGGGCACCAGTCAGACAACTTGTATTGCGCATTCAACACACGAGCCGAGGTCCATTAGCCGCGGTAGGTATCGTAGCAAGTGTCGGCGTTGACAAGTGCTTTTGGCTTCTGTCGTTCAGGACACCCCTTCGAATCACTGACCAGGTGATCCGATCCTCCATTGACTTCAAATACTCAACCGTCGTTCTTCCTCCTCTCTCCCATCTACTTCCACGAGACGAATACCTTTCCCATCCTTTGCCGACACCAGTCTTTGTTAGTTCTCAAAGATGACTCCCCCACGTGTTATTGTCGTTGGTGGCGGCTGTAAGCATTCTCCCTCTGTTTATGTCTCTCATCGCGCGCAACTCGCTGACCTCGATTTATAGTGTCCGGCCTCAGTGCAGCGCATACTGTGTACCTGAACGGTGGCAGTGTTCTTGTTCTCGACAAGAACAGTAAGTTGTCTGATCTTCCGCGGCGCCAAACTGCGCTCTAACGCCACTCCAGGCTTCTTCGGTGGAAACTCAACCAAGGCCACCTCCGGTATCAATGGCGCGCTGACACGAACGCAAGTCGACCTGGGCATTCAAGATAGCGTCAAGCAGTTCTACGAAGATACCTTGAAATCAGCCCGTGACAAGGCGAGACCAGATCTAATCCGAGTCCTTACGTATCAATCCGCCGCCGCCGTCGAATGGCTGCAGGATGTCTTCAACCTCGACCTCACACTCGTTTCTCGGCTAGGGTAGGACCGCTTTCATATTTCAAGAGACCAATGCTGACATGGTGGCTAGTGGACACTCTTTCCCCCGAACCCACCGTGGCCACGATGCCAAATTCCCCGGAATGGCCATCACCTACGCTCTGATGCAGAGGCTTGAAGAACTCTGCGAATCAGACCCGGAAAGAGTTCAGGTCATCAAAAAGGCCAAAGTCACGTCGCTGAACAAAGAAGGAAACCTGATCACTGGTCTCAAATATGAGTTCGGTGGCGAGACGCACTCCGTTGACGGCGTAGTGGTGCTTGCTACTGGTGGCTATGCTGCCGACTTCAGCGAGACTTCGCTTTTGAAGAAACACAGACCCGACACCTTCAACCTCTCGTCCACCAACGGCACCCATGCCACTGGTGACGGCCACAAGATGCTGATGGCAATCGGTGCCAATGATATTGACATGGACAAAGTCCAGGTCCATCCTACTGGTTTGGTCGATCCGAAAGACCCCGGCTCGAAGTGGAAGTTCTTGGCCGCTGAAGCCCTTCGAGGTGAAGGTGGTATCCTCATAAACAGCGATGGCAAGCGCTTCTGTGACGACCTGGGCCACCGTGACTACGTCTCAGGCAAGATGTGGGAAGAGAAGGAGAAGGGCAAGTGGCCCATCCGCTTGATTCTTAACTCAAAGGCTTCCAACGTGCTTGACTTCCACACTCGCCATTACTCTGGCCGTGGGTTGATGAAGAAGATGACTGGCAAAGAACTGGCAAAGGAAATCGGCTGTGGAGAGAAAGCCCTTGACGCAGAATTCAAGTCCTACAACGACATTGCCGCAGGCAAGAAGAAGGACATTTGGAACAAGAAGTACTTCCACAACATGCCTCTGGACATCAATGACACGTTCCATGTGGCTCTGATGGAACCTGTTCTTCACTTCACCATGGGTGGTATGGAGATCAACGACAAGGCCCAGGTTCTGAACCACGACAAGAAGCCCTTCGAGGCTCTTTTCGCTTGCGGCGAGTTGGCTGGTGGTGTTCACGGCGCCAATCGATTGGGTGGTTCCTCGCTGCTTGGCTGTGTGGTGTATGGTCGTGTTGCTGGTGCTTCGGCATCTCAATATCTATTCCAGAAACTAACAGCCGGTGGTGCGACTGGTGCTTCTCAACGTCTTGGTCAGATCTCACTGCACATTGATCCCAGCACTCCTGGTAAGGTCTCTGTAGAATGGGGCAGTGGTGCATCAGGAGCGTCGGCCTCGGCAGGTGGCGCCCCAATCGAACAGCAGTCTCAAAGAAGCGCTGCTCCCGTGATGGATGGCAACAAGAGCCAGGATCCTGCCAAGAAGAAGGACACCAACGATATCAGCAACTTCAAGGTCCCAGAGAAGGAATACTCTCTGGAAGAGGTTGCCAAGCACAACAAGAAGGACGACCTTTGGATCGCTGTCAAGGGTGTTGTGATGGATGTGACCAACTGGCTGGACGAGCATCCCGGTGGTCCTCAAGCATTGTTCAGCCACATGGGCAAAGATGCAACAGAAGGTGAGTCTCACCGCCGTACCGTCCTCAAGCTATCACACTAACATGAGATTAGAATTCGAGATGCTTCACGATGACGAGGTCATTCCGAAATATGCTGCCGACATTGTCATTGGTCGCGTAAAGGGACAAGAAGTCCGACTAGAGTACTAAACATCTGAGCCGCGTGCTTCATATATCGTTTTGGATGAAAGATTTGAGAAGCATGGAGTATTACTGTATCATGAGCAGGTCATCCTTTCCCTTAAGGAGGGAATAAAATATATTTCACACTACAACTCCGAGTCTTGATATCATTTGAATTTAACAAGTGTCGCATACTGGTAATACTCATTTACTCATGAATCTCGGTGGGTGGTGAATTTGTCAAATACAGCCAGCTCTTCAAGTAGTACCTGATTGTTGGTGTGGGTTTTGATGTGACGCCACACACGTGTGCTGTGGCTGAAAACTGTGGCTGAGCTCATTAGTCATTGTGCCGCGTTTTCTCTCTCGCGACAATCGGAATTCCACATCATTTGCCTGTCTTTGACCACGACAGAGCCTCATGCCGAACCTCCCTCTATTGATCTCACACGTTTATCTTTCGGCGCTGTGATCTGACTTCGCGCTTCCATCAGGTACTTTGGACTTTGAACACAGGATCATTGATATTGGTAAGGACCCTTGCAACTGCGATTCCTCACTTTGCCTGCCAAACTGTGCTTGCGACAAACATGTCCTTCACCAACCTACCTGCCTAACACGCACGCGACCATACAAAGAACGCAGTCTCATGTCTCGTACCACACAAACCTGACGCTTATGCCGGGAGGCAGTAAAATCGCCTCGCTCATCACGTACCTGGGTGCTGCCGTTGATTGGCATGTGGACAATTCATTGTGTCTAGCTGATGTGCTAACCGTGCTTTTCCTTTCAGACGAAGACTTGCCACGACTGGAATATAAAGACGAGACCGGACGCAACGGCATCCCCTCCCTTCTCTCTTCTCATACTACCACACCTTGATATTCTTCTATTTCCTCCCTTACCACTATGGATCGACGAGAAGTTCTCTCGAAAGGTTCTGCCTTGCAAAAGGCCATAGCTGCCAAAGAACCGTCAGAAAATATATTGACCATATTGCGCGATTTAAAAGCAAATGTCAGGCCAAGCGAAGAACTATTAAGAGCAACCAGTATTGGCAAGGTCGTGAACAAGGTCAAGAGTATTCCCAACCTTGACCCACAAGTAGGGCAACTGGCCTCCGAAATAATCAGCAGATGGAGGCATGTGGTCAACGAGCAGAAATTAGCAAGTGGCACATCTACCCCCGTTGGCGCGCGAACGAATGGCACAAGCTCTCCCGCACCAAAAGCTGGGACACCAACACCGAAAGCTGCCAGCCCGGGCGTCGCTCCAGACAAGCGGAATTGGAAAGCTGATAAAGTCCGTCGAGATGAGATCACAAATGATTCGGCGCGGAACAATTGCATTGGTCTGATCTATGATGGACTGTGTCTCGGTTCCGAGCTCCCGACGAAGCACATCCTTGACCTCGCACAACAAGTTGAATCCGCCGCTCTGAACCTCCCCGAAGCGAAAGGCTCTTCTGCATCAGCCGTGTACAAGGAGAAGATGCGCTCGCTATATCAGAACCTCAAGAATAAGTCAAATCCGGGTCTGCGCAAACGAATCCTTAACGGGGAGATCTCAGCTGCCAGATTCGTTACAATGAGCCATGAGGAAATGAAATCCCAGCAGCAACGGGAGGAAGACCGTAAGATTGCAAAGGAAAATATGGACAAGGCCATGGTTGCACAAGAGGAGAAGAGTGTCAGTACGAGTCTCGAGTGTGGCAAGTGTCACCAGAAGAAGGTCAGCTATTCGCAAGCTCAGACAAGGAGTGCTGATGAGCCGATGACGACGTTCTGCGAATGTTTGAACTGTGGCAATAGGTGGAAGTTCTCTTGAAATGACGATATGTGTCGGAATATTTGGTGCTTCTGAGAGCTTCCTGGCCAGAATCAGCTAGGTTAGCACACGCCATGGAAATATCACAGAACCACCGAGATTGCTCTTTTGGCAGATGTGGCTGATGAGTCCTGTGCCTGTGAGACTTTCTCGACATTACGGTGGGAGGTCCACTGCTATTGATCCTGCTTTGGAAGAACAGTATTCTGCAGACCTTGCTACGGAGGCTCTCCCTGCGTTTGGACCGGAATTAGGGGTACCTACTCGTCGTCGAGCAAACAGTCAAGGGTCGCAGATGCACAGATAAGGCAGGGACCATGTTGAGCTGCAATGCATTGAGCAAGGGGTCTGGCACTCCACCAAAGGTCTTATAGTTAGGCTTGGTTTATTATTGCCCTTCATGTATTAGAGAATGCAATGACATGATGAGGAGTATACCCAGTATGTCGTCGGTTGGAATGCAGACTTGTGCAACAAAGAGGTTGAGGTTGTGGCAGCTCGATCGCGACCATGTCCTGCGACCCGTGGAACTACAGTATGTCAACGCGGACCCAGTTCAGATTGAAATATATATCTGCCAGAGCCAACTAGTTATCGATGCCGAAATTCCGTCTGCTCGCCTTTCTGGAGCCAGGTAATTAGATCACTGAAGTCCAGACGAGAGAGAGAGTAATGCACCTACTACTCGTAAGTGTCCAACCGATGGGCTTCGATAGGTTCATCCACACATACAGAGCAGAACACACTTCGCAGTAGTCATCTTTTCACGTACGGAGAATCTCATTTGGTGGTATAGTTTCAATGACAGGAGCGTTTGCTAATAATTCCCACCTCTCCTGAGCGACTCGACTGCTCCCCCCCGCCGTCTACATGCATGTACTTGTCTGAAACAACCTCGGGGCTGATTGCTGCCCTAGCCTTGCACGTGACCACACAAATCTCACAGCCAATTGGCTCAATGCCGACATTTGATAGACGCGCCTTGGAAGCCCCTTCTTTTGCCTCCTCCTTTTTCTTCCCTACCAAAAAACCCACTGGTCCATGCTCCCCAGCTGCAGCGCACTCCACGTTCCAGCCTATCAGCGCTGCGGGTTCAACATCGAGTTTCATGTTGGCGGACATGCATGCAGTGACTTCTCCCAGCCACGTTTCAAGCGAGCCTTGACAAGAGTCTCTCCGTTCTCAGCACACCCGGACACCCGGTCGGCACAAGATCCTGAGATGCAGATCTATCGCAAGTGCTGCTAAGCACGCCCTTAATCAGCGTCTCTTGAACCATTCACATCCCAGGTACCATGTATTTTGTACCTCCCAGGGGAATTGGAACCCTTGCAAAAGGAGCCTTCTGTGTGTGAACAAGTCACTAACTACGAGTACCACACCTCCCTGACCCGCACATACTACAAACATACCAGCTCAGGGACATGTGGCCACCCCTTTTACTACAATCTCCTCTGCACGATCCGCAAAGTCGCGAGGTTGGAGTTCACGCGCGTCATCCTCTATGGAGCACTTCTGACATCCATCCGAGTCCATCTCCATTTGCTTGTCCAGGGCGAAAATGCATCCGTGCAGTCCTGCAGGACGCGTTGAAAGACATGTCTTCGAATCGGGTAAACCCATGGAAAGCGGGCCACATCTGGCCCGCGTCCAAGATCCACCCCTTTCCCTGTCATGTACCAGTACCTGCTGATCACTTTTTATACAAGAACCTCACCTCCGGCGTGGAGGGTCGAGTGACTTGTGTCGTCCTTTGTCTCGCAGCGGTCATTCATTCTTTGCAGCCGATAAAACCCAGCATTTATCTTGCGTCCATTCCTTCATACAACACACACCATACCTGCATTTGCATCTGCGGACTCGTCATTCCTTTTCTTTATATAAACCCCGTATACCTGTCACTCCCTTGATCCTTGACCGTTTTGTTGCCAAAGATGCTTTCCAGGTCCCTTATAGCCCTTGCGGGGCTCATCTCCCTCAGCACGGCAGGCTACGTGCTCGAGGATGACTACAGCGGAGACCAGTTCTTCTCGATGTTCGACTTTTTCACAGTAAGTCACGATCAAAGCCTTACCACACAATCATGTTTGGACAGGGGCACTCTGGAGATACTTACAAGCCACCAGGACCGAGATCCCACGAACGGCTACGTGACCTACGTCGATCAGACGACCGCTCAGAGCAATAACCTCATCAGTACCACCAACGGCTCTATATATATGGGCGTTGACCACAGCAATGTGGCCAGCGGGCTTGGCCGCAACAGCGTTCGCTTGACAAGCACAAAAAGCTACACCCACGGTCTCATCATCCTCGATCTCAACCACATGCCAGGCGGCGTCTGCGGGACGTGGCCCGCCTTTTGGACCGTGGGTGCCAACTGGCCCACCACAGGCGAGATTGATATCATTGAAGGCGTCAATTCACAGATTGGCAACTCGATGGCCCTCCACACGGGACCGGGTTGCAGTATATCCAGCAGTGGTGATTTCTCGGGCCAGATATCATCGACGAATTGTTTCGTTTCTGCACCTGGCCAAGCCATGAACGCAGGATGCCAGATTCTCGCCACGAACGACCGCGCAAGTTACGGCACGCAATTCAACCAGGGGCAAGGGGGTGTGTTCGCGACGGAATGGACAAGCACGGCGATCAACATCTGGTTCTTCCCACGAGGCAGCGTGCCCTCGGACATTGCGTCTGGTTCGCCCGACCCGAGCTCAGGATCGTGGGGCACACCGATGTCGTCGTTCGCCGGCGGATGCACGATCGACAACTTCTTTAGCAACCATCAGATCGTGTTCGACACCACCTTTTGCGGTGACTGGGCCGGCAGCGTCTGGAGCACCGACCCCGTCTGCTCGTCCAAGGCGAGCACGTGTGAAGATTTTGTGCAGAATAACCCGTCGGCGTTCCTGGATGCGTACTGGTCCGTCAACTCCCTCAAGGTGTTCCAGAACCCCGACGGTTCGTCGAGCAACGGAACTGTGCCGGGCTCGCCGCCACAACCTCCTCTTCCTCCGGCCTCAATTCCTGTGCCCATCCCACCTTACTCTTCGGGCGTCTCGGACGGATGGCCTGCTGCCGCTCCTACGGCCAGCAATGTCCCGACTGCTGGATTCAGTCGTGGCGGCAATGGCCGTTTCACAAAGACTTGGGGTGGAGGTGCAGGAGGAGGATGGGGTGGTGTCGGTGCGGCTGCTGTGGCCACGGCCACTGCGGGCGACGCTTCTCAGCCCGAAATCACGTCCGCACCTTCGACGGGAGCAGGAGCGGGAGGCCAAGGGTCGTTTGCCGACGACTCCAACGGGAATGTCGAGTACGTCACCGTCACGGCCATGACCTATGGAGATTTCCCCGACCAGAACCAGAAGCGCGATGCCGCCCCCGTTGAGGAGAAGATGAAGAATCAGGTCAGAGATCACATGCAGACGCATAGACAGGTGCATCGACATTTATTCAAGCATGGCATCCCTGCTGGTTGGGGTTCTGGGTCTGCTGAAGTTGTTGAAAAATGAATGATTTGAAGAATGATTTGCAAAAGTCGGAAAATGGAGATATGAGAAATGAAGAAATGAGCAGCACAACTTGATCCATCCTATCTCTCACTGTCTCTGCTACCTCTTACATCTACAAAAATGACCCCGAAGCTCAAAAGTTCTCTCGACGGAGAGCCAGTTAATTCGAGTCGAGTGTGGAAGTTCCCTATCGCCATCCCAGGTACGCATCTTGGGAACCACACACGCACGCGCGCGCTGGACCGTGCCGATCTCATTTATGGGGTCAACAGATGAAGGGTTGTGCATTGGTCATTGGGTCTTGCAAGGGGTCAACAGGTCAAGGGGTTCAAGGGTGTCACGCGGTCATCCAATCACGCACCACCCACCTACAATACTTCGCACCACTTGTACACGAACGCGCCCTCTCTTTCTGACGGTCTGTGCATATTCGGATCAAAAGTGACATGGCACGTCAACGCCACGACATGACAGCTTTTTGGTCAGCTTCCTATTGTGCGGTACTGTGCAGTATGGAAACGGCACCAACGGCAAACAGCACCTCTTTTGGAAGTACATCACCACCACTATCGCTACTATCGCGCCCATCGCCCAAAGACAGAAGTTTCTTCAAACTTACATTGTCCTTCGTACTCGTCCGTGCGAGGGATGGTTCGTGGTCATGGTCATTGCTACGCCGCGCGTACTTGTAGTTGTACCTCTTATCAAAGTACGACTCTAGAGACAAAGTGACGGCGAGCGGGGAAGGGAAATTAAAGGGAAGAGTGAGAGGTTTGAACAGGTCGATAGGATATGAGAGATGGGCTAGATTTTGTTTTTGAATTGATGGTTATGGATAGATCATCGTTTTATGCAGGAACGATGAATATGGAACATGAAATATCAAGCAGGCATAGCATAGCAAAGGACCGAATAGCGTATCATATCATAGCAGAGGAAAGTTCTCTTGTTTGTCTCAAATACGGAGTGCCACTCCGTATCCTTTGCGAACCTCGTGAGAGTCTTACTCCCCAATCATCCGTATTCTGCACAAGAGCCCCTCGTTTGGAGATTTTTCATTACAGGCACCCTAGAAAAAGTATCCCGCCTGAGCAGCAATTTCAATCGCTGCAGCAGTAAATAGCATTAGTAGGAGGAGGAAGGGGAGCTGTAAATTCGCTCACTAGCAAAGCCCCATACATGGTAGTTTTCACCCGAACCAACTCGTATTGCTCTATTTGGATGAAAGTAGCTCTCAAGTCTATTCTGCTCCATCCTCGCACAGTCTTCTGCTTTTGGCTCTTCACATATGGCACTTTCTATGATCCAAAGTTGTTTTGTTATGCATCTGCATCACCCAGCACATACGACCTCACATGCCTGAGCCCGCCCCCTCCCCCCCCCAAAATATTCTCTTTTGGGATCCAACTACTTGGCATCGCGGGTGTTCATGTTCGCGCCCGCCTCACCGAGCCACTCGACGAACTTGTGGGCCAGCTGCGTGTCGAAATAGTACCTCGCCGCGGTGACCTTGCCGTTCTTGATCTCAAAGAGCCAATGGTACACGTTCTGGTAGACGTGTTCGCCGACCTTCATGTCCGAGGCCGCCTCGACGGCGACCCTGTTCGGTTCCGCCGTGATCCCCGTCACCCAGACGTTGAGGTCGGAAACTCGAGACTCGGCGTAGACGTAGTCCTTGAACTGCTGCTTGGTCATGACGCCGCCGAGCTCCGGGAACAGGTCCGGCTTCACCATGGATTGGCAGGTGGCGCTCTCGTCGAAGAGCTCGAAGAACGGTTCGACGTCGCCGCCGGCCTCGATGCACCACCTCTCGGTGAGCTGTCTGCCGATCTCGCGAGAGTTCTCGACGCTGTCAATGTTGGAGATGACCATGGCTGACGTTCCGGGGGGTGGGAAAAGTGACTAGACGGATCGTATATGCTGTAGGGATTTTGGAAAGACTTTGCAAGGTTGATGATGGTTTCAACGACAACGTCTGCTCCAAATCACTAAATTTCATACTCGCTTTATATCATATACGTGTACATGCCTGTCCCTGCCGCCCCTCCTCCTCAGAAGCCCCGGCCTCTGGCCATCCACGGGATCACCGGTAACTCGGCCCGGAACACCTTCACGGGGCGAAGCATGAACCACCACCATTTCACACTCCGCCCCTCCCCAGTCCTCACAATCCCGGGGACCGCTGGAGGAGGCTCCATTATCCGCGTCTTTCCCGCGCCTACCTCATGGTCGCCTTCGTCGTCGCGAGAGGCCTGGCAAGCACAGAAATCGAAAAATCTTTCGCCGACCCAGATCGTCCGTAATAGAACAGCGTCTCCTCGGAACGAGAAAGAACCTATATAGATCTTGACTCCATATTCTTATTGCTAGATGGAATATTTTTTCCCCAGATAGTTCGGGGCCTCAGGATTACGCGCTCAACAATACACAGACGGAGGGGAGTTTATAACGGCTTTTTATTCTCCTAGTCGTTCCACTGGGCGTAAACCTATACTGGCAAACAAGAGAGCGAACGACGTTTGAATTGAACGAGAGATTCTTGATGCCTGCTTATCGACACCCTAATCTACGAATAAATAGTACATCTCAAGGGTATCAATGTGTGTGTGTGTGTGTGTGTGTGTGTTACCTAGTCTTATTACCGCTGTTTAGAAAAAAGAGCAATTTTATCGTCGGACTACTCAAGGAAAAGTCTCTTCTTTTACTCCTGAATTATAGCTAATCGTCTTTTGATGGGCTTAAAAATCATAAGAGTTGGACGATGGACATGTGGAAGCGTGTTCTATGGACCGACGCAGCCTGCTTTACTACAGGGAAAGCTTCTAAAATATCGGATTCGCAAAGCGTTTCCCAAGGACAGGGGCAGAGGGTTCAAAGATATCTCCTGGAGGAACGGGATAAATTAACCTCGGACGACTATTTGAAATATATAGAAAGCATGTCAGAGCGGTTCTCAGGCTGTCATAGATGCCAATGGAGGCCATACAAAATGGTAGCAAAACGTTCTTGCTTCAGTCTGCATAGCTACGCGCTTCAGATCCCTTGGGCCGAAGGCGGCCAAGATAGCAATGCTCGTCTTTGCCAACATTTGATACCAACTGTCCAAGGTCGCCAGCTTCGAGCCGTGTGTTCTTCTTTGCTTGCTCACTGCAATTCCTAGCTTTACGCAACCCCCGAGACTGGGTTGCTGAGATTGGAAACTCCGTCTTCAACGATCTTCGTGCTTGGTACAGCCGGCTTCTCTTTCCCGATCTTGTGGAGGGTCGCTGAGACTTCCCCTGTCATGCGAGAGTCAACATTCGGCACGAAGAGGCACAGAATGACACCGACTCCCATGAAGGCCATGGAGGAGAAAAAGACGGTGCGATAGGCATCCAGACTGGCGTGCTTGTAGGCGAGCACCCCAATCCTGATGATGCCCGACGTGATGCCGGGTACAGTGCCAAAGTCAGCATCGGCTCCGGCGGCGGCCGCTTGAAGGAATGACGGTACACTGCTGGCGGGCAGTCCGGCAGTTATCAGTTTTGGAGGGACCTGCTCCGGTATTGTCTTTGCGAGGCGGTTGTTGAGCACGGCAATATAGATGGTCTGGCAAACGGCACCGACGAAAGTGCGGACAGCTCCAACGATACCGGCGGCTATGCCAATGTCCGCTTGGTCTTTGATTTGGATCGTGGTGATTGAAGTCACCATGGTGTCTGCCCAACCTATGCAGATACAGCCGATGAATAGTACGGAGACAGCTGCCGCCTTGGTGTTCTCATTGCAGGCTGCCGTAGCTGTGATACAGTCAGCCAAACTTGCACCATGACACAGTACATCCCGTGAAACTTACTAGATAGAAATACTGCTCCTACAATGAAGGAGGCTAGGGTTTGCCACTTCACCCGGCCGAGTGGTTCAGCAGCAACTCCACCAAAGACTTGTCCCACGGTTATGCCCAGGCCGATGATACACGCGAAATACCCCGTGTACATCAAGTCGTTTGGTTTGGAGTACAAGACGACAAACATTGATGGCCAGATGATGGCGAAGGCATAGAAAACGCCACCACAAATGCCGAGCACCACGGTGCTAGCAACCCATCCAAAGTCTTTGAATAGATGAACGGGAACCAGTGGTTCAGGCCCGGGCAGGTAGACCTGGCACAGAGAAAATGCGATCAGACACGCGCCACCAACCACAATGGTTGCAATGACGTGAGCTGACCTCCAAGGGTAGACGACGCCACCCCAGGACAAGCCCATCAGGAACAGAACGGTTCCGGCGACAAACAGAATGGTTCCCTTGAAGTCGAAGTGCCTGACAAAATCCATCTTGCGCCCTTGGGTTCCATGCTTCATATGAAACGTTGGCGGATGATAGAACAGAAACCAGAACATCAGCGCACACCCATACCAGATGATGAGGTAGTAATAGCACCATCTCCACCCTGCAGACGTGTTGATGAGGAAGCTGTACGCAATCGCCGGACCGAACGCAGACGTTGGAAGCTGGAACGCGAACGCAAAGCCGTTGCCTGCGAATCTCCATTTCATCGGCAGTAACTCACCCAGCACGAATGGATACGAGACCCCCGCTGCCGAGGCCAGCCCGACCAGAACCTCACCCCCAATCAACGTCGGGACGCTGTGAGCTGTTGCACAGACGATGCAGCCAATGAGACCCAGGGCCATGCCAGAGATATAGAACCACCGACGACCAAAGATGTCCGAAAGGCGACCGACCAATGTCAGGCCGACGGTGAGGCATATGGTATAAACCAATGCGACCCATGTGATATTCTTGTCTGGTCCAATGTCTGCGTTCACTTGTGCCAGGATGGGTGCTACCAAAGCAAACCCTCCCACGGCCGCGGCGCTGCTAAAAGCAACAGCGGCCAATGTGCCCAGGAAGTACGCACTGCGAAAGTACCCTTTTGGCAGAACGTGGTTAATCTGATTGTGACCTTCATCTTGAACGAGAGATTCCCCAGCAGCTGTAGGGTTCTGCTCCTTTCCTGCGTGCTCCAACCGTATCTCGACTTGGTGATCCTTATATGCTGCGTCTGCCATTCTTCCAGGAAATTCCGAGTTGTGTGCTATCCTACTTGATGGTCACATGTGGTGTTGGCCCCGGATTGCGGTCCTTAATGTAAGTTTGCTCAGGACTGGGGTACCCCAAGTCTGGGCCCTGGCACCCCGGGCCGTGAACACTATTAAAGTTCTCGTATGCTCGTAAACACACGTGTTCCGATCGAGTTCGGTCGGTCCGACTTGCCGTCGATCCCACCAATCAAAGTATCAACATGCTGGCCTTTCGACAGAGGGTCCACCAGATTGATGAGGATTCATGTAGTGCTCCGACTCTTTTTTTTCGGCTGGGCCAGGCCCAATTGGGCGGCCAAGTCGACGCCAAATCGCTAGAAGAGAATCGCTATTGTCATACCACACTTCTCTCGTTCGACCGCCCTCCTGTTACAGTGAAGCACTCGTGGTCCTCGTTCGAGTATTCCTCCACCAGAATCGTCCCGGTCTCTTCTGTGAGGTCTAAGAGCAGTCACATATCGATGTAGGTTCTGGCTTCACGACAGTAAGCTTCTCATACCTACAGCACATAATCTACCATCCACCTCCGCTCAGCGGGAGAAAGACTTTTGCGGCAGCAAGAGCGCCGCCACAAAAACGTCTTCGCTCGATCGCTGTGAATGAATGTCGTGGGGCGGTATCGAAACTCTGCTTATCGATTTGAGCCGGAATGTGATTTGGCAACGACAGTTGCAATTTCATCCCGAAATGCTTTCCCCAGAAGTCGAGCCCGTCGCATTTTGGTGTCGATACTGGAGATGAATCTGCCCCGCTCCTATTGTAGGGGTCCTAAAATGGATCCTACACTGAGGCTCTTGAATGGTCTCCCGCTCGAGACCATGTCTTGAAGCTCCAGCTTGTGTCTGAGGAGAGATTGTGGTTGCCATAACATGTCCGAGCTCCCAAGAAAAGGGTACGAGCGGCACAAGAGACTAGATCCAAGACAGAGCTCTCGTATTATGCGACAAGGGCCGGGATTCAGACGCGATTCCTATTTTGGTCGGGACCCCGGTTTTTCGACGCAGATCAGAATGTCCTCAAGTTAACTTCCCCGCCTCTTGTGTGAGCATCGTTATAATCAATAAGTCCGCCTCAGGATAAAAGTACTCGTTCCATGGGAGTAAGATGAGGTGTGCGTTGGCATGTACAAGCTGTCGCTCTCTCAAGGTGAAGTGTATGAGTTTTGGCTGTTTGGGCTGATGTGTCCTTCTAATACTTGGGACAGGCGATGGCGGCACTCGATGCAAAAACTGCATAGTAAGAGGCCTGGAATGAAGCACCCAGTATTTGGTCACTGAAGACGAGGCAGTCCCGCTCAAGACAGTGCCTGTATCCATCACCACACGAAAGGCGAGCACTAGGTTTGAAGAATATAAAGCGTATATCGGACCGCTTGATGCGTGTGGAAACACTACTGGATGTCACTCCTGCGCTATCGAGTGTTTCCGCTCTCAACCCTGTGGAAACAGAACCTGTCGACATTGACAATACTTTTGAGACGGCAAGCACTATCTCTTTCGATGGGCCCCAACGCAGTTTCGGCTTAACGGGAGGATCGTGTTTTGACACATCCTGGACTGCTCCTGCAGACTTGTGGATGAATTTTGAATGGAATGCGGATATAGCGAGCCCGTTTGGAGAATTCACCAGGAACTTGAATGATGATCTGAACCCCTTGACTACAAACCCTCTCCCTGATGACATGACGGCAGCAGACCAGCAGAGCGCGATCACTAGTGCAGACAGTCAGGAAGTATGTCCGCGGCGGAACAAGACGAAAAGTATCTCGCTAACATTGACATAGGCATCCGAATTAGAGATTTCCGGTTAGTAGAAACTTCCAATTTATCCCTTTTCCGAGATACTGAGGCCCCAGAGAACCTGAGTACTATCTCTCCATCTATACCAGAGTAGGGTTTGAATGGGTCGCCAGCAAAGTCGGAAAGCATCTGGTGCGGCTTATGATGTCCGACCTCACGCGCCGCCCGAGATTAGGTCAACATACTTTGCTTCGCAGGAGTCCTGAACCCGACGAAGAGACCGCCTGGCAATACTGCAATGGTGCGTCAGGGACGAATGCGCTCCTTACCTTTCTCGACGACTAACAGGCCCAATCAAGCATATTTCGACTGTGACGCTGCAACGATTTTCAGAATCATTGACCGTTCCAAGTTCGAGAATCGCCTTCGTGAGCAGTTCAAGAGTGGTACGGTCAACGCCAATGACGATTCGCCGTGGTATGCTCTACGAAATATGGTGTATGCACTCGGGTCTCGATTTATCCTCACGCGAGGGCCCCAACGGCGCCCTTTCGTCGAAGTCCAGGAATGCGGCTTGAAATACTTCAAGAATGCACTCTCTGTGATTGTGGATCTCATGTACACGGAGACAAGCATTACTGCCGTGCAATCACTGTTGGTCATGGTGAGTGTCTAGCCCTTTTTTCATGGGCGGTATTCTTTACTTAACTCTTCAACAGAGCCATTTCGCTGAAGGCCTCGGTAGTCCTCCAATGGACCACATACTGTGCTCTACCGCACTGAGGCTGGCACTGGCAAAGAGGCTCCATCGCGCCCCAGCACCTGGTTCAAACATGTCAGAGGCTGAGAGACAGACGCGCAGCCTCTTATTCTGGGCGATATACTCGTATGAGAAACATGTCACTCTCCGTTCGGGATGTCCTTCGGTCAGTTTTCCCTAAGTCTCAGCGGAGAAGTGGGTGGGCTCAAAAATAGCTAGGGCATCGACGACGACGACATCTCTTCCGAGCTCCCAAACAGCGACGATTCTCAATGGTTCGACTTTTTGATTCCACTGATCAGACATGCAAGAATCACGTCGAAGGTCCAAAAGGAACTGGATGCGACCCGACTATACAGACAGTCCATTGGTGATGTCATTGAAACCATCCGACGGCTCGAAGGTGAGCTCCAGTCGTGGGCGGACTGCATCCCAGGCTTGATCAGTCCTGGTTCGTCTATCAAGCCTTCTGATCTGCCTGCCGGCGTCAGTGTCCAACTGGTCACGTACATCCATTTTGCCTACTACGGCAATCTCATCGCCATTCACTCTCCATTCGCATATCCGTGGATGAAAAAACATTTCAAAGAATGGGGTCACCAGCAGGTTGCGGAACAGACTTCTTTGAGCACAAAGGCCGTGGTCGATTCGTCGAGGAAGATCGCCTTGGCCATCAAATACGTCGAGATCGATTGCAGTTCTCCCATCTGGTAAGTGTATTGTCATTGATGGGACGAGCTGGTCAATAATGGAAAGCTGATAGCCGTGGACTAGGATGGCGGTGAATTTCCCACTATTGGCTCTACTGAGTCTCTTCATCTTTGTGATCCAGGACCCCCATCTACCATCCGTCTCGTCAGATATCAAACTCATGGAAGTCATTGCTGGCCATTTCAGCTACCTGGAATACGAGACCGCTGGTGAACTAGGTTTTCCCTTCATACGAGAAATGGTTCGACTGTCATACGCAGTGGTCGAAGAAACACGAAAGCAACACACTCAAAAGACAAATTACGGCAGTATATCTGGATAGCTTCCGGCCAGTCCCTGCATACATTTCGATTTGTTTTAAGTGGTGCCACCAATATTTTTGACCAACGACCATATCGAATCATCTTGAGTGGGAAGTTTCAATAATTCTCTCGTCAATGAGTAGAAGATCTCTAGTTGTATATATGACATTACTCTCTCTCTCTCTCTCTCTCTCTCTCTCTCTTCTCAACACCAGCCGTTGTTAGGAGAACGGTCTGGATTTGGTGATATAATATGGTATGGGTATCATAGAAAACTACCTAGGTTAAAAATGCCATAATCACGACAAGAACAAAATAGTCGCCTTGCATGCTAATATGCATCAACAACAACAAAAGAACAAATTAACAACTGCCGAGACTGGCCTTTTGTTTACCAGTAGGGTTGTAGCCGTGACAACCCACGTCTCTTTTTTTCTTCTTCTCGGATCTTCACCGAGATACAATCACCAACGTTCATAAGTCGTGTCATTACCGCCAAAAGGGCTACCTCTTCCAGCAGATGGGCTGTTTTGAGAGGCAAAGTAATTCAAGGAGTGACCTGCGGCACTACCACCTCGACTGCCACCGGCCGTGGGACCGAAGTCGAATCGCTCGAACTCGTTTAGACTGCTGACGTCCGATTTGGCATCGATGTCTTCGTAGTCGTCCGGGTCCGACACGATACTCGCTCGGTCCGAGTGGTGGGAAGTCGAGACTTGTCGGCTCTGTGGTAATGAACCTACGCTGCCGCCAAAGTAATTTTCCGGTCTGTCCTTGGGAGACTCCCGCGGGATCAGTTGTGATCGAGTCGCCGGTGGAGGGAGCTTGGGTGACGGACTAGGCTCGGCAGGAGTATATCCTAGTCTGGAAGAGTTTGCCAATCGCGCTATTCGCATGTTCTCCTCCGTCAGTGCACCTGGGCTGGCTGAGTTGGGCGATTTGTTCGCCCGTCGACTGGCAAGATCCGTCTGGAGAGGTGGAGGTGGTCCTCGTTTGGTTGGTGGTGACCTTGCAGAACCTGGAGCGTCTTTCACAATGGGCGAGTATTGGGAAATGGATGATGCACCATTGTAAGCACCAGGGGGAGGGGCGGCGAGTCGTGCAGGTGCCTGGGCTCGCGCATTGTGGTTCATGCTTGGCGATGGGTCACGAAGGCGGAAGGCAGCGGAAGATGGTACACCATCACCACCCCTTGGATCATTCCTGAAGTCCTGTTGAGACCCTGGAGGGCCAGGTCGCTGCGGTACTGGACTTGGTCCACCTCGAGGATTCGGATTAGGTGAAGCTCGCGGGATCGGACTTGGTCCTGTCCTGGGAGGCGGTGGTCCTCTCTGGTTAGGGTTGCTGTAGCCTCTGGCGCGCTGCTGTGGCCGATCTCTCCCCGAGCTTGGTGGTCCGGTACGGTTCGCTGTCGGAGGTCTCGGGCCAGGTCCATTGAAGTTTCGATACGGTCGCTCTGTAGGCGCCGTGCCAGGACGTGCTTGGTCAAGTGGTCTTCTACCAGTGGGACTGAGATTCCAATTTTGAGTTTCTTGAGGAGTCAGCGGTCTCGCAAGGCCAATTTGTGTCGATGGCCATTCTGAGGTCGTAGTAGGAGGTGACTTTGTGGAGAGCTCTCTTGTCTGAATAACAGGGTTTTTCTTCTCTGAACCGGCAGATGATGTCGACCTGCCGCTGTTGGACCTGCTGCTCAGCTTCTCGCCCTTGCCAGCCATGACGAACTCTGGTTGGGTCTTCAATTCCTTGTTATGTCTCCGCCGCATGAGGAACCAAAAAACACCCAACGATGCTAACAACACCACAACAATGGGCACAACGATTGCTGGAATCAAGGTACTCATGTTCGAAGAAGATGATTTTTGAGCAGCTGCACTGCTGGTCGCGGCGGAGGATGTTTTGGATGAAGTCGTAGAGGCATTTGTGGAGGCGGACTGGGCCGCAACGGATGTGAGGGAGGCATATTCAGAGGAGTTTGTGATTATTCTCGTTCTAGTCGCGACTGTCGTCGATACAGTATCGAGGCCGGTTATCGACCTGGCCAAAGTTTCTGTCTCTGTGACTGTTGTAAAGCCCGATGGTGCTGCTGCTGTAACGAGCGGCGCCGTCGCTGAAGGATCCGGGGTGACACCCGTTGCAGCTATCGACTGAGGAAGAGTTTTTGTAGGGTTTCCGATGCTAGCGGGCAGGTTACTGAGGTTTTGAGGATTTCGTTTGTGCAGGGACATAGCATGTCGAAACATCCTGCCCGGCCTCATCTTGAACAGCAGGACGATGACCTCGCTGTCGTTGAATTGGCAAGAAGATGCTCGCAGGAAAGAGCTGACGACAAGACGTAGGCCTTTGCAGCCCCAGTGTTGTGATCAGCAGCTCCTTACGGGCGGTACCATGCAATTACTGTAGCATGGAAGGCCTTGTCTGTGAAGGAGTGATCATCGTATGAAGGAGGCTAGCGTGGTGACTATCGGGCTGAAAGGGAAATTGGACGAGTGCGCCTAGTGAATAGAAGGAAAATTCGAGGACAGCGACTGACAAAAGCACAAACTTTTGGAATAGATTGGAAATGGATGTGAGAACCGTTGGAAAGGTGTTTCCATGGATCTGTGACCTGCACCCGACCCGGAAGAAAAGAAAAAGAGGGTGTGTGCTATCCGTACGACCCAGCGCCTGGCGAGACAACTGCAGAAAGGTGAGGCTGTGAGAAGCCGTGGAGGAGTGAAGGAGAAGGCTGGACGGCGCGTTGAGCGTGTGGCACAAAGAAGGAGGTGTTTCGAATGGCCCAAAGAGGGAAAACGCAGACTTGGTCCGGGAGCCCGCTGGAGTCGGAGGTCGGAACCTCATAGGTTTTTCAGAGGTCTCCCAGCGGCATCTTGCACTTCGTCCCTGGCACTGGCCCCAACCTGGAGCTAAAAGTTTGACCTGGTGTCTCACGAACCCGTAGTGGGAGGAGCCGAGCGTCGATCGAATAGAGACGTGTCGCTTGTCATGATTTTGACGTGATGACTCGCAGCTTTGTCGTCAGAGGTGGTTGGGAGCCGGGTCTCTGATACTGATACGGAGTACCGGTGGCTTCGTAACATGCAGTCGAGCTTGACCAAACACCAAGGTGTAGAATAGCACCACTGGGACAACATGCAAGTGGTCTGGACGAGTTGGTGTAGCACGATTGTGGCACAGCAGGGGTTGGAACAAGTGGGCGAAGGGAAAAAAGGGGTCTTGGGTCAGATGCGTCTTAAACAGTCTCAGTTTAGCGCCGCTTTGAGCCGCACGCACAGTCCCGGGATTTCGGATTATCAATTCAACCGAGATAAGAGATAAGATGGTGCAGATGACTCAGCGACTTACGGAGTCTGTATGTACAGCATCAAGACAGCATCGCGGTGAGAGGTACAATACTGTAATACGTCTAGGTGATCGATACAGAGACCTATCGCTTGATAGATTTGCAGATCGAAGTTCGGGATGCTCAGTCTATTCGCCTTTTCCTAGATAGAGACACTAATCTTAGGTGAAAGACCGTCACAGACAAAGATCTGCGCTGACGGACCAATGCCATCTTGGACGTTTCTGTCAGCTAGAAATTTGAGGATCATCACCATGGTCGAAGTTCGTAGCAGTATCCGTACGTGTTCGTCCATCCTGCTAATTAAAAATGGTGTTCGAGTATGGAGTAGGCAGTATCTCTGAATTGCAGAGGGTGTGATAGAATCGGCATTGTCGCTGTAGTTGCCGCTGTTGTGCCGGGTGATTTTTGCGGGGGATTTCAGTCTGGGCGCTTCGGGGATTCATTTGATGCTTATCAACACCCATCACAGGTGTCTCTATCCAATCAACTGCCTCATCGAGGCTTTCGCAATACTCCTCGCTGCCTCACACTTTGCTTATTGGTCTTTCATACCGACTACCAAACCCATCAACTGCTCATTCGTCCCCATCCCCTCTGTAAGCGCCTGCGCCAGGTCAGCACAATGCCGCGAACAACGCTCCTCGACATGTCTGGCTCGATAAGATCTTCTTCAGCGCTTCATGCTCTCTCCCTTCCACGCCATGAGATGAACCTTCGAAGTGTTCTGCTAGATATTCAAGCAGACGCTGTGTTGCGACAACCTCGAGGATGAACCTGAAATTGCACCACTAGATACAGACACATTCAAGAAAACCAGATACTCCGCAAGCAAGATGCAGTTCTTCCTGTCGAGACGGTGGAAGCCGAATAAATGGCCTTTCTATGTTCTGTTCGGCTTAGAACTGCCATTGAATATTGCTCTTCTTGCATTATTCGGCATTGCTTCGCCAAACACATACCGCACAAAATTGTGGCAGGATGGTGCCGACAATGGTTTCAACTCAAGCCCATCCACCGGTCTGTATGCGGCCGCTAATTACAGACCGTATACCACTCCCAAAGTCTGGTCACAATTGTATGACTCCCTGCTCTTAGCTATGTCTTGTACAGCCTTCGCTGACCGGGAAAACAGTATAACCAACTACAACGTTGTCATCAGCGTGCTCGGTGTATTCATTCTGCTTGTCAAAAGCATCATGTACATGCTTCATGTCTTCCCGCCCATCCTCTCCGTCCTTGTGCACGCTCTCCTCATCGCACTTTACACCGTATCTGTCGACTACCAAGCCAGCAGCGACACCACAGACCCCGACCATCCGCAGCACGGTCCACCTTGGTACATTACCAAATCCTGCAGTGTCACCAAGAACAAGAAGCTGGTGGGATACTGCAAGCAGGCAAAAGCAAGCTTTGCCTGTACATGCGCGATGCTGGGGGTCTTCGTCATCTATTTCGCTTTCGCGGCGTGGTCCTGTTTCCCATCGAAGCAGCAGCGAGCGGAATATGCAGAGAAGAAGAGGCTCAGGGCTGAGAAGTGGGCCAAGTTCGAATCTCTTGATGATCCAGCCGCGGGCGAGGGTGCCTTCTATCCGATGCCAGAAACACCTGGCCCCCAGCGCGGTCTAAATCCCATGACTCCTCGAACGATGGCGTTCAATACTCTAGGAGGGACGAAAGACCTTCCTCTACGGAATCATTTCAGCTCTCCCAACAGTCCGGCATCTCCATCGTATGCCATCAGAAGTCCCGACCTCCCAAGAAGTCCGATGAGTCCGAGCTTTGTGGACAGAGTAGTGGGTGATGTCCGCTCTGGGAAGTCTCCCGAGCCTGAAATCAGCTGCAGTCCGAACGCAACCTCGCCTCAGCTGTACTTCCCTCCTCCTCCCAAGACATCGAAGAAATGATTCGGAATCCCGGATATCAAGTCTGAAATTGATGTTTGCTGCTAGTGTGCCAGAAGTGAAGGTTTGTTAGGCATGCGTTTTCTACCTAGATCATAAGATTCTGGATGTCGACTTGAATGTGGAAAAGGCTTCAATTTGTGTTAGTCTTACACTATTGTGATGATAGGAATGTGCCTCTGAGACAGCAGTCAGTACTGTCTCTGCCCAGAACTGGTCTTGGGGTGAAGTATATATCCATAATTCTGCCTTGTTTGTCAATGATCAGAAATGATACTCGCATTTACTCGTGCAATGGCATACTTGCATTTCCCCTGTCCTACCAGCATTCCTCCAGTTCTGGGAACCGTATGATTCGTGCTAAACACTCTCTAATCGTCCAGGTCTTACCTTCACCGTCCACCACCCGAAGCCCACAGTCACCGGGAATTCGTTACCTTCCACCTACATTCAAGATTTAGGTATCACTCTCTTGACATCAGATGCCGGTCCATCAAATCACACCATTGGTCTATATAGCAGTGCTGTTTGGCAGCCTGAATGAAACATACGAGATTCACAACAAGTCTTCTCGTCCTTTTGGCATTCCCTACCTGTCATTATCAAGGCTATAAGAACTGCTGTCCTCTTCCACGTCCCCTTCCACAGTCCCCTTTCTCCCTTCTTTTCCTTGGTAACCATTCCACATTGACTATATATATTAACGACAGGGTTTGGAGCGAAACGTTCTGCGACCAGTAAGGCCCTAAGAGTATCTCACCATCGGCCCAAGTTACTGTTTAGGTTGTCATCTCCATCAGATCCATGTTCGCCCAAACAAGCACTGCTAATGAAAAGAAGAAAGGGTTCTTGACTTCTTCGTCCAACCATAGTGATACTCAGCCTCGAAGAACGACATGAGATTGACTTTGACCATGTCAACATTTTCGAGGATGCTTCAAACGAGGAATATGAGAACAACCTCGATGAAACAACTAATATCGTCGGTCCACGATCACACCGTACACAGGCGCAGGCGTACGAAGAGACCCGAGGAGGAAATTCCCTCTTCCCCCAGTCACCTGAGCTCCTCGCCAGGTGTCTGTCTCTTTCGACCGGTCGTCATGTGGAGACACTTCGAGAGCAATATCACATTGTACCAAGCTGAACCCGATCTCTACAAAACAGACATCAAAATCAAACCAGATCTAGATCAAGGGCATAATTCTTACTGAGTCAGGTCCAAAGCTTGAGCCACTCGAACTACCCGACTTCGAACTTGTGTGACGCATACTCTGAGATATTCTCGGGGACCTTCCTCGGTATACCAGTGGAGTTTGAACTATGAAGCGATCACAAGCTTTTGCTAAGAATAGTATGACTTCGATGTTGAAGAAGTGGCACACATTTCCCGATCCTTTGACAACAAAGGCTACACTGCGAACACCTCGCATTTTCGTCTGCCTGTTCATGCGAGTCATTTTGTGACAAACCCCACAAAATCAGAAACTCGCCGGACGACCAAGATCATTTCCAGCTGTCTTTTGATTTGTTCAATGCTGAAGATTTCTTACAATACAAGGAAATCCGTCTATACTTAGTCCATGATATGGTCATCCTGAGGGTCTGGACGATGCTAGTCTTGTTGTTATCGATGCTCCTGGTCCTACTGCTCCCGGTCCTACTGCTCCTGGTCCTACTACTGGTCCTGCTGACACTTCAGTTCCTGGTTCTGTCTAACGCTTCAGTCTTTGCCTTGGTCTTCGCTCTGCCGGCCGTCCGAGTACGCCTTTTGCGTAGTCATGGAGACAATTCCGCACCGTTCCTACTAAAATGGCAACCAAGACGCCTGTCTGCTGTCGAAGGCTTTCGACGACCAAGTTCGATCAGCAGGAATTGCCGAGAATACCAACAAAAATCTATCCGAAGACGATTATTCGTTGGAAGAGAGATTATATGCAGTTCATCTGGCACAGGAGACGACGTCAGCGAGAGAGAGAACACCCGTTCAAGTCTATTCGAACGCCAAATGAGAACTGCAAAAGTATCCATACGCAGACAGGGGGGCGTGGTAACTCCCAAAGCACGAAATCTTGTCTCGATTTGACATCTGCAACAAGTCCAGCAGCACCTTCACAACTAGAGTAACGCTGGGAAGGATTGTATGTGTTGTCTTTCGCATTCGGCACCGAAAAGTTAGAAAGACCTGGCGAACGGTCCGCATCGACATGCGAAGAAAAATCACCCAATTTACTTCCCAAAAGTCTCGTTCTTCAGCCTTGGTGCTTTTCCTCTGCGCTCTTTCCCACGACCAGTCTTCCTATCGAGATCAGCTCATAGTTCTGAATAACCAGGCGAAAGTTGGCACTGACTCGAGACTCAGTCCTTCATCTCCGACCCCTGATGTTAAAGAGAGAGCCCCAGGGTCGGTGTTGTTACACACGTCTGATTATACGGTCTTCTGAAAACACGGTGTTGCCGCCGGCTCAATGATATTGGCATGACGTCGATATGTCAGATGTCGAAAGGTACCACTTCAACAATCATGAATTAACTGGATGACGACGAGTCGATATAAGCACATTCAGGAAGTTGGACGCCTTCCTTTTGTTCGTGCTGGAGTTAGGCCATGGAACAGGTCCCAATAAGCATGCAAGCTAACGAGGTATTGATGTCCCACATCGTGGCAGAAAGGTTAACCATCTTAATCTGGTTCAACTGCCCTCAGAACGCCGACGGCAGGAACATGGATGGAAGAAGCATCGAATACCTGGAGCGCAGCACTTCGATAACCATTTCTGAAACTCCTGCCGTCCAGGAAGAGGGTGGCATTGCTGCTCTCGTGGGCGTAAAAGGAAGAGGCAAAAAGCCTCGCCAGCTAGGAAATCCCCAGGACCTGGGCATCACCGCTGCAGGAGAAGAAGAATTTCTACAATGTCTCACGAACCGATACAGCCAGAGCATTTCGACCTGACACTGCAGTCCTTAAGACTCGCAAGAGGAAATTATCTCCCGTCTTCGCTGCTCAAGCAAGATGGCTCGCTGGAGGTGGTTTCCGAAACGATTGATTACCAAACAGAAACAACCGTGAGCAGAAAGCGGAATCAAACGACCGGAAAAAGCGAGCCAAGGCCGCAGCACTACGAGCAGAGGAGGGGAAGATACAAGCCGACGCCTGGGGAGACCGAGCAGTGGCTGCGGAACTGCGAGCGAACGAGGCGGAAGAGAAGCTCCGCACCGAGACCAGACGTGTAGGGGAGTTCCAGGAAATTCTCCGGGCGCATGTACGGAACTCGCAAACTCGTCAGCGGGCTCTCGAGGACGATCTGGGTCGTTGCAGAGCGGCCCTCGACATCCTCCAGAGCCGGAGCCAATTCCGGCCAAGGGTCCTTCGACAAGGCCCGCGGATGCAGCTGTACCGGGACCAGACCGCGCAACTCGAGGAGGAAATTCAAGACATGGCGGACCAGGTGGATTCTGCGAACCGGCGACCGGACTCAGAAGATCCGACCAGGCAGCCGTTTGCAGATCAAGTCTTCCCCAACCGCAACCTCGATACATGTTTCAGTTGCAAAACTATCCGTCAACCAAGTATGAATTTGGGCCCTCGACCCGGTCAAGGGGCCTGTAGGTGATCCCGACTCTAAGGAAGAATCCGGCTACGACAGCTCCATGTATCAGGCTATCAGAGGTCCCTGAAACTTAAGGTCGCCATGAGCTTATCAAGAAGTCACAGTACCCGGCTATATATATATATATATATATGCACAATTTGGTGCGGTCGTGGTAAGGATTCATGAGCCCCAACTGAGACTTCCCTACGGACTGGACGCCTAGAAGATTTCGATACAGTACGTTGACTCTTGTTGCTCGTTGTGAGGAGCCGCCTTTACCCCGCGACGAAGCTGCTCCTACTTTCTGTTTCTGATGGATGATATCCCAACAAAAGCCTACATGTCACCTGAGATCGTTGAAGGGTTTCTCTTTCCACATGACAAATACCCCCTATATATGAAGTGGTTCGCGCCTGGGAATACTTTTACTTCTTTAAAGGCATCCCTTTCCACCGATCTCAGCAGAAGCTCCTAGACCACCTTTCCGACAGAGCATCAACGTCTCATCTCGTTGCCGGCTCCAGACCGCCCGGCCAGTGCTCATGCCAAACAGTAGCAGGCTAATTTCCCTATATATATATTCAACTCCTACCGATCACTTTCATCCCTTTCCGTATCTCACCTTTGTCACAATACCAGCTTGAAGACATTCGTACGTTGCGGAAGCGGAGTCCAACGAGAATCAAAACCTATTTGACTGCACTTGATGATGCTGGGGCTTAAGATACTTCTTCACGAGGTGTACGAACGAGGGGATGTACTCTACACGAACCAGCCGCCCGACGCCGAGGCCGGTCTTGTTTCGCCGGTCAGAAACTCTCATGCTTCATTTTTCACAGGACGAAAGATTTCGTTTTCTGCAGAAGGGCCATTGTTGTACCATTAGTCTTAACAGAGAAGCAGCAGGACCGTCATCACCATGGAACCAAGTCATGAAGGAACTCATGCCGCCACTAACGCCGACCTCGTCTCGATGTTCGTCTTTGACCAGGCCCATATCGCCAAAAAGACGATGAAGCCGCTCACCAACGCTATACAGAAACGTGCAGGCGGAGCTAGAAAGATCCTACTAACCGGCACGCCGACACACAACACCGAGACTGAAATGGCCCACCTTTTTCACCTGGCCGAACGCCGACAGTGTCTTTGTGTCAGTGAAGGAACCTTACTGCCTTGCTGCATTCTCTCGAAACACCGGATCAGATCGAGACCAGTGTCCATCTGAGAGAATACCTACGCGTCGTGACATTGAATCATGATGTCGTTTTGGCAAGAGAACTCTTTGCCTATGAGGATGGCAACGTCGATGCCGACACTACGACGGAGTCCACAAGGCGCGTCTGGTAATTCCCGTCCACTCGGGAAACAAACCACTGGGTGATAGCGACCTATTAACCACCCAGTCACATTCTGCAGTAATGGGACTCACACCTCGACCAGGCATATCGGCGTCGCAGGTTGTCCTCGAATACGACCAAGGCTTATTTAACAAATAAGAGGCACGGAACATAACATATTTCGCAAGGAGGCAGGAGTCGAGAGCCACCCTGATCCGTAATTACCGTTCTTCGGCAAATATGTATATATATATATGGCTAATCTCACCTCAATCAACAGCCTATATGAGAGAAGTCAACTGAACTGTTCGATGTTGTTGACACCTTGGGCCCTGGCATTTTGCCAGTGTTGCTGCTGGGCGTACCGAATTTTCAGAAGGTTTCTGGTAGTTGTTCTGTCCTTACCGATAGACTACATTTACATCTGGTCTATTTTTTTGGCACGAAACGTCTTGTTGTCTTCAAAGGGCAAATGAATGTGAAAAACGCTCAAATGAACGGCAGAAGAAGGACGAAATAATGATCCGATATTCGATATTCTATATCCCTTCGATCGTGGATTGGAAATCTGAGTCGATCGACAAGGGGGCGTTGCCGGACAAGAGTGGTGAGCAAAAACACAGGGATTGACGTACAGTCACATCCTTTTTTCTCAAGAGCGAGCGTAATCTTCTCAATCATTCTTGACGGTTCACCGGCACATCCTCTCGGGGTACGTGACTGGCACAGGATTTTTATTCCCGTGCTCGATAGAGATCTGACCGTTTCATCTTCAAAGCGATGAACCCGAATGCACCAATTTACATCCCGAGCGACTCTTCCTCGCCGCGTTCACCTGTTGGGCGTGGGCGAAGTTCGTCTCCGATGCAAAGCAGCCCCCTTGTCGGCCCTTCTAGGGTTGGTGGGGGCCAGGCTGTTTCTGGCTCTCAGCCAGGGCCTTCTCATAGGTCTTCGAGTCTCGTGTTCCCCTACCCCTCGGGTCAAGCAGCTTCCTCTGTCGACACGTCTTTACCGCCGCCCCCATCAAGCCACGCTTATCCCCTACTGGTAAGTCGCCACAGAGGACTGGTGTTTACCGCTTGATGCCGCCTGGTTACCAGTATCAGCTTCCTCCAGGGACTCCTACTCAGGGCCAGGCTTTAACTGGGCCTACTTGGTCAACGTCTTCTTCGGATGCCTTCAGACCACCTTCTGGTAGTGATTTCTACACCAGTTCCCTTTATCCGTCACCATCTCCTGGACTGATGATGCCTACGAAACCCCGCAGTATGAGTAGGGATCAACAGGTTGAAGTCTTTAAGGAGCGGCTGGACCTTGATGAAGGGGATGAGAAAGATTTCATAATTTGGGGACTCGAGTGTTTGTTCGCCTGTGAAGTTTCAAATTTCAACTTCACTTTCACTCATCTCACGCACATTCGATCGACCTATACCTTACAGAGCGTGGTTGAGAGAGACCGAGAAGAATGTGGCAGTTGCGACAATCATGAGTACCGACCTGGTCTTCTTTACTTTTACTCGATCAATCTTTTGGAGCATCACTACTGTGCACCTCAGGGCTCCTTGCCGTGCTCAGGGGGAACGTGATCAGGGTACAGAGTGTACCGATGTAAGTCTGGCGCATGGTTTGTTTCTTTGCGATGACTACTCCTGTGTGGAAATGAGTTTTTCCAAACCTCCAAATCCCTCATCGTCATTCCAGTAGTTCAGTCACGAGGACATGGCGAGCTTTCCTTCGCAATTCGAAGTTTATGGAGGACTCCCATGAAAATTCCAGCCATGAGTGCTGAGGTCGGTTCGTTCGTCTGCTCCAAAACTACGGTGATCGACAGTTTTTCTCAACAGCCAGACCTACCAGCAGATCCGGGGTTACATTGTCGGCAACGTCGAGCGGAATTTGTCTGCAAGGGATGTTCCAACATTGGCTCTCCGGCATTGTAACAAGAAGCCTCGTGTTTCCCCGGGTGCGTCTCGGTTTCCGAGTGGCTGGCGGCTGCCTTTTTCAGTGGCAAGTGCGTGAGCTGCCGATCTACCAGGGCGTGCTATTCATGCTCACTGTCGGCCAATCGTCTCGCGCCATGATATCCATGGCTTTGTCCTCGTTTGTGTGCAACCAACCTCGGAGCATTTACAAGCGATATATACAATGGATGACTAGGCGGTCGGCTGGATAGACAAGCGCTGCAAGGCGATGCGCAGAGTAATAAGTGGATGGTTGGGCGTGTCGAGAATTGTATAAATATACTGAAGAGATGAGATTCTAGAAACCCGAGACTCGTACTTTGGGTTCTACTTGTCCACATAATACCATTTGCAGGTATCCTGGCAAAACAAGGGAGGGAGAGAGAAGCATTGAACAGAAAATAGATACTTCAGCACCATGTCCCCGGTTTTTCCACATGCGTCGTCCATGGAGACCATGTGTTTAGGGCGACTGATAGGTAGACAACCAGGGATAGTTGAACTACTCGATTTCGTGCTTGCAAAAGATCAGGTAATATATTTGCTAGATACTCGTACTTTGTTGCAACTGTAATGAAAATTAATTTTATTTTCTGGTTTGAAGACGAAGTTGAGTCGACTCGGTTTAAGGAGAGTTATCCAGATTTCAGCCTCGTTTAGGTGCCAAGATCAGATATCATTTAGTGATTATGTCAGCGATTTTTTTCTAAAATATGAATTGATACCCCGAAATTTTGCATTTAAATTTCGCCTCTATAGTGTAGTGGTTATCGCGTCGCACTTGTACTCGAAAGAAAGAAGCACAAGGTATGCGAAGGTCGCTAGTTCAATTCTGGCTGGAGGCATACGAAAGATTTCGTTTTTGTTTTTTTGGTTGTTTACTTTGATAGTTGTAACTGGGACTTGATATTTAATTTTTTTCTGTTTTTTTCAAGCCGAGGAAAACGGCACTTTTGTGCGGAGTACGAGTGTTTGTGTTTACAAGGACTACGCGGGAAAGAATTTTGACCTTCGGAGATCTAAAGCAACTCTCCCAAGATGTGTGGCATACAGGAGTCTAACTTGCAAAAGAGGAACCGATCCAAGCAATACAAGTGGACGGCTCGGAAGAAGGGCAAGATGAAAGGCTGGAAGCGAGGAAATTTGATCCATTTCATGTACACATCTCAACTCTTTTCGAAGTGAGGGAAGAAAAGTCACTCCCTAGCATCCATTCTGTCGCATCACCTGGGACCATTTCTGCTCTTTTATTCTCAGTAATGCTCTCATTTCCTCTTCGGCACTCTCGGGTCCTTCTTTCTTCTCATCACCGTGGCCCTGAGTCTGAGAGACTTGTTTGGCCTGCATATCCCGTTCGTCAACCAGGACCAGCAGATCCTTTGCCGCGCTTGATTCAAGTCTCCGTCGTAGATCCGCACAGACTTTCTCGCGCCAATAAATCAATCCGCTCTCGGTCAACCCTCGCTCCGAGAGACTTTGCTGCCACTTGTTCACCTTGTCATCGTTGGCGCCGGTTGGTACCTTGATCCCCAAAACCGCATCGAAGATGTCCAGCATGAGGAAAATCGTGTAGAGATTTGTCGGGTTGTGGCGGCCAACCAGTCTCGCCGGGTTGATCAAAAAGTATATGCGGAGGATGTTGACGAGAGCTTCGTCAAATTCCTGACTCTTCAGAGCTTCAAAGATGATCGTCATTGCGATCTCGGGATAGTCGCCAGTCGTGTAGATCGTGGGGTAGTCGTAGAACCGATCCGACTTGGCCATGACGCCCCCAGCCTTTTGTAGGGAAGAGGGATCCTTGCTCACTCGTCCCAAGTGTCGGCCCACGTCTTTGACCCACTGTTCAAATTGACCTGGTAGGTTGGGGTGTTCTTTGGACAGTTCCGCGGAAGCTTCCATGTCCGATTTGCATCTAGGACAGTTGCACTCGAAGAGGTAATCGTCCATGAGCTTCTTCCTCCGGGCACTCACCGAGACCGTGGGGACGACGTAGCTAATACAAAGCTCCTCGCCCTGCTGGATATCCCTCAGTGGTATGAGTTGGAAGAAGGTCTGTCTTTCGTCCTCGGAGAGCTGCTCGGACTTCATCCACCTGCTCTTCATCGTATATTGGGGTCTGTGGATGGCCAAGTTCGGTTCGCAGCTGTGATTGAATTTGGCCACGAGAGGTTCCAGCATGACGCCCATGGGGCCGTGGATGGGGGTAGGGAGTTCGATGGTGTTCGACCTCATGATGAAGATGAGTCTCTGTATCATCTCGACGGTCATGCTGGATTCGGCGAGATGTTTGATGCCTTCGGCCATGTCGGTAATGTTGGACCTACCTCGTCCGGCGAGAATGTGTTCATGAGAGGTCAATGAACTTATGCGGGTCCACTCGTCCTCCGGTATTTTATTCCGGTCTTTAAGCAGAACAACCCGCAGAACCGCTCTGAGGATGGGAGGTGGCAAGTCGTCTGCCACTTTCTTGAAGATTTTACACTCGAATTTGTGATAGGCGTGCCACGCTTCCACCTGGCATTCCCTGCTGCAAAACCGAGCTTTGCGACAACCTCCACAGTCCTTGAGTGACGCTGATGCCGTCCCGGCCTGTGCGAGGGGCAGTTGAGTTGATGTGACAATGAGGCAGTGATAGCATGTCGTCGAGAGGTATTCTGCATCGATCGCCATCGTAGTCGGGACATTCAGTGAACAAAGTGCGTCTTTAACCGACAGAGATCTTTGCGCAAATACTCCTTGGCCCTTTGAAGGGATTGACTCGACCTTGATGGTGTCGGCATACTTGTCGTCGATGTAGTTGACCTCTCCAGCCTTGCGCTGGCTGATCATGGAATCAATCAGTGAGTCCAGCTCCGCCATCTCGACGCCTGGCTATGCTGTGTATGTGTGCAGGTATTGGTTGGTGCGTTGATGTAATACTTATGGCTTCTGAGACTTTGTTTGCCACGATCTTTGGAGCGATATCAGAGAATCCACATTCCAGCTAGAGAGGCTGTCAATGGCTCAAGATGAAGGTCCCCTTCGACTTATCGAAATATATGTCGTGAGCACTCGTCATGTGGAATCTTTCAGTGAATAAATCTCAAAAAAATCGTAGATGTCGCGCCAAGATAAGATTAGATTCTACTCTGCCGGTCTTTTTTCTACTCGTGCTCCCAGATTCTGAGACGATATGCAAGGTATTCCTGACAATCGTTAGTCTTCTAAATATCTCTCTTGTTCCTTTATGAGCCCTTGTCCAAACGAATGGGAAATTCTCGTACATAGTTCACGGTAGAATATATGTACGGAATAGAACTAACTAGTACTCGCTTTTGTAAGGCTGAAGCGCCAACCGAGATCGGACGCAAATTCGCCCGGTAAAGCCGGAGGTGAGAAGGATCTACAACAAAGGACAAAATACTCCGTTGCCGCGAATACTGTGTGTCAACTCTTCACACATTGTCTTATTCCCTCTTCGATCAACCATTGATGTCGGGACGCCGCGTCTATGGATAGACTGCCCGCCTGGTCAAAGCTACAGAGGCCGAGTGTATGAGATGTATTCAAAATCCAGCGTCTTCGCTAGGGGTACGAATCTTGCCCAAACATATCTCGACTGGACACATCTAACTATAATCCGCAGATCTCGATATTTCTCGGTTTCCGATCGAGCTCCTACACGCTGAACTCGCAAGGCGACAGGACACAGACACCAAACCAGCATGTGGATCGTCGCAGAACAACGAGACCTATCATCTCGGCAGCCATGTGTTCGCCCTGTTTCTCATTCTTATACTGAGCACGCTGGGTAAGCCGGCCGGTTGTCCTCCTTGATAGTTACCACTGACGACGGTCTAGCATGTTCCTTTCCAGTCGTGGCACGGCGCTTTCCTGAATTACCTATTCCTCACCGATTCCTCTTTCTGTCCAGACACTTTGGCACCGGTGTCCTGATCGCGACCGCGTTCATTCACCTGCTGCCGACCGCCTTTTCGTCCTTGACCGATCCCTGCCTCCCCGATTTCTGGAGCAAACACTTTCGCCCGATGCCTGGTTTCATTGCAATGCTCGCAGTGTTTGTGGTGGTGTCGATAGAAATGTTCTTCGCCAGTAAAGGAGCAGGACACAGTCACAGCAACGAATGGGAGGGAATACCGGACGAGCCAAGGCATGTGCACAGCAGAGGAGGTGAATCGTCTCATGGAAACGGCCACATATCGCTCAATCAACTAGACACGCCTCTGACGCCGTACAATGACGGGACACCAAAGCCGCGGAATTCAATGTCTAGCGACTCGGGTTCCGACGATGACCTGGATGCGCTGGATCCGATCGCTGACGAGTCTGCTACTTTAAACCATCCGCACAAGAGGAAGGAATCGGAATATGATGACAATGCATTGCGTCGACACGCGACCCCTTCGGACGAGAATCCCCGAAGACTCTTTCTTCAGTGCCTCCTCCTTGAGGCGGGCATTTTATTTCACAGTATCTTTATCGGCATGGCCGTGTCGGTAGCCACGGGGACACAGTTTGTTGTTTTACTGATCGCCATCTCCTTTCACCAGACATTTGAAGGTTTCGCATTGGGAGCCCGCATTGCGGCTTTGATACCGAAACTATTCGACGCGAGTAGCCCCAAGCCATGGCTCATGGCGCTCGCCTACGGAACGACAACACCCATCGGGCAAGCTATCGGAATATGGATGCGAGAGTTATATGATCCAGCTTCCAAAGTCGGCCTTCTCATGGTTGGAATCACCAATGCCATTAGTAGTGGCCTGTTGTTGTTCGCTGGACTTGTACAGCTCATTGCAGAGGATTTTCTTAGCGAGAAGAGTTATGAGAGCTTGAAAGGACGGCGAAGGATAGAGGCTTGTCTCGCTGTTGGGTTGGGCTCCCTTTTGATGGCCGTTGTTGGAGCCTTTGCATAGCGTTGTGAATACTGTATACGAAGTCACTTATAAATCCTCAAGCATAGCAATGTACATCGGAGAACCACTAATCCATCGCGTACTCGTAAACTATTTTCCGGTTAACGCACGCAAGAAAAGCTACGCTTGAGGTCAGCTGCCTAACTAAACCTGAGGATTACTTACCTATCTCGGTAGGTCCTCCGTACGTAGAATAGTGCATGCATACGAAGCACCTAGGTATGTCATCATTGTCCCAGACGTGTACGGAGAACGGAGTAACATAAAAAGGCTGTAGTATAAAAAGCCGAGGTCCAATATCTACCACCACATGCGAGGATATAAGAAGGCACTTGTTCGTATAAGAAGTATTTTCTGTGTTTACTCCGTACATGTACAGCTAAAAGAGACATCACTTCTGTACTCATAAAGGATATTGAGGTCGTCAAGAGTCAAAAGTAAAAAGTCAAGTACGAGAATTACCTGCAGAGTAAACCACCTCATTTACTTGTGGAGTAGTGTCGTTGACTTTGCCCAGCCAGCGATCATGGCCACGCTCAAAACCAACACGTACAAGTCGCCGACGACGGGGAGACAATGGTCCTACCTCACGGCCGGGCCCTCGGACGGGCCAGTGATGTTCTTTTTGCACGGTTGGCCGGGAATCGCGTCGACTTGGAAACACCAACTCGTCGCTTTCGGCGGTCTGGGCTTTTCGGTCGTCGCTCCAGATATGCCGGGCTACGGCGGGACGTGGACGTCCAAGGACCCTTCCGAGTTTGCGCTCGAAAAGCTGGTGCCGCAGTTCATTGAACTTCTACACGACGCTCTCGGTCGTCGGGACGCCATCTGGATAGGCCACGATTGGGGCTGCGGTCCTCTGTGGGCCATCGCCTCCCACCACCCGGAAGTGTGCAGGGGGATCGTGGCGCTCTCGGTGCCCTACCGCACCCTGGAGATGGGCCTACCGACTCTCCTCACGCTCATAGACCGTCAAGTCTACCCGGAGGACGAGTATGCTTACGGACAGTTCAGTTACCAAGTGTTTTACGAGCGGGACCCGACGGTGGTCGACCGCCAGTTTGAAACCGACCTCCCCAGAACCATCAAACTCATCTACGCAAAAGGTCACCCGGACGTGGGTCGTGCCCCTAGCAGACTCTCACTCGTCGCCGAGCAAGGGGGTTGGTTTGGAGGGGTCGACGCTCCTGTGCCGGATGTGCCTCTCGATCGGACCGTGTTGGATCAGGAGATTCTGGATGAGTTGGTGGCGGGTGCTGAGAAGAATGGATGGCACGGTGCCACAGCTTGGTACCTCAACCACGCAGCCAACGAAAAGTACTCCCGTGAAAAGAGCCTCGACGGCGGAAAGTTGAGGATGCCTGTCTTATTCCTGCACACCGAGTACGACGCCGTGTGTCAGACCGTGTACAATCCAAAATTCGCGGCCGAGATGCGTGAGAAAGTAGAAGATTTGTCGGAGCTCGTGCTCAAGGCTGGACACTGGGGTGCATTGGAATGTCCCGAAGACACAAATGCCGGGATAGCCGAGTGGATCGTGAAGCGGGTGAGAGATTCATGGCCTGGTCCGGAGGTGAAGAGCAAGATGTAAAGGACAAGAAGTACGAGATATCTTATAATATCACATATCGAATAGGATACTATGTGTCAAGTCCATTTTGTATCTGAATCATCGCGTCGGGATGTGCGGGCGACGTGATTTCAATAGTATTGATTGTGACAAACAATATGGTAGTATTTGGATGCTTAACACCGATCTACCTTTGCTTACATCAATATTGAGGCAACATAGCCCTGGGAAGACTGTAGGGAAGAGGTACAGTACGAGTAGAAGGACGAGGTATTCCCTGTTGGGCGACGATGATGCCAAGACGCTAATCCCAAATAGTCAGACTTAGGTAAGGCGCCTCCATTATTTGTTTACGTGCCTCGTCTGGACTTCGTACTGGGACCAACTGTGACCTGCAAGTTGGGAACCTCCAACTTTGGTTTATTCCAGCTTCTACTTTTACTCGATTTCCACCTTTTGCCTTGGATCGTTCACTGCCCCTCAACGACTACACAGTCACGTATACATCCTACAGAACAAGCTCAGACAACGCGGCACACGAGAATGGCACCCACTAACGCGCGCAAGAGGAAATCCGAGGAGATCGAGCAACCTGCTGGCGCCGTGACACCTACTGGCAGCCCTTCTCACAAGAAGATGAGAATCACGCTGTCTCAAAAGCAAGCGCTGATAGACAACCTACAATTAGAAAGTATGTCACGACGATCGATGACATGCCCGTCTGAGACGTACAGATGAACACCCTCTAACCAAAACTTCCCTAGTCACCGAACGAGCTCGTCAACTTCGAGCTGGCTATGCTCTACAATGTGCCGACCTTCGATCTCGCATCGAACGACGCGTCAATCGAATTCCTCTGGCTCTCCGGAAGATGACAATGGGAGAGCTCATGGCGGAGTACGACGACAACGTCCAGAAGCCACCACACTCTCCCGTCAAACAATCCACCACGACGGCCTTGAACAAGGATCGACCCCTCCCACCTCTTCCACATCAACAGCAAAAACACAAACCCACCTCTCCGATGCGTCCCCAGCCGGCAGCTGCAGCACGAGGCAAGAAGCGCAAGAGTTCGTCTATCCGGATTGCTTCGGACAAGGAGAACGAGAACGGTGGGATGTACAATCAGGACACGCTCCCCGTCCAAAAGAACACGAAACGCACCAAGACGGCGGCGACTACCACCAAACCCACAAACACAAAAGCAACGTCCGTCCTCTCCCCTAGATCCCACAACTCTCGCACCCTCCCACGCTCCCCGATCAAGGAGTATCCGGTCAACACCTCTCCGGTCAAAGGTAGCATGATCGCCCGGCCAACGTCACCCCTCAAACCGGCCTCACCGCTCAAGACCGCCGCCACGGCCGTCTCGGCCAGCGTGCACGGCATGTACGAGCACGCGAAGCGAGGCGCGACCGCTCGTCTCAACCGGACGGCGTCAAAGGACAAGGCCACGACGACCACGGCAACCTCTGCTAGAGGTGCCATGCTCCCACCACCTCGTCCAGCCCCATCTGCACCGAGCAGTCCACAACAAAGGACGGTGAGCCAGGCCAGCAACCACAGCACCAGCACCGACATCTCCACGGCGTCGAGTGGAACGACGATTGTCAAACCAAAGCGTGGCACTCGAGCAGCTACGACGAAGAGCACCACGACGGCCAAGGCAACCAGGACCGCGGCTTCAGCAGCACCACCCAAAAGCCCCCCCGCCCCGGCGAAACGAGGCGTTGCCAAGGCAGCCAGTGCCGCGAAGACTGCTCTAAAACGTGGCGGCACCACGACAGCAACCAGAAAAGCTGCAGCTGCCACCGCTGCCGCCGAACCTGCCACTGGACGGAGGGTGTTGAGGAAGAGGACTTGAGTGCTTTGGCTTTGGGTAGCTATGGATCTGTGTGTACGGACAGTGTGAATTATGATCGTGTCTGTCAGTTTTTTGAGAAAGGAAAGGGTAGGGGAGTACCCAGGTATCGACGCGTAGCTACCTACCTAGCTTGCTTGAAGCTCGAGCCCAAGTTTATGGATTCGGCTGTTCTGTTGTTTGGGCGTTCAATTGGTTGCAGTATCGAGCATCAAGGACGGATTAAAAACATCATCACGTGTTTTGTACAGAGTTCCATTTCCTTTTTTCTCATTTTCGAAGTACTGTTCCATTCCATTTGTGGTGCCCCATAATTTACATACCTAAGGTGGTTTGGAAAAAGCAGAGCTGCAAAACCGCAAAAAATCTTGACCCCTTCTGTGAGGTCCCGCGTTGTTCGAACAGCCTGCGCGCGCGGTCTTGTTCTCGAAAGAAACAAAGAAAAAGAAAAAGAGCAAAAACTTCCTGGCCGCCCAAATTTCGAAATCTTGTCTCTCTCTCTCTCTCCCTCGTGGGGAAACTCCGTACTGACACACAAGAAAGAACCACGTCACTCAACTGACTCACTCACTGGACCAGCCCCCCGCTGTCCTTGGGGATCTCCTTTTTTTTGGTCTTCGTCTCCCGTTTCATATCCGTTTTCAGCCGTCACCTTGCAACTTTGGGAACAGAGGTTAATCAACCCTAGTAATCAAGCTCTGCGCTTCCAGCTGCGTGAGCTGCTGCTTGAGCACCAGCACCACCCCCGCTGCCATTCGGAGCGGCGTCGAGGTCTTCGTAACTTTTGAGGCTTCTTCCTTGAACGGCCTCTCTGGGTCCCATGGCATTCATGCCGCCACCTGCACCGTCGCCCCATTTTCCACCACCGCCGCCACCACCTTGGGCGATGAATGCCGGGTTGAGGCCGGGGGGCAGATTGCCACGGAGCAGACCACCCATGTTGTTGTATCCTCGTTGGCCATTCCGTGCATTGCGATCGTAGGGGCCGGATCGATTGCCATATCTGCCACCGCCACGACGAATCGGACCGCCAGTGTGGTTTCCACCGTTCATACCATCGCCACCGAAGCCAGACGGAAATGGTGCCTGCACACCTGGCATGTTGATCATCGCGTTCTGGCCAAAGGCCATCATGTTCATGCCCATGTTTTGCAGGCTAAATCCACGGGGCGTACCAGAATTGAGATGATGATTGTTCGGTAGAGGAAAGTGTCCGTTGGAGTTGGCATCTGACCGAGATGGTGCAATGTGCGACGGATCAAGGACGTAGTGGTTGACAAGTTCGAGCTGCGACAATTAGTTAACACCCAAAATCATAATCAAAAAGAGACTTACGTCTTTCTTGAGTTCCAAATACCACTCCTCGTGCCTCTTTTCCACGTGCTTCTTCCAGAAATGTTCTGCTTTGAACAGCTTCGTGCAATCAGGGACCTTGCATCGGTACTTGGCTTCATCTTCTTGCTTGACCCATTTGGCGAGTTCGTCCTCCAAGGCTTCCTCGACAGGTTTACCTCCAATCTTTTTCAAATCGACGTATTCTGGTTCGAGGATTTGGAGGATCTTTTCCTCAAAGGTTTTGACCCAGTTGAAGGCTCGAAGTAGCTGCTGGTCATTCTTGTTGAATTTAGAAGCACGCTTTTCTTGGACAGGACTCATCGGTTCGTCCTCCATCCCGTTCTCCTTTTTCTTGCCGGGGAATGGTTCGCCTAAAGCGCTCGCGCGGGCAGCAGCCTTGGCAGCAGTGCTCAAGCCAGCTCTTGGTCGTCGAAGGTGGCCACCAGGGCACTTTCGAACCAGCTCATGAACCGAATCCGCCTCGAAGACACAGAAGAGACAAAAGTTGTGCACACGTCGAAGATATTCCACCATCAGGTCGAGCTTCTTCTTGATCACCAGCAACTCCTCGTCATCTTGATCCTCTTCGGTCTCTTCGCCTTCTTCGCCCTCTTCATCGAATTTGATTTCATCATCGTTGTCTTCGAAGTTAGGCTTCTTCGGTCTCGGAGGTGGCTGCAACAGACCTTGGCTCCTCATCTGTTCGACTCGTGCGTCAATCTTGGCTACGCCGCTAGAAGCGTCCTCCCGACCTAGTTCAGCATCTAGCTTTGTGATCAGTCTTCTAGCAAGTTCGTAGTCACGTTCAACGCGCTCGGGAGCGGAGAACAGGTCCCAAAGGGCCTTCTTTCGGGTTGCAATAGGAGCATTGTGGACGCCAACGTGGCAGGTGAAGTCGCCTCTCACAGGGTCCGAGATAACTTTGCCATTGATGAGCTCGAGGGCTTTTTGAGTCGTCGACTGCTTCTCAACTTGCGGCTTCTCCTCGCCTTCTTCGGCTTCCTCGTCCCGACCATCACCCCGCTCGACCTCTTGCATGGCATCACCATCTTCTTCAGGTGCAGGGTTGAGCATGATCCAGCCAATGCGATGGAATTTTTTGGCAGGGTTAGGATCACTCAAGGATAATCCTCGAAACCCGCCGTCTTCTTCGCCAAGATGCTCTTTGCAGAACTCCTCGATCCGCTCTCTGCCGACATTTGGCGCGAGTGTCTTGATGAGAAGGGCGGGCTGATTGACCAAGTCGTCTCTCAGATCACCACCTTTGGCTGGTACCAGATCCAAGACACCGAGGACCTCACCACCTCCGACGGTTTCGCCCTCTTCTTTCTCGACCATACCTCCAGCACCATCACTGTCATTCTTGTAGATGCCCTCCAAGGTGAACTCGTCGAATGCACCGGTGTCCATCTCCTTCTCCCACTGATCAAAGATACCCTGGCGGAACTCCATCAGGCGCTTACGAATAGGCTCTCTGACGTCTGAGACGTAGCGCTCCTTGAACCACTCCTCGCCTTTGTGAGCCATGACGAATTGTCTGGCCATTGTCACCTGGAAGTCTTGCTTGTACTGATCGTAGGCTTCTTGGATCTTGGATCGTTCCTTTTCGCGGTCTTCTTTGGCTTCCCGATCACCCTTTATGCGGTCGGAAGGCCGTCTTCCGCCATGTTTCGCTCTTTCCTTTTCTTCCTTGAGCTGCTGTTCACATCTCCACCAATCGGCAAAGAAGCTAAATCCGGCTTGCGTACTGAGCGTCAGAGGATTGGCTAGCGGATTTACTTTCATGGCGGGTTTCGCAACGTCCTGGCCGGGCACATAGCGATCAATGTTCGCCGCAGTCGGAGAAGGTGCTCTTCGGCGATCGTCTCTCTCTCGTGTCGCAGTGCGATTAGGGTCGTAGTGGTCGTCTCTAGCTGGCCGTTCGCGTTCGCGTTCTCGGTCAGGCTGATAGCGATCGATGCCTACTGGGGATCTCGAACGCGGCCTTGGGGCCGGACGACGTCTGTCGTCAACTGTATTCAATCAGTATCACTGCAGCGGACCGAAGTGGCCATCATACCAGGAGAGCGACGTCTGTATGTATCTCTTCTGTCGTAGTCATCGTCTCGCGCTCTGTAGCGAGGGGACCTTTCGGCGGGAGGGGAACCATAAGCCTCGTATGGATTCATTTCGACCCTTGTTTTCCAACACCGTCAATGTTTTCTTGATCAGAGGCCCGGTTGACCTTGGATTTTTTTGTTAGGTTTATGACATCTAGTTGGATGGTGACTAGATGTTGCGAGGGAGGTCAAGTAATATGGCCCGTGTCGGTTCGGGAGAGGAGGAAGCTAGGAAGAGACTTGAAAGATGTTAGACTTGAGTTGAAGCAATCCAATGACAGCATCGTGGTAAGAATGTGGTCCGAGTTCAAAGAAGGAGGAAAATTCGCAGGCATTGAAGCCTCTATATAAGTAAAAGCAGAAACAATCAAGTCAAGAATATAAATCTGAGCCTGAGGGAGGCGATTGGGGGCTTTTCTAGTGAGACAAAAAGTGAGGCCGCCGTTCTCTCGACGGCGGGATAAGGTTGGCTCGACAAGATAGAAGGAGGAATCGAGGTTGTCAACCTACAAGATGAGAATTGAGAAAGGTTCGAATGGCTAGCTGGTGTTGCAATGCGCGATGCCAGCTTGTCTGGTTGATGGGAAAGAAGAGAACGAAGGAGTGACAGCCGTGGGCGCGAATGATCCGAGAATGACCAGACGGCTGGATCGAGCGAGCTACACGACAACTGGTCGGCGGCGAAGCCTGGACTGCGAGAGTTGTGGGACGGCGCTACAACAACAGAATGAATCAATTGGACCAACGAGGAGGCCATATTTGACATCACGTGATATTATCTTGGCATCATTTGGGAGGGCGAGTATTCAAGTTTACGGAGTAAAGAGGAGGACATTCTTGTTAGAGATCATGATCGAATTGAATTCCTGATACCGAGCTCCTGTATACATGGTTCATCCCTATAGAGAACCGACATTCGTAACAAAAAGGTGTATCTACCGCTCAACATGCTCCCCCGTTGGCATACCTTTGGCGAACCACTCGTCCAGCAATTCCCAGTCCCTTTCATCCAATGCAGGCTCCTCTGTACCATACTTTGCAATGAGGAGCCCTGACAGACTCCCATCGTTTAGTATCGCTTGCTTGTTGGCTCCTGACCCAGTATCGTCATGCCAGCCATGCTCTCTGAGAACATTGTTGCGTTCTGCCAATGACCTGTTTTGCGTGAACCCCTTGAGGAAGTCGAGATTTTCGTCGTCAAAGACTGCATCCTCAGTACCGTGCAGGTTGATGATAGAGCATGCCAACTTGTGTTCACGGATTTGTTCCCCCGTGTTCCCTGTGATGGTTAATGCTGGCATTACCATTGTAAGAGCGCCATTTCTCTCACATGTTCCCTGGGTAAATGACATGGTGATGGTACTTTGTGTTTATTTCAATTGTCCGTGACCTTTCTGGAGATAGTTGAACTCTCTGCTAGACAGTTGGCATTAGAGCGAGCACGTTGAATCAATTATAAGTCTTCTAAAATGTCATTGTATTTTCAGGGTCTCTTCTGCTGACGACATTGAAGGGTCGCGCGGCCAATCGCTAGCTACTACGGGGTTGTATAGGCAACAGGCAGCCTCACCAATCATCGTGGAGATCGGTGGCCGATGTTAGAGCTACACCTCGTCCCTTGCCTACCTTGATATGCATACATACCTACGAAAAGTACAGTACGGCAGCAAACGACGATACCTAGACAACTACTCGTAGGGCAGCTCTACTGCCTTCTTAAATAGTGGCAGAAATCTACCTGTGGAAAGGGAAGTTCTTAGGCAATTGTTCCTAGACGCCACAACATGCCCTGACTCCAACCCGAGAAAGCTATGACCGCCCGAACAATTCTGATTATACGAAGACCTCATACCCAGTCCTTGTCGACAAATACAACAGCAGGAACTCGTAATCTAATCATTCTGTTATCGAAAACTCTTGAAATGTTTCAAAGTGTTTTCGTGAGGCTGGCTCTGAAAGTTGTGGCCGACTGTGGTAGTCGCAAGTCGATCCTCAGTTAACTACACTGCTTGCGTCGAGCTCACTCGCGTCAATGACCCTGAGAGGTCGATGTTGCATGTCCTTCTTGCATGTAGATATCAAAGCCAGGTCCTGACGGTGAAGCCATTTCTTCAAGATCGTGTCTGGCGTCGCAACAATTGCCTCGAATTGCGAGCTTTTGCAGCCTTTCGGACAAAGCCAGCCTGGCGCACTTGCAGTACTGGACGAGGTCTTGACCATCTGCGACAGTATCCTCGGTCGTGTAGGAGCATCACCCGGTTTGGATTATCCGTAAGTGCAGGACACCTACAAGTCAAAGACGCCATGGCTTCTGTCAGTGTGGCGTACAATCAACCCACTCAAGACCCTGTGGTCCGATGGCAGCTGTCATAGTATGCAAAGTATTTCCCTGGTGTATGCCATGATCTGGGTGCAATCTGTATCCGAAGCTTGACTGTAGGTGGTGTAAAAGCTAACACGAGGCCAGGACAAAAAGTACAAAGCACTGTTCCTTGTCAAGACTTCCCGGAATCGACCGGAAACTTTTCAGGAAATGAAAAAACAAACTATGAAGAACAAGGCAAAGATTTGTTTTCACCAACAAAAAAATGGTGTGATGTCTGAGAACTAGTGACTGACCCGTATTATTTTTTTCTTTGCTAATCCACCAGCCACAGATACCGCGGCAACCAGATGAAAAAGGACATTTTATGCCTGCAATGAGTACAGAAGGCTGGCAATGAGGACAGGGGAACCCTAGGCGAGCCAGGGATTGATCAGCCCAAGGTCGGTTGACGGCGGGCGTGATGGAGCATTCGGTGGAAATTGGCTGGGCTTATCACAGAATTTGCCTGTACCTTTACTCGGTAGAATCGAGGTATTTCTGAGAGTAGACTTGTTGGTATCCGTCTTTTAGGCATTATTCTTGATCATACTCCATAGGTGTAGCTTATCTGATTAGCTCGTGGGTCAAGGTCTCAAATTCAGTGCACATGTTTTTCCAGGGTCGAGTGGGACGTCGTGGACAGGCCTGTCGAGATCATGCGGTTGTAATGAGGAGCGAAGATTAGACTCGATACCTTTGGTGGGAGTATAGTGTGTGATACAAAGATATGGGGAAGGATGCTGCATTGTAGATCCATGTATGTATGAGATGCAGATGACCAGATTCCACGACGCCTTGATGATGGTAGATGTTCGGAGTACGAGGGCGAGTAGAAACGACGTCAGGCCATGCGTCTGGATCTGTGTGAGTGGATGATGAACTGGGGGGACTACTACTAGGTACTACTCGGCCTAGCAGGTATTTACTAGGTGCCTAACAGTCCAGTAGTGATTAGCCCCTTGGGTACTCGTGCTCTTTGGTGCGGGGGAGCTCAACGGGAAGCTTCAAGCTTCTGCATCTTTTGGCGTCACCAGCGTCTTTCCTGCCCACTCCACCCCAAATTCCCCCATCGCTGGCCTCGCTGCGCATACTTCATCAAGCAGAGCATTCTCACCGACTCACTCTCTCTCCCACACACACACACCAACACCTGGCTCGACCTAGGGCATAGTCCTTCCTTCCTACACTACCTACACAAGATGCCCTCCTTGCTCCAGTAACAACAACACATACCTTCCTCTGGTCCCGGAAGCGTCGAGGGCCTTCTTCTCTCCTCCCACCGCTCCCCTCCTCCGCCAGCATGGCACCTATAGGCAGAGCTGTCTTTGCGACGCTGCTCATGAACGATGCCTACCTTCCAGGCTAGTTGCACTGCCACTGGAGCTCTGTTGCGACGCTGACCATGCTCCAGGTGCTATGGTCCTCGGCCACTCTCTTAGAGACAGAGGTGTCAAGGCTCCTCTGGTAGCTTTCATTACCGTTGACAGACTTGCCTCTGACACCATCAACGAGCTCAGGGTCTGTATCTCCGCCACAGGCTTCTCTGCACGTATGCTGACCTGTGCAGACCGTATATGATGAAGTCGTGCCCATTCAACAAATCACGAATAAGAACCCGGCCAACCTCTACCTCATGAACAGACCAGACTTGATATCCACCTTTACTAAGGTTGAGCTGTGGAGGCAGACACAGTACACAAGAATAATATATATGGACGCCGACACCGTCGCACTGAGAGCACCGAATGAGCTCCTCACCGTCGACGCGGACTTTGCTGCCGTTCCAGACATAGGCTGGCCGGACTGCTTCAATACTGGCTTGATGGTCCTCAAACCCAATATGGCAGACTACTATGCTCTGTTGGCCCTGGCACAACGAGGTATCAGCTTTGATGGAGCTGATCAGGGACTACTTAATATGCACTTCCGTGACTGGGAGAGATTGAGCTTTGTATACAACTGCACACCTAGCGGCAACTATCAATACGTGCCTGCTTATCGGCATTTCCAGAGTAGTATAGCGGTGGTACATTTCATCGGGCAAGACAAGCCTTGGACTCTGGGGAGGGACAACAGGTATAACACTGGCGTATATGGGGAGCTCCTGGGCATGTGGTGGTCTGTCTATGACCGGCACTATCGACCAATGGTAAGTCCGATAATAACGATCACATCAAAGGGGTCATGTTCTCAATCGTGTCCAGACCGTCACGCACTACGATACCCAGACGTACACCTCAACCAAGAAGGTACAAGATTATGTCCGCGGAGAGGAACCTCTATATGTCCCGAGCTACTCCAGCCAACAGCAACAAGTCCCGTCTCCTCAACAGGGACAGATTCCTCTTCCTCCAGAGATCACCATACCTGGATCTAATTCGCATCAAACTGTCAAAGTCGAGATGCCCCTGGGTGATGCTCCAACGCCGGCAATGCGATCGGATTTTGCCCCAATTGCTACAGCTGAACAGAGGCGGTTTAGTGCACCGCATGTAGAATGGGAGCCTTCAAGGTATGCTCTCAATTGGTGATGATTACTAGGTATTGACACCGTTCAGAGCACCGCCGCCTGCACATTCAAAACCCGAAGCAGCCAATTTCCCAACCACCATCTACGATATGTCGAGCGATACCCAACTTTTCCAGCCGCCAACTAGGTATCCTGAAGCGCCGAAGGACATGTGGTATCAAGTACCGGAAAAGACTCCTGAACCTATTAAACCGAGACAGATTTTCCCATGGGAAGCACGAGCACCCAAGCCTACCCGAGTATTTCCTCAAGCAAGACCACCTAGTCCTCCTCCACCACAACCAGCAGAACAAACAACGCTCGGAGTCCAACCTAAAGAGTCGTCCGCAGAGGTCACAGACCAGTCCAAGGGAACGGAAGAAAGCCCACCCACTCCCACACAGCGAGAACCAATCAACCCCTGGGAAGCCTTCCAGCAACGGACGAATGCTTGGGACGATATGCCTGAAATCGAACGATATATGCGAGCACTAAGCCAAGCAAAGAAAGGAAAGTTGCAAGTCCTACACCATACCCCGACCCAGCGTTCTCCTGGTGGGACTGCCATTGCCTCACCTACTACTGCTGACTCCCAGCGGCGACCGAGTTTGAAACTGACCGATTTCCCTACCGAGATCGAACGACCGAGCTTACCCGTGACACCAGCGCCGATCCGTCGAGCCACGATATGGGGTCAGGAGAGAGACGAAGAAACTTTACCTACAGCTGAAGGAGTGCCAAAGCAAGAAGATTGGGTGCGTCGATTCTCCTCCTACCCCACGCCTGATTTTGCTGCTGCGTTGCGTTCCACCCTTGTGCATGATTTGCCCCATGTTTTTTATTGGAGATGCCAATATTGTGGAAAACAGAATCCGGTGTCGAAGCTCGAAGAACTCCAAAGACGACAGAGCGAGGTATTGATGTCGCCTAACGTTGCGAAGGAGGTAGAGGAGGCGGATGAACTACCGCAACGTGAGATGCCGGAGAGCAACAGCAAGGAAGCAGTGATTCACAAGACGGAGTTGGCGATATCCCCGACCAAAACACCAAAGGTGCCGAAGCCAATCCTGAAGGCACCTCATTTCGAATTGGGACAGGAACCGGATGAGCCGGCTAGTGATGTGAAGAGAGAGACTGATGAAAAGGAGGATATGCCAAGCCCAACCTCTGCTCGCCCGTTACCTCAAACTGCAGTGGTATAGAGAACCTGTAGGGTGAGAATCAAGAGTGGTGCAGTATGTTATTGATTGGAGATGGGAGACGGATGATTTTTAACGACGGTAACGACTCTGGTGCCTTGCTTTACTGGCTATAATCGAGTATCCATTTTGGATCCTTTGCATCGCAAGTCAACATTTGGCTTATTGTGTTTGGTGATGATGGCATTTGAATGGCGTTGTGGGTTTATGTTTATGCGTTTATGATTTCATGGACTTTGGCCAATGGGCATTCGTAATTTGGGTTTGTTTATTTGTGTAGCGATATATCAAATGAGCATAGCGAATGCTTGCCAGTCGTTCTGATCGAATATCCTACGGAGTACGGAATAGTTTGACTTCTTTAATGAATGATACAACTTGGGTAGAGTTCTCTGAGTTCATGGCCAAAGTATCTGGTTTGTCTCTGTGACAGGGAGTGTGTATGGAGGATGATTCGGGCCTCCTCTCCTCTTCTTGCCAGCCTCGCCTTTTTCTTATCTTATTAGCGCCACGGACGTCGGACTACTTGTACCCGTGCCGTTGACATATTATTAATACTTCTCGTACGAGTGCTTCGTAGGAGGATGCGTCAAGGTTGTTTGAACACGTTTCCTTGCAGAAGAGAGTGCTCGGTCTTTTGTTTCCCAGGGTTTTTTGAGGACGAGTATGAATTGTCAGTGTTAGGAGTGAGAGCGAGGACTTGTCGAGTCAATTTCACAACAGAAGCCATTCTTGTCGGTCAAAATCCTAAATCCAACGAAAACAACAACACGAACGAAGAACGGCAATCAGCAAGTATGATGACTTATAAATTTGTCAATCTGTCACCGGAACAAATTGAAGCCCGGCGCCACGCCCTCGATCGAGCAGGGTGGCATGCGTGGCTCAGTCCGGTCGTCTTGTTGGTGGTGGTTTATGTGTGTCGCCGATTACTCTTTTGGTCCCCTGGCACTCGAGAATTGAGACGGATCGGCTGGGTTCTCGAAACGACGTACGTTTCCGAATTCGGTCCTCTGTCCGTGCAGTTGTTTGGACTCGCGTACACGGCGTGGCTCTTGTTCTTGGTCTTCCGCGGCACGGGGGAAGATTACATGCACCTCACCAAAGCGTTTGGCCACGTCGGCGTCAGTCAGATGCCCTTGCAGTACCTGATGAGCGTGAAGTGGACAGCACTTAGTCCCGTCGCGGCCGCCACGGGATTGAGCCACGAAAAGGTCAACGTGTACCATCGCTTTTTGGGGCGGGTGGTGCATTTGTTTTTGGGTATACATGCCGTCTTGTATTTGAGGTTCTTTGCAAAGATGGGATGGTTGGAGAAACGCGTTCGTGACTGGGACGTCAGGTTCGGGTTGTTGGCGTTTTGGACCGTCAATTTCCTGGGGGTGTTGAGCCTGCCGGCTGTCCGGAGAAGGGCTTACCATGCCCTGTTTTGGAGAAGCCATATCGTCCTGGCACTTGCACTGCCTGTGTTTGTCTTTTGGCACGTCAAATGGACCAGGCTGTACGTGGGTCAAGTGGCCGTGGTGTGGGTGTTGAACGTGGTCACGAGGAGATTCTGGGCCGGGGAGGTCGTCCAGGTGAGGAGTGAGGATCTACAGGGAACTACCGGTTCGAATACAACACGGCAATTGGTCCAAGTGAAGATGAGCGTGCGACAGGGTGGGAGACTCGCAAAGGCGACGCCGGGTCAGCACGTGTATGTGCACGCCCCGGACGGGGGTGGCGTGAAGAACCCGTTTACGGTTGTGAGCGTGACAGACTCACATCCAAAGGATGGTGTAGTCGAGGTGATGCTTGTGGTGAGAAGGTTAGGTGGACCGGGGACCAAATGGTTGGCGGAGGTGGCGAAGACGGGAAAAAAGGTCGACATCCGGGTCGAAGGACCTTATGGTGATGCCGGTGATCATGTTGACAGGTTGGTCAATGTCGAGACGACGGGTCCGGTGTTACTTATCGCTGGGGGTGTCGGTGCTACGTACACATTACCGTTGTACATGGCGCTATTGAGCAAAGCCAGGCGACAAGGAGTTCAGAGGAACGTCAAGATGGTATGGCTTGTGAAGAGTGTTGCGGATGCTGCTTGGGGTGTTGAGGTTTTGCGACGCCATTTACCCGTTACAGAGATGGACGTTGATGTCTACGTTACAGGTGAAAGTGCTAACATGAGTCTTGCACCTACGCAAGACTCGAACATGGTGTCAGGGGGAGGAAAATTGCTTGGATTCAAGATACACACACTCGGGGAAAGACCAAGTATTGCTCCAATGGTGGACAACTTTTTCGCTGCCTCAGCTGCAGGTGGTCAACATGACTTCAATGCCGACGAGGTTAATGTCTTTGTCTGTGGGCCAGCGTCATTGTCGGCGGATCTGAGGAAAGCAATGGGGAGGCATGTCAATGCATCAGGTATCAAATTGAGATGGATCGAGGAAGTGTTTGGATTCGGAGGGAGTTAGGACCAATCATACGCTCTGCGGGCATCTGCGAGCATCTGCGATACGTAGCATTGAAGTAGAACATGCATAGATTGTCACATCGTGAACCATTTCCCTTTGTAAGTCTTTGTAAGTCTTTGTAAACGATCTGCTCCGATATTTGTTGTTAGTAGGAGCGATACAGTCCCTTGTCATGCCAAGTCCCTGCAGAGTAGTGAAGGAGTCGATGGAAACCTCGGGACTGTAGCAGTCGGAACAAAAACCAGGAATGAAGATGCAATACCGAGAACTGACAAGGTCTACCATTACCCCCGCTCGTTACTCAAGGATAACAGACCTGATACCCGGCCATAGCCTGTGATGGTGCGGAGAGAAGCACCGATCGGAATATACAATGGTCTTCTCTGCTGTGATAGAGTGATCCCATTATGGCTTTGGTCAGGAGTCGATGACTTTGCTTCACTGAGAACTAACTACCTTTGAACTTTCAAGAAAATCTAATCACCCACACCCGCAAGAATGTCATACGACGACCTCAGAGGAAAGACGTTCATCATCACAGGCGCCAACTCTGGTCAAGGGCGTGCGACTGCGCTGATGTTGGCGGAACAGGGCGCCAACCTGGGTAATGTTTTCGCACCCATCGGCGAATGACTGGCTGAGGTTGGTAACTGACGGGGTTTCAGGGCTCTTGGATATTGTCAAACCTGACGACGTGGTCGCCGAAGCTTCCAAACTGAAAGGAGGAGAGACACTTGCTTTTCAGGTAGACGTCACCAACTATTCTCATGTCGAGGAGGCTGTCAAGACGACATCTGACCGCTTCGGTGGAATCGACGGTGCCGCAAACTTGGCGGGTACAATCGGAACACAGGGATGGAAGGGAACAGGATACTCCCTGAACATCATTGAAGATGAAGATTGGGACTTCATGCTAGGAGTCAATCTGAACGGTGTCAAAAACTCGATAAAGGCTGAGTTGAAGTATATCAAAGACAATGGAAGTATCGTGAACGCCTCCAGTATTGCCGGTCAAATGGGGTCGGCGACAAATGCGCCCTACGGAGCTGCCAAATGGGGTGTCATCGGCCTGAGCAAGAGTGCTGCACAGCAAGGAGGAGCACGTGGGATCAGGGTCAACGCTGTTGCTCCGTGAGTTCTTGTGAAGAAGTTCGAATGCATCTCGGGACAAAGTACAGAAGAAGATCTGACAGCTATTGTTCACAACAGAGGTTTCATCAATACCCCCCTCCTTCACGCAATCGGGGATCCCGAGAGAGTAAACCAATTGGTGGCACAGAAGACGGCTTTGAAGAGGACCGGCCAGCCTGAAGAAGTTGCGAAGCTATTGCTCTTCTTGCTGAGTGATATGTCGAGCTATATTACAGGAAGTGTAATGCAGCCCCCCTTCCGCCGACCTCAATTTCTCATAGGGAAAGATCATTCAACTAATAAAAGCTATAATAGACTATCAATATAGATGGAGGTTTTCAATGAACGCCCCGAAACCAGTATGGTCTGGGGATTAGCAGGACTGAACTAACAAGAAGCACACGGTCAGTCCCTGGCAAAATTGTTTCATGAGAGCAACTGAAAATGGAAATGTGAGTTAAGGATGACTCCAACGAGCAAATCTTCCATTGCGAGGGAAGACTGGACAGGGTCTGATAGGTAACTATCCAAATACGAAACGCCTTGTAGCATACATCCACATCGAAAACTGTGGATCATCGCAACCACGCTCGAGTGATAATAAACACGAACAAGTCGGAACTCTTGCCACTGCCTCATAGTGATACTTAATAACGGGAATCGCCTCATCGGAAACATTCCGAGTGCTTATTTACCGAGAATAGTGACTTGACATTTCCGAATGACAAGCCGTATCCCTCATATATTTCCATCAGATTCAACTACACGTGTCGCTCTCACAGCAACACCTTCAACAAGAGATAGTCAATATGGATTCCCGTCTGAACCCACATACTCACCCCATCTCCGATGCTGTTCGCAAGGCGCGTCAAGCTGTCCTCTCAAAAATCGAGCAAGAACAGCAAGAGAGCCTTCCATGGTACAGTTGGCCTACTGTTGAGGAATATAGACTGGCGCGACGACAGGGCTCCCACGGATTTCCAAAGCCCGTGTTGAATGAAAAGGCCACCTTTGTAAATATCTTGGGACGAGATGACCATCAAATTGAGCTTCGAATCATCAAACCGGAGACCAGGTCTGCCAGGGGGGTGTGGCTTCATTTTCATGCTGGTACGTGCGTGGTACAATCGTCTCTCTCCTAGAGCCGAACCCCTAGTGTATAGAGCAATGCCTTTTCCTTTCAAGACGGCTCCCCTTCACAGAACTGACTGAGAGGAGTAGGGGGCTTCGCCATCGGATCCAATGCAAGCTACGATCCATACTTGACAGAATTGAGCGAGGCTCTTGGATTGACAATGGTATCTGTCGAGTATCGCCTCGCCCCTGAGCATCCACACCCTGCGGCACTCAACGACTGCGTCGATGCTGCTCTATACACGCTCTCAGAGGAAGGAGCCCGCGCTCTTGGTTCATCGCTACGAGTTTTGGGTGGAGAATCAGCAGGTGGCTGGCTGTCAGTCTCCGTGGCTCTGGCGCTCCGTGACGAGCACAACATCGATGTCGAGTCAAGCCTGGGTGCGATATGCTCCAGCTATGGCATATTTGACCTTACTTACACTCCTTCCGTGTTGTCTCATGAGCGTTCGATCTTCCTCAGCAAAGAGCACTCTGAGAAATTCACAGAGAACGCCTTCGGACATGTTCCTGTGGCTGAGCGGAAAAGTCCAAGACTCTCACCGTTATATGCCGACCTACGAAACCTGCCACCGGCTCAATTCTTGGTCGGCACTGTCGATCCTCTGTTGGACGACAGTATTTTCATGGCCATAAAATGGCAGCAAGCGGGAAATGATGTCCAATTGGACGTGGTCGATGAAGGTTTCCATGCATTTACTCTATATAGATTCAACGACACGCACGACGAAGGTTTGGAGAGAATCACAACCTTTCTGGACGGGAAGCTGATGTAGGATGAAAAAGTGAAGAAAAGAAAACAGAAAGACTCGATGTAAAGATGTTCCAGTCATGGGCGCATTTACACAAATAACCTGGACTGCACGCTGAGTATAGGCATTCATGCGTGTTCCACCTTCGGTTTCGAAACTAAAATCAATGACACGATAAGAAACAGCATCCCAACAGGATTAGCTTCGCCTTGACCCTGGGCTAGTTCACCGCTGCTGTTGTAGATAGATTCAATGCTTGCTATTGCTAGTATTGGTTAAATCATTTGCCTGAGTTAATTCTGTTATCGGGTTCTCCCTATTTCTGCCGTCTACGGATTTCTCGCAAGACATGCGCGAGGCTTTCGAGTATGGTGGACGCAGGCCTTCCGCGGTCTTGTTTCCGAGTTCCGACACGAAGAGGCATGCCACGAATATTTCCGTATACCAACATTGTAACATTGTTCAATATCTTCAGATCCATGAAAGGTACTTACTACCGCCCACGATGCTGCTCAAAGGCACTGCGCTTGTTACCGGAGCAGGTATGATTAGTGTTCTATGTTCATATTTCATGTCGACTAATGTCAATAGGGTCCGGTATAGGACGAGCTGTCGCCCTCGCATGCGCGGCCAGTGGATGCCGAGCTATTACAATTGCTGATAGGAACTTTGAGGATGTCAAGCAGACAGAATGTCTGGTAAAAGAGATTAATAGCCATCTAAAGGTCCTCACGGTGGATGTTGACGTTAGCGAGAGCACGCCAGCAGAGAATTTGGTTCTGAGCACTTTGGAAGCTTTCGGGAGGCTTGACTATGGTTAGGAAACACACCATTTTCCGCGTTTGTGGGGTTTCAATGTGGATGTTTTTCTGTTGTGTTCAGGCTGACCAACATATCTCTTACAGCCTTTAACGTTGCAGGAGTATGTATATCTTTATCCTTCTTCTTTGGCCGAGGTTTCTAGCTTGTTCTGAGATGATGGTAGATCTCCTGCAAAGCACGCGTTGCAACAGCGACCTATCCGATGCAGGAATACGACAACATTCAAGCTATCAATGCTAGGGGATTGGCATTATGCACACAGTTCGAAATTCGAGCAATGCTGGAACAGGATCCTCGGGTCACTATTGACTCTCACAGTCCGCTTCGAGCCCAAAGAGGAAGTATAGTCAACATTGCGTCGACCTGCGCGACGAATGTCATACCGGACCTCTTCCCATATGTGGCCTCCAAGCATACAGTCATGGGGATCACCAAGGCGGCTGGCATTGACCACGCCAAAGACTTGGTAAGGGTCAACGCCGTCTGCCCTGGCTTGGTCGAGACACCAATGATAGCAGCTCGGCGGGCACAGCTACAGCATCAAGAACAGGAAACGCCGCCGTCGACCCACTCAGAGGTATGGGCACCTGCAAATATGTACAATACCCCCTTAGGCAGGCTCGCGCTGGCGGACGAAGTGGCGGACACGTGCATTTTCCTAGCAAGTTCAATGGCCAGTCATATCACTGCGTCATCTATCACGGTTGATGGTGGTAGGACATCAGCATACTAGCACTTAGGAAGATATCCTCCGGAAATGGATATTCTTTACTATCAATGTCTAGAAAACGCGATACTGGAAGGAAACTTGCCCCTAGGCCTTTATAGTCTCTTGGATTTTAGATTGAGTATCTATATAGCCAACGGATCCTCAACATGCTTTGCTACGTCGATATTGATCGGGACACGGGGCAGCAACATCTCCAGCCCGGGTGGGATCTGGAAAGCTCCAGTCCGGAAATGCACTATAATCATACCGGCCATATGCAATTGTCATCACAATGAACACAATTCGGGATGTACTTGTTTCTTTCTACAATTCATTACCCTTGCTGGTGACATTAAATCCTTGTGCTCTGTCTGGATTCCGGATACATCCCGAAGCATTTCTAAATCTCTCAAGCAACGGCTGTACAACCCCTGGCCGGAAATTTGATTCGG